GGGAAATTGGCTTTTCATTCAGTTGCATTACTGTGAAAATGTGTTTCAGTCTGGGAATTTATTTCACTGGCACACATGGCACAGCAGCTGGTGGGAACCCGTAGTATGACATGAAAAAAAAAGACATGATATCGGTCAGCCGCTGCCCAAACTGTAATTTTACATCAGCTGATCTGAAGCTGCAAGTGCATATTTATTTCAGTGCTGTGGTTGACCAGTCGATAGTTGGCATTTTCTTGACAAATAACTTTAAATCTTGAGGGAAAAATGAAAATGACATGAAATAAAAAGTCCCACAATTTAGTGCTTATGACTACAGTGAGACACTCTAACAGGATTTTGATTCTTTTAACATATGATACATTATAACGATAAAAAGCCCAACAGCCTAATACACATTTTAAAATAGCTCTACAGACTCATAAATTCAACGTTGTGTGGTCTTGTATGAGTTATCTTTCCATATTTGTATAAAACCTGGGTCCCAGTGGTCTGTCCTCGATCAATACACCCCTGCAGGACATTGGTAAGTCTTGGCAGCATCTTATCTTTATCAAAGTATTGAAGTAAAAACACAGATATTATTCCATGATATTAATAAGCCTACATCAGATATTACACATTTTTCAATGCCACTGTGTGCACTGGTGTTTCTGTCACTCACTGCAGTGCCCAGACTAGATAAGGAGTGAAGACTGTAAATAAAAGGGCCAAAGTATTTTCTCACAAGTCTAACAGCATTTCTTGGAGAGCTTGTAACAGCAAGCATGTCTGCTATAAAGCCAAAGATAATAAGAAGAGGGAGAGGGAAAGTGCAAAGACAGCCGGTTTGATAATTTGGCTTTGAGATATTTAATTTGCTAAAGATCCACCCAGGACATCATGTATACAAGAGGCTGCTGTGGGGGATTTAGACATGTGGGTTTAAGAGAGTCAAGCGAAGACCATTTTTTAATATCTCTAAACTTTGATAAATGGCATCCATGGTTTTCTGGTGCATTAGCAGAGGATTCATATCAGCTGTTTTCACAGCTGTTGTTCTTGAGGCCCTGCTTCAGAGGAACTCATTGTATCCAGAAGAAAAAAATCTGATTACGACAATATTATGATTATTATTATTATTATAGAGCTACAGGGAAGCACCAAACCAGTACCAGCACGACACACTGCATTGAAATGAAGATATAACAAAGTAATGTTTTTAATCCGCAGTCAGGGATCACATAATTAGAGCATGTTTGGATGTTTATAGCCTTATAAAGCATTTGCAATCCCCATGTGCTTTTCAGCTTCTCAGCAGGATGTTGTTGAGTCAAAGGATTTGATCAAGAGATAAATGTTTCTTCATTAGTTGTAAAAAGTCAGTGGTACCCAAATCACATACTATTGTGGAACATGAATATTCCCAAAAATCAACTGACGTCAGCGTCCATTCACCATCATATTTCTGAGCTATTGGCTGCAGCACAAGATATCACTTAACCTTTGAGCCAAAACAGACAAGAAGTCTGAACAGTCATATGTAGTTAAACTGAGAAAACATCAATCGTTCTGCTATAAATCCCGTTTTCATGAATGCTGTAAATTCAGTTTTTCAATGAGGTGTTGAGTCATAAAAGCAGAATTTATTGCAGGACTGTAGTAATGCCCTGCATACTTTTTTGGCTAAGTGTGCCAAATGCATAGCTGTTGAGTACATGTGTGCCAGAAACATTAGTTCGTGAAGCTTTTGGAGATACACAGTAATGTGCAAAAACATTAAGTGAGGAATAACGTGTAGTAAGCAGGTGATTCTGCAAATCAGGACCAGAAACGGAGGGGTCTTACGTCACTCTAAAAGGATTCCAGGTTGTTTACAGAAATTAAAATACCTTCGCTGTGAGACAACACCCCTCAGCGCCAGGTCCTGCTCAGCCTGTCAGTAATCTAATTCACATTATCACCTGCTCACTATACAGTAAATGCTTTGATTTAACATGCAACAGTAGAAAAAGAGAGAGCTGAGTAACACTCCTTGTGGTTTACCTCTATGCACCTAAACTACTGAACCTGGTCTGAAATATAGAATCTACTCATGACCTTCCTGAATAACGTTTAGTAGTAATGACCTATGGTATGAATCAAAAGGGATATAACTTCTTGCATTATTAAAATCAACCCCATGTAAATGTATTAAATGTTAACCTTAATGAGTGATGAATAAAAAAATCAGCTGGATTCAAATGAATTCTAAATCTAACATCAACACTTTGAAACCCTTTGAAAATGAGATGCTGCGTCTCAAGCAGCTTCCCTTAAATGCACTGAAAATGTTAGTTGTTGAAAAATCAGGAAAAACAATAACTGACTGAAGACAGCATCTGTCCCAAATATCAACTATTGTTAATACTTTTGTTACATCAAATAGAGCAAAAATCAGGAGATTCAATCATAATTTGAATTCCCAGACATCTCCACATTTTCCTTTTGTTATTCAAAAATGTTTCACAGGGAAATTACTCCCTTATGATTCATGTTTTTGAACTTATAACAAATCCCACCATCCTTTCTGAATTCCATTGGTGGTAAGTAGTCTTTCTCCCAAAGCCAAGCAGGTTTTAGCAATATGGTCCCCGTTAGCTTCATAGTCGCTCTGTCAGAGTATAAATCAATCACAACTGGATCTGAATTCCTCCATGGCTGCATCTCCGTCAGCCTCTCCATCATCTCTGAGCAACTGGATTCTGTAATTTTGACATGTTGTTGCTTCACGTGAACACACACATAACAAAAAAATCTGTTCATCTATTGCAACAAAGCAAAGTAATTTTTTTTTCTATCCACAACAAAACTATCAGCACCTCATGAATACAAACCTGTTACAAGTAATATTAGTAATATTTAAGCCAAGTTTGTAAACACTCTTATATCCAGCATTGGGTCTAGTGCATGAAAGACGAGTTGTTGCTGCCTAGATAAAGGTGTATTTTGATCTGCAGGTCACAAACACTCACACTTTTTCAAATTTTGCATAAGAAATATCATATTTTCTGCATGCTTATTGTAAAGTTTGATAGTGTGTGTATCCAATCATAATTAAAAAGCTGATTATTTGCATTGAATTATTTTGTTGATGGAAATGCATTGAACAGTAGTGCCCCCACCTGTTCAACCAGTGTAGTTTATTTTGGGAAGAATTCAACCACCAGGAAGAAACAGTTGCATTCACTTGAAGTTAAAGGGAGTTGCAGAAAAAAATGCATTTTGTACAGGTTGTATCAAAGCTGATAAAATTCATATACATCAAGAAGTTAACTAAAAATCACTGCTTCCTTGTATGGCATATTTTACTTTAAGGCACAGAGAAGAAACTCCTACTGGTTTTGACCTCCGTGACCTGAAGTTTGAGAAACCCTCATTTGTTTCCAGGGATTTCACCCAGGAGTAATTCATTTAATTGTAAAGTATAATAAAGCTACACTTTGACGCAACATAGTCTGTCCCTTACTGGGCTTATAACCTTTACAAAAACATATCAGAACCACACAGTAACTTGTCATAACAGGACAAGCACAGGTGTAAATTATATCCTTATTAAGGCCCCATTGCTCTGATATTGTTAATGTTGGCCTATTGACAGAGCTGTCTGCAGACTATCCAGGAACATATTTGTACAATTTGAACTGTTATGATACATGATGAGTTCAATTTAAAATGCAATGATAACCCTAAGCCATCTCTCTTGAATTAGATACTATAAAAATAGGACTCTAGGAACACAGGGAACACAGCTGTGTTTACTTGTTTAAGCATAACCAGGAAACCTGAAAAAACCTGATCAACATTTACAGGAAGCACTTAAATACACTTAAAATTGATTATGACAGCCTCCTTGGAAGGCCCACAAGTTCTTCCCTTCTCCCCCTTATTATTCCCATCTGTCAGTTACGCTTACTCTCCATATAACACTTTTAGATACTATATATGTGACATAAGATATCCTAGAAAAATGCATGGTGAAAAACATTTCCCCTAGTTTCTAAAAGTCTACTCCCTTCACTGACTTCCTGTTAGTTTTAGAATTGATTTTAAGATTGTGTTGATTACTTTAAAGCACTCAAAGGACTTGCTCCAAGCTTCATTTGAGAACTTTTAATACCTTATGTGCCAACTCGCAGCCTCAGATCCTCTGGCGAAGGCCTCCTGGTGGTTCCTATGTTGAGACTCAAAACTAAAAGTGACAGAGCTTTCTCCATCAGAGCTCCTCAACTTTGGAACGACCTACCAGAGGAGATAAGGCGTGCAGAGACAGTCACTTCTTTTAAGTCAAATTTAAAAACTCACTTTTACAGACTTGTTTTTATGTGATACCGTCTTTTCCCTTTCTCCTTTTATCTCTTTTACCTCTATCTTATTTGGGCTTACTGTCTTTCCAGCCTTTGTTTTACTCATAATCTTTTCCTATTTAACCTTTTAGGCCTCTTATTGTTTTTTCCTGCTTGTTTTTGTAACTCCACTTTATCATAACTATTACCATCATTATTATTTTGTTATGATTTTATTATCATTATTAACATCGCCTTTTCTATTTACTATCCTGTTTCCTGCTTTCTACAACCCTTTTTTTATTACATTTCTTTTTCTTACATATTTTATGTTTTTATTTTGGTCCTCATGGTCTCATTCTATGTTGTAGGGTTCTTATATAGTCTGGGTTTCTTATGACAAATGAAATAGGCCTTCAATTCGTAGGCCTTGTTTTTGACTGAGCTTTTGTTTTTTATTTGTTTTTATTTCCATGTGCTGATGTTCTGTGCTTTACGACTGTTTGTCAAAGCACTTTGTAAACTTCTGTTTTAAAAGTGCTGTAAAAATAAAGTTATTTTTATAATAATTATTATTACTTCTCTGTTCCTCTGTATGTTCCTGTTATGGACAGGCACACTTGTATGTCCATGGTTGTTGCTGCGCCTCTCTTTACTTGAGAGCGCTGCCACCTGCTGGTCAGATGTGGTAACAGCGCCTGTTTGCATTAGCACCATTGAAGATGGCGACTGGAGTCCTTCACAGAGTCAGCGGTGGTCTGGGTCGGGCTACAAGCAGGGCCCAGTCGGCCAAACAGCTCGTCTTGTGGAGCAGGTGGGGCTCACATTAGCGTGTATACTCTGCATTCATGTCTGTTGTGTTTGTTGTTGGTCGCTGTTTCATTTGTTTCGGTGTCTTTACGAAGTGGCGATGATGAGCTGGGGCAAGCTAGCCCGCTCACTGCTAGCCAGACCTCAGTGGCCTTCAGCATGAATTCCCATCAAAGCAAGCCAAACCCTCATTTTGTTCATTGCAGGATATTTAAGGTAAAAGCTACGTGTTAATGCAGATGAAGAGGGAAGGGGGAAAGTTTCTGTCATCTTTGGTGATTTAGCATCTGAGATGCTCAAGGTCAATTTGAGACATCACTGAGAAGTCTGTATCTCTGCAAATAGGATGATGCTACATGTACTGTCCAACTGTACTGTCCTTCTCTGTTAGTACTGTCTTATAAATACCATATGATCGCAATGTTATCATTACAGGTATTGGAGTTAATGACATTTAAAGCACAGTAACTGTCTCTACTCAGAAAACTTCAAACCTGACATTCTGATACAAACATGATTTGTTGGTTTGTGCCCAGATTGTATTATGCTTTGAGGTAAAACACCCTAAAATAGTTCAATATTTTCTCTTCCATGTAGTTATTGTGATTTATCTGTGTTTGCAGGGGTTTTGCAACATCGAGCAGCAGAAACAGACAAGACAGCTGGTTTAAGTCTCTGTTTGTGAGGAAAGTTGACCCCAGGAAAGATGCACACTCCAATCTACTGACCAAAAATGAGGAAAGCAACCTGTATAAAATTCAGTGTAAGTTGACTTTGCAGTACAAGTACTTTGAATTTTACCGTTTAACCATTTAACTCAAAGAATGCATAATTAAATCAGTCTCTCTTTTCAGTCCACAATGTCAAACCAGAGTGCCTGGATGCTTACAACAAACTCAAGTGAGTATCTATTCATGTAACTGTTTCAGCTGTGCTGTGTAGTTAACTTATACCTCCTCAAATCTGTGTCAAGAGTGCAGTGGGAGTATGAGGCCAGGCAAGCCTCTTGTTGAGTAAAAATAATTCAGTGTAGTCTATTCCCGCGAGGTGATTGACGAGCTGGCATGTCTCCAGTCCTTTGCGGATGAACCCTGCTCATACCTAAGATGACTGCTGGCAGTGAGGGGCTAATTTTGGACCCTCTGAGAGGACGCATAACCAGGAGACGTGTTTATCATTGAGATGTGTTATTTAGATTAAGATTTTTAAATTCTACTTTTAAGTGTACTTACAGGACACTCAATTATATGGAATCTATTTGGAGTTATTTTATTTCTCATCTATTCACAGTGAAGATGTGTTGCCCTCTATCCATGCTGATAAGTACTACCCCTGTGAGCTGGTGGGCACCTGGAATACCTGGTATGGGGAACAAGACCAGGCTGGTAGGATTACTAATATCAACACACACACAGATCTATGGTCTGCAAAGTTTGTAAATCAGCTGGCATGTCATACTGTGCATCCACACCCAGAAAACAAACATTATGACCGACCAGACTTGTATGTAGATATCCTGTTAGGGCAGTCTTTTTGTGCTACCTTTGCATGATCCTTTCCTTTTCTATATAGATCAGTATTTCACAGTCCTCTATTCTGACAATTGAACTTTTCCCCATTTTTTGATTCCCAATAATGAATTATTCATAAGATTTACAGTTAATACCTGTCATGTTGATCTAACCCTGCCAAAAAAGGGTATGACTGTGTTCAAAGCATGTCATTTGTTTTAAGGTGTGTTTGTTTTTGTATTTAATGACCCTAAGTAACAAATTCATTCTGCTTAATCTATAATATTTTCTTATACTTCCTAGTTCATCTTTGGCGCTACAGAGGAGGATACCCAGCTTTAACAGAGGTGATGAACAAGCTCAAGCAGAACCAGGTACAGACCATTTCACACACATCTTGTTTGTCCACCATCAGCTTAAAACTCTAAGTAGTGTGCTAATAACAGAGCACAGCTGTCCCGTTGAAGCAAAGTGCATTGATTGGTGTCCATCCATTGGCAGGACTTCACGGCGTACAGGAAGCAGCGGGGTAAGATGCTGATGTCTCGCAGAAATCAGCTCCTGCTGGAGTTCAGCTTCTGGAATGAACCTGTACCTCGAGAGGGTCCCAACATCTACGAGCTCAGGTCCTACCAGCTCAGGGTGAGTCACACACTGCAGAGTTTATGATGAGCCATTGGTAGTGCTATAGACATCGCTCTGGCAGAATTAATATCTGACTAAGCTTTTTCAACTTAATCAACTACATTTATATGAACAATGCATAGCTGGATTTCGGGTATCTAAAGGGTTCTGGTTTCGCTCTGTAGTCCGAGATGTAGCATCCACCAGTGTTTTAGTAGCATTGGCTGAATGGGTTGAAATGCAATCCACTGTAATGCAATGATCAATCAGCAGCAGTCATTTCACAGTAGTTTGGCTTTAAAACTCTAGCGAGGATGTGTCAGTTGTGTCAGTTTTGGTGGCCCCTGCTGACATAGTATGATTAACACTTTGCTTATCTTGTCCCTAACATATGCACATAGTAATCTCTGATAAAAAACCTCAACCCTCTGTAAAAGAAATCTCTGCTCCCAACTGACGATTGATCTGGATTGTGGGATTTTTTTAAGACTGTCTCTGTCTTTATGATAATCAGTCTTCTTCTTGTGTTTTCTTAGGTGTAATATTTTAGCCAGTTTCATACTCAGCTGAAAGTCCTCACTGGAGCTTAACGTAACATTTTTAGTCCACGACACATGCCAGTGCAGCTTACTAACTGCTCTAGGATGTTATCTCTAATGCTAATGCTAACCTCTGGTCACACTGGAGGCTGGCTCTGTGAAGCTGCGGTCATTCTCAAAGGTTGCATGGTCATCACATGATAGTCAATTGCTTTAGATAGCTCCCCTGTCAAATCAATTTCTTAACTTGAGAGCAGCTCCACAATAGCGCCACACTCTCCCTACATCACGTTTCTCCATTTAAACCCTGTCAGTCACATGTTTTACATCTCTGAATTACCTCCAGCCTCAGTGTAAGACGTGTAATGTGATATAAGTCAGGGTGGCTGTCATGTTTGTGCTAATCATTGTAATGGGTCACCATTCTGGCGCCTGATTTCAGCACGGATCAGTGGTTAAATTGAAAACTCTTCGCTCATCAGCTTCAGCAGATTAAGTATGTCTCTCCAGTCTGAAAGGGAGAAACCGTCAGTGCTCTTTGTGATGAATGCAAGCTATTATCCTTCATCACAGACTGAGACTCAGTCTTTGAAACAGCTGGACATTTGTTGCTTTAATTTTCAGAGAATGACTGGAGAAACCTTTGGATGTAGCTTTTATCTGCTTAATGACAAAAAAACCTGTGCTGCTCTTTCCCATTTATTTGTGTTTGTTTTCACTTTTAATGGAAATGAATAATATTAATGTGTGTTTTATACAGTAAGGAGCCTTTATTGGAATTAAAGTGTTCCTCTGTTCTTCTTCCAGCCCGGGACCATGATCGAGTGGGGTAATTACTGGTAAGGCAACCTGTAATCACTTGATTCACTGAACTGTACTTACAGAACTGTTGAACTACATGAAATCGCTCTCATCAAACCTTCATTAATAACTGCTATTCCTCAGAGAGGCTCCGCTTTAAAGCTGTACTGTCATGCTCTCCAGCCAAGGCTTAGACTCAGGTGGAACGTTATGCACACTGCAGATATGTGAACTTTTATTCGCTGAGTGAAATTAGCCTGAAAAAAAATCCCAATACCCTACCTGACAGAGCCAAAAGGCCGGAGTTTATCAGCTTGTGAAATGCAGCTGATTGCAGTTGATTTAAAGGATGACGTGATCTTTCTGCCAGCTTATTATTCTTCGACTGCACTGTGGTGGATTTGTGTTTTTACCGACCAGTTTTGACTTGTTTTTGGTTGCAAAATTCTCTGGATTACATTCCAAATATTGTCTTGAACCTTTGGCACTGACCGTGGCTGTCAGAAAGTAACTGATATGTTGTTGTACAGCCAACTCTTCTTCTCAAGCGTACATACTCCTGCCACATGCAGGACTCAAATACTTTAATACTTCATCCTGATAACGCAGACTTTCATATAATTGTATGAAAAGAGCTTGAGGTTTGAGCGAAGGTTCACCCTTGAGCAACAGACTTTCCCTAAACCCACTTCTTGTAGTTCTGTTTTTATTACGGCTTACTTTAAACAGCCTTTATTTGAACCATCCTCCATCATGCCATCAAGGCTATTTAAAGCAATTTCAATTATACTTGTGTAGTCAAGGCCAAAGGCTAAAATGTCTTCCTCAAGTTACAAAAACATGACGAACTCAAACCTAATAGTTTTGTATCCAGATGGTGATTATGCTTTGAATAAGAAAATGTTTTCTTTTGTTGGAAAAAAAGTTGGATTTAAAGCATTACGCTCACCCTTCTCCAATTATTTCACATGGTTTTGGCCAACATTAGCATTCGCTAACATGTACACAGTTGAGTAATAGTGTCACATCTTAAGGTTGACTGTGATGTGGCAAAACAGAGTCAGACTTGGAAACTTGGAAGGCCATTGTTGTCTAGTTTGGGTAATGAAAATAGACCGCTTGTGTAAATTAAAAACAGTCCAGATTAAACGACCAAATTAAAAGTAAAGTCAAAGATTATGCTGAAATCCTTGTTTGAAGACCGATCAAATGTCTTGCGTGTGCAGGCCTCATCTTGTTATGCCAGATGGAGCCTCGGTGTATTTTGGCCTGCTCTTTGACAATGGTTGTTCTTGTCCACAGGGCTCGGGCCATCGGGTACCGCCAGCACAACAGAGAAGCTGTGGGAGGGTTTTTCTCACAGATCGGCAACCTCTATATGGTTCATCACCTCTGGGGTACGTATGCATGCCAGTTCAATACATAAGAACATGCTGCCAGTGCAACTATAATGTGTTACTATCAAAATACTGCTGAAATTAGCTGTTTATGCTGGGAAAATCAATCAATAGTTTCATAATATGAGGCTGCCTAAGAGTCCTGCTCCCCTGTTGAAGTTTTTGTTGACTCCTGTCATGTTTTGAGTTTTGGACTGATTAATGTTGAAGCTGTTTCTGTGCTCAAGAACTTTTGACTGTCCTTGTTCACTTTTCTTCGAGTTGTACTGCAGTTGGCTGAAGTCCAAAATCAATAGCTTGCGTGTGTTGAAACTTTAAACAGACAAAGAAAACTCAAGTGTTATTTGAACCCCAAATACTGAGGTTATGACCCAACATATTTTTTCTTAGCTCTTCTAAGCATCTTAGCTCTTCCTGCATTGAATTTTAATGTTTTCTGGCACATTTCTTTGTTTTGGTTCAGTCTAGCTTTTCTTGTCTCCAGTTTCAGCAACAGTAGATAACGAGTATTGACTAAATAAACTGATTATCTGTCCAGTATCAATCGGCGGACAAGGTTAGGGACCAACGAGAACACGTGGAGCTGCTAATTGAGGCATTTCCTACAAGAATCAGTGATATCAAAAGGAGTCAAATGAGTCTAAATATTTGACCTGTAGTCATCAGATAGATATGAGAAAGCCACAAAGTCTGGTTGCTAGATGCAAAATTCTGATTTAAAAAAATCTCCATGAGTCGTTTCAAAGTACAACAGTAATCATGTTGAATACTGCTCTCCTGGAGCTGCCATACACATAGCATGCCACATTAGTAGTAATAACTTTCTAAGTCTGTTAATTGAAAAGTTCCTGTATAACTTGGACGAAAAATATGTCGTCTGCCACCTTCATCATGACAAATGCTCACTGACTTGCTAAAATTAACTTGGTCTGTTAACTTACTTGCCGTTGCAGCTTACAAAGACCTTCAGTCCAGAGAAGACACAAGAAACGGGGCCTGGCAGCAGGAAGGCTGGGACGAGGTGGTGTATTACACAGGTAAGCAGCATGTAAAATCTGGGGTGGTTAAACTCACAGCTTTGAGGAAAATCAACTTTTTGAAAGCTTATCTGCCTGTTCTTACCTTTTTTTGTCATAAATAACAGAAACAAAGAGCTTTTACAAACTTAAATCATTTGGACTATGAAAAAAAAAATGCAGCAGGTCTCAATAATTTGTTTCATCTTTTCTCCAGTTCCCCTCATTCAGCACATGGACTCTAGGATTATGATCCCCACAAAGGCTTCCCCGCTGCAGTAAAACTGAAAAGTGATCCAACATCAAGTGGCATCTTTCTGAATGTTACTTTCATCCAGAGCATTACTATCACCGTTTAACCTCCTTTCGGTGCTGCCAGTCATCCCTTCTCTGTTCTTGTCTTTATTTTATTACTTCAAGATGCCACTAGGACAGAGGGGGGAAACCATGTCTGCCATACATATAAATATATATATATAAATAAGATGAAAAATACCTTACACACAACTCTTTCATTATCCCGGTTCTGGGGCAGGATGAGTAAATTTGGCCAATTCAAACCTCCTGATGGCTGTTAGGCCTGACGTCTCGTGCCACATTAAAACTTGGCCATGAAGACCTCATCAGAGTTAAGAACCAAAGTTACTTGAAAAGATGAGCAGCTGTTGGGCGTGAGGAACAGAACTGCTGAGGCTTACTGCATAGTTCAAGAGCTTTTTATTTATTTAATGTAAATTTGGGACACATTTATTTTAAGTGTGATGAGTAGCGGCAACTTAGAAACAAGCTGTGTTAATACTGACTGAAGTGAGAGCCGGACTGTATATCAAAAATAAAGTTTGAAATGGTGTGAAATATAAATCTTATTTTATATTTGTTTTCAAGACCTCTTTTTATTTCAAATCACTCCTTCTTCGGTTGTTTTCTGGCTGTTCCTTGGTCATGGTAATGTTGATGTTTTTTGGTGCCGTGTTTGTATTTTTATTTGTGAAGACAACATGCCTGGTTTTAAAGAGTTTTTATCCAACGTGTTTTAAAGGGGTATAACTTTCATGTATGAAAAACTCTGGAAACAAAAATTATCACTGAGTGGCTGAGTAAATCCAGTACAGATTTGTGCTGCTGTACATTGAAAAAGTTGAGTTACTGTCAAAGGGAGCATGTATATCTTGTGTTTTTGTTCCTCAGTTCAGGGAGGACAGTTTTGAGGAAACGACAAGAAAGTCACAACTGAATAAAGCAGTTCAAACAAAATCTTTAACAGCACGTTTGTTTGTTTAATGCTTATGTTCTTTTTACACTCGGTGTGTCTTGCTACAGCTCTTATCAATACATTAAAAAAAACAAAAAAAAAAACATCTCTATTGCTCATTGCACTTGCCATAATATAAAGGAGTTGTATTAGCTTGCCTAAAGACTTTGATGGAAAAAGTGCAAAAACATCTAAATCATCTTGTTAACCCTGACATAGTGTTTGGTTATGTGTTTAGTATCTTCTATGATTAAAATCAACAGGGAAACATCCCCATGAAGGTAAGGTTGGTCTCACTAGTGTAAACATTTCCGTTCATTATAAAAATCTATTCAGAGTTAAAGGAAACGATGTGCACTGGATAAAACCATTACATGCACACCCTTGGGTGCAAAAATAAAAAGTTAAAATGAGTAACAGCACTCTTCAAGGATCCTTAAATCTTCTCCAGTTCCTTCAACAGCTCCCCAAAACTTGTGACATACCACAAAGATTTCTCCTTAACCTGTGGCCTGATGACGTTTCCTCCAAAGCCAATGAAAGCACTCTGAGAGAGGAAGAACAGACACTGTCACCACACTGTAGCTCTAGTATGCTTGGCTGTGTGATCCATCTATCATGCACACACTAAAATGTATGATAAGAACCACAGACTTCACACTCACCGCAGGAGGACAGGCCTCTAGATCAGTGGCTCCATCCCCGATCATCACCACCGTCTCAAAACCGTACTGCTCCTTCAGCATACTGATCACCTTCCCCTTCCCACCACTCTCAGCTGTGGGCTGACTCTCATCAAAACCAGCATACTCTCCTGGAAAACAAACCCACAAATACATACTTGAGATGTAGGACAAGGTTGTGTTCAGATGCTCCTACCATGTTCCACTTTGATTAAAACAGAAAAAAGGAAATACTCAGCCTCTAGCACCTACCATTGAAGTAGAACTTGAGTCGATTGGCGTAGACGTGATGAAGGGGGATGTTCAGCTGAGTGGCTACATGTTCAACAATGCAGCGGAAGCCACCTGAGATGAGGAAAACCTTTATGTTGCGCTGATGCAGACGGTCCACGAGCTCCCTGCAAGCATCAACATTAAATCATAGAGTTCTTACATTTAATTTGCTTTATCCTGTTTACATTTTTGTACGTTAGGGTATGGGTTGAAGGCATTGCATCACAGGAAGTGTATATTTATTTATGTTTTTAACTGTTGATGCCAAGAATTAAAAAAGGTCTATGGTCAGATGGTTCTGTTTATATGACGGCAGTCCTTTATGTGGGTTAGTGTGGGGATAGCCAAGACTTACCTGATGCCTGGGGTCAGCTGAGGTGGATGGTCTGTGATAAGTTTGTTCACTTGTTCCCTGGAGCAGCGAATAATGGAGAGACGCTCTGTCAAGGCCGTTTTAAATGTCATAGAGCCACCCATAGCTTTGCGAGTCCTAAAATGTGAAAGAGCAAAAAAAAATGAAAAAATAGTTAGAATAAAAAATCTCAACCTTCCTAATCATGTTTAAAACGGTTTGAGTTTTAATACACTTACATTTCAGTGACCGCATCCCCAACACCACAAAATTTGGCAAGTTCATCTATGCCTTCTTCTTTGATAACTGTGCTATCCACATCAAAACAGACAGCCTCTGCTCTCCTGAAGAGCTCCTTTGTCTCAGAAAGTGATGCCATTATGCTGGGGGGGAGAAAAACACAGTTAAAATGCATTTTAAACAGTGTAAATTACTAATAGAGGGATATATGGAGAGTGGGGTAAGATTAGTCATTTTTTAAAATATATTTCAGATCACTACATCAAGGCAATCATAGTTCTGTCTCTAATTTGTGTATCTGCATTTCAAGATGTTGTGCATCAACCACCCCCCACTCTCCCTCACCTTCTCTCTCCCTAAATAACACTCACGTCTTTACATTCATGTGTATTTTTATTTTTTATATGCTATTCAACTGGTACAATAATACATTTTATTATTATTGCATATAACTGCTAAAAAGCTGTTTTGTAAAAAGCCATTTTAACATGAGAATGCCTTGAAGTGATTCAGAACAGACACAGTTCAACAATCTGTACTGAAACTCTGATCCTCTCATCAGACTCCTTTACTTTCTCAGTTAAGCCACAGTCATCTAAACTTACCCCACAACAACTATTTTGACTTTATTAGTCCTCTTAGCTAAAATGGTGGACTTAGATGCTAGGTTTTTGACCTCATGTTGTAGCTCATAGATACCACAATTGAGGTAAGACAAATTGAAAATGATCTTTTTTAGTCTGAACACAATTCTAATACAACTTATGACAGACTAAATTCACTTTCAAGGGTGAAAAATGTTTTTTTTTTCGGAGATAAATGTCTAACCCCTTCACTCATGCTTCTAACCTTCACAGACTCCACGAATTGATGCCCATCGCCTAAATATTAAGTCACATGATCAATTTCTTTTACCATTTCCAAGCAACAGGGGGTGGCTAAACTTAACCTTTGGCTCAACTTACCCCACTCTTCCCTACTGTAAGTGTGAAGAAAAAAAAGAAGAAAATAAGAAGTCATCTGGGGATAAATCTTATTATCTATCAGGGTCCCGTGCTGTATTTGGAGGTCCAACGTAAGGTCTGTGATTTTGCACAGCAGCTGCGTGATTTCATTGTGTAACTAAGCCCTGTATGCAGTGAATGTCTTCTATCCAGTGAAGCAGCAAACACATCTATTGAATGAAATACCTATGTGCACACGTTTTTGCATCAGTGAAGCTCCTCTAGAATAAATAGTGCCTCAGCCGGGCTAGAAGAGACATAAGGCTAGCCTACACAAAACATACAGTAATAGAGGCGAAAAATGGACATCCTCTGCACTTATTGCGTCACCCCGCAGGCACACGACGGAGGCTCGAGGATGACTAGAGACTCAAAACAGACATACATGGGAGAGAAATCCTGCCAAATCCTGCATCCTGTCTGATTTATTTGAGGTAGGTGGCTCGTTTTAGCAAGAGATGTGCACATGAGTGATATTAACGTTTAAAAAAACAACAGAAACGGTGACCGAGAGGATGTGTTTACCTGTCCGGTGCAATCCGATTCGCGTGACTAGAGCACTTCACACGCGCTCTGTTCAAACGGTTACCTGGTAAAGCGATGCTGATGACATTAATATAAATACTTACACGGAAAACACACAAGTTAGGCTGTTGTACTTACTGGTTTGAGCAGCGTTGATAAGGCACTAATAGCTGCTTCAGCATTAGCCGAACCTCAATGGGTTCAGCGATGAGGAAAAGCAGCAGCGAAGGATGGACCAATCAGGAGGAAGCCGGTGAGGGACCGCCCACTACCCGCTGGCCCGGTTCCATGACGACACAGTGATTAATTTATGCTCACTGCAGCATTATGGGAAATAATCACCTCCTAAAAAGTGTATTGAAGGTTATCCACAGATAAATGCAGGCAAAGCTTTGACTCTAAGTACTGGTAACAGAAATTGACTTGACTGTAAAAGCTCATTGTCCCGAGCTTGAGTTCCTGCTTAAGAGTGAGAGTGGACTTGACAAGCTTCATGTGTATAAAAAGTGTTCATTAAAGGGATATTCCGGCGTAAAATTAATTTAAGGTCAAACACACCGTAACACCGAGTTAGACACCCCCTCGAGAGATAAATGTTGACGACTGCTTGTTTCTCAAGTTATACCAACTTTAGTTACACAGCAATCTGAGGAGCCATAAACAAACCTCAAAAAAGCCACTCCATAGCCACAAATAATGCTCAGAACCGCACAGAACTTCATCAACAGTACATATAGGGTCCAAGCCATAGTACTAGCCACCAAACATTTTTTAACTTTGCCTGATTTCTTTAGCAAAGAGACTAAACACAACTCACTGACTCTCTTCCAGCAGCTGCTTGTTTGTAGAGGCCTCAGGCCAATCCATTACGGATCGCTGTGGGGTGACGCAGTTCAAGGAAGAACATTTATGATCCATACTTTATCATTTCCTTAGTAATAATAATCAATAATAATCACCATGTTAATCGTTTTGCACTGCAGACGCGGTAGTTCTTCTGCCTTAGTATCTCGGTCTGATTGCATTTCCATGAAGACATGATCATAAATGTTCTTCCTTGAGCTGTGTCACCCCGCAGTAGTCTGTAATGGATTGGCCTGAGGTCTCACTACAAACAAGCAGCTGCTGGAAGAGAGTGGGTAAGTTGTGTTTAGTCTCTTTGCTAAAGAAATGAGGCAAAGCTAAAAAGATGTTTGGTGGCTAGTGCTATGGCTGGGACTCTATATGTACTGTTGATGAAGTTAGGTGCTGTTCTGAGCATTATTTGTGGCTATAGAGTAGCGTTTTGGTTGATGTTTGTTTATGGCTCTTCAGCTCGTGTGTAACTATTTTTGGGGATTTTTTTTATTGATGGCATTAAGACAAAAATTGGCATTTATGTTCCATACAGATATTTCTTGGTTATGTTTTGAATGTCTGAAGGATTTCCAAAGTGGTTATATCATGTCTTTGTAGGGTGGGTGAGGGGTGTGAGTATGAGCTTATAAAACCTACAGTGAAGAAATTCAGACATGAGGGTTTTCTGAGGGCTGCATGGAGATCGAGAGGTAGGTAAGGCACACAATGATGTAACACTTGACCTGCTTGCACACTATCAATTCAATACTTCCCAGTTATGTTAAATGATAAGTAAGTGATTGGTCTTTGTTTTTGATTCAGCTGAATACGTGGTAAAAGCTTACTCATGACAGTTTAAGCAATATGATGTATCTGGAGTCTGTATTCCCATGTTCACATTTGTACAGCTTGTTGAAAAATATCACAACAAAATTAAAATGATATCTCCTTCAAACTGCAATATCAATGATATATAAGAAAAATTTGATGGTTTGCTAAGCATACCTGGTCTGTGGGAAAACACGTTTTCAATAGTTATCAAACAAATTTCGAAAATGTTTCACTCACCCCCTCCCTTCCTGTGTGTTGTAGTTGGACCTCCAGACCAGAGGGTGGCAGCATTATACGTTAAGCTTTTTCGACGTTAAAAGAAGAAGAGAAGACATTCGCAGGGAGTTATGTGATAGACTGACCATCGGAGGACATGAGTGTTACATTGATGTCTCTGAAAGTAAAATGTTGCACTCATGTGTTCAGCAACCAAGGCGGCAACATAGTTCAGGTATTTTATATGAATATAGTTAGACTGCTTTGACACGTCTATGATTTGACCACAGTCATGGTAGAGGAGCAATCGTCTCGAGGACCACGTGCCTGTCTGTGCCTCCACGTGAAAGAGGTAAGAGGGAGCAGATTTGATCGACTTCATTATTCATCGTGAACAAAACTGGTCTGTTAGTTTATCTTATGTCACGTTTTGTCACGAGGATAGCGTGTTTCTTTCTACAAAGTCACGATCCTTTGCTTTGACAAAGTCAGCATGGCCGAATTCTGTACCGACCAGCCTGTGTCGGCTACAGTCAGACACCATGCGAAAGTCTCGTCTCATTTCTGCTTTATAATCGGATGAGTGCTACCTACAACTTCATCCAGCTGTGCAAAAATGAGTACAATACTCCATTAAATCATGACACCCATTCAACTTTCAAGTATTTGTATTGATTTCTCTTCTGTTTGGTCATTTCTGAAGGGCACATGGTACTGCATCTGGACCTTGGACATGAGAAAACCCAGTCTCAAACTCATGCTTGGAAGGTAACAATGAAAAACCTGAAATATCAGCACCAAAGGGCGTGTTTAACATAAGGGTCATTCCAAAAAATCGGTGCCTTTTGCGTCCCCAAGAAGTAATCAGTCATAAAATTATAACAACAAATTAATATATAATTTAAAAATATAACCTTACCATGTCTTCTCTCCTGAATATAACGTCAAATTAAAGTCGATTAAATATCATTTTTAATAATTAAAATTATTTTTATGCTGATGAGGGTAAGGTCTTTGGCCTGTCCCTCACTACTATTGTTGTACATATACAGGACTTAAAATTTTTAATATGTACCATATATTGCATATTTCTAATGAGAAATATTGTATTTTGTACTTCTGATTGTAAAATGTTTTCCCCTCTGTTATAATAAACTATTGTGTGTCAAGAATAAGTCTCGTGAATGTTTCTCTACTTAAAGCTCAAGTTATTGAACAACAACAGAAAAAACGCAAACCAGAACAAAGTGATACCTTTATCATGACATGACTTTCAAATATAATGTTTTAATAAATAAATCCATGACAAACATTTCAAATAGCATCAGTTTCTAGCTGTATAAGTGGTTAAGTTAAGTACATTCTGCACAGTGATCAAGTAGCCTCACTGAATACTGTACACTACTGTAAATCCATGCCATTCAAGTACACAGGTTCACTGTTACATAGTCCTGTTAGCTAAAATCTGTCAATGCAGTTTTGCTCAGGCTGAGTTCAGAGAAATGTAAGATGAACTGTAACAGTCAGAAAATCTGCAGTGGTTTTAACACAGAACCTTTTTGAAAGCTATATTTCGACTGAGAAGAATAACAATTGTATTCAATACGATAAAAGATAAAGTTGAAACCCTGTCGAGGTGTAACATTAAGAGGCTGTATAGTGTCAAAAAATATCTTTGATAAATTAACAATTTAATTGACTACAATTTAATTACAAAATGTACTTTTTCAGAAATCACACCATTGTTTAAAGTGAGTCAGCTGCAACATCATATCTAAAATGCTACTAATCAAGTAATTTGAAGCTATATCTAAGCCAGAAGACTTGTATAGTGTGTAACAGTGATGCTGCTGCTGCTGAAGTCATCAGCCACATTTGTCATCTGGAGTGGGATCAATTCCAATTTGATAACCAGGGCTGTAACCCAACATTTTTCAGCAATAATCTGCTCACTTTATATAAGACAAACTAAAACATGTCTTGAAACAGTGGGTTATGATTAACTAGTTCAGTTTTTGTAAAAATAAGAAAGAGAGAGATTCTTATCAATCTGCCTAAGATGTATCCTGAGTATAAGTGCTCTTTACCAGACGTGGTGCATCGGCTCGTCTGCCTCGGCAGCCATCGACAGCAGGATGGCTTTAGGAGTGTTCTCGAAAAGTGCTGCTCTGTTTTGAGTCTGTCCCTTCTTGACCCAGTGGCCGTAGATCTTGAATGCACATGCGTCGATGAGCTTGCGGATGGGTTTGACGGCATAGGGGTCACTCTTGATCACATCCTTGGTGACTGGCTTGGCTCGACGGTAGTTACAGTAGATTCTCATAGTGGCGAGGACAGTCATACAGATGACCTGAACCAGGTACACAGTTAAGGGTTCATTAAAAACAGGGCAGACTGCTTCACCATGATGTTTTGGCATGTTAATGACTTCACACAGATGTAACTTCTTATTCCTCCCAAACTGACTTTGTTGACATTTTTCTTACCCTTTAAATTATTTTTTCACCACACTTAGTTTTATGAATGTGTACAAAAGGAACATATGGTTTGGAAACTATCCAGCAAAGTCTAATCTACAGACTTTAATTGCTTAAACTTGAAATATTGAGCAGACTCATTACATTGTAGGGCACAAATCCTAACTTTTACATTACTGTCAATGTAAATAAGAATATAAGGGAATAAATAAATTAAAAAAAGATTATTTTCACGTCTCACCTTAAAGCGCCTGTAAGGACTGAACTGCCGCACTTCGTCCACCACATACTGGGAGAAGAACGAGTGGTTAAGAACATCTGTGGCTGTGTATCTCTGCTTCGGGTCCACCACTAGCATTCGAGAAATCTAAGGAAAAACAAGACTTTGGTTCTTAAGATATTAGTTTAAATATGGTTTACTTAATAGGAACAATGCCATTTACATGGTAAACTCCTTTCTGTTACAAATAAGATGTAGTAACATACAGAGATTATCATTTATGCTTCCATTTTTAAATAAATCAGGTTGAAAGATAAAAACTGTCAATGCTTGTCCTGATTTATATTTTTTGAATTACACAACCAACCTAATGTTCATGCCTACCAAGTCTTTGACAGTGTCTGAGCGGTCCTCCCACTCAGGAGAAGAAAAATCATATTTCCCGGACAAGATCATTCGCAGCATCAGCATCTGCTTTCTGTGCCAGAAGGGCGGAGAGCCTGCAAGTAGTGTGTACATGATCACCCCTGAGCTCCATCTGCAGACAGAACCAGATGGTAATACACAGAGTGCCTTGACAATATCCAAGATTCCAGATCATAACCTTTCCTGCGTACTCACATATCCACTGCAGTGCCGTATCCTGCGTGCCCTGCATCCATGGAGCACTCGATAATCTCAGGAGCGAGATAACCAGGGGTCCCGCACACCTCTGTGTTGCAAAAGTTAAGACGTTGTTACTCAAATCTACAGCTTGAAAAACTGATTGTTGATAAGACAAACATATGAGCCGTAAAAATAAACTTTTTAGGATTCCCTGTAATTCTGGTATTAACAAAAATACCAAGATTACTGAAAATAAAACCTAAAAAAAAAATCCTTCCTTGTGGTCATATTTGTGAGTGAGATCTGAAATTGCATCACTCAAAGAGGAGTCACAAGAAAATCTGACTGGTGGATTTTTTGTTATTCTAATTTTAGACAAACCAACACCACCGAACAAATGACCACCTCAACTTCATCAATCAACCAACCCCTTACTCCTCTTGACCACTGGAATTTGAATACTTTCACAACTCATGTTTCACCAGAGCACCACAGTAACGTACACATAACTTACTAACCGGGTTCACTGTGTTGTCTGATAATGTACATACTGATTACACATTTGCCCAGCTAGTTTCCACTGCTAATGATATGATGCTTTCTGAGAAGTCTATTTGAAAGGTCAGTGTACCCTGGGGTGTCTGTGACTGCAGCAAATATATCTGAGTCTCCTGTTGCATCTTAACCTTTCTTAGAGCAGAGATGAGAGCTTGTTGTGCAACTAGAGCCATACTCACTTCTGACTGCCAGCAGCTGCTGTAGCTGCAGTGCATGTTACAAACAAAAACGTTTTTGGTGCAGGCAGGGTACACTATACTTGTGATGCATTTTGTGGTAATTCTCTATTTATGTAGCAGCAATTGATCTTTGAGTGTTTTGATGCTTGGACAGACCTTTGAGCTTTTGTCCTGATGCGACTTGCACAGCGAAGCCAAAGTCAGTGAGTTTGATGTTCATCTCATCGTCCAAGAGGATGTTTTCAGGCTTCAGGTCGCGGTGGACGATATCCTGACTGTGGAGAAACTGGACCACCTCTAGCAGTGCTCGCATGATATTCCTAACACAAACACACAGACACGTAAAGTGGATCTATTTCATCACTTTGAATAAATATCCTACATACCAAATAACTAAGATAAACTGACCTTGTTTCTTTCTCACTCAGAGTGACTTTCTCTGTGAGGTAGTCGAAAAGTTCTCCCTTCTTCATCCTTAATGGAAGGAAATTAAGCCAAGGTGTAAATTTATTTTTCACCAGCAATTTTTTTTTATGATTAGAAACTTGTGATTTGGCACTTACAGGTCAAACACAAGGAAAAAGAAAGCTTTGGACTCGAAGCAGTCTTTCAGCTGTACTAAATAGGAGAGAGAAAGTTGAGTGTAATTCAGATTTTAAGGTTTTTTGAATGAGCCACTTGAGAGAAAACATATGTAAAGGTTGTAGTGGGACAAAGACACTTAATGTTGATCATGTGTAATTGAAGTTAAAGAAGGCAGATTAAAAAGAAAAGAGAGAATCTGTGGTATGCTTACTGATGTATTTCTGTCCGTACACTTTCTTGAGGATGTCAATCTCCTTCACCGTCGCCTCTCTGATCTCTTCAATCTCCTGTGGACTCATTTTGTCTGATGGGGTGACGTCGATGATCTTCACCGCATACTCCTGAGATGTGCGCTTATCCACACAACGGCGCACCACACTACTAACTCCCCTGAAGAAGAGCAACACAGCACATCTGTTATCTCCTGCTTTGTCAGGTTACTTATTTCCTCAGAGTTTTTTGTTTACATAGCCGGATTCAAGGAAAACATGTTTGTGTGCGTCAGTTAGGGATTCCTGCAACACATTAAGTACAGCTGTGATAAACCTTATTGAACACACTCTTATCTGTAGAAAACAGGGCAAAAAGTTTGTTTCAGAGGCACATTCTTCTTCCCCTGTTTGTGAGGTTGACCAAGCCATATGCAGCGTACTACATCAGCTGGACACACTGTCCACATCCGGTGACCCCATGACCTGAGTGTGAGAGAGGGAGTGAAATTACGCAACCCCTAAAGTGCTCCATCCAATCCCGGGCAACTCTCAGCTCTGAACTTTTTATTCAAAGCACGCTGGAGTTAATGAGCGTGGCCTTCTTGGACACTATGTGCTTACGTAACAGTTCTGCCATGTGGCTCCTGGACAAGAATGACAATGAGAAAGAGGAGGAGAGTTTTTCTGGGACTTCTAGGAAACTTCAGGGTGCTTTTGTGCCAAATTGTACGCCTCAACTCTGGTTTTATCCAAACTGAAATCGTAACTAGTCATCAATGGTTGGAATGATGTATTTCAACAACTTTTATTCAACACCAAGCAGTGCTATGTCTCCTTAAAACACCATAAGACAAACAACATACAACCTTGTGAGCAAAACATTGCTAACAAACATTTATACCCAGGACAAGTTAAAGATGTTCAAATGTGGTTAATTCAATGAGATACTGAACAGTTAAAACCAATTTTTAAAAAGTGCAAAACAAGCAAGAGTTAATGGAAAGCTTGATTCTGTCTTAATCAAACAAACTTTTTTTTGAGAATTCACTAGATGCCAAGCAAACATATCTTCATAATGTTTTAGTGATAAGCCAGCCTTGAATGCATGTGCTGAAGGATTTTGTTACATTAGGTCTGAGTCAGCCTCTCCATCTTTTTAAGAGGTGTGCTCTATAAACATACCTTCCCAGGATCTCTTTGGGTTCATACTTGTCGTAAAACTCCTTAGCTCCCACCCAATCAGGGATCTCTTCCTCTTTGGTCATGATGGTGGATTTGATTCAGCTTCTCCAACAGGTTTCTGAAATCTTCACTGTCTTCTCCTCTCACAGTTTACAACAGGTGACTGACACAGTTTACCTGTGAGTATTGACAGGGTTATAAATTAATCACTTATCAAGGCTGTAATTATGTGTAAGCAGTACAACAAGTTGACATGTGAAGTTGTTTGAACTGTTGTACTGAGGTTATTAGATGTCAGATCAGTTACTGAACTGACATAGAGGTTAGGGGAGACCGGGGATGGTGACCACAGAGGGTGTGCATTTGTGATGGTTACCAAGTTCGGCAGCATGCCATTTTTATCATGTTAGAAAATGTTTTGGTATGTCATTCACTGTCACCTCTTCAGATGCTTTTTTTTCAAGCTATAACATGGACATATCTGTCTGTCTTTCTCACACTGTAAGCTTTCTGAAAAAATATTTAAATATGCCGTCTTTTCTCTTGTATCTCTTTTACCTCAATCTTATTGTGACTTACTGTCTTTTTAGCCCTTGTTTTACTTATGATCTTTTCCTATTTAACCTTTTAGGCCTTTTATTGATTTTATTGTTTTTTCCTGTTCATTTTTATTATTCCATTTTATCATTACTATTACCATCATTATTATTTTGTTATGATTTTATTATCATTATTAATATCCTCTTTTTATATTTACTATCCTGTTTCCTGCTTTCTACAAACTACAATTTAATCTGATCTAAGTCAAATAATATCACTGTCTAATGGCTATCCAAAAATTTACTGTCATACCTCAAGATCCATCTGTTCACAGTATCAATATTCTTCATGTGAAATCGTGGGGAGGGAGTGGGCACACACTGAAGTGATCATGGGACTCCTATATCATCCCTGATTGGGGGAAATGGTGCTGTTAGTCACCTCGTGTTAAGGCCGTCCCCGGTCTCCCCTGCCATTATACTCTTGATAGGGGATTCCCAAATGTTTGTTAGTTTCAGCTTCTCATATTAATAATTAATCTATAGCAACACTACATCAAGTAACTTTGTAAATGTGCATATTTAGGCTATTGTCAACATCCGAATATATGATGAGTAGAGTTACATTTTCTTATCAGTTTCTAAAGTGCATGTCAACAACTTGTTCCTGAGTAAAAGACTCCACCCAACAGATTAAACAGGTGTCTATGAACTACATGGGCTTCGGGGATTACATTCACTTTCGGTCAAGGACGTTTCATATCATTTCAACTTCACGGTTTGAGGAGACTGAGTAACTGCAGACCAACGATGGTGCAGTTTGAAGCCATTAGTCAGGAATCCAATGAACTGCTGTGAGCTCTAAAACTCTCACGTTTTAAGAGTTTTTTGTTAACAGCTGCTAATAAACAGTTAAACCCATCGTCCTCCTGTCACACATATCCCAGGGTGTAGACTCCCACAGTATTCGGCTGCAGTGATTCTTTATCCGAGTACAACACCCTGTCTTAGCGTCACTATTTGACCTTCTCTTTGGCTTCAGTCAACAAATACATGGAAGGAAATCAGCGCGTGCTCACTCACCGTGTCTCGTGCAGTTCAGAGCCTCACACAGTGTCATACAGTGGCCATCGTCCTTTTGCGAGCCTGTGCACACCGCGAGAAGAGAAGAGGACAGACAAAGAAGTCCAGCCAGATTCCGGCGCTATAGCGCGTTTGTGGGGCTGCAGTCATTGCAGAGGGTGAGCTTTAATGTCAGATGCCAAAAATAAATTGGTGCTTCCAAAGCAGCAGCAGCAGCACACCCTGTGCGCGTGTCCACTCAAAAATCAGATCCGTGAAATAACACCCTGTAGGAGCGGGAGACACTGACAGATACGGTGCCCTACATTGCCGACATTTATCCACATGCAACTTTCAGACTAGTGTTTTCAAGTGACATGACAGGTGATATTCCTCTGTGTCGATTCTAGTTCATGACACTGTAGGTAAAAATAGAAGTGTTTCTTGAAGAGTACAAAGTACTGTCAAGCAGACTGTCTGAACAGAGAATAAATCACACTCCAGTGTTTTTATGTCTCAAGTGCTTTATTATTTTCATACTAAGACTACTCAAGGAGGTTCAAACTGATGGCTTCACAAGATATTATGTCTAACAAATGCAGTCAACATATGGGTGAAACAATAAGTTTAAAGCACTAATGGAAAAACAACTGGAATCAACTCAAAGCATGCAACACCACAATATATAAACATTATTTATAAGACAAGATTTACAAGCTCTGCTGCACTGTCCTGAGAAATGACTACAAAGATGCTGTCTGATAATCATAAGCCATCAAAATTAAACACCGTTATTAATCTCTTGTCAAATGGGTTGTCTTGGTTTCCTTGTGATTACTTAGGTCAGTTTGTGCGTGCTTCTTATTCTCCCAAGGTTTTTCTCATGACATTCCTGCAAAAAAATTGAAATGTTATATTAATTAGATATGTTTTCCATTGTTTTTTTATAGTCAAAGGAAAGAAAATAGTTATATGAAGCATTGATAAAGCAATAACTCTACCGTGTGGCCATATGGAGTACTGCAAAACATTACATCAGAATCATTCTGAGCATTAAATGATGACTAAGTGCTGATGCAAAGCCTCCTTTTCAACAGTGGTGCATTAATCATTACAGGAACGACATACTGCAAGATTGTATGGACTGTAGATGCACCATAAAACTGGAACAAGAATCAAACATTATTGGGTGACTCTTGCTAAAAAAAAAAAAATTAACAAACAAATCTTAGTATAAAATGTACAACGCAGTATTGGAGCCATATTAAGAAAAAAAAATTAAGACTTCTTAATTACTTACTTACTAATAAGTCTAATAAAGTAATTACTTATGAAAATAAAGTCATTGTGAGAATAAAGTTGACTTTATTCTCGTAAGTAATGATTTTACTACAACTATCTTGTTTTCATTTTGCATTTATGGATATTGTATTTCCCAATTATAAGTTAAACTCATAATGAATTCTACGTTATACTTGGTTTGTTTTAGGTATAAAATAATACTGTCATAAACAAAATTATGTTTAGTTTCGCAAAAATATATCAAACTCACCGTTAGCAAACTTGCACTGTTTGAGCACCTCACTGAAGCCCTCACAGAGCTTGAGGTCGCTCTGGGTCTGAGCACACTCGATGAATTGTTTAAGCTCATAAGAGCACGCCTGCTGCTGAGGAGCCTCCTGCTGGTACATGGATGGTTGCTGCTGCTGATACATGGGTTGATACGGCTCCTGGAGGATGAAAGTAAGATGATGAGATCCTTCCACATCTACTTAACATTGTATTCAAAGAACAGGCTTTTGCAGCAATTTATTTTCTCAAAAACAGCTTCTTCCCTCGAGCCATCACCATCTTAAATTCCCATAAACCAGCTCCAGCCCTCAAGATGAGGTAACAAGTGCAATATTACCAATGCTACTGCTGCTGTGTTGATTATTATATCCTTAACCTGTGCAATACATGTCCATATACATATTAAAAAAATGTACATATATCCATATATTAAAACACACACACACACACACACACACACACACATATATATATATATATATATTTTTTTTTTTTATTATTCTCTTTAGTTTTTATCTTTCTATTTTATTCTTATACATACATTTTATTTTACTGTTCTGTAGAATTCTTGTCTTGTACATATAGTACCTTCTTTCTTACAACTATTTGTTCTTTTACTACATTATTTTTACTTGTCTATTGCACTGGAAAAGGAGAAGCTCTCCAATCTCATTGTACTTTTAATATGATGACAATAAAGGACATTCTGATTCTGATTTTGCCCCCCAAAACTACAAAGCAAGTCATTTTTAGTTTTTCTCATTTTCTGAACATGGATGCTTTCTTATGGTTTCTTCTACAAATGTAAATCTAAATCCTTAAAAGTGTTTACTACACAAATACACAAGAATGCTACTGAAACCGGAATAAAAGCAAATACTACAGGTAAGAAAACCTGATGAGATCTGGCTGAAGGCAGCTGAAGGATATACATGACTATTCACCTAACCAGCCTCAAACTGTTGAATGTTTTTGGCCATCATGAAGTTTTTAAAGAGTTGCAGAGTAGAGCAAATGTGGTACTTGTTTCATTACAACTTCTGCACTACCTACTCCCACACTCACACCTGTTGTTTGTTTGTTTCATTGTTTGTTTTTTTAGGTCACTAAAGTCCTTCCTTCCGTGTGTCAGACACACTAATCCTCCCCTGCAGATTAACAGTCGTATGGCCTCCTGAACCAAATTCTATTTACCTGATATGTGACATCGGGCCTGGCAGACTCAGAGTTGCCTCCACTGAACCCTCCAGTCATGGCGTGGCCAAGGGTGTGTCCAACTGCAGAGCCCACGGCTACTCCGGCTGCTGTGGTTGCCATCTGGGCGAACATACCTGGCTGCCTGGGTGCCGCAGCAGGAGCGCCCACAGCCGATGGGGGGGCATGCATGGGAGCAGGGGCGTAGGAGGGAGGAGGCGCAGCCCTGGCCATGGGTGGTGGGGATGGTGGAGCCCGGCTGTGGTCAAAGAGTCATTTTAGAATTATAATCCCAACACATAGAAAAGCTTCTGAGCAGCGGGCAGCTATGTACAGTGGCTAATACAAAATAATATAACAGTCAGAGGGAAGTGTGTATGTGGCACAGGGACAAGGCGTCACTTCAGGTCACTCAAAACAGGTTCTCTCTGCTCTATTATGATCACAAAGCTACTGGAAAATGTCTGATGGTATCAGATGTTGTGCTTTGAGGAGACAGCTGAACACCTTCAGATCATTCTGTCTACTTTAGCTAACAAAAGGCGAAAAAATACTTGACTTACATGTCCAAACATGCAGTAAAAACACAAGGTAAAACATAAGAAGGAGACAACTTATAAATGAATAAACACACATACACTTTTCATGTAAATATCTGTCTACAGAAACTGATCCCAGCTGACAGTTTCCACACTTCTTGTATTATCAATTTGACGCACACCAGCTACTGACCTTTGTTACACATTTCTAATCTTTTAGACTAACACGTTTCTTTGTCAAGCAGAACAATACTTGGATGTATAAAATCTACACATATGTTTACGCTTCAAACCCTTGAAGAATAAGGACTAGCACATGATTCCTAACATTGACCGGTGGCTATCTAACATTAGCAGCATCATAATCCACGGCGTCGTCTAAACTTTAAGAAAATGTCTTAAAATATTAAACTTACGCCGCTGGAGGGGGCATCCTCGATGTTCGGCTTCTGCTTCCTCTGGGCATTTTTAAATTAGTCGTGTATTATTCGCAAACTGATTTTAAATAATAAAAGACGATACCAGACAGCTTCTCTTGCTCACTGATAAGTGCCGACCTCTAGCTGCTGCTCCGGAACTTTCTGTGCGTTACATCATTAGTGATACGGGTAACTTCCGGTATGACGGGCAAAAGAAGAGTGCTGACTTCCGTTTTTATTTAATTTTATTAAACAATAAATGCGTTGTAAACAAGCATTAAAGACATGTGCTCTAAAAGCTCTTACTGAAAATTCACGAGTGTAAAAAATATAAAAGGAACATTGACATTGTGAAATTGCGAAACGGGACAAATAACAAATGTATCTTAGTTTTTTAAAGGCTATAGCCTACCTCAATACCAAAAGAAGAACGTTTCTATACTTTTGTTTAATTTTGTTTAATTAATTTGTTGGATCAATGTTAACTAAGACCGTAATATGTATTTCCTTAATCTTATTCATGATACAGAATTTATATGGTAAAAGCAAAGCTTGTTTTCAATTAACATTATTAATGAAAATGTTATTCCAGAAAGTTTTTCCTTTAGGTTTAACCCTCCCCTTTTTTTTCTTTTTACACAAGATGCTAAGTATTACTTTATTGTTGTATTCTTTGTTCATTATCTTAATACCATTTATAGTTAGCAGAGCATAGAAACTGCCCTAATAACAGATTTAAATTCTTTGCCGTTTGCATTAAATTATTTATAATGATGGAATTGTTTATAACTAAATGGAAAGGTGTTGTTATCAAAAAGATCACTAATGTATAAACTGTCTTTATTGATCCAATTTTGTTTTGAAGACAGGTTTTCACCAATGGTAATATCTTCATTGTTCCATATTTGGTCTTGTGTGGAGAAAAGTTATGAGAATAGCACAGCCTCCATGCAAGAAGGAGAACCTTTGTCTCTTAACTCAAGTAACATCGACTAAATACGGCCACATAAAGGATTTTTACTGTTGACTTTTACATGGAACTGAATTATTGCTGGACATGAAAGGATTAAACAAATTCAAAATCCTCTTTCATTTCATGAGTTTATTCTTAAATTAACGAACCAGAATGCACAAGCACCAATGAAAAATCAATATTTTTTTCTTGCTTCAAATAAACAGAAATATCTGGTTGATTACCAGTCCATTATGGAAAACACATATTTGTACATATAAAATGATAATATATGTAGCGTTCAACAGCCATTCCTATTTTAAACATTCCCTTATCTCAAATAATTTTAATAAAGAGAAAATATTACTTTATTCTCATGTAAAGTCAAATGAGGACAGGTTATTCTTTTTTCCCTTTCTTCTTTTTATCTGGAAATTTGCGTCGTTGATGGTGTCCACCCCCCCGTCCCCATCTGGGTCCTTTGGAACTTCTCTCTCCCCATGCTGGCATTGGTGGCTCAATCTCCCCAGGCCGTCCTCCTCTGTCTGGAACGCTGCCCATCAACGTCTAGACAGATGGAAGTCAAATAACAAACCACCTTAATTCTGAGTAATGCTCATCTTCATTCCGAATTACACTAGTGATTAATGTAAGTATATGGCTTTACCTTGTACACAGAGGTGCTTTTTCCAGCCTTGATCGGCTCAATGGTGGACTGATCCTCCCTGGCAGCGATAAGAAGAGATAGAGATACAAGAGAGGTGCCAGCAAGGGATGATAGAGGAGGAACTGAGGCCAGAGCTTCACTGCGTTGCTGTCAGGGGATAAAACAGACAAAAGGCTAAGTAAACAGGAATGTTTGTTGTTATCAACATGAACAGCAATGCTTCAGGTGTGTACCTTAATAACCTGCTGCAGCTAATATTATCCTAACCAGAGCTGAAATAGGTGGGAGGCAAAGCTAGAGGCTTGGCTGTATAAGTCTACATAATATGAAACATTTTAAATATCTTCTAACACATGAACTGATCACCACTAAGGTTTTTAGATAGTTACTTATGGTCCGCAGAGGTAAATTCTAATAGGTATTTCTCACTTTTCCTCTGGTAAAATGATAGTTTAGTAATTATGGCTGTAAGTAAAATGTTCAGCAACAACAACTAACTGTTTCCTTCAGGATCATTTGTACAAACTCAAGTGACCTGGTAAATTTTCATTGAGCCCTATCATCAGGTCAATACCTGATCATCTGATACTGTGATTTATGGCAAAATACCTTCAAAATTTATCACATTTCCATCACCATCATTGGAAACCTCTGCTTGACCCCAACATGCAAACATACACTCACTAGTTGTTAACAGCTGTTAAACATGAATCTTGGTTTTCTGACCTTTTGTTTTTCACCCCAAGCGAACGACTCAAGTGTGACCTGGAAGCGTTTAATCATCATCTGTCGTCGACGCAGATAATCCTCTGACAGAACGTCATTGATTTTTTTAACTTCTGTCTGAGAGAGAGACAGAAAAAGAGTTGAAAGACTTACATCATGTAAAAGCAACATCTGATGCATATTTAACCTAGTATTGTTCTGGTAACTTACCCATTGCCCTGAGGTGAGGCTGGTCTTGAGAAGGGGGTTTGTCATATCTTCACATGGAAGGCGAGCAAGCCTCGACTCCACCTTTACCAAAAAAAAAAAAAAGAGAATTTTGAAATGATTCTCAGTTTATAACTTAGATTTAGCTTAGTGTTTCCCATGTTGATCTCACCTCTTTCAACACATCTGTGAATTGACAGGAGGATTCCAAGTCAAGTGCACGCTGCAGTAATATCCATTCTGCCTGTATCTCTGCCTTCCTTTTGTCAGAAACACTGTCGTCTGCATATTCTTGGCAAAAGTCAGCAAGTTTACAGCTGTGATCTTCACCTCTCTGCTCCTTTACAGACTCCTCTTCTGCTTTCTTCTCCTCGGCATGTGACTCCCTATACCTCATAATGTGAGCTGCTTGCAACTCTGACACAAGGAATTCTAAAGGAAAGAAAAAGATGAGAGATCAGCTCCTCTCTCATTCAGTGGGTTACACTTGACATGAACTATGGACAACAGACTCAGGTTATTTCTCACCGGTGACTTTGTTGAGGATGGACGGGTCAAGTGCCTCGGATGAAACCACAGTTAGGGGAGTAGACATCTTTGACAGTAAACTTTTCAGTTCCTCTACCAGTAAAACGTCACCTGTCCCGTTTGGGTCTAACAAAAAGAGTCTTTTCAGAACATGTTGTTGCAAGTTAACTCATTCATTTCCATGTGAGAAAAAATGTTTCTTTCTTTCTTTCTTTCTTTCTTTCAATCAATCAATCAATCATTATTTATATAGCACTTTTCATACACAACATGTAGCACAAAGTGCTTTACACAGAAAAAGGAATAAAAGAAACAAAGAATACCCAAATCTACCCCAGCCCAACCCCTCATTCCTACCCTACCATCTAATTGTAATAGAAACAGTATTAAAAAATGAATAAACTTAAACAGGGCTTGATTTCGTGGAAACAGGAATGTGTGCACTGAGGAAACGTCATTTTAAAAGTCAAGATAAGGACACTCAAGGTTTAGGTTAAAATCTAAAAATAAAGTTACATAGAATGAAATTGAAGAAATAATCAACAAAATGAAATAAAAACAACAGTAAAAGATACTAAAATAAGAACACCAAAATAGCTCAATAAAAGACAAAGCTTATGAAATCATTAAGATCAGGCGCAGTCCTCAGGTCTTCCGGTAAGCTGTTTCATTGACGGGGGCCATAGTAATAAAAAGATGCCTCACCGTATGTCTTGGTTTTAACTTGAGACCTGAGGACTCTACCTGGCTCATAAGGTAAAAGCAGATCAGATAGATAAGAAGGGCCAAAGCCATTAAGAGCTTTAAAAACCAACAAACCAACCTTAAAATCTATTCTAAAAGAGACACGTCAAAGAGAGAGAGATGTGATTATATCTGCTGATACAACTGATATTGCTGTAAAGCGTACTAGTGGTTGACAATTCAGCTTGTAACACAACAGTTTAGTTAGCACCACACACCTTGCAGCTCAGGGCAGAGGCTTCTCAGCTCTGTAGCCAGCCAGGTGAGCAGGGGACAGGGAAGTTCATCACACCTGCACCGGGTAAGGCAGGAACCACCCGGGTACCTGAGCAGGAAATAAAAACCACAGGTGAAATGTTTCAGCCTGGAGGAATCCTCAGAAACGGTCAAGTCCAGATTATTATAACTGTTTAAAGTTAAGACACTGAAACGTACGTGATTGAAAATCTTAGTTAGCTGACTGACAAATAAAGGCTAAAAAAAATTTCATATGTACTTGGTGACTACGCAGAAAATATCAGATTTATTCATTACTCACCCTAACATCTTAATCGCTGCAGCTGTCCCTAAACTCCTCTCCATTGTAAATGTGATGGTTTACAAATAATATATCAACATGAGTTCACAACAAAATAGCTGACTGAAGTTCAACCATTTTTAACTGCGCTTCCTTCCTCCACACTTGTTATTGTACCCATGCCGCCCCCTGCTGCCCGGAGTGTGCACTGTCACAAACTTACATATACAACTAAAAAATATACCAATAATAAAAATACTTTTTAGTACAAATAACTTAGTTTTATCCATAGTTGGACAATGCTCTGGGTATTATCTAAATGTATTTAGGTACTCCTGAATTTCTCTATTGATGCATAAAGAGGACTTAATTCCCAATGCAAGGAGATTAGGTTTTTTTTTGGTAATGTTTATTTGTATTAATCTGGTTCTGTCATGATGGCCTACCAATAGAATAAAGAGTCTATTTCTGGCTACACAGTCACAGTGGAGTAGACCTTTTTAATAGTGAGAAATGGATCATCATACCAAAGTGCCTAAAACTAACCATTCTACATGAAACATTTATATTATCAATTTAAAATAGTATTTAAACAAACAAACAAATATAAAGTGTATAAATACTATCCAGGCTATATTTCTAAGTAGTGCACAAATATATCTATGCTCTCATTCTGCATTGCCATCTGTTAAGATAGTGTGAGACAGAATTTGTGTGACCCGTCTTTGGAGTCTCTTTGTCTTAAAAAATGTTTAACTGTTTTCAGAAAATTCTGTGATTCTTGTTTGATATAAGAAATATATTTTTTGCTCAAAACCCTCATACCGAAGAACATAAAAGCTCTGGATAGATCTAAATCCTGTGCTTTCCACTTCTTTCCACTAGGAGCCACCAGAGCTCATTGGTGAAGTGGAGTGAGTGAGGTACAATATTGAAGTACTTGTTTAAATTTACTTATACAGGTGGTCTACTGGCACAAATTCAAGGTATGTGCATTTTTATGCAGTACTTCTATTTCGTGTAAAGTCATAGCTGTTCCTCAAAACACCCCAGAGACAGACGTTGTTCCTTCTTACTCCATTACAATTCAGTATTATCCATCCAAATGAAATCATAGTATGGTGTGTTTTGTTTCATGCTTTGAGAATATTTTTCTGAGAATATTTTAGGCTTTGGAGTCGAGGCTGTTATTCATCAGGTCATGGCTTCACGGGATAGAGCCATCGGAGAGCTCTTTCTTGTTAAGTGGTTGATCATAAACACAATCTCTGGGAATAATAAGTCCTGATATTAAGTGTCATTCATCATGTTTTTGCTATACTATTCATCAGTATGATCAGTGCTTATAAAATCCCCATGTCCTCTACTCTGAGCTTTATTTGGCTCATTCTTCACTCTGAACACCATCTTTCTGATGCCAACAGTGCAGCTGATCCATGCTTCAGCTGGAGTGTTTTGGACAGTCACACTTGATTTAAAACTCTTCACAGCCTTTTATGGTTCTGCTTGGGCAGCTCTCATTGAATTTCTTCATAAACCTTGGAGGAGCTCTTACAGCGGGAAACCTTGAACTGAAGTAGATGGATAGTCAGCTGTGCTCTGAGTCACCAGAAGGATGTGTCATTTTCATTTTTTTCATTTTCTTTAGAATTTTGCCTGAAGCTCAGCAGGACATGTCCATCACTCCAATACATGGCTGTATGCACAAGCACACATGAATTTGATTAGCTGTGAGTATGCTGTTTGGATTGACATGTGTTGCTCTGGTCACACTCCTGGCACAAGCTGCCCCATCAGCAGCATATAAACTGAGCAGGAACAATGAAGAGGGTGGTTGTGTACATCTCCGTTTGCTTGATGCCTGCTGCCATATGTGGAGAAGCTGTGCCTCCACTCTGACAACAAAAGGCGCAACACGCGTCACGAAGCTGCGTCTTTTATTCCCCCGACACTGCCCACTGCTCTGTGAAACCCTTTGGAGGCTGACCTTTGGCCTCTGGCAAGCTGCTAGACAATAGCGGGCACACACTCCCCCGTGCTACACTTGTTGAACCCTTGTGAGATGGACTGATGACTAAATGACTAATCTACAAGGAATAAAGGGGGTCATCACATAGACCTGAAAAATGTATATTTAGAATTTTTCATATAAAATATTTAAAACCAACCTTCATCCCCAGATGTCTTTGTTTTGGTCGTTGGTGATGACAGGTGCATCACTGTAACATCAAATGATCAAAATGGTTTATCCATGAGTTTTGGGGGTGCAAAACAAACATCGAAGCGGGGGACAGTACAGGCAATGGCAGCGTGGCATATCACAGCGACCAGACTCTTATTTTGTCTGACATTAATAACATAAAACTAAAGTTAACTACTATTAGGCCTGCTGACTGTAATCACATTCAATTAATTTAACATTGTCTAAAATATACCCTAACCCTGTAAACTGAATTCATTTGTTTCACCATTACATGAGCTGTTGTTGTTGTTGTTGCTGTTGTTTTAATGTTGTTGCTGCCCCCCCCCAAACACACACACACACACACACACACACACACACACACACACACACACACACACACACACACACACTCTCTCTCTCCCTCCTCCCCATTACCTATTCTCTCTCTCCTTCCCTTAATCTTGTTAGCATGAGTCTGGTCCTACCTAAGGTTTCTGCCTGTTAAAAGGATGTTGTTCCTTGCCACTGTCACTCATGTTAGATGAGATCTGTCTCATCTTAGGTTGGGTCTTGATAATTCATCAAACAGTTAATGTGGTCTAGACCTGCTCTTTTTCTTCGGAAAGCGTCTTGGGATGACGGCTGTTGTGAATTGGCACTATATAAATAAAATTTGATTTGATTCGATTTGTCCTTTGACTGTCTGGAAAGTCATAAGAGAAAACTAGCTCTGTTACCCTGAGAAATGGTAAATATATGTCAAGATCTTAGAGAACAGCTGAGATTGACTGGTTATCATGAAACAATGGCTTTGTTATGTTGAGTTAAATGAGGAGAAAACAGATGTGAAATTACTTTTCCTAATGTGAAAGAGGGTTAAACAAAATGTGCGTGTGCCTGCTTGGGGCTTCTGTGTTTTGTAAAGCTGGTGTAATACATAAAACAGACAATTGGATGATATGTGCAACAGTATAATTTGCACTTGTTTCAACATATGGAGAAAATATCTGTTGCTAAGACTGAATAAAATAACTACATATCCAGTTGAATCTACAAAGACTGGCTGCTTTTAAGAAAAACAGGTGAAATTGTTGTTGGAGACCTCAGATGTGCACCAGTTACTCAGTATTTTGATGTGAAATCAGGTGGTTTAACATTCTTAAGGTGTTTTTTTACGGCACACAATCACATCTTTCGGCGATACTATGCACAGAGAAATTTTTCCATGATAACACAGAGATCCCCAGTGAGACAGGTGTGTGTGGTTGTCTCCAGTGGGATGGTAACAGTTGCTCAGGTGACTGGAGGACACTCCCCCTGCAGACAGACAGACAGACATCTGTTAGTGACAGCCGGAGCAGCTCGTGTTCACTGCTCAAACTTTCAGCTTTACGCACACCGGGAGGTAGAGAGAGCAGACACAAGGCGCAGGTGTAATGGATGCTCAAGTTACCGGTACATTTATGGCGCTGTTTTTGGTCTCTTTGCCCTAAAAGTTGTCCTTATTGAAAGAATTGGCGTTTGAATTTTGTTGAAACTCTCAGTTATGGATCGATTAGATGAATGGAGCTTCAAGTCCAAGGGTTTGGAGCTGGAAGAGGATTTCTACTTTGACTATGGAGCGGAGGAAATAACAGATTATCAAGACCCCAACGAACTCCTGGCTGCTCTCAAACAAAAGGAGGAAGAGGTTATTTTGGCAGCCCAGCTGGGAAACGCATTGCTCCTGGAAAACCGTCAGCTGAAGGAGCAGGGCGAAAAACTTCATGAACAATACGCAGACAAACTGGAGGTAAGAAAAATCCACTTAACTTCACAGATAGTGACAAGAACTAGAGAAAGATAGAAACAGAAAGGGACTCCAGCTGAAAACGGAAAAACAAGGTTGCTGCTGACGATAGAAATGGACCGTAGGAAAGGAAAAGTGGGCTGTAGCCTACTTCCTTTCCTAGATCCTATTGTGGCTTTAGGTATTAAAACAAAACATTAGCGTTTCACTTATCTAAAAGTTTATATCAGTTACTTTAGTTTAAAAAAATCCTTATTCCTAGACAACAAGTCAAGCAATCAGGTGGGAAATTGAGTTTCTTAAAAAACAGAAATCATCTTAACCCTTTAATGCCTTTTGTATCATATTTGATACATACTTTAATATACTTTTATCAAATCAATATCATCAACAAATAACTAAAATAACACCTGAATACAGTCCGATAAATGATAAGAAATGTCCTCCTTTAGTTTATTAGTTTCCAAAAACATCCAAAGAATCAAACCAGATAAATAAACATATTTGTTAAATTTTAAGGACATTTAAATTTGGGTTTTTTTTAGTAGTAAGTGAAATAAACATTTCAGCTAAAAAAAAAAAAGTGAATTTTCTGACCTTAATTTGTGGTGTCAGGCATTAAAGGGCTTCTAGGAAGTAGTTCTTGTGACACATACCGTTTAATTATTAAAAAGTTATCATGAATCAGAAAAATAAATCATATAGTCCTCCTAAAGTATATCAGCAATCAAGAAACACAATTACTCTGACATAATTTTACAAGCTGACTGTGTTTACTGGCTGAGGAAGGGACACCATCATCCAGTTTCTGTGGAATTAAACTTTATTGATTTTGATAACACCCTATGAGACATCAGCAGTATAAACACTGACGCATTATTCAAACAGAGAGCTGTGCCTAGTGTACAAAACATAAAGTAAATCCAAGTAGGAGACAGCGAAGAACTCTGTGATCTGAAACACAACTTGACTGGTCGTATCAAGCTGAAGGTCTCAGGTTTCCAAGGTGAATGCCGATATCTCCCTCAGATGTTCAACTTTCAATCTTATCAGCTCAAAAACTCACACTCAGGACAAACCTGAGGTCTGCTGCTGATGAGTGGAGTACTTTACAAAGTGCAATAAAGATGTAGAGGAGACTTATCTGCTTAAAAACTGATAGAACGTACAAGACAGACACATTGTTCAATACAGTATCATTATGCAACTACTTGAGCCTTTTGGTTAATCAATCATTTTCTGATAACTTCAATAAAAAGTCAAAGAAGGAGTTTTTGCTTTATGTTTTTTTTGCAACATGATTATTTTATTCTTAATGAGACAAAGAAAAAGAAAATACACTACAAATAAACTAAAATAAGCTACAGATCAAAGTAATGCTGAATTTTGTATGTTTTAGATATATATTAAAACAGATGTGACTCATATTTCTGTTCTCGAGCACCTGGAAACTCATAAATCCTCTGTGTAATCTGATTTTTTTAGCATCAAATTCCAATTATCTTTATCTGTTATCCGTCCACCCTCCTGTGTGTAGGAGCTGGAGCAGGGAAGGCATGAGCTGCGGCTGAAGCTGGAGGGCTGCCAGTCCCAGTGGGAGAGCCAGGTGGGGGACCTGGAGCGGGATGTGAAGGAGCTGAGCGCACAGGTGGAGCAGCTCACTCAGGCCCTCAGCGAGGCAGAGAGGGACAAGAGTCGGGCCCAGCAGGAGCACAGGGAGGAGACGCAGAGGCTCAGGGAGCAGCTACAGGTGGTGAGTCAAGTCCCATACCTTAACATCTTCACATGACCTGTAGTTTAAAGGAAACCCCCCTCTGGCTGTGACGTGGAGGTGAGACTCTGAGAAACACACACCTGCTGCTGTGGATCCAAATATACTGCAGGTGTCTGAGCCAAACAAGATACGTCAGACTGAAACCCAACGCACGCTTTGAAACTCAATGTTTTCTGCAAAGCTTATGTATCAGTGTGACTCAATACAATCTGCTCTAGAGCGAGGCCAGACTTTCAGGCTGTTTATAGATACAGAAGAAGGTCAATACCAAGACGCACTTATACAAGCTTTAAAAAAAGAAACGTTTTCATCACGAGAGAGTGGAAGAGCAAGAGTGAGTCAGACAGAAGATATAAAGATAAAGTGTCAGTTTTGTAACAGGCAAATGATCTCTGCCAACATGGAGCAGAATGGAAACAGTATGTAAAGTAGATGGGAAGTGAAGGTGAGTGCCGTGGCCTGATTTCAGTTCCAGGACAGAGTAGAGAGACACGCAGAGAAGTTTGCATAGATACGAGCTTGAACTCATACTCACTTCAGTCATGGATGTTGATTGGATTTGTTTAATCATTCATCACTGAAGTCACTTTTGCTTTTTCAGCTAACTTATTGGCCGGACACTTTAATGCTGAGTAAGAAAACAGGTCAGATGAAGGGATTGTAAACACAGCCACTTATCGCTCTCCACCCTCATTGAAGTATGGTTTATTAAACCGGTTTAATTAGTAACATGAGGTTAACGGTTAACTGTTGTCTGTAGCTGTTAGTATTACGTCATGGCAACAAAAAGCTGATTCAAGTCTTCATCAGGTCACATATTTATGATCCTCAACATTTGATATGGAGGAAATCTGGTACACTGGGAGCAAAACTGAACCTGTGACATACTTTACAGCCTTTTATCAGTAAGGGAGCTGACTGGATCACACAGCTGTACAACCTTGAGTGTTTTTCCAGTCTGAGAGAGCAGGAGATATCTTGGTAAACATTACAAAGTGACGTCGCTCATGAGCGTAGTGGAGCAACTTTAAATGATGACAAACTCGAGCTGACAAAGTTAAAATTGAATCCAAACCGACCGCTGACTCCCTCCCATAAGTCAAGGTCCAGATAATAAGGAACCATGACTGGTTTTCCCCCCACTACAGCGGGAAGTATACTCCTTTGGAAGTTCAGGAAAAAGTCAATTAAGATAAAAGTTGTGTCGTAGTTTGGGCTGTTGAAGGAGAAGGAAGTGGAGAAAATGTCGGGGAGAAGCGGGTCACTCTAGACTCTTTGTAGCTGTAAAAGTCAGAGTGTGTGAAGAAAGAGAGAAAACGCGTGAATCAGCTCTATGTGTGACGAGTGTTTGCCCGATGTGGTGAAGTCTGCTGGTGCTTCTGTTGCTCTGCTGCCTGTTGGGGTGAGTTTGGTTTCTATGCCAGTGATTTCCTCCAGGGTAATTTACCATAATTATGACTGGAGCACGGGACTTTGTGGTGCGTGTCCTAATGTGGTTCTTGTACTCTGGAAGTTAACATCTTTGAAATGAATCGTTTCATTTTGTCCCTTTTTAAGGAGGTATAAAACAGTTTCAAATTAGAGCACCTGAAAACATCTGCAGTTATCACAAATTCACTTTGCTGTGCTGTATGAGGGAGCAAAGGCCAGCTATGAAATCAGTACATGTGCCATTTTTATACTGGACTGTTTACTCAAATTTGTCAGAAAACTGGCTTCAGTAGAGATTTAGAGGCTACTTTTGGCTTTAATTTCATACTCAGAAATACTTTAGGCTTGGGTCAGTGTACTTTTTGGTCTGCCAGCTTTTAAAGATGTTAAATCTTTAATTGTGAGAGTGTAACTAGAGCCTGACGGGAATCAGTAGCAGGGCACTGGTTTCAAACCACAGGAACCTGAGAGAGAAAGAGAAAGAGTTTATCATGTTTACCCGAAACCCCACATTAGAAACAAAGCTCCGATGTGAGAGGAAAGATTCGCTGTCTCTCTCCATCCTGGTACATCTGAGGAAGTGGCTCTGTGAAAACATTGTCGACATGTGCCAGATGGTCACTTGGTCCAATAGTGCTGAATGTTTGGCAGTCAGTGAGGGTAAAATATCAGGCGGTGATGAGTGATGTCAGGGTGTTTTTCTTCTGATTATGTCACAAATGTTTTTATTCCTGCAAACTGAGACCAATTGTGGGAAAACTTAATGAGCCTGTGTTAGGTCTGATGCATCTCCTTATTCATGAATTAATCAACTCTGTGAGTTTTCAACAAAGACATGCATACAGTCTGATTCTGAGAATTCAGGAGGTTGTTATGTTTCTGCTCTAGAGGAGAGAAAACAGTAGATTAAGGCGTTTTGCTGATTTTGGTTTGACTTGCGCAAGAAAAATTTCCATGGCTCGACATTATCAGTGAACTAAAATTCAGGATATAAACACATCAGCTGGATAAGAACTACCAGGCTGGAAAGGGAGTATGATAGTGTAAGCTGGAAATGTTTGTTTTTGGGCAGAGCCATTTACTTAACTGTAACTAAATCAAAAACTCATGTTCAACAAACTTATCTAAACACATGTGACATTAAATTTAGTACAACAGCTGTTTGCTTATAGTTTGTTACGCTACAGTCAGAAGGGAGTCACTGTGTCACCTACTGCATGATGCTGATCATTTTCCCAGCAGTGTGATACTCCAACACTGTCGTTGTATTCTCTCAAAGCTCTTCTCTTAGGGGTTAGTTATATAAGCATGCCAGCTTTTAATTAGTGCAAACATTAGTTGCTGCTGTCAACAGGGAATATTGGCAAATACAGCTTGTTAACTGTTTCATCCCTTGCAGAGGATTTACACTACAAATACAGAGACATTAAGTCTTTCTTTTAAAGAAATTGAGAAAATTAAGACAATTTTTGCAAAAGGGCCAAGAATATATTTTTATTTCTGTTCAACAGGAATGCAATCCTGTTTAGTTTCGGGGCTGAAAATCAACTCAAACCAACAATTGAAACCTCCAACTGACTTATGTCCTTGTTATATTCGGACAAGGCAAGCGCTAAAATAACTTTCGTAGATGTTGCCATCTTGTTTCCGCTTCCGATTTTGCTTTTTTCCGACTTGGTATCTGAAACGCTGGTAACTTGGGTGCGACGTCATTTTTAGCTCCGACACCTGACTTCTGAGGTAACTTGAACGCAGCATTAGTCTTGCAGATGTGACTCAAAAATATTCTGTCAATATTTGTTTTTTTGCACTGTGTATTTTCATGAACCGTCCTTTTTAAAAGATGCAACTGCATGACTCTACCTTCTCCGGTCTGCATAACGAAAGCAACCTGGAAGAGAATTCAAACCCTGATCCAACAGAGCAACTTGAGCAACATGAACCAAAAAAAGAAATTGAAAATAAGAAGCTGTGTCTGCTTTTTGGAGACTTTTCAGCTTCAGTGAAAAACCCCCTGAACAAAAAGAAGTCAAATGTAAACACTGCAGGGAAACAGGAAATATAACCTATCTGTTTCAACACTTGGAGCACAATCACGTTAAAGAACGTGAACAGTGTGAGAGAGGCTGATAAGTGCTCAGCAACAAGTGCCTCCACAATGGGACTGTCAGTTATACGCACATTTACAAATTCAACACAATACGCAAAGGTTTCAGGCTGATTATTTTAAAATGGCAAAGATAAGATATGCACTCAAGCGTTTGATATCCCAGCTTTAATAGTTGAGCACACAAACTTTACCAAAGAACCATGAGAAGAAAAAACAAACCAAAAGAAAAAAGAAAGTGAAATATTTGTTCATGGTCTTTTGTGTCTGGTTAAGAGGGGTGTTACACAAAACGCTCAGGCACTACCTTTTCACTTCCTGCCCTCCACCCAGTGTAACAGGATCTGTGGCCTCTCCAACCATGTATCAGGTTGTGCATCTGGCTGTGCCTGGCATTGTTTTATTGGTCGGCTGTGACGAATCGCTCACTGTAGATTTCAGTTATTGTAAACCACAATGCCTAAATTAAGGCAAGCCTGTGTGACCTTTGCCCCCCTCTGCCAGCGTGAGGCAGCTCACAGACAAAAGAGAAAAACAGTTAACATTTCAGAGAGATATAAATCTTTCATTTGCTCTTTTGATATTCCCTGAAAATCCCTGGGGAAAGCCGTCTTTCTGCGTGCTCCCTGAGGGGCTCTGCTGTAGCGTGGGTAGTCAGCTGTTGGATACCTCAGCATGAGGGGGCCGTATGAGGGGATATCATCTTTGTGTCTCTACCAAATGGAGCGTCCTCCTTCCACTCCTGGTTTGGTGATTCTCAGTGGGTCGCTGCCTCTATTGTGGAGGGGGCCCATGTTGACGAGACGGAGCAGCGGTAATGACGACTCACAAATGTTCATCTTTAAGCCCCCCTCCCCATTTCTCCTCATAGTGTGTCTGCATGCCATGTTTTGTTTTTCTCCACCAGTGCCTGTTTTAGTCTCGTCACTCACACACACTTCCACCGATATTAGCCCTTGCGTTGGCCTCACTTCCTCCTGCAAACACGTCCACATAAGCCGTCCCCTCGGCTTCACCCTCACAGTGTTTACCCTCCACCCACAATGTTGTCTAATGTGGCACGATGATGTCACAGACCACTCCAAGATGCCCTCTGCTCCATCTGTGCGCTCTTTTATCTTGTATTATGTGGCCGTGATGGGACGTGACAGGGGCCCGCCAAACTGCTGAGTAAGGGGAAATGAGAGTCCCAGCTAAAGATTGGGGGGTTGGGTGGTCTGCAGCACAGCAGCACTACACCAAAGATCCCAAAAGATATTATTTTATATTATATATCATATTATTTAGAGACTTAAAGGCTTGAGTTATGCATGATTTGTGTAGTGTGAGTTACAGCTGAGTTGGTTGACAGGTGGGTGCATTGCAGCTGTTGTCAGGTTGCCTCCGGCTCTTTGTCTATTTGTCAGTTAGCTGAAAGTTTGATAGATTGGCATAAAAATGAGAGACAAAATGTGTGAGCTTGCTGAGACTGCAGCTATGTATTGTACAATCTTTGTATTACACCTCTGATCTTGACATTGACTTGCTTTGTTCAATAGTTCTACAACACATCTAGTTTTTTTTTCTTTCTTTTACACTTTGCATGTTTAAAGATACCTGACAGCACAGCACAAAGTTAACGGTTCACCAAACCTTTATCTGTTTAATCCTGCATTATACAGTCTTATATATATCTGTCTCTGCAAGTTAGCTGGGGAATTTCAAAATCTTGTGATCCCTCAGACCTTTTCCATTCCTGGGAACCAACTTGAATTCCTACGCAGGCAGTGCTGAAACCATGTCTTGTTTTTCTTGCTCAGCAGAGCTCAAAGTAGAAACCATACCAAACACATGTTCACTTTCAGTCATGTAATCCCTACCTTTAAGGCAGATATTGTAAAGACCTCTTCTTATCTGTTCTGAAGTTACAAGATTTTATCTCCCTCTATGTATTTGGTTATTTTTAGATTCTTCAATCCATTAAAGCTCCTGCCTCAGGCATTTCAAGTCGACTGATAGAAACATACTTTCACTTTCTCAAACATATTTTGATATGAACCCTTTCTGTCTTAAAATGATCCCTGTTGAACCCCTTCTCTCTACCTAAGGAAAACAAAATGCACAGAGAAGGTTCTCCTGCAAATTAAAAAGCCACATGTCTTTCTTTAGCCCCTCATATTTCGTTCTCATGTGTTTTCTCTCTGATGTCTGTTTGTGTCTCCAGGCGACGGAGGTTGAGAGAGCCATGTCCAGTGAACTTCAAGCTCTCAAACAGGAGCTCCAGCAGAAAGGAAGCCACAATAGGCCACAGGATGAGGAGCTGATCAGTGCCATGAAAGAGCAGGTAATGACCATGAACAGAAACCAACAGAGTAAATGCAATGTATTAAACGGAACCAAAGCTAGCTCTAAATGAAGCTGCCTGAGGGCTGGGCATTAACAGTGTAGTAGTCTGCAGGGCATCGTGTGCTCCCACGGACAGAGTGACCAGAACAGGCTGCACCAGCCATGATTGTGTACATTTTTATATCAAGTCAAGTCAAAAGTGCTGCCAGCAACTGGCTCAACTCACTCCCCCTTACTGCCTTTTGACCAAGCAGTATAAACTTAAATCTGCGGTGCATTTTTACCATTATATTTTTAGATATATACCAAGCTTAATGCCGCAGAAGACAAAATCTAACAACAGAGGGACTGAAATGAGGAAATCACAATCTACTAAGCAAATATTAAGCAAAATCAGATTTTTGTCTCTCTTTCAAATACTGGTAAGATCTGCTAATGCCAGTCCAGGTCTAGTTTGGACTTCACTGGTAGAAAGGACATTTTCCAGGTCTTGTTACTACTTTTTCCCCCTTTTTTTTCTCCTTCCTCCCCCTTTAATTTGATTATTGTTTTCATATGCTTATTTGTTTACAATTTATTAACTTATTTAAACTGTAAAAACCGGATGGCTGGGAAAAATGGCACTGCCTTATTATTTCTGACATGTACTGCCATTCCAAAAAAAAAAGAAAGCAACTTTTCAAACTGACAAAGACAAAATTCAGCTTGTTTTGCTTTTACACTTGCAACACACTTGTTTTCATGGACAGCAAAGTCAGGGAAAACATTAAATATCTTTAGCAGCTCTCCAAATCTCCCCCCCAAAAGTATGATTGATGCAAATAAAGGGAATGATTGGACAAAGTCAGTGAAGAGAAACTGATATATAAGGGTTTGTGTGTGTTTCCAGGTGCTGCGTCTCACTCAAAAGGAGCAGGTGCTTGAGGAGCGTTTGGAGTCCGTGTGTCGAGAAAACACTGAGTTGAGGGCCAGTTTGGCCTCTTTACACACACGCCTGACTCTGCATGACCAACTCAACCAGCAACACAGCCAGCAGGTACTCATACACATATATCATACTAGTAGAACACACATACACACACAAAAAAGGCAGACAAGGCCACACAAAAAGGCTCGGTTGGTTGTATGAATGAGAGAGGCTCAGTAACAAAGGGGATTTTGTGCTCCCTGCCTGGATGTTTGGGTTTCGGCGGGATTGTGGAAAGAATTTTTAAACAATCACCTCATCCCCGTCATTGTAACTTTGACCCGCAAATCTGGATTCCTCTTGTGTCGTTTGGTTTCACGTTGGGTCGGAGGTTGGAATCTGGCAGGTCAGGATTTCTCTGACATAACAACTTTTTGAAAAACAGCAGATGACACTTTTAGTCTTATCACAGCTTCCTCTTTTCATCACCCAAGTAATTATCTAAGTAATCCAAATCTTCAGGTACATAATTCTGTTTAGTTTTAAGCTCCATCTCTTGTTGTACATGCTAATAATCTCAGATGGAGGTTTGTACGACAAGTTTTTGTTTGTTTGTTCATGCCTGTGTTTATGTTTTTGTCTGCACCTCCTACTGTTTTTTAGCTAACAGAGGCGTGGCAGGAGGCGGAGGCAGCACGGGGACGCTCACAGCAGCTGCAGGCCCAGGTGGAGGAGCTTCAGGAGGAGATGTCCCTGCAGGAGGCCAGGAGCCAGGGGGACGCCTCCTTGCTGTCTGAGTTAGAGAGCAGCCTGGAGACAGCAGCGTTGGGGATCGGCAAAGAAGAGGTACTACAACGGCAGGACTCTTGGAGATTTTTGTTAAATATGTCCTGGTGGTCCTGAATCAAGCAAAGAGCTGCTTGCATGTTAGAAACAACCTTCCAAGACCTCTGAAGTCTACTCTTAAAATCTGCTTGGGGTCTGCACATTGACGATGCATTTGCAAACTTCACATCCCCCAGTATAAGGCAAAACCAGTGACGGTCAAGTTGCTTTGTTGGCCAGTATTTCTACTTCTCAAGGGAGGATGCTGGAAAAAAGCAGCATCTCTTGTTTTGTAGGACAACAGGAGCTACTTAGCCTGTTAGCAGTCCTCCAAGAAGAGAGGTTGTAAATCTAACAAAGTCCTGTAAATTAAACCAGAAACAGTCCACAAAGATTTTGTCTCAGCATCTCTCAATACTGTCTTTGTCAAGTATCAGCCTTGGGTTGTTTTATTGTAGTGTTGTTCACGGTGATTCACATTTCTTTTCCCTCTAATGACTGGAAACAAGTGTAACAAAGTCTTCCCTGTCGGTAATTGTCGAATAGACGGAAACTCGTACAAATGTTGAAGTGAGAGGAACGTGCTGACAGAACAGTCTGAGCAGGTTCACAGTGACCGTGGGACTCATGTTTGACGCCACTACATACTCTGCAAAGAGAGGGTGTCAAGGTCCTGATTTCCAGAAGGAGGACACCACAAAGAAACACAAGATAAAAGGTGTTGCAATATACTTCAAATGATGTCAGGAGGAGGGCAGAAAAACTGAGTCCTGGTTCTTCCAATTTCCACTCTCTGGGTTTCTAACGTTACCGTTTTGATCACGCAGGAAAATCTGATATATTACTGCACTCATGAGTCATCACAAAATTTCCTGTTTGCTATTGTGATATTGTCAAGTTTCCTGGTCTCACAGTTTTGGTGTGTGTTTCCTCCTATGTCTGTGGGAAAGCATTTTAAATAACAAACAAGATATTTCAAAATGTCCACATATTTGAACCTCAGCTGGTTACAGAGAGCAGTGAAGAAGGAGAATTCTGTTTTTTGGGCAAAAACAAAGACATATAGACCATTGCATTATCTTATCAAGGTTTCTATGAGACCATTTGGTAAAGACAGTATAAAATGGGTATAATCATGTGATATGATTGACTCAACAACATTCAATAAACATTGAGGTAATGCTTGCACCACCCAGTTTGTAAATTCTTGATACCAGCCAGGCAACGGTGCAGGCAGAATCAACATAAGGTGTGCTACAAGGTAACAGAAACGATATCCCTTGTTCAAACACATGTGTAATCAAATGATGGAAAAAAAAAAAACATGTTAGGAGTCCAAGAGAGCAGCGGAAAGGCATCTTTCTTATGCTTGTATTGGTGTGAAGCAAAAGCAAGTGCTTCTAAAATAAACAGGAAAGTGAGTCTCAATAGCCAGTGGTTGCAACTTAGTATTTGAAATGATTTATTGAAATAAACAATATAAAAAGTTGCCAGCCTTTGGTTAGATGAGTAGTTAAACAGCTGGTGCGGAAACTCTCCCCTGTTTCCTTGTTCTCTTGATATCTATTATAAAGGCCATGACTATTGTTATTCACCTTTTCCTCCCATTTGTTTTAGATCAAACAAGAAATGGGGTCCATCCTTGAGTTACTGCTCCCAGTGGCCCAGCAGCTGAACGGCTCAGTGGGATCAGAGGTCACGGCAAATGAAGACACCCTCCAGGCGATGCTGCTGCAGCTGAGGGGAGTGGCTCAAACACTGGCTCAGGAACGCAGCACTCAGGTAAGCTGTTGTCACGCTGAATCGCAGAATTAGTTGGAGAGGAAGGAGACGAAATACAAAACAAAGACTGACCTTGATGGAGGCATTTACACTGTGATTTTTATATCTTCTTTACTCTCATTTAGAAGTTTTGTGTTTGTGGGTACATCTTTAGGAAAAAAACATATTTCAATAACATGTTTGTTTATTGTAAGCACCCCTTAAATGATGGATTTTACAATCTAGAGAATGAAAGTGAATGTAGAAACAACACTGAGAACATAAACATTAATTAATTTATTCAAAGTTAGCAAATCTACCCCCTAGTGGCTGCTTAAGGCACCATGCAGTGGAGCTATGTGTCCTTGTTTGAGCAACAGATAGCTGACGCACACTGTAAAGCCACTTTTTGCCACGAGCAACCAGGTACAATTGTCCATTTGTGTCGCATGGTGATTCTATTCCATCCATACCAATAACAGGTGATTACCTCGGTAACTAAATATTCCTGCCCATCCCCATCCTCCCTCCAAGCACTGTGCAAATAGGCCAATGCCACAGAAACTTCTTTCTGGTGTAAATCTTTGTGAAAAGCACAACTGACACCTGATCCGTCTGTTAATGTGTCTGTTCCAGGAGCTGAATTCTGCCTTTGTTGATGGGGCGGGTGATCAGTGTGGGAATCTGAGCGCAGCACAGGAGCTGAGAGATCAGGTAACGCAGTAAGGAACGGACAAGTATGTCGGGGAGAAACAGCACCCTAAGGGACCCTTTATTGAAGCTTTTGACTGTCAGCTCTGACCTAACTGTCTTACTCTGAAACATCTCAGTGTTGCAAACTGATACAGTGAGAATGTAAAAGAAAGCATAGATTACGTAATGTAGTGTATGACTTATGGTTCAAAAGAATATATCGAATTAATGAAATTTTATTTATAAATGAATACTCAACATTGTCTCAGGTTTTGTAAGGTAGACAAACAAGGCAATAGTTGTGTTTGTGACCTACATAGATAAACAAGTGGATTTACTGCTGTTAAAAGTTTTTTATAGAGATAAAACCTTGATGATCTCGTCCTTCTACAGAATGCCATGTTGCAGCAGCAGAATGCAGAGCTGAGGCAGAGGCTGCAAAGCGAGCAGGAGAACACTGATACTGTCAAACAGGCCATCAGGGACCGAGATGAAGCCATAGCCAAGTGAGAAAACATTCTTATCTCAATCTCTCTCTGCATTATAATATCTTCAGATGCCTTTGACAGACCAACTTGAGTTAATTATCCAAAGAAATCTCTGTGAACTACTCAGCATTGGGAGCTTCTCTGACTGCTAAAGTAACATGGTTTGAAGTAACAGCTCTTGATGAGGATGTGGTTGAATTGGTTTCATGATGTCTTTGTAGGAAAAATCTGATGGAGGCTGAGTTGGTGAGAAGTAAAAATGACATGATGTGCCTGAACAACCAGCTATTAGAAGCTATACAGCGGAAACTGGAGCTGTCACAGGAGCTGGAAGCCTGGCAGGTGGGTCCCTCTAACATTCTTATTCAGCTTCCTGTCCATCCCTTCAAATCTGTCTTTTCAATAAACCAGCCAAAATCACGCCTCATGCTGTCACTTTGGAGTGTCTAAGCCAATCCAAATTAATACCTTCATTTATGCCGTAAAGACGTAGATGAAGTATCCCTATTTAACCACGCTGTCTTAGTGTCACTAGTGATCTAACAGGACAAGATGAAAGTTTCTCTGATTTTTCTCCCATTGGGTGGTCAGGGACAGCTGCAGTAATTTCTCTCCCAGCTCTGTCAGTTTTGGGGAACATGAGAGGCAGGTGTCTCTTTCTCACAGTCATTCTGCTGAGTCACTATGCCAAGCCCAGCCATCTGCCGGAGGCTCTGATCTCCCTCACTTGTGGGAAGATAATTCATATAATATGTGGGTAAACACTGAAATTTAGATCATTCACAGATTCTTTGGAACTTCTGACAACTTCTTTGCTCAGAGGAACATGTTGCAGTAGATTGGGATTTGGCTGCACAGGCAGTATATTTTCATAGGGTTTATCTATTTTTGGTTCTGGTCTTTCCATGACATTTTTTGTGCCACAAAAATTCAGAATAATGGCAGAATTCTTCTCTGAGAGCATAAAAATCTATTCATTGATACTTCTTAGTGTCAATAAATGCGGGCAAAAACATGTAAGGACGCTGCAACAATAACAATATTCTGGTAATGTTAAAATCTGTTTCACATACATGATAATACAAAGTGTTCTGTCCTAGTAAGACAGCTGAGTGGTGCCCAGACCTCCCATTCATTGCCTTCTCCTTCCCTCCTCTCCTCAGGACGACATCCAGATCATCATCAACCAGCAGCTCAGGTCACAGCAGCAGTCGGAGCTCCCTCAGAAGAAGTCACCCTCCAACGGCATGTCCTTTTTCCGCAGGCCTAGCAAGGTGACCTCCACCTGGGCACACCAATCCTCCTCTTCCTCCACCTGGAGTTCAGACTCTAATCAGGACAAAACTCAATCTCCATGGAGGGACTGGTTAAGAAGAGGGAAGGGAGTGCAATATGGCAAATAATGGACATTTGGTGTACTGAAGCCCCTGGAGATAAAAGGGAGTTACAATTGCAGCTTCCTGTACACCAAATATGATGAAAAGAAGCCATAGAGACACTTTGATTTCACAACTGAACAACAGAGCCACTACGAATAAAGACTTTATCTTTCAACACTTACCTGAACACATTTCACTGAGGCTGAGCCTTTATACCAACTGTGACACTAGCTATTTCACAGAATTATCGTAGAAGCTTTGCTTAAGACTGTAAATGTTGTGCCTTAATTTGTAACATTGTAAATGTATGTTTAGGTCTCAGACTTTATATAAGGTATACACAATAAGTGTACAGAGTATGTGTTCAGATTATTTAAGGTCACAGATCAAACTAAGAGAGAGGTGTGATTGCAGCATTCACGATCAAACTGTTGTATTCATCCTGAATTTTGTCTTTACATGCCAAGTTGGAAAAGAGAATCTCAGTCATCTTTGCTTAAAAAAAGCTAAGTATTTAAAAATGTTGATTGTTTAAGAAACACTGTTTTCACCTACAATGGTAAAGCTATTTTGTATTATTATTTTTGTGTCTTCTCTGAATGATAACTTGGTATGCTATGTGTTGTTTCTGTGACTCCCTGTTCAGTATTAAAGCTGTCTAGAACAAACTGAATCGTCTCTTGAGTTGTCTGACTGATTACATCTTGAGGGACTGTCAGATTATTTCCTAAAACATTCATTCAGGTTGAGGATGTTAATACAAAATGAACCAAAAAGGAAGAATATCACAGTTAACCAAAACAAATGTTCAAAAAGTGGAAAAGAAATTTAAAATCTCATTTATAAACTGCTGTAAACAGCAATGATTATTTGATCCAAGTGAAAAAACTGTAGAATTTATGGATAAGTCTTAATACAATTTTCTTTTCCCACTTGAGCTATAGATAGAAAGGGAATACAAATACTATTACTGATGTCTCTGTCAGAGTTTTGCATTTGACTTGTCTATATATTCAATTCATCCTAAATTTGTGGCTTGAATGATGGAAAATATGTATGCTCTCTTGACCTGATAACTCTCAGTGAGGCAGGATCGATGAAATAAAGAGTGTTTGTCAAAGGTGTGTAACATAATGAGCACCATGACTTTGAACTTAGCTGTTTTTATTGTGTACATCTCTGAACTTTCATATAATTTTAATCAGTTGTAAGTGTGAATCATATACTGTTTTAAGGGTGTAAATCTAGAGTTTCTTGACTTAACTGGGAGAACTTAAACACACTGTTAATGGGAACGTTCATTTGTCAATAGAGCCTCAGATATACAGTCTGCTGCTGCCCCCTGCTGACGCTCAGCGAACACCAGTGGAAAATCAGGATAAGCAGTTATCACCTTGTGTTACTGACAGAGTTGTTCATTTGTTGATCTTATATAAGGATGTTGGCACATTGTTTCACTCCATTTCTCGAAAACTGTGCTTTTCCATGTTTGTAGCCACCACCTTGATGGCCTGGCCCCCACAAAAGAGCTTTTACACTTCATACAACCCATTTAGGAGAAACATGGACACTTCTTGACCAAAAAAAAATAAAAGACAAACAAACAAACAAATGAATTAAATGGGCTTCTACATTCAGTGGCTCACAGTCTGCCTGGACCTTATCCATTGCCCCATTACGGCTATGTTTGTTCACAATATAAAAAAAGAATTTTAAAAAATGTATTTGATTATATTTAGGGAATATTTGTAACTTGGGGGGACAGAGCCTTCTCTGCTGCCGCCCCCACCCTCTGGAATTTACTCCCCAAACCCATCCGAGACGGTACAGACCCCCATACTTTCAAATCACTTCTAAAATCAAAACTTTTAAATTTAATTGGCTTTTAAACTGTGAACTATTCTTTTATTGTCTTTTTATATTGTGTCTTTTTTTTAACCTTTTACACTGTTGGTCTTATTACTCAAAATTTTCTGTATTTTGAAAAGCGCGTTATAGATAACATTATTATTATTATTATTATTATTATTATCATCATTATTATTATTTATCTTTTATCTCTATCTTTTATCTGCCATCACTTATCTCTTTAACCTCGATCATATATCCGCCTTACTGTCTTTTTAGTTGTTGTTTTATTATACTTGTACTCTTTTCTTAATTATCCTTTTAGGCCCTTTATTGTTTTATCTCTTGCTAATTTCTGTTGCTCCATTTTATCATTACTTTTATTACCAGGATTATCTGTTATTGTTTAATCATCATTGTTGATATTGCCTTTTATATTTACTATCCTGTTTTCGCTTTCAACCCCCCTTTCAATTGCATTTCCTTTTTTCTCAATTATTATATGTTTTTATTTTGGTCCTCATGGTCTCATTTTATATTGCATGGTTCTTGTATTGTCTGGGTTCCTTATGACATGAAAATGGCCTTTAATTCCGTTTTTACTGAGCTTTTATTTGTCTTTTTCCATGTGCTCTATGACTACATGTCAAAGTACTTTGTAAACTTCTGTTTGTAAAAGTGCTATAAAAATAAAGTTATTATTATTATTATTATTATTATTATTATTATTATTATTGGTTGGATATTCTCCCGGATTCGTTTATCAAAGGGCTAGTATGTGTTAACTGAATTTATTTCTATATTTATTTAGAGTGAATTTGTTTTAAGAGAGGGAAAATATTGTCTCTTTATTCATTCCTCTCGTTTTGAGTCACATAATTTTACTATATTTAATATTACCACACAAAGTGACTGTTTAAATAGAAATAAATTCAGTTTTTATTAGCTTGTCTAAAAGTTACTCAGCAAAGCAGACCTCGTCTCATCTTGATGACGTTTACAATTTCAATTTACTGAGGAACTGCCGCTGGTTTCGTTGAAGCGATTTTTCACATCAAAATCACGCACTTCTTCCCGTCAACCAGGTACGACACCTGTCTTCATTGATTTTATATTGTTTGTAGGGTTATAATACATGAGATTGGTGCAATAGTTATGTAAATATGTGCTGAAATAGAGTCGTGGTGACCCTCTGACAGCTTAGCTTGCTACCACACTAGCTAGCCGACTAGCCGTGTTGGAGAGCGGTCACTGCTGCTAGCAGTGCTGCTGGTTCGTACCACCGTCAGGCAGCTAGAAGGCTGCTGCTGCTTACATGCTGGGGTGACAGGTGACATGACGCTCTGAAAAAGCACAACAGTGGCCGGATGGACAGTAAACTCACAACCCTAGCACGACGTAACAACACAGACGGGTGACTAAGAAGGTAACATGCAGCTGGTAACATTGAGGCGCAGATAAGGTGGATCTGACAGTTCATCACTGCTCAGCCCTCAATGTAGTTTAATCCCATTTCCGCAACGTCATCCCTAAAAGTTTCATAATATACTAAAGGTGTGAGAAGTTAAAGCAAATGTAGGAACAACAAACGAGGTTGTAACCAGCTGTATAATGTCAATTGCGGAATAACATGCCCCCTAAAAAGCTCAGATAATGAAAATGAAAGAGTGATGTGTCAGTTCATTGAGCTTAGAGGAACTAAGGAGATTCTTGAGGACATCTGGCCGCAAAATCTGAAAGGTGGTTATCCTTTTAATTCCCAAAGCAGAAGAGGAAGTCACTCCCTGACCTTTCTGAAGTTGAAGAAAAACAGAAGTGCATGAGTGCAGAGGGTCATTGTAATATGTAGTGGGAAACTTCCTCGGTAAATTAAGAATCTTGGATGAATGCATGTTGAAGAAATCTCTGATGGTGTGTTAACAGAAACATCTACTCGCTGTCTGATTTGGTGCTGCAGTTGTGTAGTTCTTAAAAAGTCATAGAAACTAGGGCTGCACAAGGGATTATAGTGCCATTGATGATATGGCTGATGCATTTGTAGGGCTGGGCGATAAAATGATAACAATAATATATATATAGATTAATTTCCCTCAGTATCAATATAAAACATGGTCAGTATGCTTTTCAGTAGCATTCTGCCATGTTTTGGTAGACTATATGAATAGCCAATGAAAAGGGGAGTTCTCCGGGTTCACTTAGCGCTGAACCAGTCATTTGCTAAATTAGAACCAAGTAGCAAACGTCAGTGGTGTGGAGACATGTTTTTGTTTTTAAGTCAGACATGAAGCAGAGTAATGTGCACTGCAAATTATGTCGAGTTCATGGTCTCGCAAAGTCAGGGAATACCTCAAATCTTTTTCACCACCTGAAGCAGTGCCACGCAGCAGAGCATGTGCAATGCAAAGGTTTACAAACAGCCGAAACTGCCAACCATTCAGTCCGCTTTCTCTAGTGCAACACCTTCCGACAAAATGTCAAAGAGGCACAAAGACCTCACAGATGCAGTTGCTTACTGCTTTGCAAAAGACATGCTACCAAGAAGCACTGTTACATTTCCTTTTTTATACTGTGATGTATATCGGTATCAACTGATATGAAAAAAATATATTGTGATAAACTTTTTCCCATATTGCCCAGCCCTAGATGCGGTTGTGTAGCTCTTAAAAAGTGATAGAATTTAGGGCTGTGCAAGGGATTATGGTGCCATTGTTGATATGGCTGATGTATTTGCAATGAACACTACAGAAGTTCAAATTATCGTAATACCAATTTAAGCAGGCAATGGGGTAATGGCCCTGTTTTTTTAATGCAGGAAGATGAAGCTCAACAACAGCAGTCAGCTATCCCCACATCAATTACTGCCAATCCAACACTCAACATTTTTGAGATTTATTTCAAATTCAGCTGTTAACGTAAAAGAATAATAGAGACAATTAAAGACTTTGAGTTGAATCTCGTTAACTTATGTATCTCACTTTATTCACATACACTCTATACCTTTGTGGAGTGTTAATCTATTGCACCAAACATTAATGCACCTGTGTTGCTCCTGCAGGCTGGGCTCTTGAATGGACTGAGTGTTTGGCCCAAATGAGATGACTGACCAGGGCAACAACAACCAGAACATCTCCTGCAACCCCTTTGCTGCCCTCTTCGGCTCACTGGCTGATGCCAAGCAGTTTGCATCAGGCCAGAAACCACAACAGTCTGCTGAACCACCATGTGAGTTTTCAAAGCTAGTGCACTTTTTAAACTGAAGCATACTAAGGTCAGTGCTTATGAGCGTCACACTGGGAATCAGTCAAAATGTAGCTTGTAACAAAGTAAACCATATGCCATAAAGCATTGCCCATGTTATTCAGCCAAGAGACACATTATTTTTCCTTTTGGCTTGTATAGGACATGCTGACATCAAACGCAAATGTATCTGCACGTTCTACTAACTCTCTATTAACTCTTTGTATACTAACTCTGCATACTAACTCTCTGTCTCCCATCATAGTGGAGGACTCAGGAGAGAGCCAGTCTGAGTCAGAAAACTCTGTATCAGACAGCGTCGACGACAATGACGACTCTGTGGCCGAGATCAGCCGCTCGTTCCGATCCCGTCAAGAGCTCTGCGAACAGCTCAATGTCAATCACATGATCCAGCGAATATTTCTCATCACTCTAGACAACAGTAAGTAGAAAGAAAGAAACATCCCAAAACTAATTTGTAACTTATTTCTCTTTCATATGTCTCATTAGCTTTGTCATAAACGCAACCTTAACTTTAGCTATCAACACGTATCCAGCCCGCAATAGTTTCATCGCCTAACTGACAAACCACATCAATCAAACGGTCCAGTTCCTACTTCATAAACTTGCAAATAGACTAGAAGAGTGAGAAACAAATGTTATAAAGGTTGCTTGCATGTACACATTCTGCACATACTAGACAGTCTACTACTATCAAACATATGTAATGGCAAACCTGGTATAACACAAACCATCATTTTTACTTTCTGACCCATCTTTTCGTTGTTTTGTTTAGTTCCACATTTCCTGATTTTTTGTCATTTCAAAATAAGTACATTTTTTATGATAGAGGAAAAAAGCAAAAGGTTCAAAAATAATTAATTTATGAGGCAATCTGTTCTCTCAGGGTGAGCATAAATCAGGCTCCTTACACTAGCTTTTACCGTAGTGTGTGTACTACTGCAAATCACGTGTGGAGGAGATGACAGAAAAAAGAGGTACTTGATTTGTACTCAAAACAAGTTTTCTTGTCAGTTGGGGAGATTTTTGGAGTCTGGGGTCGCCAGAACACTTCAACTGCCAGCAGGGCTTTTTTTTTTTTTTTTTGATAAGCTCCACCTTATTTGCATTCAAAGCGCATGTCATAATAGATAAGTCACTCGTGAGCCTGCAGCAATGCTATGGTTATAACTTCAGTTCCGGCAGTTACTTTCTTATTGAAGCCAGCTTGACTTCAGTGTAAGATGGTAACTGTACAGTCAGATAGTCCATGTCGCCCTTTCACATTTACAGCAATCTGTTTTCTCCTTTGCTTCCATCTAGAGAAGCATTAGTCATAAAGACAGCTTTTTCAGTATGTAGCTGGGTTTTTGAAAAAAGTATTAGCGTAGCCTGTTCTGTTTTTCATAGAGGTATTGTATGATGGTCTTAGCTCTCTTAAATGTCAAAAGTAAGTTTCCAGTAAGTACTGCAACAAATGAGTCACCATCCTCAATGACAATACCAAGACCTTGCACATTGTGAATCTTCACTTTGAGATGGCTGCTCAAGGGTGAGTCATGATGTGCGGGAAAAGATGGCTAAAAGCCCCCCCACCCATACACACACACACACACACACACACACACATCTCACACACAAGCCAACTGATCAAAAATAAAGCTGTCTGCTTATCAAGTTTCACACTTTTCATGTCGTTTTAAATATTTTTTTATTTATTTCTGCACAAAGATTAATCAGTGGTAATAATAGTTTTTATTTTAAGTGTCTTGTTTTTGTTTGCTATAATTTGAGCCAATTGTTATTGAGTGGATCCGTGCTTGATTTGCCTGTAGGTGACCCCAGTTTGAGAGGAGGGAATGGGATCCCCCCTCGCTGTGTTTACCTGGAGGAGATGGCTGCAGATCTGGATGGACAGGACTGGTTAGACATGGACAACATAGAGCAGGTACTTGAGATGTTATGATTCATCAGACACTGGAAATGCAGCTCATTTAGATTTGGATGGATTATGCGGGAAATAGATACAGAAACGGAACATATAAGGGATTGCATGACACATGATGGTTGCTTATATATCGGTGACTAATCAGACCACTCTGTTCTCCAGGCTCTGTTTAATCGCCTGCTGGTGCTAGAGCCAGGAAACCACCTCATCTACATGACGTCATGCAGCGCTGTTAACCTGTCAGCTGACCGGGATGCTGGAGAGAAATGTGCCATACCTTACCTTTTTGCATGTTACCAGAGGGCCAAAGAGGAGGTGAGAGTTTTACCCAGAAGGCTTGTAAATGTAGCGCTTATCACCTCTTGATAAATCATTCCCTGTAGTTGGGTTATAAGAATGACTCACGCTCTTCCATAACGTGCTGTCTTGATTTATCTGTCCTTCAGGTGACAAAGGTACCAGAGAAGTTATTGCCATTTGCTGTTCGCTGTAAGAACCTGACAATCTCTAATACGAGGACAGTTCTGCTCACCCCGGAAATCTATGTCAGCCAGAATATCTATGAACAGCTTCTGGACCTGCTGCTGGAAGGCTTCAGAGCACGTAGGTTCAGGATTGGGCCCCTGTAGGCCTGACTGTTGTCTTCATTGTGATTAGTTTTATTGCAAACTCCCACTGTCTGTAGTTAATCGTTACATTGAGTTTTCTCATCACTTTTGTACAAATCCTTGTTTCAGAGCCAGAGGAGGTGGTAGAGTTCGTGGAGGAGGTCATTGCTGGCCTGCTCTCTGACCAGGAGGTACGCACCTTTGAGGAAGTGATAGTACCAGTGCTTGATATCTTCCAGGGACGCATCAAAGACCTGGACCTCTGCCAGCCAGTCCTCTACTCCTACCTGGATGTCCTGCTTTATTTCAGCCACCATAAAGACATTGCCAAGGTCAGAAGATGGACAAAAAAATGCCCCCAAATGTGCTTTTTAACTTGCATGCTAACTACCAATGAAGTTATGCACAAAAGTACAAATAATGAGAGTATATTATTTAAGTGTGCCTCCCCACTACTTTTGTTTAGATTTCCACATGTTTTCTAAAGTTGTATTTTTTTCTTTTGAAGGTTTTGGTGGAGCACATTCAGCCTAAAGACCCAGCTAATGGTTTACAGTACCAGAAGACCCTTCTTGGAGCAGTGTTGAGTATCTCCTGCTTGTTAAAAACCCCAGGTGTAGTAGAGGGACATGGCTACTTCCTGAACCCTTCTCGCTCCAGTGCCCAAGAGACAAAAGTCCAGGAGGCAAACATCCACCAGGTAGACCCTGTCCTCTTAGTATACCATTGTCTTTTGGTGATTTCATATCCTTCATCCTATCCTTGGGTGACCCCTAAAACTGACTAATACTCGACAAATTACTCTTTGTGTTGCAGTTTATGGGGCAGTTTCACGAAAAGCTGCATCAAATCTTAAAAAACTTGCTCCAGCGATCTGGTGAGACCCGTCACCTGCTGCTTTCATGGCTGGGCAGCTGTCTGCATGCCAACGCTGGCCGAACAAAGATTTGGGCCAATCAGATGCCAGAGATCTTCTTCCAGATGTACGCCTCAGATGCTTTCTTCTTAAATCTGGGTGCAGCACTTCTGAAACTGTGTCAGCCCTTCTGCAGGCCTCGCTCACCCAAACTGCTCACCTTTAACCCCACCTACTGTGCCCTGAAAGAGCTGAGTGAAGAAGAGAGGCGCAATCGCAATGTGCACGCAAGAGGTCAATATAAGAGATCATACACATCAATGTGCCTTCTATTTTCTACTCTGTCTGCTTAAATTCATTGTTATTTTAGGCAGAAATAAAACTAGAATAGCTGCTCTGGTTTCACGTCTTGGTGTATTGCTGTTTTTAACTGTGGTTTTTAAAAACTTGAGGTTCTTTGAGAATACACCTAAAATTTTCTGACTCATACTCCTTTATCTCTTTTACCAGGTCTTGACAAAGAGACCTGCCTGATCCCTGTGCCCCCTCAGCAGCCAGTGGAGTCTGCGCAGTCTTATAGTTTACTGACTGAAAATCTCATCCTCACACAACTAACTCTGCATCTAGGCTTCCACAGGTACACATCTTTAAAGAGGCACTATCAGAAATTCACAGCGATGATGTGATGCGCAGATGTGACAGAAATAGTGTGTTGTATGTTCGTATTAATCTTTGTTGTCTTATTCTTTTTGTGTCCATGAACGGTAATGATCCTGTGCACTGCAGACTCCACGAGCAGATGGTGAAGATGAACCAGTCTCTCCACCGGCTCCAAGTGACATGGCAGGAGGCCCAGCGATCAGGAAACCCCATGTCAGAGCAGCTCTTAGAGCAGTTTGAGCGTCTGATGATTGTTTATTTGTCTACCAAAGCTGCCACCACGCAGCCGGCAATGCTGCAATGCTGCCTTAACCTCCAAGCCTCCACCGGGGCTCTCCTGGTGCAGCTTGGTGTGGGAAACCAGGGGCCTGAACATGTAGCACTCAGTTTTCCCCTGCCCTCCCTACAGAATACTATGCTGTGTTATGTACCAGGTACGTCATATGTTCTTCTAAGCTACAAATAAAGGAAAGCACAAACTCTGACTTTTCTTACACTGTTTTATTGGAGCGCTGTAAATGTTATGAGAATGTTCCTCATAGAAAAATAACAGAGACATAAAGAGCATATTTGATATTAGATATTTGGACTATATGCATCAGATTTTGTAATGTTTTGATATTGTGGTTGTTAACTGGTTGCACGGACTAATCATGACTCCTGTGTTCCATTTGACAGAGTTTTTTGCAGAGAACTTGGGAGATTTTTTCATCTTCCTGCGTCGGTTTGCAGATGATGTTTTGGAGACTTCTGCAGAAAGTCTGGAGCAGATTCTGAACTTCATCACTGTCTTCATGGGGAACGTAGAGAGGTACTTTTTCAACTCTATACTCCAAAAATTGATCACACTGAAACCAAAAGTGTCTCATTTTCTTATCCCCTCTTTTGGTTTCTGGCTGAATCATTTTCTAGAAGTCCTGATCAGAGGGACTTTACAGGGCTGATGTTAGAATCCATTAAGCTTAAATATCTGTGAGAGATTTTACCTAAAACCTCTTGTGAGAATTTTCACAAAGAACCCACGTAGGAGGGTTTAATCTCAATCGTTTCTCTGAAAGAGTATTTTACTGAGATCCCTTTTATAATCGAAGAATTTGACTTTTCAAACAGAGTCTTTCATAAGAGTTTAATTTGAAATATAAGAGAGGTTAGTGGCATGTCAAGGTCCAGTTACCATACAAGATTAATTAAAAAACCATCTACAAACAACAGGAGTGTGGGCACATTGAAACATGGCGGTGAAAAAGACTGAATAAGCATCTCCTCCTGTTATTAGCCTCCACTGGCACTCTGATGTTTTTCAGCAAGGCTGTGTTTATGTGTGGGAGTTGATCTACTACCATCTGTCCACCGTATTGTAACAATGCATACATAGATAAGATCACACATTGTGCCAATAGAGGCGTAATCAAAGGTCAGCACTCTTTTATACAGTCATCTTAAAAATGACCCCTGAAGAAAGCTTCCTCTTCCGCAGATGCTCACCTTTGGTAGCATCTCACCCCGGAGGTTAAAACAGTTTTTGAAATCCTCTCTTAAGAGCGTATCATTTCAGAAATGTTCAATACCATATGCTGCATATTCACAACAGAATGAAGAACCCTCATTTACGAGCGAAGCTGGCGGAGGTCTTGGAGGCAGTGATGCCCCACATGGAGCCGCTCGCTCCTGATGCTCTTCAGCCAATTGTGTACCAGCGTGAGCGAGTCTTCTGCTCTTACAGGCATGCACCCCAGCTGGCTGAGGCCCTCATCACTGTGTTTGTAGACATCGAATTTACAGGTGAGGCGGTGCATTAATTGAGGGTTCGGACTTATCGGTGCTTATCACGGAAAAGTTAAATATGGAACTTTGAACTTTCCTCTTTTTAAGGCGACCCTCATCAGTTTGAACAGAAATTCAACTACAGGAGACCCATGTACCCCATCCTTAAGTACATGTGGGGCAAAGAGAACTACAGAGAAAGCATCAAGGTAAGAAAAAGGAGACTTCACTCATTTAATTAAATTAAAAATCCTTTATTTAATTTCTTTGTCGTATTTAGTCATATTAATAATACTCAGAGTTGAACTACTTAACATAACTACATAACAACGTCGGATTTTGATGAATATTGGCAGGATGGCAGTTAGAAAGAACACGCAGTAGGTGTTACTGATGCGTGGTGAGTGCACATTAAAGACCTTAATGGACTATGAAGTGCATTACAGAATCTATTAGCAGGTAGTTATATTGATAGCATGCATTAATTTTTGTTGATGTGCAGCTAATTAACTCCACCATAAGCCCTGTTTCTCTGTGTTAACTCACTACATCTTTCAGGTGGTTTTTATTATGAGAGCAATTGTCAGGAAAGAAAATAGCCCCTGGTGCTTTATTGTGCTCTTGTAGTGAGCAGGTAAACTTAACACCAGAATATTTTACTTTGATTAATTTAATGCAAGATAGGATGGGCTTTGGGCCCTTGCAACTGTCACTAGCTGTGATAGCGGTGATAGATTTTGCTCATCACTCGGTACAGGGATACTGTGGTTTATTATACAGAGTGATGTCTTCGTTTCCTTCATTATTTTTATATCTTTTTTCCAGCATTTGGCACATTATGCATCTGAAAACCTGGAGGCCATGAACCCCCCTCTGTTCCTTAGGTTTCTTAACCTTCTGATGAATGATGCCATCTTCCTCCTGGATGAAGCCATTCAGGTAAATAGTAGCTTATCCACATACACATTGCTGTTAATTTGGCTATCACAGTTCTGTTTTGCAGTGTAAATTATCAATGATTTTTGTGTTTTTGCAGGTAGATAGATAAATACTTAATTTCTTGCTGGAAATTGCATCATTACAGAAACCGCAGTCGGTCAGACAAAATCTTCAAACAGATGTTCAGGCACATTAAAGCAATCGACCATATGGTTATTTAATAAATCTTTTGGAAATAAGATTTTTATTTCTTATTTTTGCAGTCTGTAATCATAAGAAAAAGTGTAATGCTCTTTTTTTCTTGTATTGCAGTACCTGAGTAAAATTAAGGTTCTGCAGCTGGAGCGGGATCGAGGAGAGTGGGAGGGTCTGGCCCCTGATGCCCGGAGAGAGAAGGAGTCCAGCCTGCAAATGTTTGGACAGCTGGGACGCTTCCACAACATCATGTCCAATGAGACCATCGGCACACTGGCCTTCCTCACCTCAGGTCAGGCTGAAAAGACTTGCCTTTTCATATTGATGCACCCTTTCAGGGCGTGTCTTCATCTGCCCCATTATTTTTCTCTTGTCATTTCATTCATTTTCAGAGATCAAGGGGATCTTTGTGCACCCCTTCCTGGCTGAGAGGATCATCTCAATGCTTAACTATTTCCTGCAGCATCTGGTGGGTCCTAAGATGGGAGCCCTTAAAGTCAAGGACTTCAGTGAGTTTGACTTTAAGCCCCAGCAGCTTGTTTCTGACATCTGCACCATCTACCTGAACCTGGGGTATGTAGTGGACGTGTGTCTTGGTTGAATCATCAGCAGGAAATAAACAATTGTCTTCCGTGTGTGATTTGTTCAACCTGACGTCTTTTCCCTCCCTGTTCCTGTTGATGGCAGAGATGAGGAGAATTTCTGTGCCACAGTCCCAAAAGATGGACGGTCCTACTCTCCGACCCTCTTCTCCCAAACAGTTAGAGTACTAAAGAAAATAAACAAGCCTGGGGACATGATAGTGGCTTTTGGACTTCTTGCTGATAAAATCAAGGTATCTTTTTTTTTAACCGTTTGCCCGTGATAACTCAAGAATCAATCTTTATTTTCTGAATTCTTGCATTTGTCTCTTTTATGGACACAGCTACTGTTAATTTAGTTATTGAATTTAGTTAAATTTTATTCTGTCTTTCTTGTGTTGTTTTAGTCAAGATTTAGTTTAGAAACATTGAGTCTCATTTCAGTCAGTGTGTTTTTTTCCTCTGTCCTTTATCAACCCCATACTCCATTCTAATCGGAATGAATAAAAATGTGTCCACAGGTCGTCACTTTTCCTCTTTCCCTGCCATCTAAGCCACAGGTTTTAATCAGGCACTTGTTTTTTTGTGAGACCTGCTGCCAGAATAAGTTAAGCTTGGCTTTTGATAAGATTGTTGATAGCTGAGTTGTTTGGCTTCCTACCAGAGATCGGTAAACAAACCTCATACTGACATCCAACAGGCGGAAAATTCATTTGATGACAACAAAGGAGTCAATTATTTCACCTCATTATTATTTGTCGGAGCAATTATGAACGTAATTTTTGCCACAATTGTCATTGTCAGCATGCTTATTGTTACATCATCGTCTCTATTGAGTGCATCATTGAAAACTTATAGCCATTGTATTTCTTTACATAACTAGCACTGGATGCACCTAGAAACACTGAAGTGGTGTTTTCATTGCGTCTTCTTTACAGTCACATGCAGACAGACAACAGCAGGAGGAGGAGACGTATTCGGACGCCCCAGATGAGTTCTTGGATCCCATCATGTCGACTCTGATGTTGGATCCTGTGCTCCTCCCTTCCTCAAATGTCACAGTCGACCGCTCAACTATAGCAAGGCATCTCCTCAGGTTGGTTTCTGCAAAGTGATGAAATGCTATTAAGATTATATCTACTTGACAAATTGGGATGTTTGTGTACCTACGCTGTAAGTAAGAATAATCTTTAATCTCTCTTACAGTGACCAGACAGACCCTTTCAATCGTAGTCCTCTTACCATGGACCAGATTAGGCCAAATGAGGAACTCAAACAACAGATCTTACAGTGGCTGGATAAGCATAAGCAGGAGCGGCTGCAGATGGGGCCCAGTGGCTAGCCCCGATCCCTTGCTGCGGTAGACAATAACCACAACCTTGCTTCTTTTTCTTGGCCCATGTCTCTCTGGTCCCTGTGCTTATTGGCTGATCCATGAGGGGCTTGCCTTTGTTACTCTCCCCATCTCTTTTTCGTTACACCTGCTTCTTCACACAGCCTTCCCGCTCAGTGGATTCTTTCTGCAACTGCAAACTGTGGCACTTCAGGTTCCATGCACAGTAGCTGTTTGACTTTAATTACACCCTGTGGTAACATTAGCAGGGTGATAACCCCTCTTCCTGAATACTGTGTATTAGCTAGTAATCATGACAACCAGAACTGTGGCCAGAAGTATAAGTTTCAACAGGACTTGTTGAATGTACTCTTTGAACTCCTGACCAGATTTTATACAGCAAGGTAAGTATTTTTGGGAACTCTTCAGGCAGAACATTTGATGGCAACATTTATGATTTCACCTTGATTTCAGACATATTATGCACTGCCTTTTAAAGTTCTTGAACGCCCCATATTACCACACTTTTAGTTAAATCACAAGATTGTAAATAAAACAAGCAACTAAAGGTTAGGCATGTGTGAAATTGAATTTTGTGTCATTTTTATTTAGGTGTAAATAACACAAATATATTTACTGAAATATGACACCTGTAGCACAAAACGACACTGTGAAATATGTATTTAAACATTTAAAGGTCTGCAAGTCTTAATACGCTCCTGTCTTTAATCAAGCATTAAGCAAAAACAACAAAGATGTGAGAGCTTGCTCATTTAAAGATTGTTGGATACAAGGATGCAAACTTTGTTTTAGTTATTTCACAATATTAGTACAGATTTCAACCTCATTTTTACAATGTATTACATACCCAATAAACATTTACATAATTGCACAAATATTGATTGTGGAATTCAAATACCCAATGGACCAGACTTGATTAGTTCACACTCACTTCTGTGATAGGGCTGAATAAGGCTGAAGAAGATCCAGACACCTGTTTTCACTTTCTGATTGGTTCTCAAATCTCTTGGTAAACTCTGAAGTGTCAGAAATGTCATGTGTCCATAATTCTTTTTACCAGTAAGAGTTGAAATCGTTGTTTTCTCAGTCCACTTCTTTTATATCCCCTACTGCTGCTCCATTTCTGAACATTAGATGAATCACGAGATATTGGGTGTTCAACTATTTTTAATTGGCAGTGTATAGAACAGTCATTATGATCCTTAAATGAACATTGACCAGATTAACTGATTTATCATGACCTAGCATTTTGAACATTTTAGTGTGTGCAAGTGTAGTGTATTAACACATGGGCAAACAGTTTATCAGTAGAATCTGTGCCTATAACCAAGAGCCTTGCAGTAAATTTCTGCAAACGAGGATCTGACTTGTTTCAGTCTCTAAAGAATCATAACCATAGTTTTATTCTTTTGGGCTTAGATGGATCCGTGGGTAGAAAAACAAAAGAATGAAGATCGGAAAATGATGTTTTAATGAGTATTTCTTTGAATTCTCGAAATTCAAACTAAGTGGTGGTGTATAAAATGGCAAAAAGTAAGAGTAAAACTTTATGTTGGCATGCCCTCATACTGTATGTTGAATATCTACCACCTGAATGATTACATGGGTTAAATTATACTGCAATATTTTTGTTTTAATTGTGACAATAAAATGTTTATTTTGGATGTACAGTATGATTAATAAATAAAACTAAGGTGCATTATGTAAGACGGTGTGATTTTCATTTTACTACAACTGAGATTTAAGAATATTTATTTTACTAATCAGTAACACCATATGTAGTTGGAGAAACAGGATGAGGTAACCACTACAGATAATTAGAGTTTCATAATATTCGGCTTTTTTTCAACAGTATCAAGTGTATATGATGATACTCTGACAGTTTTGGCCTATTGAGCATACTATAAACATAAAGAAAATAAACGTGTTGCATTTTAATCAGCTTTGGTTCATACTCTTTTTTTTCTTATGACTGTTTGTCAAAGCACTTTGTAAAGTTCTGATTTAAAAGTGCTATAAAAATTAAGTTATTATTATTATTATTATTATTATTATGACTCTAGGTTGCAAAATAGTTTTGAAAGTTGCTCTTGCAGAAGTGAGTTCACTTTTGGTAAACGTTTATTGGGTTACATAATTTGTTTAATTGGCTTACAATGAGATCAGACCTAATTTTTCTAAAAGCAAAATTATCACCCCAACATTAAGAGGATTTTTTTTGTTCTCTCAATGAATTTATCACCTTCATGAGTGTGAAACTACTTGACATAATGTCTTCTTTTAGATAGAGGTTGTCAATTGTTGATTATGTATACGAAGGTTTCCAAAAAGGCTTCGGTATATGAAAGCAAATAAAAGAAATGCATTGGTAAATTTAAGTTTTACTCATCTTTTTTTTAAATATTAAATCACTCTTTAAAGAATTAATATTTTGAAAGACTTTACAGTGGGGTAACATAGAAATTAGGTGTGTAACTCATGGTAATACCCCAGCCTCTATGTCTATGCCACTAACTTAAAAACTTGCAATATGCTGCCTCGCTTGGTAGTAGCGATACTTAAGTCGTTAAATTTGATTAAATCTCATAATATTTTTTAGGTCCAGCGTTTAGACATAATGATTTCGCTGCCCTGAGATTCAAGTGCGAGGCTCCTTTCCCGGGCAAAACCCCTGAACCTGATTTGGATCCGGCTATGCACTGTCTGACTGGGGCCACAGAGAAAATGCATTGTCGGGGTTTCTTCAGTTCCGCCCCGCAACATGCATAACGATGTGTCGGCCAGTGAGAGCGCAGCGTTGTGGTGGAGGTTGTTTATGTGGAGTGCTGGGTTAGGGTTCCGCCCACTGAGGTATCTCTGATCGCAGGGCAGACAGGCAGAGAGTGTAAAATGGCGCACAGCTGTCGGTGGCGGTTCCCCGCTCGGCCCGGAGGGAGCAGCAACTCCGGTACCGGGAGGAGAGCGGGCCGTATCAGGGTTACTGCCTCTCTGCAGAATGTCTCCGGAGCCCACCCTATCGCAGCTGGGCTCGGACCCGGGTTTGATGCTGCACTACAGGTCTCCTCGGTTATCGGGAGCAACCTGCAGAAATTTCGGGATGTTTTGGGGGAATCGAGTGACTCGAGCAGCGGGGAGGTAAGCACAGGACCGGAGCATCAGTGGGACAGCTGGAGGGTCTACTTAGGGAGCCGTTTGACGCCGTTACCGTAAGCTAACGGTTCCTCTGAGCACAGACACTGACCATCTTTTTCTACTAACGTTAAGTGAGCAAACTTGTCATTTCAAGGATGCTCAGTTAACTTTGAGTTGTGGCCTTAAACTCTCCTCTTATATGTTATAACCTGAGCTAGAAACACCACACACACACAAACACCAAATGGTCGTTGGATTTATGGTTTCAGCATTCCTGCTTGAAACAAAGTTTTCTCACCCCGGTGGTGTGTGTGGAGAGGTTAACATTAAACCCAACAGTTTAGACAAACTGGTGATAACGGTAGTCTGCTAAATAAGACCAAAACACCTAGGTTAAATCCTGCTATTATTAAACTTGTAACTCTCTGAAACACTGAACTCAAAGCACATGTGCTGGCTCCAACATACACTGTAACCAAGATATTACTACTGCTTTACTATTTAGCTACTTGACATTAGCTTGATGTGGAGCCTTCGAGGCTATACGTGTTGCCTTCAGGATCATGTTCAATACAGTAAAAGTTGTGGTACAATTCCAACATGAACATTATTTCTGCTTCTGTTGAGAAGTGTTCAAATATATGTTTATTATCACGGCGTTTCTTAGCTGTGCAATATAGCCTGGGACCTCCGTGGTAGCATGTTGTGTCTGAAAACAAGGCATGTTAACTTGAAGGAGGCGAGTGTACATAATTGTGGTTTGTAACTGGTTAGCGTAAACTTAGCGTCTCACTGACGGAAAGCTCTGCTCCTCATGCACTTTACCCGTTTACACATTTATAACAGATACGTCCTGAAAGCGAATTAGCCAAGTATTGAGAGTGTGACTATCTCCAGTGAAGTGTCAAGCTCGTAGCGAGGCTCGGCTAACGTAGCTGATTGGTTAGCTCGCAGGCTAGCTGTCTACATCTCCCAGCTAAAGCACCACAATGTTCCTGCCGTCAATGATGGTAAAGTTGAATATTGCTCTGGAGGTGGTTGCTTCGCCTCCGGACAGCATGTACCAGTGTAGCGGGATAAAGTACGGCAGCCAAAGTTGGCAAAGCTCATGCACAAAACAAAATAATTTTCATTGCTGTTTACTGTTGAACTAGGACAGCTACCATGCTACGCACTACGCCACGCTAGCCATCGGGTCTATTGCTGATGCATAGGAAAATGGGAGGTGGACATGTTTTCCCTTCTCTACACAGCCAGTACGTAGCTAGTACCAACATAATAGCGGGTTAATAATGCTCGAAGAGGACGTCTGATCCACAGCCACACACTTTAAATCATCCTATCCTGTGTTGAAAGTGCTGATCAGAGTATTTCGGTGGGATTTGGTGTCTGTATTTGCCTGACTTGCTAGTGACAGTGCGCATGCAGGGCTGGCTACAATAACAACGAGCCCCTTCTTGACGAACCGTGTGATGTGGGGGTGTGTTCGCCTTAGCGAACTACCATCTTCCTCCTTCATGATGAGCAGCATGCGTTCATTGCAGTGGGAGTACACTGTGTGGGGATGTTTACCACCAGTTCCAGTGATCTCAGCCTCTGAAAGGACGGACGGACTGCGTATTTGGTTTAAGCACAGCAGAATCTGAATTACGAGTATACTTGATACTTATACTTGTATCAAGTGTACTTGAATTTTATACAGTTTTGCAAGCGTGCTTAAAATAGTTCATAACAAACAGTTGAGGTCATACTTTGTTGAACAGTGAAAATATTTGATGATGGTCGTATTTTTTTTTTATTATTATTTGTATTTTAGGTCGTTTTTTAAAAGAAAGCCTGATAATATCTTGAAGTATTGCAGCATTTTGAATGTGTATGGAAGGACTTATTACACTGTAGATGGTGATAGGACATGGTGATTTTTTAACAGAAAGTTTCAGGTAAACAAAAACATACTTGAAATATCACAGTGTGTTAAGGTTGCCTAGGGGTCTCTTCCACTCGCTCTTTGACAGACAGTAATAAGTGTTGAGATGTGGTTCCTATTGCATACCCAAATATCTGAAGGTTGCAGACATGATTAAAGTATTTTCTTTCATTTCATTGTATTCCTGGGAAAAAAAATAATTGAATGCCCCCTGTAAGATTTGGTGGGCAGCATCATCCTCTGAGGCAGATGGCTGCTTGAATAAGGGGAGTCCTGTCTTTTCACTGAATGAGCAATATTTGGGATGTGTTCAGGCCGGCTCGACCCTTGAAATCCCCACGGAACCTGAAGCCTATGGAAGTTGCGGACACAGCATGGTAGTTTCATTGAGAAGCAGCGTAGTGTCTGTCTGGCCAGAGCAGGGCAGGATTGTTCAGGCTGACTGCAGCCTGCTGAGCTTATGGGGCGACCCTGAACAGGGCGCCAGCCGGACACTTGGCCACCCCTCCTTCCTCCTTCCAGGCAGAAAGACCCAAATCCACTTCAGACACACACAACACCGTCTGAGAGGCAGAGCAACTTTTCTTCTGACAGCTGCCACTTTGGAATGGATTACTAAGCCTATTGGGATGGCTCAAAAGGGTGCTTGTTGGCCGTTGCAAGCCAAATGAAGGCATTTGTTACCTTTTGTGTGTGTGGAGAATACATTTTCTTGATTCAAACCAAATTGTCGTTGCTTATTTTGGTCACGGGTGCAGTCCATGTCAACTTTTTGTAGATGATTGATCTTATCACCTGTAATCTCACTTTCCATCTTAATCAATTTTGTATAATTTTCTATTTTTATTCTTGGTACATTATCTTATTACCAGTGTTTAATTATTCTTTCAAAAGTGCAGCTGAATAGATGTATCAACCCAAATGTCTCTTTGCCTCACTGGTTTGAGAGAAACAGCGTGTTAGAGCGGAAGGGGCTCCAGTCCAGCAGGTGTTTGGCCTATTTAAATAGAAGAGCCCCCCCTTCGCCCGCTTACCCATCCCCGAGACAGCGTGTGGATTGGAGCAGGAAGCTTTGTGTCTGCTTTTATTCTAGCTCTCACAAAGTGCGGGCGGCTGAAAGAGCACAGGCAGGGATATCAAAGGGTGCAGGGTGATCCCCCCCTTCCTCCCAATGGGACAACGCTGGGAGGAGAATTAGTCACAGACCCTCCCATCCATGGCTTTATTCTGCTACAGCAGAATGCTCTCTGAGTGGCTTGACTGGGAGGAAGGCGGCTGTTGAGTTGTCTTTCTTACTCTTTGTGTGTTTGTGTGTGTGTGTGTATGTGTGGTGTTAGGGTTAGGGGTGTCCCTCAGACTTTATGGCACTTATTGCTCTCAGAAGTAGGCGTTTCTTCTTTGTCTTTATTTTGATTAGAACTTCAGTTTATGTGGTTAGGTAAAGGAGGGTGTGTGTGTGTGTATCTGTTGGTTTCTGCCAGCTTGTTTGTTTGTGTGTCCAAGATGTCGTGTGTTTGGGAGGGCAAGAGAGACACCTCGCGCACGTGCCAATCACTCTGTTTGTCTTTGTCCATAGTCTTTCTCCCACTCCTTACATGGCGAGACTCCTCACCCCACAAAGTGTTTGTTTTGGTCCCTGAGTTGTTGAGCAAATGTGGAACAGTTGCATTTAGTGCTGAGACACTTGAAAAAACAAATGCCTACCTTTTGCTGGGGGCTGACAGGGGTCACAAAGCAACATGGCTGTGTAATTCACTCTCTCTTTCTCTGTATTAGTCTGTCATGATACTTTGTACACTTATTTGTATTTGCTGTGATTCCTCTCTGGTTCATTTAACAGATGTGTCATCAGAGGGGGCTTATGGGAGTATGAGCTCATCACTAATTTACATTCCAGGAAGGGATGAGGCATGAGTGTCTGTACAGTATATTCAAGACTAAAGCTTTCTGAAGTGTTGTTTTTTGAAGGATAAAGAGGAATAACTTCTTCAAAGGTGTCTACAAGTATCAAACTGATGAACCAAGAATCTTGCACAAATATTTCCACCAGTCTGAGTCAAATTCTTGTCTCCTCTTCCTACTCATTAATTGTATTGATGCTTTTCTACCTTAGAAATGCTCACATCTGACCTCAAACTTATTTGATTATTGTTCTTAATGTAAAATAAGGATGCTCCAAAGTGCTTGTTCTACACATGAAATGAAAATTTGAATTTCCAACTAACTGACTGGTCTATGGGTAAGAAAACACTCAAGTTGTTATATACCACCTTAAAGGGATATTCCGGTGAAACATTGATTTAGGGTCAAACACACCATAACATCGAGTTAGACACCCCGTCGAGAGATGAATGTTGTCGACAGCTTGCTTCTCTAGTTATACCAACTTTACTAACGACCGCACGATAGCAATACACAGCGGTCTGAGGAGCCATAAACAAACCTCAACCAAAACGTCACTCTATAGCCGCAATTAATGCTAAGAGCAGCATCTAACTTTATCAACAGTACATATAGGGTCCCAGCCATAGTACTAGCCACCAAACATCTTTTTAACTTTTCCTAATTTCTTTAGCAAAGAGACTAAACACAACTCACCTACTCTCCTCCAGCAGTCACTTGTTTGTAGTGAGACCTTGGGCCAGTCCATTACGGACTACAGCGGGGTGACGCAGCTCAAGGAAGAACATTTATGATCATTTCTTCATGGAAATGCAATCAGACTAAGGCAGAAGAACTACCATGTCTGCAGTGCAAAATGATAAATATGATGATTATTTCTTCAAGGAAATGATAAAGTAATGATCATAAATCATTCATTCATAATAAAACATTCATCTCTTGAGGGGGTGTCTAACTCTGTGTCACGGTGTGTTTGACCCTAAATTAATTTTAAGCTGGAAAATCCCTTTAACCAGACACAACTTTGCTAGTGAATGCAGAGCTTTATAGCTGTGCTAGTAACCAGTTTTCCAGCTTCAGATCCGTCTAGTGATCGCTGGCAGAGCCACCGCTTAAACTCCAAACATGATTTGCAAAAAAAGTCTTGATCTGTTCAGCTGGTGCTGTTTAGCGAGGGTAACAGTATTTAATCATTCAGTTGAATTAACGTGGACATGAACACATATGATGCACATTTTTTGAGGTTAGTGTTTCTGCCATACTTTCATACTATTTTTTTTTCTATCAACAAAGGTTTAGGAAGTTGAGTAACTCAAGGAAATTCAAACTTTACCCTCACTAGATAAGCTTTTTACATGACTGTAATATAAAAACAACTCAAAGATCTTTTGAGTGCATCACATTTGACAAAGTAGGTACAACTGAAAACAGTTGACCTAACACTGAAAAATATGAGCAAATGCTGTTCATCAAAGCTTAAATTTGATCATAAAAAGATCAAATAATATTAGTGTTACTGGTTAACAGTAGTCCAGGTACATTAAATGTTATTTGATCTAGCTAGGCTCGTCTGGAAAACTGAATGTCAAAGTTTGAACAAGTCTTTGAATAACAAAATCATGTCTTAATGTTGGTAAAATGATGCCTTTATAGGTGCCATTATATGTTTTTTGTCAAGGTTAGCAGCACTAGCTTCCATTGAGAGATCAGGGCTGAACCATTAGTATGACTTGATACAGTCATATGCTTCCTAACCTACATAGCATTACTTTTTGCGGTGGTGTATGAACATCTCACTGCCTCCTTGATGTTGCTAGATAATGCAAAAAGCTGCTTTATCTGCTAACATACTGTACTGATGGTTAGACTTGATCTTCATCAGTCTCAGTCTGGGATTACATGATCAAGCAAAGAGGTGTTTCAGAAAGCGTCCTGTTAACCGCAGAAATGAATTATTCTGGATCAAAACCTGGTTTATCTCCTGCCAGGGAAACTAGTTTCCAATCTGCAGCCCATCATCTTTATCAAGTGTGATGCCTTTAAACACTGCTTTGTAAGACAGTCCCATTTCCTTACTTGAGCTGCAAAAATGCGGTCAAAATGACTGAGAGACTTTTACCTCAAACCAAAAATATATCTGTTTCATAACTGGCAGGGACAGTCCCTCGCAACTCCTGCAAATGATAATGTCATTTTAGAAATGAATCAGATCAGCTTCGTTATCTGTGTCACTGGATGTTTTTTGTCAAGCCATCCTGACATTGATCAGTTCAGATAAGATGTGACAGACCAGCGGGGAGTAAAACTGCTCATGTTTTCACGGTGTGAGTGACAGTGAAAGCCAGACTAGATGAAGAACAGAAGCGGGTCTGTTCAAAAACACTCTTGTGCTCTCCTCAGCTGGAGAACTCTGAAAGAGAGCAGACTTCAGCAGAGTAGCAGGAACCTTTTTTATCCCCTGCATGTCGTAATGCAACCTTACCTTTCTAGTCTACTACAGTGTTTGTTTACTTCTTGAAGTCACCTCTCTGTGCCTGTTCTACTACTGAGCTCATGGCAAGCCTTGTGTATCACACGCTGCTCCGTGCTCGGTAGCTAGTGGGTGGGAAGCAAGCAAGAGAGAGCAATGAGTGAGCGACTGAATATGTGTTTGGGAGCATGGCAGTGAACAGGAATACGGGGGAGAAAAAAAAGCGTGCGTGGGGAGGGATGGGGGGTGTATGTGGGAGGCCTGTTTAGATTGAGATTGTGCAAGCTTCTGCATGAGCATGTTGAAAACCAAAAGCCCTTTCATCCTGTAACTCCCTGGAGACATCTGTGCCCCCCCTGTTGTTGATGGTGCATGTGGTCAAGATGCTGCCTCCCTTTTTTCTCTCCTCTTTACCCTCATCCCACAGCCCTCCTCCTTTCCTCACCCTTGTTTGCTTGCCTGCGCTCCCCTCCCCCCGCATCCTTACTCCCCTGTTCTACTTGTTTACATTTTGTTGTGCGGTGTATAAAAAAAGGGGGTGTGTTGTTTTGGTTATCCCTAAATATGTGTGTGTATATGTGAAGCCTACAGCATCGGGAGGTGCATTTGCGCATTTTCAACCATGCGTGTACATGAACCCCCACGGTCCCCTGCATGCACTTGCCTCCAGTAAAGCATGTAGTGATGTCATTGACTGTTACTCACACTACAACAGCGAGTCAGAGCTGTCCGTTGGTACTCCGCCCCCCTTAGCTCAGCAACAACACCAACCAGGAGCAGCAGCTTGCTCAGAGTAGAGAGGATGCTGGGAATATGGGATGACTGGGAGGAGAGGAGAGAGTAAAGTGGGAAGAGCGAACAGAGTGCATGGAGATAAGGACTGAGGATGCTCTGATAAATATTGTCTCCTAGATAAATAGTAGCACAGACTTGTTGTTTGTATATGGCCAACAGACTTAAGAGTCAAATTTGTTATTTTGACCATTAGTAATCAGTTCCTATTTCTCTATCATAAAACGTAAACACCTGACTTTGCTCACCTTTACCTCTCAGTGGTTGTTTAAATGAACCAACAGTAGGGCTTGGACGATATGCTTTTCTCCCGATGCAATTCATCTACGATTTTTTTATGCTGATAAGATTTAAATTGCAATTCTACGATATTGTCGATTTTCTCGATTTTTAGAGAAAGTCGGGAGAAAAGCATGTCGTCCAAGCCCTATTGTCTTCTGACTATTTCAGGAACCATAATTTACCCAAAAAATACACATCATATGTAAGTCAGTTTTTAAGATTTATTCTTAAATTTGAAAAAAAAAACAAAAAACGATTTTTGAACAAAAAAAAAAAAAAAAAATTGCTATACGTATGTGAATTGATTTTCTCTCCCGCCCCCAACCAACGGGCAGCTGTGTGCAAACATATACCACTAAATAGGCCTGGACGATATAGAAAAAAAGCATATCGATAAAAAATAAATCATATTGATCGATATCGATAATTATCGATATAATTATTATAATTATTTAACATATATTTTAATTGCAGCCCTGGATGTTTTATGCTATTGCTTAATGACCTACTTTTAATAAAGAACACACAAGCACTGAATTCAAATTCAAACCTTTATTCAACCACCTTTTTTATTTTACCACAACTGAAAGTTTTTTAAAAAAGAACTAAAAAAAAAGAAATCAACTTAAGTGGCCTGAGTGACGTCAGTAAATACTGACAAACATAAAGACTAAAGTGACCAGAAAATCTGATAAATAAATATTTAAATAGTCTTTTGATGAAAATAAACAAAACAAACAAATATATAAATAAACAGAATAGCTTTAGGTGGGAATAGCATACTACCAGTTTTAACTGTGTGGGAAACTGCCCACAGCCTGGTGTCTGAACACTGAAATATTTCTCCCGGGGTCGGGAGATTTTTTTTTTTTTTAATTATCATGTGATTGACTTAATACACAAACTAAGCACGAGAAGCAGGACTTATCCACGCCGGTGTTGTGTCGTAGAATGCACCCCTGCCGAATGCACCCCCTGCTAGTAGCCATGATCCAAATACTCGCGTCTTTGTAAAATATGAGCTCATTTGAACGTATTTCCTCCGCACCCTTCTCACCTTTTCAACCCCTGACCCATTTTCATGCCTGAAGCGCTGTGTTTGAGAAATACTTGCGGCCGGACACTTCATATCGCGGGTCGAGAGTGGCTAGAAGCTGTTTGAAGCCAGGCTTTTCAGCGGTAGTTATTGGCAGTATGTCCCTCGCTATGGAGCATGTTACTGCATGGGTGATGTCCTTATGCCGCTTGGACGCTTTGTCGTATTTTTGGCAAGAAACGAAGTCCAGTTTGGTCTGCTTCACATGCTTTGTGCTGGTGCTGGCAGCGGTTCCAGAGGATTCCTCCTCCGACGACGACGTGGAGCCGCGGCGCGGCCGACACAGCTCGTACTCCTGCGGGTGCGACCGGTTTAGATGGTAAAACAAGTTGGTTGTGTTACCAGACTTGGTTTTTACTAATTCTCTGCAAATTTTGCAAACGACCGCTGTTCGCTTTTTGTCAGACTTGTAAAAACCAAAACATTGCCATGCTGGAGAACTACTGAGACCTTTTTTCGGGATAATGTCCTCCGCTTCTCCTTGCTGTATCATTTTTTCTAATACACGTGCTGTCTGTTGTGGTTTGATAGGGGCTGGGCTTGGTGCCGTAGCGTACCTGGGTCTGCGTTTGTGATTGGTTTGGAGGAAGTAATGACTGTAGTAAAAGCTACATGATAGGCTATGATGAAAAAGAAAGGGAAACTGTGTTTTTCTATCGAACTTTTTATCGACCCGTTTTTTTTCTATCGCACCACACGTCTATCGATCGATATATATTGTTATCGAATTATCGTCCAGCACTACCACTAAATACAGAATTTCAAGCAACAGAGGCTGAGAGTTTACTGTTCCAGGTATTATCTGTTGCCCTGATGATTTGGGAAAGGTGATCACATTCCTTTTTCAGACGTAAATTTGAATAAAAACTTCAAGTATGGTGGTTTTAACAGAGCTGGTGAATGGCGAACTTTCAATAAAAAGCAAATTTAGGAATTGAGCTCTTGAACTTAAGGTATCTGTGCAGAACAGGATTTGATGATGGGGCTGATCGAGCATTCACTCCCTTTCTTCCATTTTCGCAGAGTGTGAAGTGAGCATACAACATTCTGAAATGATCAGGCAGATAGTTATACAAAGGTTTTTGAATGCCTTAGAACTCTGAGGTGATGCAAATCAGATGTAGTCATATGCACACAATTGCATGGACTACACTTAGGTAACAGCTGCTCTACAAACTGGGCCAATGAGAACTCGACTGCATCTGCACATGCTGCTATAAATAAACATGATGAAATGACACACTCACCTCCACTCTTAAACACACACTGATTGGAGTAGTGGTACTAAAAAGATGCTGAAGATGTTAATCATCCTCTTGTGATGTTTTTTTGTGAGCTTCACTGAGGCATTTTTAGATGCATGTTAACAACACCATATTTAGAAACTAGCTTTTAAAAAGTCACATTTTTGAGTACGCTGTTATGCAGTATCGTGAAAAATCAAGCGCAGCTTATGGTATTTAGTTGCATCTATTTCTATTTTTGTTGTAAGAACATGGCACTTCATTGATAAGATGTGGAATGTATCAGGTTAAGATTGAAGTATTTGATTGCTGCCAGGGTAATGAGGAATGTGAACTTGTTAGCCCTCATTATGACATTTTTTGCACTCGGGCACCTACAAAAATTTCAGTTCTAAAAGAGGAAGCATTTGAAGAAAAACTCAAATTAAAACTGTGGGTGAAAAAAAAGGTTAAAGGGTCAGGGATTTTCTCAGGGACTTTCTGACTCTCCTGAGGTGAAACCAGTTGGTCAGAGGCTGTGAGCTGAGCTGCTCAAACTGGCTCTGCTTGTTTCCTGGAGCTTGTCTTGATTTCTTCAATATACCCAAGGATTTACCCAGACAAACAATCAGCAGAGTTCTGTCTGTTAAAAAAGACTATTATTTGTTCACATTGACTTTTTTATGTGACAAAAATAACTTTAAAGCATTTTGTTATGAGTTTCGCATAATTAAAGGCGCGGCCCACTTGACTAGCAGGCTTATGGCTCGCCTTGACTGGCTGGGGGCTGTGAGCTGAGTTGCAGCTGTGGACTCTGTCTCATCTTGTTTCTAGGAGTGTAACTTGTTTATCACATGTAAGAATTTTCTCAGACAGCTAAATTAACCGTAGAGGACCCTCTTCATAGAAAAAGGACCCAAACAAACACAAGAATTTTTAAGAATTTAGCCTTCGGGGATGAATAAAGCTCTTCTTATCTTTCTTAACTTAAGCAGTTTCGATTCAGAACACTGTATCCCTCTTTAACAGTTTCTCGGCAGCTCAAACAATGCTGTATGGGAGTGTAATCAAACGTATGTTTCACCCACATTGAGTTAAAAGCTGTACACTTACAGGGTATTGTTGTTTTTCTGCAGTTTGATAGACTTTTAAATCCATTTAGTCATGTTACAAATTATTAACTCTATTTATTGGAGTTAAATTTCTCTGTGCATGAAGAATAATTTCTGATGGGACTTTATTTTAATACAACCCACCAGTGTTTTTTTAAGACTTATGAAGCATAATCTTCAATTTTCTGCTTCTTTGTTTACGCTCTGGCAAGGTATAATGGAAAATATTACCAATTATGAGCTAAGTGTATGTATGTCTCATTTTGTTTCGGTAAAACTGAGACTGAGACTGAAAAAATGCCAGCTGTGTATAATGAGCATGATAGCCTCTTAGAGCACAGACCTGTTTTTCTGTTGAGTTTCTTTGCTCTGGCTGTCTCCTCAGTCAATGCATGACCAACCACCTTAGCATCTCTCTGTTCCCTCTGGGCGCAGAAAGCCTGTAGGATGCGTTAGTCACTGAGTGAGATTTGCTTGTCTGCAATAAAAATTGTCTGTTGTGGTTTGAAACCTCTCCAAAACTGCGGGCATGTTATCCCTAAAAACCAAGGAAACATGAGAGCGCCAGAGCAAGCCAGCAGGCAAAAGTGAGATTGAAGACATCATTAAAGCTCTGAAACCCTGGTCATCATCTGAGTCGTACTGCAAAAAATGACCTGAGTTTTGCACATTTAGGCCAACTGACAATTACTAACCATGATGGATGCTGCAAATTTGACCTTTTAACTGGCCATCGGGTCTTTCCCTGTATTTTAGTATTACTGTTATAATGTATTGTGCAATTGGTGGTTAAAAAGGATTCAAAGATTTATGGGTGCCTCTGTATTTTTTTTTAATAGGAAGAAGCATTTGGAGGATTTGGAACAGTTACTGAGCAGAAAAGAATACAGAGTCCTTCAACCACCACTTCAGGTAAAGTTGTTATAAAAAGACTTCAGCTCTTCAGAGAAGAACCTTGCTTTTGCCTCAAAATGCATGTCTAGTCTAGGTGTCCATATTTTCTTGATATCCAGTTCTTCTAACCGATTGCCTTTTTTTCCTGTGGGTTTATCAGCAGGCCCACCCCAACAGGAAAAGAAGCCCAGAGGTCGTCCTCCAAGAGCCCTCACTGCCCAAAAAGCTGCTGCAAGTCTACCCTCCCCTTCCTCCCTTCCCTCACCCACACAGGCCAAACCTGAGGGCCCTGAAAGGCCAGCTGAAAAGGTAAAAAGGCTGCCTGGAAGGCCACCTGGTACTGGAGAGAAGAGAAGAGGCCGACCCCCATCTTCAAGTAGCAAGAAAGCTTGGACTACCGGCGGCCATGCAGCAGGGGAAGAAATTAGGCCTGCTGGATCTGAGCTTGGCATGGACACAGAGGAGGACAGTGACAGAAAGGGTGTCAAGAGGACACCACTGGGCTCTGCTCAGCCACAAGAGACTGAGGCAAAGCTTCCCAAAGGTGTGCGGGGTGAATCCAAAGTTACCAACCTGAAAAGATTGAGAGCGACTAAACTTGCTCCTCTCAAGTCACGGCTCAAGACGATGCCTGGTGTACCCCGACGCAGACGTGGGCGACCGCCCTCAGCTGAGCGTCTCAAAGCTGAGGCAGCAGCTGCTGCTGCTGCTGCTGCTGCACAGCTTTCTACCTCCATGGAATCTGGGGATGGGAAACACAAAGTCTTTAGGGCCAGAGGGGGGGATAGATGCACAGAACCACAAACTCCCCAGCCTATGCTGAGGAATGTGGATGGTGCTGAGGACCAGGACTCTTCCAATCCACCTACTTCCCCATCCCCCTCTGCGCCAGGTAGGACAGTAGGCCTCAGAAAAAGCCCTCGCCACAGAAAGCCTGTCAGAATTGTCCCCTCATCCAAACGCACTGATGCAACCATCGCCAAACAGCTGCTGCAGCGTGCAAAGAAAGGAGCACAGAAACGACTGGAGAAGGAAGCCATCGGGGGGAGCGGACCAGGGGCCATTGAGGCTGGCATCAGGAAGACCCAGCTGAAGAACATCAGGCAGTTCATCATGCCTGTGGTCAGCACCGTCTCCCTTCGTATCATCAAAACCCCCAAACGTTTCATTGAAGATGAGGGCAGCTTTGGGACCCCTCCACCTCACATGAAGATTGCACGATTAGAGGCAACCCCTTCATCCGTCTCTACATCTGCTCAACCCACCTCCACCTCCACCACCACCACCCCCTCCCCTGCCCCTGTACTAGCCTCCTCTACACCTGCTGTTACCAGCACTGGTACCACTGCTCCTGTTGACTCCCTCCCCCCTCCGCCACCTCCTGCCCCTACCCCAAGTGCCCCCTCGACAGCTGCCAATCTGCTCAACAGCAATACCAACAGCACCAACGCCAATGGACGGTTTAGCAGCAGCGCGGCATCTTGTGGCTCGAGCGCAGTATCGCAGCACTCCTCCCAGCTCTCCTCTGCAGAGTCTTCCAGGTCCAGCAGTCCCAGCTTGGATGACTCATCATGTGACTCCCAGGCTTCTGAGGCCACGCAAGCTTTGTCTGAGCCAGACGACCACTCTCCGTCCTCACAGGGAGAAAGGGAGGCCAACCTGTTGCACAGCTCTCGGCCTCCCTCTCCTCCCTCTGAGCCGGAACCAGAGCACGTGTTGGCAGAGTTGAGTCGGCGTGGCCGGAGAGGACAGGGTGTGGGCCAGGGCGGTCAGAGTCAGAGGGTTAGAGAGACGGTTGGCGCTAAGAAGCCAATTATTAGCCCGCCGACAGGTGTGCTGTTGTCCTCCTCTACTCTTGTGAATTCCCAGCAAGCTTCATCCACAGCCTCCTCCTCTTCTTCTCCTCCACCTCCCCCTCTCCTTCCTCCACAGCCTCCACAGTCAGCTTCCTCGAATGTAGCCGCGATCAGTGAACACCACTCTCAGTCCCCCTGGATGTCTCATCTCATCCCTCCGTTCCTGCCTGGACCGTCAGTTCTGTCCAGCCTGTCAGACAAACGAAGTCGCTCAATTCTAAGAGAGCCCACCTTCCGCTGGACGTCGCTGTCCCACCCTGAACACCAGTACTTTTCCTCAGCAAAATACGCCAAGGAGGGCCTCATCCGCAAGCCCATATTTGACAACTTCCGTCCTCCCCCTCTCACCGCAGAGGATGTAGGGCTGTTACCACAAGGTGGGGCAGGGGGAGCTTCCCCAGTTTCCTTCCCCACACCCGGCAGTGGAGGAGGAACAGGGACACGGCTTTTTGCCCCTCTTCATACACACACCCAACACCAACATCCCTCTTCATCCCGCTTTGATGCAACACTCCAGAAGCGCAGCCCTCTGCTCCGTGCTCCACGCTTTACACCCAGCGAGGCCCACTCTCGGATATTTGAGTCCGTTACCTTACAGTCATCTTCTGGAAGCAGCCCTGGCTCTCTCTCCCCACACCAGACATCCTCGAGCTCCAGCAGAGCGTCACGGCGCAGGAGACGACTGGTCTCTGCAACACTACGTGGCAATCCGAGGTCTCCTTCCCATTCAATGACCAGACGCAGCAGTCAAATAGGAGGACCGATATCTGTGGGCAAGGGGTCTGCTGAGATGTCTGTGCTGTCAGGATCTGTCTCCACCAGTAACTCCAGCTCTTTGCCAGGGGTTTCTGCAAGTCCTTTAGCCACTAGTGCCTTAACTCCTGCTTCTTTTAGCACCTTCTCCACTGTTTCCCTTGGTCTGGCTCCACAAGGGACACCTGATAGCAGGAGGGGGGCTTCTGGAAACCCGCCTTCTTTGTCAACTTCAACATCTTCTTCTTCCCCACTTTTCCCCCTCTTTCCTTCCAGTGCACAGGACACAGGGCGAGGAGCCGGGAAAGGAAGTAAAGACAAAAGCCTGTCAGCTATCCAGGAATCTGCACCCAAGGAAAAAGAAAGGGACTCTGAGAAAAACAGAGAGAAAGAGAAGGAGAACAAGAGGGAGGGGAGAAAGGAGCTGGAGAAAAGAGGTAAAAATTCGACGCCAGATGGCTCCCCAAATGCACCTTCCAGTTTGTTTACTGTGGATGGGAGGGACTCGGAAGATCCTCATCTAACTCTTGCTCCAAAAAAGACCCCAGGAAGAAAAAAATCCACATCAGTCGACATGAATCCTGACACTGCCTCCTCAGAGTTGCGCGGCATCCACTCCACTGTTCCGATTTCAATTGCTAAAGGACGTTTGCCTAAGAAAGGACGACTGTCAGAGAAAGGAGCAGAGATGGAGGACGGGGAAAAGGATAAAGAGAAACAGAACGCTCCAAGCCAGCAGATAGCAAGCCTTCCAGGGCCACCAGGCAGACAGCAGCTCCCGGTTTCCTCTCTTGGACCAGTGTTGGAGCATGCAGCAGAGAAACAGCCTGTGACTGACAAGCGAGTTGTTGGACTGTTGAAGAAGGCCAAAGCACAGCTCTTTGAGATCAAGAAGAGTAAGCTGAAGCCTGCAGATCAGACCAAGGTCCAGGTCAGTCTTCTGCTCGGGTCTTCTGATTATGACCCTATGATTGTTTTCATGGAACATAAGCAGTATAGTCTCTGTCAGTTTTACAAACAAAAGTGTTTTAGGTAAAAAAAATCTTTTGAGACCACAGTGAGATCTGTCGGCACGTTGTGACTTCCTGATGTTCTGAAACACCAAAAAACAGGCCCACACCTCTGCAACACTCTGCAGGAAGGTACCAGATTCAGTCAGATCAAGCCTCATCCAGCCTGATGTATCTTCACTTTTATATTAGTACTGCATCAACGCTTGTAAATTACGATATTTTGACTACCATAATAATAGCCTCTGGTAGATGACTTTGACATGATGCTGTGAATATTCACCGAATCTGTATGTGAACTCGATGTGAAACTTCACAATGGGAAAGTCCCATACAGGGTGTTGCTCAAGGGGAATTCTGTTAGCCTCATACATTATGCAGAAAGCAGCGCAGGCAACGCTTTTGAAAGTGTTGTCTTTTGAACAGATGAGTTGCTCTGTTCTTGGTCTCTTAATCTAAAGATTAGATGAGTAAAGGAAGTCATTGAACAGTTTTTAGAAGAAAAAAAAGTCCCTGTCTCAGTCAAACACTTCATAGCATCTGCCAAACCTCGAGTATCGACTTTACCCTCTGTCCTTAGCAGCCACATCATTATCATCGTTGTCCTCTGTGTCCTTATTTGTCTGGATAAATAAGAGTTTTATAGAAAGACTCACTACAAACAATAAACAGTCAAAACAACCTACTAGATTATCAGTGCTGACAATTGTAAGAGTGCGTGATGTCTTTGCTTGATATCATTAAAAGAAAAGCTCTTCAACTTTCAGCAGTTTTTGCCTATGCTGTCTCACAAACAGGGTCAAGAAAGTGACTCGTCTGAAACCTCGGTCCGTGGTCCACGCATCAAGCATGTATGTCGTCGCGCGGCTGTGGCGCTTGGTAACCGGGCAGTTTTCCCTGACGACATGCCCACACTTAGTGCCTTGCCCTGGGAGGAAAGAGAAAAAATCCTATCTTCTATGGGGAATGACGGTGAGAACATCTCTCATTTGACCTTTATAAGGATAACAACCTCAACCTGAACTTTTATCAACTGTTAGATTGAAAGAATGTATGAATATATTAAACTTACAGCCTCGCAAATGAACAGCTGCACGATACAGAGTGTACTGAGTTTAATGATATGTTTGCATCTTAACAGAGTCAATGTAGAGAACTTGATTGACTCGCTGTATTTCTGAGAGCTGAGTGCCCGATGTTCATAACACAACATCTGTGTGGGTCCAGAGAAAGATTGAACAGCATGCAGCGATATCAGGCTAGTCACAGAAGCTCAGGCATCACTGGATACAATAAGTCCACAGAACAGTGAAGTGCAAAAAGATGGAGTGCGACATCAAATAAATTCCCCTGTCAATAAACCAGCACCTAAACAGAGTCTGTGACTGTATTAATTGAACCTGTGCCTTTCACTTCGATGAATTATTAATGCGATGTGTGCTTCACAGACATTTTCCAATCCAATGTGTAAAAGATATACTGTTTTATTTTATGTGTTTATGAGGCCATTTATTTCTCTTCTTTCAGACAAGTCATCAGTAGCAGGCTCTGAGGAGGCTGAGCCCCAGTCCCCTCCCATAAAGCCACGTGAGACTCGCCAAAAGGCTGTCCAAGAAGCCCCTCCCAAGAAGGGGCGTCGGTCGCGGCGCTGTGGCCAGTGCTCAGGCTGCCAGGTTCCGGAGGATTGTGGCGTTTGTACCAACTGTCTCGATAAGCCCAAATTCGGAGGCAGAAACATCAAAAAGCAATGCTGCAAGTGAGTATTAGTTGATTGTATTAGTCTTATAAGACGTGAATGTGTGAATTGATTTTAATATGGAGGGAATTTCTTTTTTTAAGGATGAGGAAGTGTCAGAATTTGCAGTGGATGCCCTCAAAGATGTTTCTTCAGAAGCAAGGCAAAGGCAAGAAGGACAAGAAAAGGAACAAGTTGCCTGATAAGAAGGAGGGTCTCAATCCGGTGAAAAGTTCAAACCCAGAGTCTGGTCCCAAAGCATCTCCTGCACCGCCAAAGGAGGAGCCTCCCCGCAAAAAGAGTGAAACTCCACCGCTCAAGCTGGTGGAGGATAAGTCAAGACAGCAGCAGCCATCTTCAAAGCATTCATCCCCAGCCCTCACATCTTCCCCCGCTCCAGTGGAACCCCCCCAGGCCCCCAGCACAGGCCCAGCACTGACACAGTCTCCAGCACCAACACCCGACACCAAACAGCCCTCTCTTACAAGCAGTGCCACCAGCAAGAAGGGACACAAACTCCAGCAGTCTGTACCGACATCCTCCTCATCTTCCTCGTCCTCTTCCTCCTCCTCTACGTCTTCATCTTCTTCGTCCTCATCGTCGTCCTCCTCCCCCTCGTCTTCGGCTCAGAATTCCCCCTCTCAGTTTACGCAGTCTCATCCACCATTACAACAGCAGCAACGGCTTCTTACGAATCAAGCTCCATCTAAAAAAGACACGTCACCCAAGATTCTTCAGGGCGAGCCCAAGAAAAAGCCCCAGCAGCACTCATCGCAACAGCAAAGCTCAACTCCAACAACTTCTGACACAGGTAAAAAAAGAACTGTTCAACTTTTTGTCGTCTCTTAAAAGTCAATTTAAGTTTACTCCAATAACAGCAATTCAGTTCGTAGGTCACCCATCATGCTTAGGCGTAAGGTGTCCATGAAAGGTGTATAATAGGAGTTCAGAACAGACCGCCACGTTGACAGCGTCTGGCTGCTCTTACACTCAGTGGATATTACTGATGTCACGAGTCTGTTATGTAAAAACTACAATTTGCTGCAGATGGACTAAAAAAAGGGCAGTGCCCTCTTGCTGTGTTGATTTATGCAAACTCATAAACTTGGCGATCAGTGTGACTTCATTCAGGTTTGTACATAAAATGAGGTAAAACATACACCCAGGATCAGACAGTCGTTAGCAGGTGAGACAGTCTAAGAAGACATCTGTAAGGTTTCATATCTCTAAATCTGAATCTCATATCTCTACAGATTATTTTTAATCCCTTTTGTTCTGTATTCACATAGTGAAATCAGATCCTGTTTTGTTGTATAAATTACTTTTAATCCTCTTAGCTCAAAATAGGTTGATATAATTTATTTGGTCTTGTGTCTTCTTGTATAAATATTAGTATCCATCGGGTCTGTCTGACTCAGCTTGTAAATAAAGTGTGAAGCACACTGAACTGCAAATATAAACGCTCCACCGTCAATGACATTTATTGATTTATGACATGCAAACAGTCATGATTCGTCAATGACGTCATTCCAACAGCAGGAATCACACTTCATCTTTACAGTGGTTTACTTCAACTGTTCTAATTTGTAAAATATGGAATAAGTTATGACTTTGCTGCCGTCATAACTGATCGTTTGTCATGCAGGTTGAGAGAGGGCGTAACTTTAAATGCAGTTGATGCAAAGATTTGTGGGTCATTTTTCCTACTCACCTTTTGAAAAGGATCGTCCAGTGTATCCTGTGCTCAGGGGGTAATAAGAAAAACAATGCAGCCCCTTTCCTTATCATTTCAAGAATTTCTGTGTTGGTTCATGTAGTTGGTGACCTTTACCAAAAAGGACAATTGAAATGGACTCTGGGTTTTTAGCAGCGTTAAATCGCATCCCAGATTTGACTCCCACCTTTGACCCTTCTTGCCCATGTATCTCTTTTTCCTCCCTGTTTCCATTGTCTTATATCCCTATCGAGGCATGAGAAAGACCAAAAAATAATGTACAAATTCACAAAGTAATTTGCCTTTTTAAGGGAAGATTTTTTCCACAGTTTTAGACCATAAAACAGAAAAGCAGCCTCACAATCCTCTCTGTTTCACGGGCTTGTAAAAAGGCAGACAGCAGAAGATCTTTAAATAAGTTAAATGAAAGTCTATTGAAAGGGAAAGTCAATAGATAATGTCTCTATAAATGACTTGAAACACTTTTTAAAAAATGGTCAAACACAGACAGAGCCAGTGTGATGGTGTTAGCAGAGGTACTCTCTTTTCTGTAGGAGCCAAAGTCCTGTCTACAGTTTTCTAAATGGTCATATAGTGATTTAATGTGACTTTTTCCAGACTCTTTAGATTATTAGATATATACTTGACCTGAGCAATAAATCAGCATTTTTTGCCTGGAATTAAATTGGATTTCAAAAGTTCTTCTTACAATGTTCCTCCACTAGAAGAATGGCTTTGTGGGCTGGTTAGCTGCTATCAGTGTATTATCTGTTTAAGGACAGGAACTGATTATTATACTCTCAGCTTTTGTAACTACGGGTAAAAGTTCCTTTTTTGTACATTTTATGAAATCTCCTGAAGGCCGTCTTATTCAGTGATTCATATAAAAAGAACACAGAGCTGGAATTTTCTGGCAAAGAAAAGGGGATGGATGTTTGCTTGTGTATTATCTGTAAAATACAATATTTAATGTGGTGATGTCTTTGTTGCTAGGAGGGAGCTTTAAAAGAAGAGAAAAAAGTCGTCTATTCATTACCTAACTCTTTGTTCGGATGGTACATCCCTTTTTTTTCACAGTTGAATCAAAACAGATGAAGAAGCCAACTTCTCGCTCTGTTCCTCCATCTCCCAAACAGAGAGCAAAAGACAAGGTAGGAAGAAATCACAGTAGGACTTCAATCCAATCGTTTTTTAAGCCTAATTAGAAATTTGGATGCCAAGTGTTTTGACAATGTTTGATCTCTAAAATTTTCCCTCTGTTGTTCTCATCTTGTCTTCTTAAAGCAGCCGCTGACCACTAAATCCCCCAGCAGCAGTACTTTAAACTGGCTGGGCACTCCCTCGACTAGGGGCCAGACCAAGTCCAGAGCGCCCTGCGACGGAGTGCATCGAATCAGAGTGGATTTCAAGAGGGACCATGATGTTGAGAAGGTGTGGGAGGCTGGTGGCCTCAGCCTGCTCACCTCTGTGCCTGTCACGCCCAGGGTGCTCTGCTTCTTGTGTGCGAGCAGCGGAAATGTTGAGGTAAAAACTTTGTGAATTTCCCAGTTTGGGATCAATAAAGTATATCTATCTATCTAAAAACGTCCGTCGTGATTAAAATATTTGCTTTGAAACTTAACTACAGTGAGCTGACAGTCTTAACCCTCCCCCCTTTTTTTGTCTTCCTTTAGTTTGTCTTCTGCCAGGTGTGCTGTGAACCCTTCCATCTCTTTTGCCTGGGGGAGTCAGAGCGCCCTCTCCGGGAGCAGTTTGAGAACTGGTGTTGTAAAAGATGCAAATTCTGCCAGGCCTGTGGACGCCAGCATCAGAAAACTGAAGTAAGCCATTCAGCCGGGCTCTGTGCGTTTTAAAAGCTGTCCACAAAAGAAGCTTAGTGTCGAGTGACAGTGTGCAAAGGCTTGAGAATCTTCTTTTGAAAGGCGCTAGCTAGCTTTGCCAGCAGACAGCACTTAATCAGCTTCTTGGCTCCCTGCCACGATTTTATTATCTATCTCAAGTCCTGTGTAAAATTTGCATGGTGTGAGGCTTGAATGGTTGTCAGTGCAGAATTATGCATAAACATATTTAGGGTTTTGAACAAATTAAAACGCCTGTTTGGTTGTTTTGTCTTGTTGACACATCATTATGCTTTGTATATTGTTGGTTACTGGACAGTGGAAACAGACAGACATGGAGCGAGAAATAATCCTCCATCCAGAGACCATTGAGTCATTTATTACTTGGACTGGCTTTTATCTCTGACTAAAGAACTGTCTAAACAGCTGCAGGTCTTAAACTCTCTGATTCATATCCTGGCCTTTAAAGCGTGAAATAGTCAGTCAGTCAGAAATCCTGCTTCAAGACACTGGCCTTAAATTTAAACGATCGACCTTTTATTTTCTTTACTGATTGAAACTTTTTTTTGCTTTTTGTCGCCATAGCAGCAGCTGCTAGAGTGTGATAAGTGCCGAAACAGCTATCACCCGGAGTGCCTGGGTCCCAACTACCCCACCAGACCCACAAAGAAAAAGAGAGTCTGGGTATGAACACACTCCAGTCTTTATTTACACTTCTCTATAACCTCTCACCTCTTTGTAGCTGTGAGAGCCTGCCCTGTGCCTGTCCGAACTTTGGCTTGACACTCACCTTTCTTTTAGTTCACTTCTATTTTCTGCTTTCTTCTTTGTGCATCTTGTTTTCGTAGGCCCCCGTTTTCAATCATCTTTTACAAAGCCCTTTATTTCAGTTACATTTTGAGGCTTTTATGACCTTGTCTGGAGAGGATAGGATAATGAATAGAGCAGGAAACCAGAAGAGAGAGGAGAGTGACGTAGGGGAATGTGTCCCAATCATGAGACCAAACCAGTACCTTACTGCTCTAACGTGTTAAACAAATGCTTTTTATTTTGCATGTAGTTGTTTATCATTTCTATATTGTTTTTTTAGGTTTGCACCAAGTGTGTGCGCTGTAAGAGTTGTGGGGCCACCAAACCTGGGAAATCCTGGGACGCCCAGTGGTCACACGACTTCTCCATGTGTCATGACTGTGCCAAACTCTTTGCAAAAGGTAAGTGAGAAGCATTCAGAGCCGTGTGAGGGTTTGTTAAGAGACCGACCTTTGATTTTGAGGTTTTATGAAAACTTTTAACTCCTGTCTGTATTTAAACTTATCCTCTGTCAGGAAACTTCTGCCCCTTGTGTGATAAGTGCTACGACGACGATGACTATGACAGCAAAATGATGGAGTGTGGCCGCTGCAACCACTGGGTTCATGCGAAGTGTGAGAATCTGACAGGTCAGTTTTCAGGCACGAGTTGACTGTATGTTCTTCATAAATCGAGCTCTTTATGCTACATTATCATCACTTGTTGGACTCCTTTTGTCTCGTCAGTCGTCAGTGTGTGTGCCGCTGACTGACAGGCTCTCCTGTACACACTGTCACGCTGAAGAGAGACAGAAAAACATAATAATGGGAGCAGTGATGACCTGTCATGTTTCGCCTGTCATCCAGATGAAATGTACGAGCTGCTATCAAAGCTGCCAGAGAGTGTTGCCTACACGTGTACCAAATGCACCGACCACCATCCAGCTGAGTGGCGGACGGCGCTGGAGAGGGAGCTTCAGGGCTGCATTCGTCACGTCCTCACTGCACTGCTCAACTCACGCACATCCTCACACCTGCTGCGCTATAAACAGGTTAGATTCACACACTGTTGCTCCTTTTTTGTGATTTCAAATGTAATAGGACTCATTTCAGATGTTTGTCAAGTTTTAGCATGGTTAGATTTTCATTCTCACAGCAGTTGTGTACTGTGTCTTTTAGGTACAGCAGTCATAAATAGAAATTAAAATATGATGAATGCCCCAAGCCAAACTAATCTCTGTGTCCGACACGCTGGCTTTTGTACAGGCAGTGAAGCCTCCAGAGCTGAACCCTGAGACAGAGGAGAGTCTTCCATCCCGGCGCTCTCCAGAGGGCCCAGATCCTCCAGTTCTGACAGAGGTCACCCCGACACCTCCCAGTGACTCTCCTCCAGACCTGGAGTCCGTTCAAAAAAAGATGGATCAAGGCCGCTACAATTCAGTGGTAAGAGTGTCTGAATAAAAGCAACATCCCTGCTGTTTAAACCAATGGAACCTGGTGCAGTTTTATACTGCCAGCAGTGTGGCATCATTTTCTTTGATTAAAACGCAGTCTTTGTCTGTTTTCATAACTGAATATTTAAGTGAGGACCTGAACTCGAGGTGTGTCAGAAGTGGTGATGTGTTAATGTTGCATTAACAGTATCAGCTGTAAGATAAAACAACATGATGCAAAAGCCACTTGCTTTGCAAAACTGGCAGTTTTCTGTTTCTGTGACATTCAGTGGCTTTTCTGCCCCACAGAGAAGCTCAGTGTATTTTCACAGACTGCCTATTATGTGATGTTTAATTTTCCTAATTTTGGTCCATCAACCAGTCAGAGTCTTTATCTGTGCTCATCTGACCTTAAAGAGCAGTGGGAGCGCAGCTTAGCCTGAGCTGCATGTTAAAAGAAGCTAAAACATCAGCTTTCCTTGTTTTATTCAATGTGTCTGTTTTATCATTGTTTTCAATTAAAACTACTTTCGGTATCAAACTGTAATTTAGTCTTCAAAAACTCTTGTCCTGAAGATCAGTCTCAAAAAGGGGGTCATCTTCTAATCATCCTTTATTTGTGTCAATGTTTTTGCACTATGATTAATCACATGTTCCAGATGATGTTTTAAACATCATTTAAAGCTCTCACAAAGTTGTCTGAATACGTTTAAAAACACTCCTAAAGTAGATTTTTTTCATGGTAGACTTTAGTTTTCTCTGTGTCCCGTTCTCTTAAAGCTGCTGTTCTGTTTATGAAATATAATGATCAATTAAAACAGACACCTACTGTGACAAATCACTGTATTAATGATTCCTTCTTGCATTTCTCTCTCAGCTGGAGTTCAGTGATGATATTGTACGGGTCATTCAGACAGCCATCAACAGTGATGGAGGCCAGCCTGAGAGCAGGAAAGCAAACAGCATGGTCAAGTCTTTCTTCATTCGGGTAAGAACCTCTAAAAAAAATGAACAAAGAGCCACTCCATACTTGATTAAAATGTTGAAGTTTTTCTCTCTTTAGAAAGTTCTCTAAAGAAAGTTTTTTTTGTTTTGTTTAATAAAGGTTTATTATGCGGGCATCTTGATGCTTTACATGGTTTACAAGGCTCTACATGCTTAAGAAGATATCTGAAAATAATTAGAAGACCGAGTTCATTGAAAGATTAAGCTATAAATGAACAAGATCTAAAAAGTGAAACTATAAAATAATTCCGGCTTCCATCGTTCGTCATTCTCGAACAGCTGGCTCTCCTTGACAAACTTAAAAAGACACAGTGAGTTTCAGGAAGTGCCCCTTCAGTTGATTCAGTTGGTTTGTTGTCAACAGTATGTGTTAATTATTATCAATCCCTACATTATCACCGTTTAGAAATCCTAAACTGCACCCGTATGTGTTCGTCTTATACACACTTTTTGCCACTCAGTGCATCTTAAAGACTCAGGTGTTAGCATTAGCCAAGTACAGGGGCAGTTTTGCTAATGTGTCGAATGTTTCCTGTTTCAGCAAATGGAGCGACTCTTCCCCTGGTTCAAAGTGAAGGAGTCAAGGTTCTGGGAACGGCAAAACGTCTCTAAGTAAGTGGTCATTACGATGGGATTACTGTTCACTGATCATTTTCTCAAACTTCCCTGGCAGATTAGTCCACTTAAGTAAGCAATCATGTAACCTTTACTACTGTTTCTACATTATCTTTAAGATTTCATGTGAATATTTGATGGTTTTTCTGAAAATCCCATAGATTTGTGGACTTATTTCAGTAGCTTGAATGACAGATTTATTGATATTTAGATTTTAAAATCAGGCTATAGTACAGGACATGAAGTTAAATAAAATCACAAGCAAATATGAACAGTATTAGAAATGTAATATTCAATCTCTGTCCTTTAGCAGGCAGTGTTGTCAATCTTACTCTAAGGTTTATGATGTGATTTTATTTTCTAAACTCGGGCTGCAAAGTTATGTCTGTAATAACGGAGAAGAAAATTAGAATTTAATACTCTGGTAATATGAACCCGACCAAAGATCACGGAGAAGTCATGCAGTTTTTCGAAGAACATAAGGTCTGTAATTACCGAACAGACAAGTAAGATGTGGTTTATCTGGAAGACTCGGCCGTCATCTGAGAGAATGAAAGCAGTGAACTAATATTTATAAAATGTGTGGGCAGACTGTCAAACAGCTTTTGAGTAGAAATAGTGGAAATAACAGCCAAAAGCAAGATCAGCATATCTTTTCAGATCATTTTCACTTTTGGGTGGTTGGCACATAGGAAATGCAACTAAATCACTCTCTGTGCCACAACATTTACAACCAAGTGACAGAAGATGAGGAAAATGGTGACAAAGAGGAGTAGATGGAGGAAGAGTATTTCTTGTCAATTTTCCTGAGCTTGATTTGTTGTTCTCTATTAAAGCTCATGATAAGGTGGAGATCTGAGTGTGAAAAAGCTTTTTCTAGTTTCTCAGTAATAGAGTGAATTAAAGAGGACTGGAGGCTCTGGTGAAATATTCACTCAGCACTGCAGTTTGTCAAAGAAAGCTTTGGAAGAAACTTTGTGTTTTGTCTAGTTCACAGTCTTTTGCATCAATGACTCATAATGGAATTACCACATTGAATAATCTGTGCTTTTTAGGGTAAACAAAAAAACTTAACACTTTATACGCGGAATTTCCTCAAGGCTCATTCTGTGCCAAATGTCTGCTCTTGTATTTAACAGCAGGCTGTTACTGATCTGCATACTGAATCCTCTCTTATATTTAGCTCTTGGCTTTCCCACACCATTTAGTCTGCCTATTCTCCAGTCATTGTGGGAGGCAAATCATAACAGAGTCACATTTCACTTGAAGGCTCTCTGATACGTATTTGTGGTCTAATTGTGGTTTACTTGTCAGTTTGGTCTATTGCGTTATGTATCAGTGCTCCAATCCAGGAACCCAATGATCCATCTGGTTGATCTTTGGGCCATTATCGGTTGGATGCCTGTTAAGATGTCTCTGATGGCTTATTAAGGATGAGACTTCACATCAAACTAATTATGTAGGCTTGCTTCTCTGGCAAAACATATGTGGACAAAGCTCTGGGATGTGATGGTTCAGCATCGCTTACTTATTGAACTTATTGTACTTAAATTAGCTAAACATCTGAATAGTTGTGTTGTATAAATCATCACCCCTTAGATCTGTTATCAAAGCTGTCTGTTAATCATCTTTCTTTGGGACGCTGTGTTCTTGAAGACTTGTACAGTACAAACTCTCTTCCAGCAGTTTTGTTTGTGAGGAAGCCCTGACGAGTTGATCACAGAGTGCAACAGAGTTTCGCAGCTCAAGGAAGAACATTTATGATCATTATGCAATTGGACCAAGATGCTAGCGCAGAAGAACTTCCATGTCTGCAGTGTAAAATGATTAATATGCTGATTATTACTTCTTGGAAATGATCTGCTGCACTCAGTGATCGACTCGTCAGGGCTCCCCCACAAACAAGTGGCTGCTGGGGGAGAGTAGGTGAGTTGTGTTTGGTCTCTTTGTTTAAGAAATCAGGCAAAGCTAAAAAGATGTTTGGTGGCTGGTGCTATGGCTGGGACCCTATATGTACTGTTGATGAAGTTAGGTGCTGTTCTGAGCATTATTTGTGGCTATAGAGTGGCGTTTTGGTTGATGTTTGTTTATGGCTCCTCAGACCACTGTGTATTGCTCTCTGCGGTTGTTACTAAAGTTGGTATAACTAGAGAAGCAAGCAGTCGGCAACATTCATCTCTCAAGGGGGTGTCTAACTCTAACCTTGAATTAATTTTATGCCGCAATATCCCTTTAAGGTTTCTTAAACTTGTACTTTCATTCGAAGGCTTTGTGGATTTTAACACCAGTGCTTTGGAAACCAAGCAGTCAGCAGTTTACTGAACCATTCTTATCACTAATTGAATGTCTATTAATCTCGACTCTCTGTTGTTTCCCAGCAGTGGGCTCCTCCCAAACGCTGTGCTGCCTCCATCTCTCGACCACAACTACGCCCAGTGGCAGGAGAGACAGGAGCTCTCCCGTGCCGAGCACCCTCACCCCATGAAAAAGATCATTCCAGCACCCCGACCCAAGACCCCTGGTGAACCAGATTCGCCAGCTTCCTCTCCTTCCCTACCACCATCTCTGCCCCCTCCTCCTCCCCTCTTATCAGGCAAGACATTTGCCCAATATGTTCTTTAATGCAGTGTTTTAACATTTTCTCACTGATAGATTCAACTTACACTTTCACTTTCGCTGCTTTTTCTTCAGATCGTGAAGACACCCCGGAGCTCCCCCCTCCACCAGGCATCAGTGATAACAGGCAATGTGTTCTCTGTCTAAAGTATGGAGACGAGAACACAAATGTAAGTCAGAAATCTGCTCGTTCTCTTTGTTACGCTCATAAGAAAGTCCTTGTGTCTCATGGAAGATGGCGGTTTGTTTCAGGAGGGCGGCAGGCTGCTGTACATCGGTCAGAACGAGTGGACGCATGTCAACTGTGCGCTGTGGTCTGCTGAGGTGTTTGAGGACGACGACGGCTCGCTGAAGAATGTTCATATGGCTGTTCTCAGGGGAAAACAGCTGGTAAGATTCTCTCTCCCATTACAAGTCCCCAGTCTATCCGAAATGTTGATCTCTCTGACAGACATCTCCAACCTCTCGTACTTCATTAACAGTGCTGTGAGAAATGTCAGAAGCCGGGGGCCACAGTTGGCTGCTGCCTCACATCCTGCTCCAGCAACTACCACTTCATGTGCGCCCGCCAGTGCCACTGCGTCTTCCTAGAGGACAAGAAAGTCTACTGTCCAAAGCACCGGGATCTCATCAAGGGAGAAGTGAGACACACATAGTTGTAATTCTATGTACGAAAAGTGCTGAAACCTTGTTGCTTTGTTTTTCCTCACCCTCGCTTTAAACATGATTTTTTTTTCAGGTGGTGTCTGGATTCGAGGTGACCCGCAGGATCCTGGTAGATCTTGAGGGAATTAGTCTCAGGAGAAAGTGGTTAGCAGGACTGGAGCCTGAAAATGTCCACATGATGATCGGTAGGCTGATTGCTAGATTTTTATTCATGTGTATATTTCCTTTGATCTACTCTCTGTGCGTCTTTTGAGCTTTGACTGGAAAAATAAAATCATTGCAGGTTCGATGACCATTGATTGTTTGGGGATCCTGACTGAGCTCTCGGACTGCAAACGCAAACTCTTCCCTGTAGGATACCAGTAAGTTTTATTTTTACCTTTTCATCCATCTGTAAAGTCTTTGCTTGCTATTTAAAGTGCCTCTATCTCATTTTCTGCTCAGCTAACCACTAGAGGAAATTGAAAATGTCAATTCCATTAAGTCAAACTTGATAAATGATCTTCTCTCCAGGTGTTCAAGAGTGTATTGGAGTACTCTAGATGCCCGTAAGCGCTGCGTGTACACCTGTAAGATCCTGGTTTGTCATCCTCCGGTGGTAGAATCTGACCTAAAAGACATGATGGCCCCTGAGGAGAATCGCACAATAGCACACAGTCCCACCATAGCAGGTAACCTACGGAATCCAGTGGTTTGATAATGTGACAGTGTCTCATTTTGTGTTAAACTCAGCTGCATGTTAATTCACTTCTTCCTTCTTTCATGTTTCAGATTTCCCCGATCCATTTGAGTCCCCAAGGCGCTCTGACACCCTCTCACCTTCTAACACCCCCAAGCTCAGGGTTTACACCAGGAATAGACATCCCAGCTACCCTCCCTGTCAGCGTTCACTAGGCCCCAGACCCATGCCCTCTCCAGGTAGGAATATGTAGTTTCTATTTTATAGAATTCAGCTTTAGATCACATATTTTTTGATATTTCTTTTGCAGTTCTGACCTTCTGTAAAGTTGTCTAAGCTTTGATTTCATTCCATTTTACAGGAGGAACCTCTCAGCCTCAAAGCCATGAAGTTGTGACTGTAGGAGACTCCCTGGTCAACTCCAGCATGCGGAGCATTGATTCACGTCGCCACAGCTCCCCGTCTCTCTCTCCACCTCCTCACCAGCTGAACAGGCAGAGAGGAATGACCTCTCCAACACAGATTACGTCACGTCACCTCACCTCACCCCCACCCCTCATCCCCTCCCCTGCCAGGGATCCCGAAAGGTCCAAACATCTCAGCAAAGATTCAGCAAAGAACCCGGTCATTCGAGACGAAGAAAGAGGCAGACTGTTCTCCACGGACAGGAACAGATCACAATCATCCAGGGACCAGGGGTCCAGAGGCGTAGACAAGGGGAGGAATTTGAGTCAAGACCCGGCAGCAAAGGATTCAGACAAATACAGATCTTCCAGAGAACTCGTGCAGAAGGACTCTGACAAAGACACAATACCAGCCAAAGAGCCAGAGAAGAAGAGGCCATCAAATAAAGACTCAGGTCTGAAAGACTCAGAGAGAGGAAGAGCTCTCAGTAGAGATCCCTTAAGAGATTCAGAAAAGGGGAGACAAGCAAACAGAGACTCTGCAAAGGGGAGACAAACAAGCAGAGAGTCGAGCAATAGAGACACGGATAAGAACAAATCGTTTTCCAAGGATTTGGAAAAATCTCGGTCACTCAGTAGAGATACAGGTCTAAGGGACTCTGAGAAGCATCGACAATACAGCAGGGAAACAGGAAAAGACTCAGGTCAAAGTAAAGACAGACTATCCAGCAGAGACTCTGAAAAGAGCAGGCCCCCCTCTAGAGATCCCAGTCATAGAAGCACAGAGAAAAACAAAGACTCTGGCTCAGGGAAGGAGAGTCATCCTGGCAGTCAGTCCAAACAGGCTGGAGGTGAGAGTAAAAACCCGAGACTGGCACCTGCAGGCTCAGGTCAGTCCTCACCTCCTGTGGGCACTGCTGTTCTCACAGCACAGCAGAGAGGCAGCAGCAGCAGCGCCAAGCAAGTAGACAAGCAAGGCAAACATGGCAGCAAAGACCAGGATGTTACGCAGTCTCGACACAGGTCCACCCCCACCTCCAACATTATTCAGTCTAAGGACAAGCCCAGCTCAGGGAAGGAGAGTAGTAGCGGCACTGGAAACATAACCCCATCCTCACTTCATAAAGACTCTGTAGGTGGGAAATCTGGTTCCCTACAGGCATCATTCCAGAAGTCAAATGCACGCAAATCAAATGATTACTCATCGGGTTCAGCAGCAGCAGCAGCTTTGAAGCCACTGTGGCAGTCAAGGACACCAACAGAAGAGGATGTTGCGAAGCGAGGCTCCATGCACCTTCCCTCCCCAGCTGCAGCCTCAGCCGCCAAAGACAAACACCCCAAAGTAAAGACGGCAGGCAGCAGAGAGGTGTCCAAAGACCGCGAACGAGAGAAGAGCCTCCAAAACAGCAACAGCACCAACAAAATCCCTCTTCTCAACAACAACACAAAAGCTACGGGCAGCTCCAACACCCACGCTGCGAACCCCAGCTCCCACAACAGCAGTAACAGCAAAGCTCCAGTGCTTGGAAACAGCACCAAAGCTCATGGGAAGGCTCAGGGGGAGAAGCAGGAGAACCAGGGAGGGGACAGATCGTCTTCAAAGAGCAGGGAGAACTACTCCTGTCCCGAGAGGAAGAACAGCTCCAATTTGGACAACATGCAGCAGTTGCAGCAGGGAGGTGTGATTCCAGACACAAGGGTGAAGACCTCCTCCCAGTCTCACACCAAACCCACAAGTAACCAGGTCCCCAGAGAGAAAAAGAAATCCAGTAAACCCCTCACTGCGAATCCTCTTAAGAGTGACATCAAGACTGACCCTAATGGAACTAGCACTGTTGGTATTTCTTCCTCCTGCCCCGCCACCACCCCTACCTCCACTGTCACACCCACCAGCCAGGGGACCCGTCGCTCTGCGCTCTTTTCCTCACCTTCTGCCAGCAGCAGCGACAGCTCTGAATCCGACACCCCGGCTCAGACAGAGGAAGACGATCCGCGCAAAGAGCGCTCGCGCAACGAGCTCCGAGATCACCACAGCCTCCTCGCTCAGGGCGCCGAGGACAAAGGCGACGGCCCGGAAGACGACCACGATAGAGGAATGGATGACAAACATTGCGAGGATGACAGCGACGGGTCAGGGTCAGCTAAGAGGCGTTATCCTCGCCGCAGTGCCCGGGCTCGCTCCAACATGTTTTTCGGTCTCACTCCATTCTATGCTGTTCGCTCGTACGGCGAGGAGGATCTTCCTTTCTACAGCAGCGGGGACGCACCCGGAGCCGTGATCAAGAGGAGGACTGGTGGCCGTAAGAAGTCGGCCGAGGGGCAGGTGGATGGGGCGGACGATATGAGTACTACCTCTTCCTCAGGGGACAGTGGGGAGGATGAAGACAGTGGAATGAAACACAGAGGTAAAGACCCTTACTACTACAACTTCACCAGGACAATAATTAACCCTGGTGATGGTCTGCCATCCATAGAGGGGATAGATCAGTGTCTAGGCAGAGGATCCCAACTCCAGCGCTTCCTAAAAGATGAGGAGCAGCAGCAGCAGAGAGCTCAAGAAAAGCCTGAAGAGGACATGCTGAGTGCTCTGTAAGTAGACACAGTTACTAATCAAAAGTAAAAGCCAGAAGTTTATTTTTATCGATTTTTGTTGTCTCTTGTAACCTAACGCTTTGTTTTTTTTGTGTGTTCACCAGGACTTTGGGCAAGCCGCACATCGGCCAGCTAGACGGTGTTGACGATGGCTCGGAGAGCGACACCAGCATCTGCACAACGAGCACCACAACCACCACAGCGACCTCCTCGTCCAACCCACACAAGAGCACGCCAAGGAGAAGGGGTAGAGAAAGGCACACGGAGAAATCGGACTCTCACGACACAAGCAAAGAGGCTGACAACAGTGGCGGAGCAGTGAGCGGGAATACAAGAGAGGGCAGAAAGAACCAGAAGGAAAACTGTCTTCCTCTAGGAGGTGGGGTCAAGTCCCAGCCACAGGCTCAAGGTCAGGATCCTCTGGAGGCCCAGCTGTCTCTCAGCACCGACTTGCTGAAATCAGACTCCGACAACAACAACAGTGACGACTGTGGGAACATTTTGCCGTCGGACATCATGGAGTTTGTCCTCAACACACCTTCCATGTCGATGCAGGCCCTGGGTCAGCAGTCTGAGCCATCTTCCTCTGAGCTGCTGCTGGATGACGGCTACGTTGGAGTGGATGTCAACCGGCCTAAAGACATCCTTTTTGAGGATTTTTCCCAACCTCTGCCCAGCTCAGAGAGCGGAGGTGTGGTGGAGAGCAGCGTGAACAGCTCCATATCTGTAGAAGAGCCGTATCTTCCTCTGGAGCTGCCCTCTGACCTCTCTGTGCTGACCACACGTAGCCCGACTGTCAGCACCAGTCAGAACCACACCGCCGCTGGGAGTCTTATCTCGGATACCTCAGATCGGACTATGCTGGGTTTGACCTCTGACCCTGACACAATCAGCGGAGAGAAGAGTGGAGACAAGAAAAGAGCAGGGGCGGACGTGTCGCCGTCAGAGAACCAGCATGATGCTGCTACTTTGGGAAACAGGGATACACAGGTCAAAGAAGGTCACATGACCCCAGAGCAGTTTATTCCCAGCCCTGCCATTGGCCAGGTGATTGAAGCAGGTAACCAGGATGTTCCCAGGAATTCCAGTACGCCTGGTTTGCCGAGTTCTCCTTCTCTGCAACTTCAGGGTCAGAAATACCTCCCAGCATCAGCTGTAGCTGCAGGCAGTCCCAGTCCTGTTGCTGGCCCAGGACCATCCCAGACCCAGGTTTCCAGTCCAGCAGTCATCAAACCAGGCCCTGATAAGCTGATTGTTGTCAATCAACAGTTCCAGCCTCTCTATGTCCTCCAGACAGTCCCGAATGGGGTCACACAAAAAATTAGTGCAGCAGGAGTGATGGACGCCGGCTCTCCTGCCATGCTGAGTCCAATGACGCTCACCACAGGGTTAACTACAGGTTTATCCACGGCCCAGCCCATATTTTCTACGTGCGGTAAAGTCCTGGGCACCATGTCACACCCCTCTCAGATCCACACCTTCACAGGTGCCACACAGGCCAGCTTCCAGACAGGAATCCCGAGCACCACCTCTGGGCTTCTCATAGGCCTGCCCTCACAGCCTCACGACCAGTCCCAGATTCTAGTCTCAGAAGCTGGACGACCACATGAGCTGGGCCCAAATGTGGCCATCGTGTCCAGTCCCTCTACCCTCACCTCCTCTCCAGCAGCACTCGCCTCAGCTCACGGCAAGAAGAGGCCCATTTCTCGTCTTCAGCCCAGAAAGAGCAAGAAGTTGGCTCGCTCCCGTAGCCAGCCTACTCTGGCTCCGTCTGAGGTGGCGCCCCCCAACATGACCCTTATCAACCTGTCCTCCCCTCAGATTACTGCCAGTATCCCTGGGCAGCCTGGCAGCTTAGTAGAGTTAGGCACTCTCTCAGCTTCCCAACGTAAGGTTCCCAATATCATCAAGAGACCTAAATCAGGTGGGGTTATGTACCTTGAGCCAACAACTCTTCTCCAGCAGAGAATATCAGGTACCCCCCAGCCCGGTATCTTAGGTCATGATTCCTCCACTCACATCCTACCCTGCTCTGTCTCTGGTCTTAACCCCACTCAGTCTGTTTTGAATGTAGTGTCTGTGCCCCCTAGTGGTGCCGCAGGCCTTCTCGCACCAGGCTCAGTGTCTCTCTCCACCCCAGTCCTCAGCTCTGCAGAGATCACAGGGCCCATTAGCAACCTCCTCTTTAAAGCCAGTCCACATGGCCTGGGCCTGTCTGATCAGCCAATGGTCCTTCAGTCAGCTGGGGGAGCCCCTCTGATGTCACAGCTCGGCTCCACCGTGCAGACTTCCATAGCCAGCAGCATCTGCGTCCTGCCCTCCCAACAGACCATCAGCATGGCTGTCAACCAGCACGGAGAAACAGACGGCAGCCACTTACAGCATCACTCCCAGCCTGTTAACAGAGCCCAGGCGGTGGACTCCGGTCCAAACACCACGGTTACTCTAGCCCCCAGCCCCACCACCCCTCTGAGCCCCACCAAGGGACACGTTGTTGGAGTGTTTACTCAAACCTCTGCACACTCACAGAGCAGCAGAACCACTCCTATTTCCAAACTATCAGAACAGAGGCATTCTAACTCTGCAACATCAGCCGCAGTTTCTGGATCAGAAAAAGGCAAACAGAAAACAAAGAGAAGCAGGCAGACTTCAGACACAAGCAGCGGGAAGAAGCTCAAAGCCTCCCTGGCAGAGGAGCATCACAGCAACCCTGCAGGACGACTACACTCAAACCTAAGGTGAGCTGCCTCAGATCTTCTGTCGGGTTTTGGCGTTAGAGTAAACAACAGGAGTTAAATTATTATATTTTCTGAGCTTTATTAAGTTTTTTTTTTTGTTTTGTTAAATAAGCTACCATGTATGTACTGTAAATTTTGTTTCTGTTGTTGTTTCTTTTCCCTCTTTTTCTCTCTCTTATTTTTATTTTATTTTATTTATTTATTTATTTATTTTGGGATTGATGTTGCTCCTGGGACAAGGGTGGGGGCAATGGGTATGGATGTAATGAGATAAAGCAAAAAGAAAGAAAGAAAAAAGTTGATCACAAAAAAAAGTTTTTATAAATGCCTTCAAAGCATTGACTCACAAGGTCTGATTTTAGAGCTTTTTTTCTTTTTCTTTTACTATTTTTTAATTTAAGGTCACCTGTGTAGAGATTCCTCCAAGAATGCAACGTCTGAAAATGCAATAACAGGATAGACTATATTCTGTATTCATGAGGTTCATGTCAAGTTTGGTTTAGGTGCATACAAGGGAATTTTCTCACACTATCCTTATGTTTATACTTCCATTCTTCTCTTTTTATTGCCAGCAGTTCCAAAGAGCTGAGCTCCCCTGAACCCATGGACACTGGCAAGCCACCAGACAAAGCAGCAAACAAGAGGTGAGAAGTCGTTCTCATTTTAACAACTTGTTTTGTTTTGTTTTTTTATTACAAACTATGTAAAAGAATTCTTAAACTTACTTCCAATCTCTTTCAGCATACTTGGTAAAAAGAAGTCATCTGAGGGTCCTGTTTTGCCTGGAAAAGTAGTGGGAAAGGACAAATCATCCGCAGCAGGGGGAGCAGGGTCTCTACCTGTGGCTTCACCACCTGACCAGGATGGCAACAGCAGGGACACTGCCTTGGATAGCAAACCCAAGAAAGGCATCATCTTTGAAATCTGCAGCGAGGATGGGTTCCACATCCGCTGTGAGAGTATAGAGGGTGAGATCAAAAGACTGAGAGTTACCAAATGTGTTATGTTGATATATGTATGATTATTAACTCTTTGGTAAAGGCCATGATGTTTTCTTCTTTAGATAACTGTAAAGTGTAGCAGGTTGTATGAAGGATACTGCATATGGCTGCTTGCTTTGCAAAGAATCGGCGCCCTTTCTGTTTATTAAGTATTAATGATTGAAACAGAAATCATTATGTACATAACAGCTGTAAATAACTCATGTATATATCTTTATTTATATCCTTTAACTCCTAACTTTCTTCATTCTTGAATTTCCCTTGTATTTATTGCTGCTGTAAATTTGGAATTTCCCCTTATGGGACTTATTGCAGCATAGATGAGTAGGACATGCATGCATGTAATGCTGAAAAAAATTAGAATATGTTGTGTCGATATTTGAGTGTGTAAAATACTCAGCTGCCCCTTCTGTCATCCTACAGAGGCCTGGAAGTCCGTGACTGATAAGGTGCAGGAAGCTCGCTCCAATGCACAACTCAAAGAGCTCTCTTTTGAAGGTGAGGGGTTTGATCACACTAGCAAAGACTAATAGATATGATGTCCCATCGTTTTAATGTGTCTTTTACTTTCTAATAGTTTACTAATGATCTTCATGATATTTATTAAAACATTGATTGGTAAATAAAAAATGATGAATCATGGATGTGCTTCTTTCCTTCTCCAAGGTGTGAATGGTCTACGGATGCTGGGAGTCGTCCATGAGGCTGTGGTCTTCCTACTGGAGCAGCTGTACGGCTCCAGGCACTGCAGGAGTTACCGTTTCCGCTTCCACAAACCAGAGGAAACCGATGAACCTCCCATCAACCCCCACGGATCAGCTCGTGCAGAGGTCAACCACAGGTCCGTAGACTTCATCACACTCGCACACAAAATGTCTACAAATTCAAGCCTTTCCTTACGTCGACCTCTCTGGATCCTGTGTGACTCTTATCTCTTTCTGCGTTTCAGGAGGTCAGTATTTGACATGTTCAATTTTTTGGCCTCGAAACACCGCCAGCCCCCTGAGTACAGGCCGCAAGAGGAAGATGATGATGAAGGGCAGCTCAGATCTGCCAGGTTAGTTACGAAACAATGTAACTTGCTTCTCCCAGGAAAAATAAAGAATCAACCATCACAATATGTTCCTTTATTTTGTTGTGTGTGCAGGCGGGCCTCCACAGAGCTTCCCCTGACTGAGAGATTCAAACAGCTCAAGACTACGTCGAAAGAAACAGTCGGAGTCTTCAGGTGAGAGCTGCTGTTTACTTTTTATATGTTCTGCTTTTGTTGTCAGTAACTTACAGATCTGTTGATTGTCGTTGTTGTTGATAATGTGCGCAGGTCTCCCATTCATGGCCGGGGTCTGTTCTGCAAGAAAACCATCGACGCTGGAGAGATGGTCATTGAATACTCTGGAAATGTCATTCGGTCTGTGCTCACTGACAAACGGGAGAAATATTATGATGGAAAGGTGAGAACTAAATGCTCTTTCAGGTGGAGAAATAATTACCTCAGGTCTAAGTCCCACAGCAACCGATGCAGATAGAGAGGTGATGTGTGGACATGAGTCTGATCCAGTAACTTGTAATTATAAGTTTTTTTGTTCATGTCAATCAACCTGTCTTTCTTCCTCAAAGGGAATTGGCTGTTACATGTTTCGCATCGATGACTATGAGGTGGTAGATGCCACAGTGCACGGCAACGCTGCCCGCTTCATCAACCACTCCTGTGAGCCCAACTGCTACTCTCGTGTCATCACGGTGGACGGCCAGAAGCATATCGTCATCTTTGCCTCACGTCGCATCTTCTGTGGAGAGGAGCTCACCTACGACTACAAGTTCCCCATCGAGGACGCCAGCAACAAGCTGCCCTGCAACTGCGGAGCAAAGAGGTGTCGCAAGTTCCTCAACTGACACTTGATTCGAGAAATGATATAAAGAGATGAATGCAGGTCTGTTGAGCAGCAGTGCCACAGTGTTTTAAGGGGACTCCATGTGGGGGTCCCCTGTGGCTTTATGCTGGTTTTTCCAGGCCTGATCCGCAGAGGACAGAACATGGCCGGAGCTCTGTCAGCGTTTCTGCTGCCAGTGGAGGAGAACACAGCAGAGACAGTTGTCAAAGTGTAAATACAGGACAGGCCATTTTGGAGGAGGGGCCATTTGTAAAATTCCAACATATTGTGCCTCCTTTTGTCTCATTTACATTTGGTATGGAAAGTTCCACCTTTCAAGGTGTGCAATGAAACGGTCTGAGCCTTCACAACATTGCAATATTAACTCTTATTTACATTTGGGTTCTTCGGTTACCCTTTCCTACTGTTTTTACATTGGCCCATCCTCCTCCATGATCTCAAATATGTTATGATCCACTATTGCTGAGATGTGAACAAAAAAAAATCAAAGAACTTGGTTCCATTTTACACCAAAGTGCAATTTGTCGAAGGGATTTGAAAGAGTAATTTTACAAGAAAGAAAAATTAGAACCTTGAATTTTTTTAAGTCTCAGTGTCAGCTGTTATTGATGCACATCTCCTTGTCTGAATGTGCCCTGATGCCTTCAGAGCCATTGTAATTTGGTGGAATCTTCCCCCTAACCGGGCTTTTAGAAAAAAAGCCGAGGACACTGTAAATAGAAGCTGCTTTAACAGGCTGGTAAGAACTGAACAGGTGGAAACACTAGAGGAAGCAGTGGCCACAGAGACAGAGAGAAAAGAGGGGGTCGAAATGAAGATTCGTTCGTGAAATATAACGAGGTTAGGTTAATTTTAAGATTGATACCAACTGTTGTCCTCAAATGGACTCGTAGTCAGACAGCTTGGTAGCTATGTAGACGTGTTATTGTTGAATTAAGCTTCTGGCCTGAAAGAGCGAGGCAGCTAGAGACTCTGGTGGACTGACAGCCGGTGGGACTGAAGAACCCTACTGATGTGCTTTAGTAGACATATTTGTAATTAATTTTTGGGGCTGTTATCCTGTAACAGCTGTGGATCTGATGAACACGTGTCTGTGCATGCTGTTGTTATTATCCATCTTGTTATCGGTAATGGTATAAGCTTGGGCTTCTAAGTCATATTCCAAATTACAGCAGCGAAAAGAACCAAACAACTCACCCTTGAATTGAATTTCACAAAGCTTGATTTCTTCTTGGCCTGTTTTGATAACCATTACTATGGATTTTTTTCTTTTTTGTATTAAGTCTTTTAAAATCTGTTATCTGTCTTTTTTATTATGGACAGGGAAATATCATGCTTGATTTAAAAAAAAAAAACAAATGTAAATAATGTATATTTTTCTACAAAAAGACTTAAAAAGCACTCACTAGTGAATAGCACTTAATAATGGTATTTATATTTTTTAAAAATCGTATTTATTTTATTGCCATTTTTGTAGGAAATAGAGGTTTACAAACACTAATGCTTTGTCTCTGTTTTGTATCCCGCTGCCTTTTTAAAGTTTTTTTTTTTTTTTTTTTTTTTTTCTTTTCTTTTTAATTTTTTAATTTCTAGCCTGAATGTTTTCTTTGATTCCAAAGACTGACACTGGTCTGTGGCTTGGTCCCCTTTTGGTTCAGTCCACCAGTAGCTCTTTTATCTATCCCAGGCCATTGGGTCAGAGCTGACAGGTTCTTATTTTGTTGTTCCAGTTCTTGCTGACAGTTTTGGCAGTTCATGTGAACTACTATTATGCACTTGAGAGAGTTTAGATTGTTGATCCAGAGCAGATATCTCCTCTCTCCAGCCTTATCGTCTCCACACCACATCAAGCCAAGAATCAAGTATGCTAAAAGACAGTGACGTCAAGATTATCAGGTTTTCCTTGTCACTATTTGAACATTTTCAACAGGTATACAGCCGATTGGCACGTGTTAAAATGAAACAGGAGTCTCTACAGTTTTAATTTGTTTTGTTCCTCTAAAGACTTGGTTTTTAATTAAAAGGTGCCTTTATTTTAATCTTACCAACATACATCCATAGCCAACCTGTTCATTAGGAAAACAACACATTACCCTGGTGAAAACTCTTCTTTCTCACCCTCATTTGGAAAACACTTTTTCTTTTCTGATTGAGTTTCCTCTCGGTTCACCTCAGTTGTAAACAACTCCTCACTGTAACAAGCCTTCACATCCAGGACAGACTGTTTGGATTGACTGGTTCCACTAAATTAATCTGCTATAGTCCTTTTTTAATTACTCTATCATCTGCTGTTCATAGTGATTTTGTTTTTCCCTAACGGCAGTCAGCACTCACTTGCACACTGCTCCTCATTGTTGTGAACTGAAACCAGAGGTGGTTTTGCACTTCTGCTATGACACAGGCACTGAATAGACATAGGAAAACTCTGCTCTTTCTCCAGACAGATGCAACCTCAACGCCAAAACCACAAGCACACAAAGTCACTGAGAAAGTTTGTGCATGAGGCCCTGATAGAAATACTGAACTCGACCTGGATTGATTTTGGATAACCTACGAAAAAAAAGCAAACAGGCTCTCGCAAAGTGCACTTGACTTTCTTTTTCTGCTACGAAGTAAAGGCAGGGACCACACCAGCAGTCCGTTCCTTCCTGAAGGTGCAGTGTGTTCAAACCTCTGCTGTGTTTTTCCATTTAGGGGCCCTAGACCACATCTCTGGGACCCCTCTTGATAACTGACAGGCCAGCGGCTTGGTTGTGCAACTGCACCTGCATTGGGCTTGCTGGGTTCTGCTGCTAAGGTCAACAATGAATGTATATTCCTCCTCTGCATCATCAGACGTGATGATGCAGTTTCTTTGTCAGCCACATTTTTTCATTTTTTTCAGTTCTTGTGTCAACTTGTAGATACGACCTCAAGCTGGACGGCAGCAGCAGTTTAAGCACTGAGAATATTACAGAAGTGTGAACAGCGGTGGCGTTTCTGTCTGTAGGACATCTGGTTCGTTCTGGGTTCGCTCAACACTTCACGCTAGCATCGGTAACAACACTTAAACTGATGCAAAGGGCTCTGTCTACAACTCACTTCTTGAGATCCACTTCTGATGAGGGTCAGAGGGTTCAGTGATCAATAACTCATTAGTTTCTCTGATATACAATAAGGGAATGGTGTCAGTTGTTTCTTTGGACTTCATTTTACCACGTCACACCAGTGGCCCTTCTCCGTCATTCTCTGTAATTATAGTATAAATACATGACAATATTATACGGAATCATGCATAGCAATTTCTTGTACTTTAGTATCTATACAATATATGGAATGGACAGACAAACTTAGTTACAGTAGCAAAACAGCAGATTTATAATGGTTAATAGCAATGTTTCAATGTACTCTATAATGGTTTTGTGTTACAGTACTATCAGATGAAACTAACGTGCATCATTCTTTTGTATATTGATATCCAGTTCCAATTTTGCCGTGCCTGCGTGCGCTTCTTCGTCAATAAGGAGCGCTGCAGATTTTCTTCATTTATTTTCTGGAAAGGAACGGTTTTATGTGGTAAGAAACGTAACTGTATTAATGTGGTTGTGAACTTTCTTGGGGTCAGGCGTTTTGTTTTTTTGTTTTACTTCTCCCCTCTGGTTGTTGTAGTGAATGTTTTTCTGTTTTTTTTTTTTTGTTTGTTTGTTTGTTTTTTAAATTTTTGTACGTTTTAACAGGGACTTTTTAGACGGCTTACTTGATGTGCTACAATTAAAGAGTTTGGTTTGTGGAGACTGAACAGAAAGATCCCACCAAAATGGCGTTTCTCGTTTTGGAAAAAACCTCTCATGTCTGCCAGACCGCTTCTCTCTCTCTCTCTCTCCTCTGAAGCTTTTGTTGTACTTATCATGTACTGTTTTTATAGAAAGTCATAATGCTGATGTTGAAAACATTTAATTTATTTATTTTGTGCAGCATCCACCCAGAATTGTTCTTTTACAAGTCAAGGTTTGGGAGAGATCAGACGAGTACATTGGTGTTTGTAATTTTCTAATTGTTTCTTGTGTACAGAAGTTATCAGTCTAGGATGGGATGTTCTGTCACAGAGGGGGCGGATGGTAGGAAGAAGGAAAGAGAGGGATCATAGATCATGGACAGGCTCATTTCTTATGCCTTGAATACCTTTGTCTTATCAATATTCCTCCTGCTCTCTGTAATAATGGTATCCGTGAGTTCAACAGTCATACTTTCTCCAGTTTAAACAGTGTTCTTTCAGTACACAATAACAAAATGAAGGAAAACCACAACAGTGAAAATGAACCACAAACTACTTGGTTGAATGTATAATTAGGAAACAAAGTTGTACATACGTGTAAAAAGAAAAGTTTCTAATCATGTTTATTTTCTATGCACTTTTTTATTTAAGTGATAGTTTAAATAATAAACATGTCTCCTTTATGCTTTTGTGTCTCGTGCCTCATTTACTTTATCGAATCACATGAACTTCATCAGATAAAGTTCAAGAGAGTTCTTCGGTAACACTTTACTTTACGCCTATCTCTATAACGCATTATAAACATATGTATAATGCGCTATAATCACGTTTTAGCACTGTATAATTAAAGTTACAAACACTTATAAATGATCATAATACTTTATAGCAATAATCATAACACATTAAGCATTTTATTATGACTTACAAGGTCAGGTGTTATAATGTGTTATAACTGTTAACAACTCACTGACAATGCCACATAGATAATGCAATACAACTGTTGTTAACAGTTATAACACATAATACCTGACCTTGTAAGTCATGATAAAATGCTCTATAATGAGTTATGATTATTTCTATAAAGCATTATGATCATTTATGAGTGTTTGTAACTATAGTTATACAGTGCTATAACCTGATTATAACGCATTACATTTATAATGTGTTACAGAGATAGGCGTCAAACAAAGTGTTGCCATTTCTTCAAATGCGAAAATCAACATTCATTCCTGACTAATGTTTAGAATAATGTCACAGATCAAAATCTCTGAAGCAGCAACTTTATGGAGCAAATGATGACAACTTCTCAGTTCTGATGAAAAAACTTCTGCAGAACCAACTTTCCCTTTGTTAATATTTTACCATTGTGCAAAACAAGCCACTGTCTTTGTTGTACTTGGGAACAATAAAGTATCAAACAATAAGGAAAAATATCAGTTACAAGCATGGGAATTTCCCCTTATGGGACTAACAAAGGAGTATCTTGTCTTATAGCCCTATTCAAGGAATTATTTTAATTGTATTGTTTACGTTGAGTTTGACTGTAGTGCACCAGTGATATTTGATAATCAAACCAATGTTGTTTTTTAACTGAATGTTGTGAGAACTTTACAGTTGTGTTGGTCATCCCAAAATTAAATGTATAAAGGTTGAGAACAACAATCATTTTTCGCTTCTTAAGAAATTATATCAAACCGCTTGTTTGCAAATGGTCTAAATGAGGCGTAATCCTGCCTCAGCAATTTTATGGCTTTTAACAGGAAATTGGCACAGTGCACCCAAAATGTGCTGATTCTGGTGCTGCTAATTTAAAACATTGCGTTACTCTGCCTCGCTTGACTTGTAGGTCTCACTGCCACAGCAGGAGCCCATTGAAAAGCTACCCGCACCAGCTGGATGACTCAAATTCAAAGGAAAGTCAGCTCCCCTTGTATTCCCATAAACTCAGTGTTTTACAGAAAACACTAAACAGAACCATGTGTTCAGACAGAGCAGTTTCACTCTTTCTTATGAGTGTGACCATACATGTTGAGGCAAAATGACTGTAGGGTGTGGGTCTGTTTTCAGGATAAATTATGTAATGAAATCTTCATTCATAAGGGAGGATAACTCATGAAGACTTCGTTTTGATAAGTGAAATATCCTGTCAGCCCTCCAGGAAATTTGTCCCTTAACAAAAGCGTAAATGTTTATTTTTCTTTTAGTTTTAAAAGTTTATAATAATGTATCTAAAACTATGGTACATGATGACTGTCAATATGAGGCTCATTCTGCCCACAGTATTTGGATAGCACAGCCTTTAACACAAATGAAACACCCCTAATTTATCCCTAAACAGTCATGATATGTTCTGGTATTTAGTTTTCCCCTGGTTTTGGTCTTTTAAGTGTATTTTCTTTGTGATTTTCCGTAGTATTTCTGTTCCCCATTGTTCCTCAGTTTGTGTCTGACCCGGTGTCCCTCCTGTTCTCAGTGTTTTATTCTTTATATCAGTTTTTAGTGTTTCCTGTTTTATTTTGTAGTAGTTTATTCCCTGTGTTTCTAGTCTTGTTTTACTTCCTAAGTTTTCCCTCCTCTGTGATTGTCTTCACCTGTCTCATTGTCTCACCTGCCTCTTGTTGCTCGTTTCCCTTTGTGTTTATATAAAGTCCTTGTCTTCCCCTGTTTCTTTGTTGGTTCATTGTGTTGTATGTGTGTGTTTTTGTCAAGGTGTGCCTGTGCCAGTGTCCCCAGTGTCTCCTTGTGATTTTTGTCCCTTGGATTTTGCTCCTTGTGTTTTTGCCTTTGGGATTTTTTTATTGGATATTTAAAGTAAGTTTTTGTTGCTTTTAATTTAGTTGTTTTTAAATAAAGTCATTTTTGTGTTCTGCATTTTGGGTCCTTTCCTTTTTGCTTTACTCCTAACTTTCACATAAACTTTACAGAAGTCAGGTGTGTGAGTTTTCAGCAACAAACTGTCTTAACCTTTTAATCAAAAACAGTTTTTGATCTGCATAAGCAAAAAATGTACCCATTATTTTTACTCATGTAAGTGTTGTGATTCTCTTTTGTTTACTTGTGTACTTTTCTGAGTAGTTCTTATAACCAACACTTTTCCTGTGTTTTCTCTGCGTACTTTGTTACATTTCACAGTTACTGAGTAAAGAAAAACATGCTAAAAGGATTAAAGCTTTCCGTCAACATAGCATAAACTTAAATTTGTTTTTATCAAGTGTGTTTTTGTCTCATTTTTTTAAATCAAAATATCTCATTACACTTATTTTAAGCTCCACTGACCTGACGGGTCCAAACATGAATCTCATTTCAAAATCTTTCAGGACAAAGTTCTTGTAACTTTCACCCATAAAGTCATATTTCCTTTGACTCCAGTAGATTGGCAGACTTTTAAAATATTACTCAAGTTACTTTACTTTTATTTGAATCGATATTTCAGTACCCTTTCTTCCATTGGAAAATACCCAATGTGCCCAAATCCATTTCTTATGAGGGCCTATTCTTAAATAGTTAGTCCTCCAATTTAAAATATAAAACAAAGAAATGAATGAATAAAAGGGAAAAAGGGATTTATAAAAAAAATCCCCTTCAGCTTTTACGTAATTTTTGACCCCTGAATCAAAACAAACATGACCCTCTTCCTACAAAAACCTCATCCTGTTTATCTTCTGTTTTTTCTCTCTCTCTCCCATGATCTCCCTCTCCTCCACCAGCCCCAGTTTTTTGGCAAAGATCTGGTCTTTTGGGGTCATCCCTCGCTGATACCACCAGAAACATGTTTTCACTGGCCTAAATTCAAAGGAGCTGGGAATTATGACAGCTTCCTTGCCAAAAACATATTAAGACCTCTCTTTTTGATCAACTTAACACGGCCACTGAAGGATTAGAGGCAAAAGAGGATTACTGTCACTGAGTTTAGCTGGAGTGGAAAGCTGATATTAAGATGCTATCTGGATGAAGTAAATTGCCCCAGCTTGTCAACAATGATGAAAATCATAGAGCAAGAAAAATATGACAGAAAAGTGAGTCTTACTTTTTGCGTCTGTGTTTATATTTGCCTTTCTCTGTGTTTTTAGGTGATTATTTTTATGAAAGCTGAGGGGCGGACGGCTCGCTCAGCTGCAGTTGTTTTGGTAACTTCTGCCTTTTTCTGAGCACAGCCTTCTGAACTCTCTGTGGTTTTGTCTTGGAGATTTTCCCAAACACAGTTATGCAACCTCCGAAACATTCCTCCATTTATCATCCTCAAGTTCACTTCACGTGTCGCCCCCGTCCCTCCTTTTATAATGATGTTGTCAAAGTTGTATTTCATAGCTGTACATTTCCATTTTATTTGTGCTGGATAAACATCAAATACTTTCCTCTGTATCCACCCTGCTCTCTCTTCTCCACCCTCAGACGGTCTTCTCCCACCCACCCCACTTTCTAATTGGACTTCATTACCATTTCCTCTCAGTTTTTCCCAGACGGGCTTTCTGACTAGAGGTCTCTTTGTCACTCACGGACATCAGCAGCTCTCAAAGATATCATCACCATCAGGTAGGATGGGCTGTTTTCTTTTCTGCAGAGTTGAGGAAGAGGGATTCAGCACATGGCACAGAGCTGGGCTTAGACACTATTATGCATCCGACTACCAGAGTATATCACGATCAACTCTTGATGGATAAATTACAGTCTTTGTAATGTAGTCGAGTAAAAGTGTAGAATAGAAGGGAAATGCACGTCCCACAAAACTGAACTTGAGTACTATACTTTGGAAAATGCATTCAGCTGAGATAGTTTGATCCAAGTGAGGGTATAACTCAAGAAAACTGTGTTTAAGAAAGACCATATTCACCTCCAACAGCCTGGTACTGACTTACAGTAAACGTGGATGATATTATTGTACTCCAGCCAGCCTCGGGCTATATGCCAAAAGTTTTTCAAACATCTGTCGTGGCTCACTGGTTTCTTTCTTCCAGAGAAATCAGATATTAGGATCCTAATCCTCCCGCTGGTGCAAAACCCAGACACCGAGACAAAATCAACCAGACTAACTGAAGTTTACGTTCTGGACCGATGCCTTTTTTTCTGGTTCTTCCACCACATGAGATCGATGACATTAATCTGAAAAAGGGAAAGAGCGTTCAGACTGTCTGACCAAACAGCGGATTAATAACCCACATGAAAACATTGAACTAACTCCTACAAATCACAACAGTGTGCAGCTGAACAGTAAACATAATACTTGACACGTTCGAGGTCTCTAAGCAGTGAATTACATGGTTATTGAAAACATTCATGTTTGTAATCCTCTAAGGGCTACTGAGGGGTGGTGGTAGACAGCTGTTCAGACTCTCAGTATTCATCCTCTTGTCTGCTCTCCTCTTCTGCCAGGAACGCTGACATGCATTTTTGTCTCCCTCCTCCTTTTTTCCCTCACTCTCTCTTTTTCTTCTCCTCCTCCCTTTTCCTCTCTCTTTTCACTAACTTTCCACTTAAAAATTTGAAGACCTCTGAATGATTTTAGATCTTTTATTTAAATTTTAAAGTTTAAAAAATTAAACATGAATAGGTTGTTGTGGAGAAGCCGGTCTTGTTAAACAGCTGGAGACCCTTCTGCTGAGCTCATCAGATCAGTTTACGGCTCTCAGACGCCGCTACAGTAGAGGGAAGCTGTGTCCTCTGCAAGAAAACAACTCTGCCAGAAGATGCTGTAATACTAAAGGACTTACTAATCTTAAACTGGTTACAAAGTCAAAATAAACAATTATATTTAATGTCGATTAAGGGATCCAAAATAATACAAAAATATGAAACAGAGAAAGACAGGAAGACAGAGATAAAGATGGGAAATGGTGTAACCTTATTTGACATTGTGAGTAGTGTCTGATCAGGCAGTCTGGTATTCAGCTTCACTTCAAGCTGTGATCAGAAACACCTGTTCAGTAACAAAGAGTGCCATGTTTGCTTTGAGGATATGATTCATCATCATGTCAGGAATTTGAGTTATTTTTCTCTTCTTGCATTGAGCGGACAGAAGATTATGCAACTTCTGAGTGTCACTGAATCTGTAGAAATGCACGCTGATTTAACCAATGATTAATACCAAACAAAGCTGTGCTGATACCTTGTTATAGTCCTTTTACATTTCTCGTAATTCTTTCACTTCCTATCAGATGCTTTCCCTGAAATGGACCTGAAACAGATCATACTCATTAACCCGTCATTTGAGGAAGCTGAATAACAGGCTAGGTCTAAAAACTACCCCTGTGTTAATAAACAAAAGCTCCACGTGGGCGTCGTCACTGACAGACCTCTCTATAACCTCCATTTGTTAGGGCATGTCTTCATAAGCTCAACGATATTAAATTGTCTGACTAAATCTGCTTTGGTGGAATGGGACACAAAATGGCATCTGCTCTAAATTACTACTTATTTCCTCACAGTTTTGGCATATACGGGACATATAATAAAAAGTGACTACTTAGTAATGTAGTACAATATTACAGTTTTGACTTTGTCTTTGAACCAAACATGGAATTTGAAACCAAGTCAAACACATGAAAAGCATGACCAAATAGGAAATTAGGAGACTGTGGAAAATATTCTTTGAATCTTAATGGATTTCACATGAAAAACAGTTCTCCAGGTCTCTGGTCTTGGGCAGTGGCTGAATCCTGTGCCCCAAGTACAGAGCTACAGTCCTCAAAGCAGGCAGCACAGACTTTGTCCACTCTCTCTCTTCCTAGTTTCCTCCTCCACCCACTGTCTCATCCTCTCAATAGGCATCAAAAGCCCCTCTAAATGGGAATATTCACCAATTTCCACCCTCAAGCAACGACAAGTTTGACTGCTCTTTCCTGTCTTGAAACACTCATTTCAGAGTGTTTACCTGTGTTGTATTTTCTATTGTTTTGTGCTCTCCCCTCCTCTGTTATACGATACTGTGTAATTTGAATTCTTCACAGCGGCATTTGTGGTCCTCTTTTGTTTGATCGCATCTCTATTATCTCATCTCATGCAGTCTTGTTTGTACTTTGGTGTTACTCCCACACAAAGCTGAATGTAAACTGTGATGATTCCACTCATACTTTTTCTTTTTAAATCTTTGTGAGTCTGACCGATTTATGCTTTTACTCCCCCTCAGCCCTCACACTGCGATGAGCTCTCTCAGGCTGGTGCCCCTGTTGCACTCCCTCCTTGTCCTCCAAGTCCATCTTTCCAACCAGTTAGAAGACAACAAGATCCCTCCCAGTCTCTGCACTGGTCTCCCTGGTATCCCTGGAGCTCCTGGAGGCCATGGAAGTCCTGGTCAGCCTGGCAGAGACGGGAGGGATGGTCGAGACGCTGCTCCAGGGGAGAAGGGAGAAAAAGGAGACAGAGGCAGCCCAGGTGATCTGATTTAATATTTACATGTGATTTATTGTCTGCTGGTGGAGTCTCAGGTCTATAATCATTTCTTCTCCAGGTGAGACAGGAGTACGAGGCTTCACAGGGGACAGAGGTGAACATGGAGAAAAGGGGGAGAGGGGCCAGTCAGGTGAATGCGCTGTGGCCCCTAAATCAGCTTTTAGTGCCAAGCTCGCAGAGGGCCTCACTTTGCCCCTCACTGTGGCTGAAGCAGTCCGCTTCGACAAGATCATGATCAACGAACAGGGTGACTACAATCCAGAGACGGGGCGCTTCACCTGTAAAGTCCCCGGGGTTTACTACTTCGCCATCCACGCCACCGTCTACAGAGCGAGCCTGCAGTTTGACCTGATGAAGAACGGACACACGGTGGCATCTTATTTCCAGTTCTATGGTAACTGGCCCAAACCAGCGTCTCTGTCAGGTGGCTCCTTACTCCACCTTGTCCCTGGTGACCAGGTGTGGGTCCAGATGGCCCTGTCAGAGTACAACGGGTTTTACTCCAGCACTAAGACAGACAGTACCTTCACTGGCTTCCTGGTTTACTCAGACTGGAAAAACTCTGCTGTGTTTGCATGACGTGAACAAAAGCGAGTCATTTTCTGACTTTAACTATGAAACAAACCACCACCTTTTATTTTATTTCCTTTGTATGACTAAGAAGTTCTGGATTAAGACAAGTTAACAAGATGTGACATTTTACATCTGTATTTGGGTAATAAGTGAAAAACACTCCCCAGACAATGTTACTTTAAATGGCACATACTGTACTGGTGTGGTGTAGTTGTCTTCACTCGTGGGCAGTAATGTTTCTTCATCTGCAGCTTTGAAGCGCTGCGACTCATAAGTCTTGTAATAGATGATGTGACAACGGCTCCCAGCCAACTCCAAGCCACAACTTTAAACAGCTTTAATACTTTTATTCCACTTCGTTTACTGTCGATTTCTGCACCTCAAACATGTAAAATAATAAATAGTTGTAGTTTTGAAAATACATACGTTTCTTTTATTGCAAAAATCATTTCTGCTTCACTTTCTTACTCATGTAACTTTTTTTAAATTGCCCTTTTAAGTGACGATTTATCATACTGACATTTTTACAGTGTTATCACTCAAACATAAGATTCTACTTTACACAGCTTTACTCATATATATTTATACTACTATTTGATAGTGATGAGTTTACATCAAGCCTCAAAGTGTTAGTGGATGGAGCTGTTAACAACTTACAGACATCTGAGTCAGAGAACGATATCTGTCATTTACCAAAAAGGTTGTAATTTACTACTGTTGAGATATGCATCATGTTTTATGCACACAACATTTGTCTTTCTAATTGAAAATCATAATCTGAAAAAGAAAGGAGTGGCTGCAGTCAGGAGAGTGTCCTTACTTTTTATTATTCACTATTTTTACCCAGTGTGGCCCAACTAGAGCTCTGACTTATGCACTGAAAAACAGGATTTATCTACTATTTATCTTCATTTAATGTAACTTTTTGTGACTTCTAACATTCTTCTAACACATTCTAACAAAAGTAACCTACCAGAGCAGCACTATGTATTTCTTCAACACTTATATCTTTAGGAAGTCAAAGCAAACTCCTGCACACTGTCAAAATACAGGCAATGTTCAGGAAATGATGCTAATATATGTATATTGGACTGTTGATGTCTTTGCAAACTGAACCTGCTTTTTGTGCTTCATTGCCTCATGTTTTACAAAAAAAAATCATGTTTTGTGTATCACTCATGTTTGCATATTGAGGTTTGCATATTGACTCTAAATTTTGTATCCCTCATACATTTTTCGGAACAGGATGGATTTTGTGTCCATTCAGTGGTGTCTGAATTAGAAATCATGAACTATCTTGATCTTGTCTGATCCAGGTGTCTGTGGACACTGTTTCCTAAAATCAAACATACCACTAGCTACAGATCAGTTAAAGGTCAGTTGCTTCAAAAAAGTTGGTGGCCTCTTTTTTTCTTTAAGATGCTAGAAGCACTTTAAACTGGACCACTGATATCCTGAATTATATCTAGAAGTTATTTGTGTAAATTTGCAGCTGCTTAATCAGCAGGTGAAACTCTTTTTGCTCTTTTTTTGTAAAGCTCAGTGTTTTCTGTTTCTTATTATTAGTGACTGAAAGACCAACAAATTTACTGTTGTTTCTTAGGAGTAAGAATGAAATGCATTGAACTTAAATGTGTGAAACTTCAGTCTGAGACATGTTTGAGTGGATGGTGTATCCAGAATTGTAGACCCAGTGTGCAAAGACATTAACACAGTGCGTATAGAGGTTTGCTTCTTTCCCCTATGCACCTGTCTTTGAAAAAGGTTGTTATTCTGACCATTTGATTTTACACTGATTAAGCACAACTCCCACAGAGCCGTCCATATCTCAAGTTTCTGGATCTCGAGGGGGGCCTATGCCTCTCCTGGCCACCTTTCTGGGCAACTAGAAAACAAAGATCTGGGCAGAAATACCCAAACTAGGAGCACAATTCTCGTAAGTACAGCTGAAATATCTTATTACTTTCCACCCCGGCCTGAATAACCATTTTGCACATAAATCATAAATATTCAACACCTTACGCTACGGTTCCTATCCCCAAAGGTACATCTCTGCCACAGTAAATACCAAAATGAAAACGACTGGAAAATGTTCATTTTCCACTGGATTTATTCTGTTTACCACTCACTTAATGATTTCACCAAACGCTGAAAGTGCCCTGACAGACTGCAGCTACATTTCAACACCATGAGCTGGTTAATGCCAGTTATCTCCCATTTCCCGTCACTTGTAATATGCAATAGTTCAAAATAGACTTCTTACTTCAGCAAGTTTTTCTTGCTGTCTCTTGACATTTTCGAGGGTTGTGATATTTATTTTGGAGGGTAAACATGAACAAAACCAGAACAAGAAGCCGCTCTAAGCCTGCTCTACCTCACACATGAGGAAATGTTATTTTCCTCTCACTCCCTGAGACTCCCCACACATAATTAAGCTTTAAATTTCTCCTCGTAAGTTTTCCCTCTGGGGCAGAATGAGAGAAACAGGGAGTTGATCAATCTTGCCATGGCATCAATAAGTTATTTCCATTAGTTCACGGCCTGTAAATTGCTCTCTAACTGCCTGAAGCCGATGGCTGAGCAGACTGTGACATCACATGGAAATACTGGGCTCTCATTGGTAGACGGTTGTCAGTTTGAGAAAAATGAGGACAAGAGTTTGACATCTGGATAAACTGTCAGAGCAGATATGATTTATTTTAGAGCACAAGATAGTATGATGAGCACGAGCTTGTGCAGACAGTGTTAAAAGAACACAGAAAACATTCATATCACAATCCCCAAGGCAATTCCTGTAACTAGATAAATATGTGCGCCTCTTTCACCCTTATATTTTTCTTTATAAGAATTATGGTACAACTCTGGTTGACCTTACTCTGCCTCTTAATGACCAACTAAATGACTCATAATGCCATCCTAAACCTTAACTTTCACTTCTTAACCCTCCTGACAAAGTATCAAGTACTTTTAAATCTGATATATTACTGCCCAGATTGAGGTTCTTAATATAATCTCCAGTCAAGAAGTAGTCCCAGTCTTCACATCCTAAAGCTTCGTTGATGGACTCAAGTTGCCTGGATATGTCAGCTAACTTATTTTGGACATTCGACTGCTTACATAAAATTAGTAGGTCCTCTCATGTAGCTCATAATAACAAACAGTTAAGTGTATTTCCATGTATAACATATTAATAGGTCATCTCTATGATAAACACTTCTTCTCAGGTCAGTATAATCTCTAAAGTACCTGAGAGAATAATCTGACTTTACTTCAGTTCAAGAGGGCCCTGCTGCATCTGGAAGTATTATATAACCCAGCAGGGGGCAGTGTTGTTTCACAGTTCAGTCACTGATCCAGACGAGCAAAGTTTGAATTCTGTCAGACTTTGGAGGCAGAAGAACCCTGATTCGGTTATTCAAAGTTGTCTTATGTTGAAATGTTTACAGTCAGGATATCATGATGTACTTTTTGAGTGTTTTAGATGACTCAGACCCACTGGAACACGATGTAAAGGTTGTTTTGCTTTTCTATTTTTGTCATTGCCCTCTGTATTTACATCTTTTGGATTATAATCAGCTAAACCTCTTTATTGCTAACAGGAGATTTCCATTTTATCAGTTATATGACGCTTAAAAACAGCTGGTTTCACTAGATTTGACCTTTTAAAAGCGAGGAATATATCTGCACAGTTTTTAGGTTATGTTTATATTTATTCAGATGACACTGATCCATTTTCAATGACATTAACGATCTTATATCTGCCAAAAAGCCACATAACATTGTCCTTTTCCACTAAAAATGAAACACATTTAAATTGTTTCTGGGCGTTATTACTACTACTTATTACTCATAATACTGTGGAAAGTGTATGGGCAGATATTTTCTGTTGGTATTGAAGATTTTTGTTGTTTTTGAGAAGGAACAGTAGCACTTTTCAGTCTAGAGGTGAAAGGTCAAGCACCATGGCGGGAACCCCTCTGAGCCCTCTGACCTGATAGTTATCATTCAGCTCCCTTCAATAATCACTAACTCTAATCTCTGCAGAGCCCATACATGAAACAATGCATTCACTCAAGGCTATCAGCATTATCTGGATGAATTAGAACAAACCTCTTCATCACAGAGGAGTCGGGTCCGGGACTAATGAGCTGACTGTCTCTTCTTCACTGTCATTACTGTCAAACTGTTGTTTACAGTTTGAATTCAGTAGTCCTCTGGCTAGTATCAGAAATAGAAACATAACCCTCTCATGGCTCATGTTTGAGGGAAACATACTCACTGTTCATGAGCTCTCATAGGGAGGTCAGAGGTCACAGTGAACTCTGCCTCATGAATGTGTGCAGTCGTCATCATCTTTAACACTTCATCAGCATGGATGAGGCCTTGAACCCATCTGAAACAAGAGGGGTTTTCCCAGCTGATTAAGACAGACACACACACAAAAAAGAAACTATAGATGATGTAGAATTTCTGAGTCAGAGTTGAAGGCAGCGACAGTGATCATAAACTATACAAACTGAGTGTCTGAGTAAGATGGGGAAAAGTGGATGTGGTCGGACATTTTCCCACACTGCTCCCTGACCAGGACCAGAGGGGTCAGAAAGAGGAGGTTGAATCCCCTGAGTATGACACTTCTCTTAGTTTACCCCTCCCTGCTCTTCCCCTGACATTAAACTTCCTCTCCTCTGTTAACACCACCCTCATTTACAGCTGACACACAAATACTGCAGAGGAATGTTGGCCAGGACACAAAACCAGGGTTTACTTTTTCTGTTATACAAGGGTTTAAACTTGGTTTAAAATTGATCCCAATCTTTAGTGTCCTACCCTAAAAATACATTTAAAGTAAAAAAATCTCAATTGATCGCTGTCATGTGGTGTGGTCCTTCATTATAACAGACATAAAATGTTGATCTGGCGATATGTTTTTAGCAGCACTGGGAACAGGAATGACGCTGTAAACCACAAGGGTCAAATAACTTGACAAACAATAGTGTAAGTGGTCCCATGTGACCATCAGGGGGCCTCTTCTCTGACCCTGAACAATCCCCTTATCTCCTGAAACACAAGATATAAACATTGAGCCCTCTGTGGACTCAGAAATTACATGATCTCCAATTCAGACTCTGTACTTATATGCAATCTCATGTTTCAAATCCCCAGGGAAGCATTTCTTACTGTACTCAAGTTTAGAAATCTCTATATATGAAAGCTCTAGGGGCGAGCAGCAGGCTGTGTGAACGTCATGAACAGATGGTGAAGTCATTTAAACCAAATTTGGTAAAAAAGGACACAGAGTTTTGAGAGAAATGTGTGCACATGGTAGGAATGCAAGATGGAAATCAGGTTCTGTAGTCTGCTTTCGATATCTATCAAGTCTTTTTTTTACAGTAGATACTTGTCATAGTAGGTAAGGGACAGATTTGGTTAAAAAAATTATGATAGATCTGTTCTCCTGAAGTGTACCAGTGAGTCAACTAGCCATGAGCAATATCAGAGTGCTGAAGCTGAAATATTCCTCATGTTCTTATTGGAACCATCGCTATATCTCCAAAATAACCTGTGTTCATGTACTCGATCTACTCGTGGTTTCATTTACTTCTACACTGGATTTATCTTTGAACTCTCTGTCACAGCATGCACAAAGATCCTAAAGTTTACTATGGAGATCCCACATTAGACAGATTCCATCAGTCTTTTTATTATGAAAAAACACCCACCAGGTAAATGGCAGCCAAAGCATTTAAAAAATATACATTCATGTCTTCAAATCACATCGTCTAATACTGTTCAATACAAACAGATGATGGTCATGTACGCTGTTTGCATTCAGTGGCAATCTTAACTTTAACCAGGAGGTCAGGAATCATTTATAAATGCAAGAACACTTTCAAGATATCTGTTATGCTGAACACAATGCAAAACTCTGATTTCCTTAAAATGCTAAATCACCCACACCTTGACTTTTCCCATGCCAGTATCAATAACGACATGTTACTTTGTGTCATTGTAATGCCCTGTAAACTCAAAACAATGATAAATTTGGGCTTTAACAGGAAAAAAGCAAATACAATTGTGAATCCTTATTAGTTTATGGTCCTTTTACACAGCAGAAATCTGTTTTATTACAATAACAAGGAAAGGGAAAACCTCTTATAGATTATGTGTTGGGAAGTGACTGTGATACGCCTCTCCTGGAAGACTGGAATAGATCCTATCAATAGAACAAATATATCACACCTGACTGGAAGCTTCCTAAAATACAGCAAACCATTTTTTTTTACTCTCAACATGTTATTCTGCAAAAGTGGTCATCATATTTAAAAAGTAAAAGCCTGTACAGTGGAACAAAAGATAGCGCCACATTGCAGCAAATACACACCACAGTCATACGTACAGTATGTGAGGATGCATCAGTATCCTCATGCATTTAAGCAGTGTTGGCTTCATCACTCCACAGCTTGGCTCAATGGCGGCACAACATTTTAAGACATTAGCGGCGGTAAACATTTCAGCGTGGAAGTGCACTGACCGGTCACCTTGGTTACAAGACCTGAGACTCAACGTGGCATTGCTTGAATATTTCACCATGCCCTAAACAGAGACTGCATCTGTGCCCTAAAACCATACAAAACACTCAACAAAATGAAGTACACTGTGACTCAGATTTTAAAGTAAAACAGTTTTCCAAGAATGTAGTACACGGAGGTCAAAAATGTAAAATAATAATAATCACCAAAAGTTATTTCAAAATTGTCATCCCAGTTGAAACAGATACTAATGTTGATAATTGGAAACCAATTGCAAGAGCAATAAGCTTTACAGACAAGTATAAGCAGTATTACAGATTCAATACAGGTAGTATACAATGTAGTATTGAACTGGGATGTAGTTCAATCTTTTCTGTTCTCAGAATGTACGCAGAGCAGAAACAAAACTTTATAAGTCTAGTGATGTCCTGTTTTATTTAATTTATCAGTTAAGTCCCCAAAATTGAAAACCAATTAACCATTTAAATTACCTAAGTGGCAAAAGCCATCTGTTTAATTAAAGCAAGTGTATTCTTTTGTGAGAAATATATATTTTATATTATAACAAACTGAAAAACAAAACAAAACAAAACACAGAGCCTAAGGATAGAGCTGCTTTCAGCAGAAGTAAAGGAGCCTGAATATGAGCCAGGAAAGCATTTTGGTCTTACAATAAATGTACCAAACTTACTCTTTAAAACACCCTGCTATAAACATGGAGCGTACAACAGCTTTCCAGCTTTCAAACTGCAGACAGTGTGTGTTATGTGGTCAGTCACCAAGTTCTCTGCTCTTGTCCCTCATAGATACACGTCCATGGTGTTGAGGATCATGTGCCTACAGAGAGGGCAGTTCTGCTGGTACACAGGCTGCCTCAGCAGGATGTTTGTACAGTCTCTACACAGGCAGAGATGCCTGCATGGCAGCAGCACCACTGTCTTGGTACAGTCCTGACAGATGACACACTTCTTTCTGTCCTCCTGCTCCTTCAGCAGAGTCAGCAGATCTTCAGCAGGGAGAGTTTTACGCTCTTTCCCTTTTGAAGACTGCTTCTTCAGTGGTCTATCTGTGCTTGAAGAGGGGACAACGAAATTATGCGGGTCCTGGTCGACCCCATCTCCTGCTCTCCCGTCAGGTGGGTCCCGCCTTTCCTCTGCAGGGTCGCCATCGCCACGCTCTCTGTTGTTGTTGTCCCTTTGAAGATGTGTCCTCAGAGCCATACTGAACTGGCTGCTGAGCCGAGACACCTGCTGCCAAAGTCCTCTTTCTAACATGCACAGGTGATGAAGCATCCTTGGCAAGTGCTGCATGGCACCTTGTATAAATTGTGGAGCACTCTGCAGCCTAACAGCAAGATGATTGAGGCTCAGAAAAAGTCTGCGCAGGACAGGAAAAGAGTTCATGTAATCCAGCACTTTCCTCGCAGCCTGTCGGGTCAGCTCTGGGTTCAGGTAGATGGTGGTAGTCAGAGCAATAGTGATGGTGAGCAGGAGGCCGTAGATGTTCACTATGAATATGCTTATAAACATGTGAACCAGTGAGAACAGAAAGTCTAACACTAGTTTACAAGGCGACCACAGGAATGTTGAAGTCCCGACCAGGGCGCTGTACAGGAAAGTAAAGGAGGTCAGCAGGAGCTCCAACACCTTCTGCAGCGGGCTGGAAACAGTTTGCCAAACACTAACCAGAGCCATGTATACATTCTGGGTTGTAATGAGTGCAAAGTTGACCACCGTGTTGGCAAAATAGACCACCAGGCTGACAACGATCCCACAGCCCTCCAGGAGTGACAGCAGGCCTCGATATAGGTGCTCTTTCCCACGAAGCAGCACGTGCATGGACAGGTAACCCACCATCTTTAGGCTCTCGAGCAGCCCCTCCAGAGCCAGCAGCAGGCTGCCAAGCATGGAGACCGTCCCGTGGGCAACATTTGATGTAGTTTCGGCGGTGGAAATCAAGCAAAACACGGTTAGGTTTCCCAGCTCCAGCAGTGAGTGGAGGAGGAGGTTGGGCAGGCTGGTGATGAAGGAGAAAACAGCCAGGACGGTCCGGACCACACTGTGGACGATGAGGAAATTCAGGTCCAGCAGCAGGCAGACCGCGTCCAGGCATTTTCCTATGGTGGAGATGACGAAATTCACCAAACCCATGGTAAAGTTCCTCCAACTTTCAGATGTTTAACGCTGCGTCTTCCATCAGTGTTTTCAGGGTAAAAAAAACCCTCCGCGGGTCTACATCTTGTTCAAGCCGTAATTTTACCGTCATAGTCCCTCGGATCCATAATAACTCATAGTTACACCTCCATTGTTGTTCAGCTGAGACGGTCTACTGTAGTAAACACACGCGTTACGGAGGCGGATGTTTAGGTTCAAACCAGAGGCACACACTTCCGTCCGTTTTCCGGGTTTCGTTTCGTCCCCCCGTCCAGACCCGCTTTAGAAAACATGTAATGAGTTCGCCAGACACTCCACGTGCTGTGTATCCGCAAACTAATCCGTTGAAATCAGAAGAGACGACGGAGAACACAAGCCTGGACAATTTTACGGTTAGTTTAGCGTCGTTTTAGTCGCCATGTTTGTTTTGGTCATGTCTTTCCGGTGACGTCATCGTCAGTCGCAATTGAAACGTTTTATAAATTAATAATAATAATAATAATAATAATAATAATAATAATAATAATAATTTGTTTCAAAATATGTATAATCAGACATTTTTTGTGGTCTTCGTTAAATTTTCGAGAGGTACTCTTGAAATTTTCTGAGAAAGACAGATAAGAGTCACTATGATGCAATTTTTTATTCCACTTTTGTGCTCATATCATAATCTTTAACAAACTCCTTACTTTGTAAGTATTGTTCATCAATAACATCAGACATGATTCAGACACTCACAAAATCTCATTTTCTGAATTGTTTTTGTAGTTTTGTGACTATCTTTGTTTTTGCTTCATTAAAAAAAACAGTTGGAAATATTAAATATGAGCTTTTATATCCCATAAAAGTAGAATAATGATTATAAACTGGCTTAAACTCTCTCTCTGCCTCCCATTTGTTGTTTTTTCTTTTGACTTCAGCTAAGTCTTGCCCCCTCCAATTAATTTAAAATAGTAATGATAATAATAATAATAATTATTATTATTATTAGTATTATTATTATTTGACAACAAATAAAAAAAGTTCAACTATTGTTGTTGTATGTGTGAAAGAGAGAGAGCGATATATATATATATATATATATATATATATATATATATATATATATATATATATATATATATATATATAGAGAGAGAGAGAGAGAGAGTTGACCAAAATTAAAGTCATTTTGACCTCTATGACCTTAAATGCATCACCAAGTTTTTCCATTTCCTGAGCTTATTCCATGAATGTTACCACAGCCTCACTGTTGAGCTATACTCTCCCATTACCTCAGCCACATTACAGAAACACAAAGGCTTTGCAATCCTGAACAATATCAAGAGTATTTCCTTCCTTGTCTTGTCCTTACCCCTTCCCATCTGAGCTGTGCAACACTGAAAACCTCCTCTTATTTTGCAAAGGGAAATTGAGTCTGATATGATCATGGGAAATCCTGCACTGAATCTTGGACACTGGACAAAAGCATTTGTTCAAACACTTAATGACACAACAGGGCAGTGCTACAAGAAGCTATAAAAGGTCTTGTGCATTAGTTTGTCTGTGGCAGACAGTTTCTGGACTTGCTCCTTTTATGGTCGCTAGCCTTCCCTCTAGTCCTTCAGCAGGCCAGTAGTCAGCTTCCTTTGTTTGTTTTCTGGTTAACCAAATCCTTCCTCTTACTGATGAGAGGTAACAAAGGGCTTGCTTTAATCTGGAATCCTTTGCAGCTTTTCTTTGAGTCCCCCAAAGAACCAACTATGAGTCCGCCTTAGCTCTACTAGCTCAAGAGTAAGTAGTTTTGAGGTCTCCAAAATTTGTTAGTCCATTTGTTAGATTGGTGCTTCAAGCAACAGTGACAGAAAAAGAAAGTTCATATAAACTATTTTTGTCACATTTTATCTACAGCTTTATCTAAAGCATCCTTGAGATAAAGCACATTCACTTAACCGTCAGCAGAGGACTCAACTCAAACAAACTATTACAACATTTGATTCTACATTAGTAATTTGTCAATGATGACAAATGCTGAAATCCAGTTGTAAATAAGACCTGGATGCTATCACAGGAAGAAACAGACTGGAGGACAAACAAGCCCCTTGACGTACTTCCTAGGGGAGCTGAGAGGCCACAGACGTCAAATTTTGCAGCGATTGGACCCTCTTACCCGCTGGGTCATTTCCACCTTTAAAAGCAATCTGAACACCTGACCCACCCTTCCACCTCTTTGTGTTCAGCTCAACTCCCTAGAAACAACTCTTTACAGCCTTGAGTCAATCTGAAGGGTTGCTAAAATTAAGCCAGCCGTGCACACACAGCCACTTTTGAAGTGCTATCTTTCTGCTGCAGTCAGAAATGTGACCTGCAAAGATATGAAGGATCCCTGCCCGTACAGTTTCAGAATAAATAAAAAAAGCTTTGATCAGAGGTATTGCATTATTAATTTTTACAGCTGAAAAACTATTTTAAATATGTACAAGAAATATATAAACCCCCACCACATTAGACATACAGTAACAAAACTATACATGATTTAACAGTAATGAAATTTTGGAGAGGTTGCTTAACAACCAGTGTAGATAACTGACTGTTCCCTGCAAAGGAACAGATAATATTTAAGTACTTTCATTGCCAACATCATGGTTATTTTTATTTGTAAACTGTCAAAATGATTTTTAAAAAAAAAGTAATTAAAATCAGTGAAGCTGAGGGGAAAATGCCTCAAGTGGTTGTTTTTCTCGGGTGCAAAATGAAAGTCAGCATTGTCCTCGATGTTAGTCTTTTGCTGTGTTGATTAAATGTGCCCATCATTAAAAACTATCATTGATCATTTTTATGTCTTATTGATAATGATCAGGTCACACTGACATGATGTCTCCCTTAAGTGTGAATAGATTAACATTGAAAGAGGGATTAAAGACTATTTCTCTGCTCCAGAAGGTTAGCTATCATGGTTATGAAAATGCTGAAGTTCTCATTCAGGGTTAACCAGTATTTAGAAATGTTACCAGGAGTTTTTTTTAGACTGGTCACCTGGTTAATTATCATATGCTTGTATGTGTGTATAACTGTTTGACAGAGTGTAACCTCAAATGACAAACATGACCCTACTACTGGATAGTTTATGTCCTGTTCATAATGACCAGTATCCCCACAATCTTGAAAATCTGTCATCATGACCATGACCTGAAGTTATGTGTCGTGTTCCCAGATTTCATGGTTTATTTTAGAACTCCAGATCAACTAATCCAGTGATGACTTTGGCTGCTGTCCAGTCAGCGTTTACACTCAGAATAAATCTGTGTGTGTGTGTGTGTGTGTGTGTGTGTGTGTGTGTGTGTGTGTGTGTGTGTGTGTGTGTGTGTGTGTGTGTGTGTGTGTGTGTGTTTCAGAAAATGGGCAGAGGGTAAGCGGCAGACCAGAAGCTTCTCTGGGAAAACACAAACTCCAAACAGTACAAACCACTAGAGTGCAGACTGGTCGAGACCTGGAGCAGGACCCTGCATTCCATAGAAACCCCCCGCCTCAAGCCTTCCACTTCCACTACATGCTGAGAGAGAGAGAGGGAGTGATGAAAAGATGAGAACAAAGGTAGGAAGACAAGGAGCAGGACACATACTCGTCGCAGAGACACAGTGATGGTTTTCCTGATGTGACTCAGAGAGATATGAATAGGATGACTCAGATGTCAGAGGTCCCTCAGCGGGACATTCCTTCTCAGGACCTGCATCTGCAGGATGTTCATAAGTCTGAAGACAGAAGCAGCAGCTTCCTGCTTCATGACTCATTTTTCTGTATCATACATCTGTGTCATTATGTCATTTTGGCAGTGAACACAGAAATGATTAAAAATTTCCTCTACAGGGAGTACTGGTTTAGGTCAGTTTAATGTATTGCAGCCCAGGTTTAAATCCCACCAGTTAACCTTTACCACATCTTCCCCAAAACACAGAGCAACAAAGTCATACTGGTGAGTTACAGTAACGGTTGTCATTTTAACTTCAGAAAGAACTTTATAATATACAAATGTTTAAATGAAGCAGAATTATTTTCTTTTCTCTTCAGCTCTAAACTTAACTTATCTTAACCTCTGATCATAACTGAAGCCACTCACTTCCTGTCGGTTAACTCCAAAGCAGTGACCTGCCTTATCCTTTAGGGGGTCCCTAAATTTATTCCATGGAAATAATCTGGTATGTGAATTTATATTGCAAAAGTGAACAAATTGTAGCTGACTGATGTTTGACTTGTTACTAAAAGATAGATTTAAAACCAAATTTCAGACAGGGATGACTTCACAAAACTGAGATTTTTCTTTGCTGTGGGTCTGATAGTGGTTTATAATCCTCATTTTCCATCAGTTAAAAGTGTAACAAGCAATGACAACAAGTTGCATTTCTAAACTGAAGTTCTTAACCTCTACTTTTCATCTCCTTTTTGTCTTGGAATCATCCAGAAATCTTATCAGGCTGAGACACTATAGAAACATGTCAGTGGGTGGATTTATTATGATTAATGTCCCCTATTATATATAATCACCATGGCGAAGCGATGTTCAAGTCTTGGTCCATGTCTTTATCAAAGTGTCTCTTTGTCACAGTCTCTGCTGTTGTGACGTCGTTTAGCAGAAATTCAAATTTCTCTCCCACTCTCCCCCTGAGCCCCCTCACCATATCACTGCATGCTCAAAAGCCCCCCACTCAGACAATAGCCGTCTCTCATGCCCAGTAGGCTTCCCCCCAAAACAACTTGCTCTCGGGTCTGGCCTCAGTGGCTTGGAAAGAATGACTTCTTTTCCTCTCTTTCCTTCCTTCAGGCTTTCCTTTGCCCATGAGCAGTGCAGTGTGAGCCCTGGTGAGATAAACAGAGACTGTGTGTAGTCATCAATCACAAAAGAAGGGCACACACAGGGGTGCATGCTAAGGATAGTCAAATCTGTGTGGAATCTGGAGTGGAAAACTTAAAGAGGCAAAGTTCAAGACAAAAGCTGAGAGTGAGCAATTCACAAGAGATAAAGATGTTTATCTGAGAAGCCAGGGGCCTTCACATTTTGGTATACACTTTCCATTTAAAATACCATAATGCATCTTTGTCACATATTAGAGCTGTCCATCCCATAAAGAGTGGTCCGTGTCAACAATAAAGATGTCCCATGTGCTGTAACACTGTAAAATCACACACAAGGACATCACTATTGTAGCGTTGTGTGGTTTATTGTAAACGTTACAGCCCCACAGTGTAACATCAATGTCAAAAAGGCTGAGAGTGAATACAGCACGGATTCAGACACAGCATATTCAGAAACACTAAAATACAATCAAATAAGACACCCCTTAAATAGATATTTGTTCTTTCTTTGCTTTTATTTTCGTGTGAATATGATAAAGCGATGTAACCTATAATGTCGTAAGGAGGTGCTAGTTGGTAGATTTTCTTCCTCTGCACAGATGCCAGCTGTTGCTTCCTGTTTTTACGCCAGGCTTACCCAACAAGCTGTTTGTGGCATCTTTTGGAACAGACTCATATCCGAATTTTATCCGTTGAGTAATCCGATTTTTCCCCCAAAGAAAATTAACAAATGAGAAATTTTGTCATCCACAGGAAACGCTGCTAGAACAAACTAATCGTTAAAAGAGAACAAAGGTTCCCCTATTGTCTCAACATTTTGAATGTATGTTTTATGTCAAGTTTAGGGCTTTGTAGTCCCTGGGAACTCTGTGGGGGAGGGGGTAGTAGTTTTCCTGCTTCTGTTTTCCTTTTTCAGCCTCATTCCCAAAGCCATAGCTCCCTGATATTCCCAGATGCCCTGTCCAGGATGTATCATATTAAATAAAGGGTGAAAAGGGGACATTCTTGTAATTTGTCCTCAAGGAATGCTGAGAGGGCTCTAGAAAATGTTTCTTTTTATACAGTTTGTATATGCCTGTTATTGACCCACAGGTGTGCCTTAAGCCTGCCCGGGTCACATGGCAGCCTTGAAGGTATAAACATGATTTACTGACCTTGAGCTGCTGAACAATGTAGCTGTTTTGAAAACGGCGAAGACTGCGCTATCGCTACAAACCATAAGGACTGTATATGGCCGCAAAGGAAATGAACACATCAACAGAAAAGCTTACACCCAAACTTAACACGCATATAATCTACGAGAGAAAACTCAGTGTGCACTGCCTGCTTTCCCTGTTGCAGATTTCTGACGCACGCAGACTCTTATGGTGCAGAATTCACATAAGCTTCATTATTACTCATAAAAATTGTTTATATGGACATTGTGTGCGGTTAAACAATTGCAATTGTGACAGCAATACAGAGCACTCATTCGGGATGTTGAGTTGGTCTTTCTATAACACAAAACCCCATTAACACAACATCACAGCAGGGAGAGAGAAACATATGGTGTGTTATCAGTTGCCTCACATTTCCATTAAAACAGAGCGACTGAGCTCGTATCTCCACCGGCAGATCCTCTCTGATGACTTCAGGATGGAGGGAAAAACAGAACACCAGGGACATTAGGGCATCAGAGGATGTTTAGAGAGCAGAAACGCTTTCTTCCTGCCTGTCCGCTGTATTCCTGATGTTTACCTGCTTCGAACATGTTATAGACCCAATACATGCACTCTTTTCTTTTGTAAAGCAGCTGTCTATTTAAGAAAGAGGCCTAACTTATCACTTTTTTTTCCAAACATTTATGTGTGAAGATTTTTTAGTTAATCTTTCTGGAAATAACCTCATGTAAGTTCTATTCTATTTATTTGCTTTTAAAGAGTGAATAGTTAAACAGTCAGTAAATCCTGTTTTTGAGAAGCAGTGACATCTGAAAATGTGGCTGCTTGGATCAGGAAGTAACAGTGCGTCATGGGACTTTTTTTTTTCAAATAAATTAAACTAATGACTATTTCCAGAAGACAAGATAGTTGCGGTTACACTTTTTACTTTAAAAGAAAATATATCTAAAAAGGCTTCAAGGTCCTACATGGCTTTTCTCCGAACAAGGGCTGTAGAAAGAACTGACACATAGCAGACATCCGTGTTTTACTTATCGCCTAAAATCTTTGGCTTAATACGCCCCGGACTTTTCTCCCTCACACAAAGAGATTTTGACAGTCTTAGGGCAAGAGTTTGGCAGAAAAATACACAGAAAAAAATCCCCTTCGGCTCTCCCACGGCCTTTTTATTTAGTTGCCACCAAATGAAAATAAAGCAAAACCTTATCTAAAGACTAAACCCCTAAATAGAGCTCGACATGGCTGAGAACACAGTCAAAATAAATCCCATCTTCAGTCTTTTAACAAAATAAAACCCCCACAAAATGTCCTGATCCAACCAGAACTAAAAACAGCACATAAATTGAAATTGTGGCTGGTGTGCCTACGTCCTGTTTGGTCTGTGTGAATTTGGTATCATCACCTGCACCTTCATATATGGCCCACACACCCTGTAGGGATTCACTTGGCAGATACAGATGACAGACGTTATTTTCCAGCAGAAGAGATCAGTGTTGACACATCCCGCCACTCTTTGATCTGTTTCCAGCTGCGCGGACAGCAGATGGTTCACACGGGATCAAATAATACTAAGTCAACTCACTGATTGTTGCGATTGTGCGGACAGTTTGAGGTTCATCGATATGAAAGCACAGTTTTGAGAAGTGTTGTGAAGTTTGTAACACTCATGGTTCCTCTGCAGTGGTGATTGTTGCAGCGTCAAAAATGCCCCTAAGGACTCTTACCTGTCTTCTACAACTCTCTTAGCAGTGTCTTAGTTTTCTCTTTCTATTTCGTACCTACTTCTTTTTTCTTTTTACAGCTGTATGATTTTTAATCTAGCATGCAGTGTATATGTCATCCTGCAGCTTCTGGTACCATGAGCAATTTTGGTACAGTTTAGTTTTACTGTTTTTATCAAAACCAAGACAATCCAAATCATTTTTTTTTTTGTTTAACTGCTTTACTTATCATAGTCTGCAGGCCTGGGTGCAGGAGGACATCATAATGTAAAAGATGAATTTCTCTTGCCGGTGCTTTTTTACATCATTTGTTTGGGGAGTCAGTCTGATTCAACTCCCTTTCCATATCAACACTGAGCACAGAGAGGGAGTCAGTCATAGCTTTTATGAGAGACTAGATATAGATAAAGACTGTAACGGTTATTAATGTAGAGCTGTAGCCAACTGAATATCCTCATACAATAATACAAATAAAACAGAAACTGTGCACTTTAAAGGAGCTTTTCCCCCCAAAGGGAGGTCAGAGATGACTGGAAGAACAAAAAAAAAAAAAAACATGAACAAACAACCAAACCTCACGAAGTAGTCCAGCTGCAGCATTAGTTCAGTATGGAGGGGTTAGACATTTATCCCCCCCCCCCCCCCAAAAAAAAAAAAAAAAAAAAAATCACTCTTGAAAGTGAATTTAGTGTGTTTGTTTTAAACATCAATTGTGGTATCTATGAGTTACAACATGAGGTCAAAATCTTAGCATAAAAGTCCACCATTTTAGCTTAGAGGACTAATAAAGTCATCACAATAGTTCTGGGGTAAGTTGAGCCAGTGACTCAACTGAGAAAGTAAAGAAGTCTGATGAGAGGATCAGAGTTTCAGTTCAGATTGTTGAAATGTGTCACTGTGTCTGTTCTGAATCACTTAAAGGCATTCTCATGTTAAAATGACTTTTTACAAAACAGCTTTTTAACAGTTATATGCAATAATAATAAAATAATAATAATAAATAATAAAAAAAATATAATGCCTAATAACTTACTTACACTAAAAAACAACAGAGGTAAGAAGCACATGTGTAGATAGATGACAGATCCAAACGGGCCACGCCCACTTATATCAAATTAAGTAAATTAGCCTACGCCCATAAAGCAAAACTCTTCTTATCTGTTCACGGTTTCGTCTGGGGACAATACAGATGACATGGTTTTTGATGATGTTATGTCTTGAGTTGTAGTCATGGGAAAAATAGAAGCAGTAAATTCATCTCCATGCTGTATTTCTCCCAAGACCTCCGCCCTCTGCTGCACCCTCTGAAAGTTCCTCCTTTTCCCACTGCAAAAAATATCCATCTTAGTTATTTATATAGACGTACATCCATACTTGTCCGGGGATATCAATCTAAATGGAATATCCATTAAAGAGCTGAGAGAGAAATGTGTCAGCATTCCACGTGCTGATAAAATATAGTTCAACTGCAGCCCACGAAGCTCCTGCAGCCTCGCGCTGTCTGACATTTCTCACAGTGTGGGACCTCCTGTCTCTGCCCCTCCTGCATCATTTGCCTCCGCGCGCTGCACACCCGCTGTCCTCCCTCTTACGCACAGTTAGTTGTCCAGGAGGACTAGTCCCTGTCAGACCCCCTCCACGCACACTCACTGACACTTTACCCAGCACGGACAATTCGATCAACCACTGACAACCATGGCTGTACGGGACGCTTCCTACCTGCTTTTCGGACTTTTTGTCATCTTTAGCACCTGGGGAGGTGAGTACACGGAGAGAGAGCACACTCTGCCACACGCGGGTTTGGACTGTTGCTGGTCCAACAAAGTCTAGATACACTATCTCTGAGTTCAGATTCATCTCATGGGCGCACAGGGATACCAAGTTAGAAGATGTGTTCATAAAAGAAGGAATTAATTGGGAATTATAGGAACAATTTAGACCAGTTTTATGTTGCAGCTTCTCCTCCTAGATTGAATTAAACTCCCTTCTCTACTTCTGGGCTCAATGATAACATCATTGGAAAGAAGTTCAGGTTATCTGACTGTACCTTCTGTGCACACTGGTAGGATGTGATACTGCACAGCCCCTCTTTTGCTTACATTACTTTAACAAAAAAAACTACCAGGGCCAGTAAACCGTTCTGTCTTTGCAGCTCTGTGTTACTTGAATCTGTCAGTATGTTTATACTTACAGATTTCTCAAGTTCAGTATTTTTCTAAAGTAGTCATACTTGTAGATTTAAAACATGAGAACTTTCCAGTAAATCATGACACGGTGGTACCATGACAGAGAACATAGTCAGGATATCTTACAGTATCCAGGAGGTTCTTGTGGCATCAACATTTCTCCCCTTCATTCTCAATTCCTGCAGAACAGGAGGTGTGTTGTTTGAAGGTTGCATGAAAATGGAGGTATGTAAACTCTCCAGACGGTGTTAATGACTTTAGGTGAGAGTGACCGCACTTGTATCTCACTTGTTGTGAACAAACATGTTTGCTGAAAAATATCTCATTGAACTTCCTCTCACCAAACATCACACTTTGTTCATTTGCTATGGTATACGAAGCTAGTTTGAACAGTTTGCTGCTTGTATTTTTAGCCGCTGACATCTACAGAGGTCCGGTTGTAGTCAGGCAGCTCAGTCTGCTTTCTGTCAGCTCCTGTCTGTTCAGTGTGTCCCTATCATACACACAGGAACACACACACGCATGTTCCCACTGTGAGATATAGCTCTCTTTGCAAAAAAGTTTACAGTGAGATATCTATGGAGGAGTAAAGAAAGCTAGACAAAGTTTGCAGTTAATCATCTCTGGTTTGCCCTCGGTCAGGCTTTTTTCATACCAGCTGTGTGAGAGACTGTAATAAAAGCTGGATGGAGCATAGTGAGGAGCAGATCAAGTTTATTTTTAGCAGAGCGCATGAGTGAAGATTTATATGTGGTGTTATGTGTGTGTGAGAAGGGCATACTTTTCCAGCCTCTCACATTAAACTTCCAGATTGCAGGACTTTTCTTTTAGCGTTGGTGCTTAAGTTGTTTGTATAACAAATCCACCTCCCAAACACCTCCACCCTCCCCACCCTTCTTTCTTTGGGGACCTGACCGCCCCCCCCTCTGCTTTTTCCATATCTTTACCTTTTGCTACCTCTGTTTGTCTTCAACCACATGAACCTTTCCTGTCCCTGTATTGTGCTGATCTCCTGTTTGAGCTAAGCTTGACCATTGTCCATGATCTCCTCTAACACTCTGTGCCCTTATCAGGTCCACTTCCTGTACTTCTTCTTCTCTGGCTTTCCTTACGCCTGAACTAATATCCCTCACCTCTGGTCCATATCCACCTTGTTGATCATATTATAATTGATTATTTCTCGATTGAAACATTTAACGCCCACGACTGGTGCAAGGGAGTAGAAAAGGAAACACTGAATATTCACAGGAAATGATACTTATGACTAGAAAGTTAGCAGGATGACATCTGTCGTCAGAAGATACGACTTGAGGATGCAGAGTACCAGATAAGCGCCAATATTGAGCCAAATCCCAAGTCAAAAAGTTGATCAGTGGACCAGTCAAATGAGCAAAAAAAAGTTTTGCAAATTTCAGACCCCTGTAGAATCTTTGATGTAAACTTTTCATCCCCTCAAAATCCGTAAAACTTCAAATGTCAATCTTTCAATGATCATGGTGGACAGCTATCCAGGCCTACGCTGCCATGAAAGTGTGTATGCGAACATGAAACATAAATATGGGCAACTGTGTAGATACCATATCTCTTCTTCCACACTGCTGTCAGGTTGTAACAGTGGCCCTCAGTGGGCAAACTATTCACTTCCTGTGACATCAGCCAATCAAGATAGGCCAAAGAGCAGCCACCTTAGACCTCTCTCTGGTTTAAAGGCAGGGACTTTCTGCTGCCTCCACCGCTGTTCTCTGTGCTTCAGTTTCTCGTGCTCGAAACAGCCGCTGCTCTTCAGAAGAAGTGAGCCAGTTACAGACAATAAACGTCCTTGTTATGTCTTGACTGCATCACACAGAATTGAAGTAATCTGGCAGAGGATCAGCAGAGTGAGCTGGAAATGAGAGTCCCTAAATTCAGACTTCTTCCGGCATACGTCCACAACCAAGACTTTGACTGTATGAATTCATGGATATGAACAGCTGTGTGAGGAGTAGGTTGGAAGTTGCCAGAAAATGGTAGTGATCGTGTTTTTGAATCCTCTTTTAGACACATCAAAACACACTTGTATTTGTATTGAATTTCTAACAGTGGACGGTAATTCTGCTCTCTCCCTCTTAGACATTGCAAGAAGTCCAATGCAGTTTACATTTTTGGCACAAATGCTGCACACATGATTGAATCAATGACACGGTGTGGCTGAAGTTCATCATGGCACATGGTGTCTTATCTCTGCTCTGACTAAAAGCTGTTCAGGCTCTCTGTTTACATGTTCCTGTGAAACAGACTCCTCAGGACTCCACACAGAAAAGAAACACTCCCCAAACACTGTTTTTGATCTGGACTATCACAGAATAACATTAATCTGAAGGAGTCCAAAACTGTTGTGGTCCAACTCTATTTGTTAGGATTAGTGAAACAATCCAGATCCTCTGTGAAAGCTGGAGAGGAAACAGTAGAAAGGTCGGACAGAGTGAGTTTAGTCCTGTGCCACTAAAGTTAAAGTGTTGTTAACAGTCAGAAAAGTGCAAATACACAGGGAGTTGTTGGTCAACATGATGCAGCAGTTTTGAGATTATGAGTGAGTAAACTGCTTGATGCTTTCTGAGATTTTGACAGATTTATTTTCATGTGCTTTGTGAAATCATATCCTTTATTGTTTTTAAATACAACTAAAAGAGATATTCATTAAATCTCTAGTACAATGAAATAAAAATGTCCTGATCTGATCTGAACTTAGTCAGGGGAGACAATCATGACATCAAGTGACCGCCTCAGAGAATGGAGGGGATTTCCATGCACCATTATCCACCAATTCATACAGTGATTACTGTGTATGGCATCAGCTGTTGCCATTTAACAAACCCAAGCTGGCTTTGAAAGATCACTGCCGGATTAATTCATTTATTTTGCTGTCACATCCCAATTTAATGTCGGATTCTGGCAGAGATGATTCAGTCGCAGGGTAGGAATATACAAATAAAGTTACGTTTATCACAAAGATTTATCAGCGTAAGTGAGTTTTTCACAAATCTAACAAAGTAATGATTTAAAAGCTGGTTGATATTTGCATAGTGGCCCCTTTCGTTTCTTGCCATGCTAAGGGAGAGGCTAGAAAATATTCACACCGAACTCCTGTCATTCACAGAGTAATGAATCATTTTGTTTGGAAATTTATTGTTCAGATATTTTTCAATGGATTCCTTGGCTTGATTCAATCTTGAACACCCTGCATTGCTATTTTTGGCTCACTGGGTGTGAGTTTTGAGTATAATGTGAGGAAATGTGAGGACATGTGAGGAAGAGGAAAACACACCTAAGATTTAATAGCCGATGCATGTGTTAGAGCTGAAAGCAGAAGAAAAGCTGCATCTGTTGTCAGGTGTTTTTATGGGAACGGCTTTTTGATCTCCCATAATGGGCTCAAACTTTGCACAGGGGAGGCTGAATCATAGGTTTCCTTTTACTGTTTGATCTTCATGTTGCTGGAATAACATCCATTATCACCATTACCTGGGTCAATATAGCAAAGCAGAGATGGAGCGCCTGTGTGGAGCTGCCCCTGGCGCAGGGAGCTCACAGGACTTTGTGCTGTTGTCAACGGGGCCATTTTGTGTGCGTTCACTGTGTCGTGGCAAATGATTGTATAATGTTGCTCAGGCAGCCGTACCGTGTTGATTGACATCTTGTTAACAACACTTTTCGTTTCCAGAGTGAGCGATACAACACTCTGTCAGGGAAAGGAAGCGCATGCTCTGTGTTGTTTCCTCTTCCTGTAGAAAAATCCCCTTTGTTGTGTCCATGTTGGCATTAACTTTTATCCATAATCATTCTGTTTTTATTTACCCCAGTCTGAGTAGCTGCAGATCATTGATAGGCTCTTTCAATTTTTTCTCAAAGCCTGTATCTGCTCAAGCCAAATTTAAAAAAAAATATATATATATATATATTTTTTCTGTGTCATCCTTAATAGTTGCACTAAAAATACTCAGGTTTGCTGAATTTTAATGTTTGTTGTGGCAAATCTCAACATATTTTGGTTAAAAAGGCGGCATTCACTCCGTGATGAGTAGCAGAAAGCTCAAACACACATCAGCCTTGTCTGCAGATGTGCAATGAGGCATTTCATCTGTGAGCCATATTGAAGCACCTGAACACACACTGAACAGCTTTAGTGTGCTCTGATGTATAGCTCTATATTTAGCTGCAGGGTAAACCCACTCATCAGGCAGTTCGAGCTCATCTTTGGCCAACATCGCCACTAAAAACTCACCTCTCACTGTTAGCAGCAACTGCGGTGCTGACTGTCTTTGAAGTCCCCTGATCAGACAGACAGCTGCCCACACCTGGTGCCCCCACAGTCCTAAAAACACACTCCCCACGGGACCCCAGACTCCAAGACACATATAAACACACACGCGCTCTGGTCAGTTCACTGGCACTGCTTAATGGCCTGTTGTCATCATGTGGTATTTTAGTTAAAGCAGGGTTACAATTTCACTGCTGGTGTCAGTGACAAAACACCCATTACAGTACAGACACTTTAACTTATACACTACATGTGTAAAACTGTAAGCATGTAGTAACTGAGGTGATTATTTGGAGGAGGGGTTTGAGGTTGTTGTACATATATGACAGGACATGACAGGGAATGATCCCTCACTTACACTTATGGATTAGACATGCCGCATGGATCCGTGACGTATTTTATTCCATTGACAGTAAATACAAGAGTTGTTGTGTTATGTGTTGTTGCCATAGCTGTAGCCAGCTCAATCCGCAGAGTATCAATGCTACTATTAAAGTAGTTTCAACTTGTAAAGCCATTCTTGGGGTTCAAGCAAAGAGCACAATTACTCAAGGCCAATGAGGACTCGTGCAGGAAAGCTAAAAAGGAGTAGGAAAAGTATTTAGCTTCACCGAAAGCTGCTACCTGAGCCCTTAGATAACCCCACCATTAAATCTTTGTTTAAACGAGAGCATAAAAAAATTAAACGCTCTTCTAGTTTGGTTGACACCAGCAAACAGGAAGATTATAAATCACCTGAAATGACCTATCCTGATTCTTATTTTTTGACCTGAGACCTTTTTTCGCTGCAGCGTGAGGGGTCAAGAGGTTAATGAGGGGCTTTCAAAGCCGCAAACAGGATGGAGCTTTTTTTTTTTTGCGCCAACAAGGGGTCAGTGAAGGGTTTTGGATTTGGGAATTTTTTACTTAAAAGGAAAAAGGAGGATGAATGCCTTAACTGTTTCTGGTATTATATCCGGAACAGAATTTGCAGGACAAATACCAAAGGTCTGATTATATTTGGAAGTTATCTGACTGTTCTGGAAAGCTGAGACTAAAAAGTGAAATATGCCAAAATATTGTCCGATTTAATTAGTGGCTCAACATCGCAGGGAGCTAAACTGAGGAGCAAATATTAGTTGAACAACCATCAGTGCATTTTAACCACAATAATTGACTGTTGTCCTCTAAACAGTAGAGTTCAATGAGGTTTTAGAAATAACTGTAACTTTACTCCCAGGGATGTCTTGCTTAGTTAATCTTGGGTCACAGCAGAAACAACAAACCAACAAACCAGGGCTGTTAATACTGTAACAGTCCTGAAATAAACTCTGAACCTCCACTGAGCTTGTCTTTTTTGGACAAACTGAGAAGAATCTTATAAGCCAAAAATACCATCATTACTCGGGATCACTGAGGAGACTGCTGAGATTATGTAAGAGGAGGTGAAGACATGCAGGGAACTTCTGTTGTTGTGTAAGGTGAGTGCATATGAAAACAGCATTATTTTCAATTTAAGACTGTCCCTTACAGAGGAGAAAAGTATGTAGAAATTTATTTTAACTTAGTGTTTTTATCCCCCACAAGTATCCAGTTTGAGTTTTTGGTTTGTCTGTCTGCAAAAGTTAGTTTCTGTCTGACTGTAATGTCACATCTTTTTCATGGCCTCTAAAAAAAGGTTAATCAGATCCAAGTCAAAATGTAAGTAAGAGGAAGTTCAGGTTTCGATCAGAAAGGAAGGGTGGGGATTGCTGTGTTTCCACTGTTGCGAAAAACAAAACCGTCATCATCTTTTTGTGGTGTTAGGTTTCGCCCAAAAGTTCCATTTGCTACTACCAAAGAATTTTCTTAATCTCTTGGTCAATTCAAATCTAACCGAATCACAAGGAAAGAATTATCAATCATGGGTTTTTCTGCAAAACTACATCTTAGAAATTCTTTTAATGCCATCGGCAACTCTTTTTTTTTAGATGTTCTGGTTTCCTTTAATAGCTGCAGAGGGTGAGGCTTGAAGAAACTTTTCTGCATTGAAAGTAAATCGACAATAACCAGTACAGCAGTTTCTTATCACTGAGACACAAAGTTAAACAGGCAACCCAAAGCTAACCTGGCAACCTAACTCTGTGGGTGCTAAAAGCTGCAATTATGGAGAATGATGTTTGTTTTCTATTAACCACAGCAACCAGAGGGTACAAACCTTATAAATAGCATTCTCTGCCTGGGGAGGTAATCTCAGTGTGACTCAGCTCTTCAATCCTGAGTGAAACAGTGTTTGAATAAAACAAGTTAGTGTTTGTTTTTGTAAATATTGGAATTGTACAAGGATTTCTTTACCAGTTTTAGTCTCTAGGAGATAAAGCGTTGGTGTTTTGTCACAAGAAAACTATTCAATTAACATTTTTCTCCTCTGCTGGGGCTCAAAGAGTCTTTTTTGTGTCCCCAGTCAAGCCAGCTGTTCCCTCTTGTCAGTCACAGCGACTCCAATGTCAAAATGAGGGTTTCTACACTGTGGATTGACTTTGAGAAATAGTGATCATTCTTAAGCTTTACAGGGGCGTATAGACTTTTAACGAAATGATGAAATCCACACCATTCACACTGTCAGACAGGATATGGGGAGCAGGATATATGGACCATATGTGTGTCATAAAATGCATCCTGTCGGATACTCATTAACTTCGCTGACATTTCAAAGCTCCCACTTTTATTAATTTGTATGAATTTATGCCCTTTGGTGCCACAAAACATTATTTACTCCGTTCTTGAGAATATGGTTTCTCCAAAAGCTTGTCTCACAAGTAACAACTGCATGTATGCATGTCTGTCACAGAGGTTAAAAGTCTGCTGTGAAAAAATCTGAACCCTTAGTGTGAAATACCATAAAATTGTGCATTTGTTGTTGTGGGAACGGCTACTCTAAAGTATTAAATACAAATATACAGAAATTCAACTTTTTTTCACTATTTAGAAACAATTGAATGATGAGAGCATATGCTTTTTACCTTGAATTATTTAAAGATTAAAATATGATAAGATTATGAGATCCAAATCATATTTATAGTGTTGCCTGGTTAACTGCCTGACAGAAATACAAGCATGAACAAATACGCAAGACTCTGTGCTTTTGGTTTTCTTTAACCACAGTGCTTAAAAACTCAAAGAATATAAACTCCAGCTGTGTGATAAATGACTCCAGCCTGTCATTATTTAGTTCATTGTAGTAAATGTTGCAAAAACCTAAAACAATGGAGGCTTGAAAGATTGAGTTAGGGGACAAAAAAAAGTCCTCTCTAAAGTTGAAGTCAAAAGAGAGAAGATTTTAACATCAGCATCCACAGATCTGCAGGATATCCAGCCAGCAGATTTGTGATCCTGGAAACCATCAGTGAGACATTAATGCAGCAGAATACAAGATGTTATAGCAGAGCCAGCACCTGGAGATAGGGTTTCTGATACGGATCAGATGGTAAGTAAGATGGAACTGCAAAGAAGGACTTGAGTTTGATGTGAGAGACCTGGTTTCCATACTTTGACACAAGGCACACCTACAGAGCTGCTAAAGTGCACATGGTGTCCTGCAAACCCTGCTGTGAGATTGATTTCATCCAGTTTGATATACGGTCATGAGTGTATGCAGTCATGGGAGCAGTTTATGGCAAGGAGAAAAACCAGGCGTGTATGTGCCTTAGAGGAGATGTAGTGTGAGCACACATGGTTACTTCAAACTGCAGTTAGGGTTGCCTTTTTACATCCAGATGTGGGATCTTAACTCTGCAAGTTAAGACTCATAATAAGAATTACACGGTAAATAATTACGATGAAATTCAAGCAATGAGAGATCGCAGAACTGTCATTCATAGGCATCTTCTCCTTCACTGGCTGCTGTGCTTTTATTATCAGGTGGAGAGGTTGCTCATTTTCACTCTGACGTGAAGATTTATGTGTTTCTTCACCTCCTCTCTCTGCTGTGAGGTCAATCACGCACAGAGTCCTCTCTGTCCTGCTGCTGTGTTACCAATGTGAGAAAAACACACCGCCAAGCCAAGGGGCCTCTCTTCTGCTGCCCCCTGGTCCCTTTGACTTTTAAAAAAGATACATGTGCTGCTTGTTTACCATGAGCCATGACTAAAAGTTGCAAATTGAAAGCTTTATTAGTAATAAACCCATCATGTGTCCTGCTGCGCCTCTGTTTGTTGGTTGTCGGCAAAGGAATACGGCCAGACGATGTAGTAAAGAGAAGACATTTGTCTACTTAAAGGTGGTCTTCATTTGTTAGATTCCTGTTTATAGAACAACTGACAAAACATTAGCAGGACTTGGAAAGAAATCATAACAATGAAGTGCAAAAAATCCTGGAACAATTTTCCAAATTCGCAAGATACGCCACACAAAAAGTGAACCAAAAATAGAAATGAAAGCAGAACAAACCAAGTCTAAAAGTTTTTGAGCATGCTTAAACAGATACCTTTTTACACGATCTGTTGCCATTGCTAGCCGTTAAGTTTCAGTACTTATGGTGCGTTCGAGTTACCTCAGAAGTCAGTTGTCGGAGCTGAGAATGACGTCACACCCGAGTTACCAGCGTTTCAGTTACAAGGTCGTAAAAAAGCAAAATCGGAGGCAGAAACAAGATGGCTACAACTACGAAAGTTACTTAAGCGCTTGCCTTGTCCAAATATAAGGAACTATAATGCTGGTAACTCGGGTGTGACGTCAGTTTTAGCTCTGACATCTGACTTCTGGGGTAACACGAACGCAGCTTTACTCCAAGATCTGGAACGTAAGTCTCGCCATTCCAGAGGACAATCTGTTTTCCATTGCATTAAACTAAGTCCACAATGTGCAGTTTTTGTGCACCTGTGTAGCTTTTTCTTAGTACCAGCTGTTACCACTGAGTGAAGTTTATGGTCCTGCTAACTGCCAGTGGTTTCTTGTCCCCAATTAAAGAATGTTTTAGTGAAACCAGAACTCCACAAAGTTCAAAGACAGCCAGCTGAAAAGTAAAATAAAGGTAAAAACACTTGGAGGTACACCATATCTGGCAAAACAACTTAATGCCCAATTGTTCAACATCTCTTCCCAACATACTTGTTTGTTTTTTGCTCTTACATATCTAAAAGTGCAGTGTCTTGATCCTTCAGGGCCTCCATATATTGGTCCTAAGAAGACACTGAATCAAAGTAGCAGAGAGTTGAGCTGCAGACGTACAAAGCAGGAGCTGAAGTTGCCCTCTGGGAGCTGGCATAAGTGGAGACCTGAGGCCTGTCAGGATCTCTGTCTGTTCTCTGAGAGTTCAACACCCTGCTTAATAATGGATGTTGTTTTCCTGAAATAATGCGCTGTGCTCATCTAATGCACATTAGGAGCCTTTTAACCTAATGCAACCTGTCAGGCCTCAACCATGACAGTGTGCCGCTGACTCCACACTGCAGACTGATGTGTTTGTGTGGCTTCACAGTGTTTAGTTACAGTAGGTCACTGTTAGCAGTTAACTTTTATGGTTTGCTTTTCTCTCAGTATGCTGTGATTGTCTGCAAGATTATTAACTCCTAAATTTATAGACTTAAAATGTAAACACAAAGGTTTAGATATGCATGCAGTAATCAGGAATGATTTCCTCCTCCAAGTCTTTCTCCCATGATTAAACTGTGACTACTGAAGTTCTCTTTTTATCTAGGTCACCGCAGACATCAAGCAAGAAGAGATCTGATGTGGTTAGATTCAGCTTCATTCATTCCATTTCTTCCCGCCCTCTCCAAGTAAAAACATCTGATGGCGTAAAAAGAGATCATTGTTTTCAGCGCTTCATCATGCAGCACAAACATGCCTCAGATCAGAACATGTGAGGTGTTTTAAATTGATCTTTTTATTCAGCCGCTGATTAAAAGGCAAAGCTTTGGAACTTCTTAAGCATGTGAGCCAAAGATGAGTCACATTAGTACTTAAACCAGTTTGTTGAAAGAAAGAAGAGAATTCAGATTTGACTTTTGCCGTCCATATAATTTACTTCTTTTTTCTCCTTTTTGCTCATGAACCCTTTTCTGTGTCTTAAGGGGAAATGAATGTGTGCTCATATCTTAGAAACCCTGAAAAATCTTTGGTGACATAGTACCCACTGGAACAGGATGTTATGACACTTAATGTGTACTTACATCAATTGATATTTTATATACACAAATACAAAGGGTGTATATATTTTCTAAGAATCTGAGTCTCTAATGTCTTCCAACAATTCATAGTTTTTTTAAGGAGAGAAAAGGATGATAATCTTAAAGTCAAACTAGTATATGGAGAAAGTCTGTGAGCAACCAAGTTTTATTGCAGCAGTGAAATGCAGACTTCTTTTGTAGTTTATAACTTATCTCGATAAGTCTGGCATTTCAATGAGTTAGAGTTAAGGTTAAGTTTCTTTATTTTCCCATAGACATTTTTATATGAATCAAAAACTCTCAAACATTTTTACCAAGACTGCTTATAGATTTTATGATTTATTGTCGCTGTTTGCACCATCCACCAAAAAAGGAGAGAGCTCTTTGCAGAGAGCCTCATCCCATGGGTGAAAAACTTTGTGCTTTGTGCTCTTGTGTTTGTGTGTGTGTGTGTGTGTGTGTGTGTGTGTGTGTTCCTGCAGTCTATCTTTAGCTTTTGTATGCCAGCAGCAAGTAATGCACATCTCATACTTGTGAAGCCATGTCATGGGACCGCTCTCTCTCCTGTACCCTCACCGTCAACAGAGCAAAAAAGAAAAATAGCGTCCCTGTTGGCCTTTCCCATACTTCCAAGTAGCTTGTGTTTTTTTTATTCCTGCCTGCTCACGGAGAGGAGGCTGAGACGGAGACCATTTTGTCGTCTTGAACGTGGGAAAGAGGATGGAGGGGGCGTTTGTACCACCATGGGAGCAGGCATGAGGAAATGGCTCACTTGAGAGTACAACTTACACACACAAAAACCCCCTGCGTCGGAATAATAGGCAAAGATTTATAAGATTGTAATTGTGTTTCTAATTTAACGAGAATTGTAGATTTGAACACAGCAGGATGATCTTGTCTCATAATTTGCATACTACTTATATGTCAGATGTGCGTGTATTTTTGTGCGTGGGCATTTCAAAATAGCTGAGAGGGGAAACTTTGAGTACATGGGAGAAGGCCTTGTTTTATTGCCAAGTAGTTTTCAAAGGCAGGGAAACAGAGTGAACCCTCTGTGGAGTGTGACTGCTGAGAGGAGACCAAAGAGCTGCTCACTAAAGAGGGATTAGCCTCAGGTCAGTGATCCTGAGCTGCTCCTCACAGCCCAAGGTCTGAGGTTGGATCTTCACAGCTGTGATGCTGGTTCAGCACTCTGTCAGAAGTCTTTAGTACCTGAGCTCTTTACGGAAAAGAAAAAGTGAATGGTTATGGTTCAAAACACCCCGAATTTAAAGTGAAACATTAAAACTTCTTAAGCAGTAGATAAACAGGAGGTGATACTTGTGTATAATGTTGTTGATGTCAGCTGGTTATTGATCGGAGTTATTTTGGAGCAATAATTGAAGTACTTAGATGCTTACCCTGCAGCTTTTGAGTGCTCCTGTTTTCAAGGTATTTGTTAAAAGCAGATGATATGCAAAGCACAAGATTAACCCGAAGACAAATAAGAACTGTTCATGCAAATATACCAGTTATCTGGTATCAACTATACACAGAGTTTACATATTTAGTAGGTTTTGTATAAGTGTTTTTGTGCACTATACTCACTTGACTTTCTCCATCATGACTGTTTTAAATCTGTTTCTACAGTTATTTGTGTTTTTAACCATACTCCATTTTTAAGACTACCTCTGTTCTCTTTATACCACCACTCTGGCTTTTTAATATCCGCTTGGGGACAAATAAAGTTTTTTGAATCAAACTGAATTAAAACCAAACCCACACTCCTACGCTGTCAGACTCTTAATACCACTATAGTACTGGTGACTTGTTACCAGTTTGCCTATAAAGTCGCTAATTTCTGAGAATGATGTCATACTTTTAAAGAAGGTTTGAGAAAGAGAACGTTTGCTGTCATTGGTATACTTTTAAAGTGTAAAACTGTCTCTAAGCTGTCATACGAGAAATCAAATGACATTTTTAAAGACATACTTAAGCTTGGTTCTGTGTTTGGTTTTTGTTGGACTAGTTTGAATCAGAGATTGGTCAGAAGTGGTCAGTTTCCTATTTTTTTTAAAGGCACTTTCCGACTAACCGACTTTTCAAATGTAAAACAACAACAACCAAAAAACAGTCAAAATTATTCATCGCAGATAAACAGGATGGCGCAGAGTGTGTGAGTTCAAATGGTTTGTTGGCTAACATTAGCAGAGTTAGTACCACCAGACTTAAGTCCTTTTTGTAGGTTGTATTTCTCATGCCTGTGCAAACTTATTGCCCCAGTCTAGTGGTGGCTTCACACTGGTTGAACCTGACACAGCCATTATACAACTTAATATGTAGTGCTGGCCAGTAATTCTGACAGTGTTACACCGCACAGCCAACTAAACATGCACTTATTACATAATTTCATCTCACTCTTGGCTAATAGGTGTATTCCTCAATCTATTCCTTCAGATCTTAAATACTCATTCCAATTTAAATTCCAAGAAATTACCTTAATGTTTCTGATATTAAAAACACTTAACCCTCTTGAAACTGATCTGCCATCCTCACACAAGAGTGTCCGTAAACTGTTTTCAATGAAATTACTCCACTGGTGAAACAGTTCTTTAGAAAGGGATTGACAAAGTGTTTTGGAGAATAATTGAGAGAAAATGATCTGAATATAATCGACCTGCATTGTATGATGGTGCTGGCAGTATTCTCAGAGGTGAGCTGACCAAACTTTACAGAACATACATCTCTGCTGTGCCTCTTGAGATCAAGTTCACTCCCACAGCCCTTCAAAAGGCCCATCCACAGCTTCATTCCTGTACTGTTGTAACCTTTGTGAGTAGAGGCCCCCTGCAAGATGGACTAGTCTGATGTGTTGAGAACCGAGCCAGGTCTGGTCTGGGCTGATCTCTGTAACAGGTGGTCCGATGAAATGGAATCTAGCGTCAGATCAGCAGTCGAAATCAGAGAGCGATGTGACTCCCTCCTCCCCTCCCTCTCTCCCTCCCTCTCTCCCCTGTTGTGTGGTCTGCTCTGATCCTCTCACTGTATTTACATTCTTTGTATCCTTCGTCTCCTCTGCCTTTTGGAAATCGTTAATTCTGATGGCATGTTGAGTGGATACTGCCGGCATTCGGCTCCAGCACCCCAGGGATCAGTGTGTCTTTACATTTATGCGCGTGTGTTAAAGAAAGTGTCTGGCAGGTCAGTGTGACAAGTTGACCTTGTTTTCTCTCTGGCATCGTGGGAATGCGCAGTTTGGTTTCTGCAGCTGTCACTGTCTGTCTTATTGTCTGTGCACACAGCAATTAAAACATCACCTGAACCCCACACTGTCTGCACTCAGAGGGGCGCTCTTTACCTCTTATACCTCTCTGCCTTTATAATCGATTGATTCATTGTCTGAGGTGGTGTCTATACTGGAACTTGAGACAACGTAAATCATATTATCAGGTTTGGCTTGATCTCTGTTGAATTCATATGAGAGTTTCTTTTGTCGTATGAGGTAGTGAAACCTCTCAGCTGTCCTGTAAAAAGAATCCAGTAATTGAAACATTGGACTCACTTGTTAAGACTGAAGTCATTAGTGCCAAAAAAGGTAAAAAATGTAACTTGGGTTGTTCTAAATTTGAGAAAGCCAAACAAATCAATCAAACATTTGGTTTAGTAACTTACTTAAATATGTAAACAAGACTTCTTTGTGAATTATTAAGTCTACTTCACTAATAACTACAGCTCTAGCACTATACCTGAAATGTGTCTTTGCCCAGTTTTCGCATATTTACATCACTGACTGTGTAACAGGTCAGCTAAATCCACAGCAAAGCAGATTGTTGTCAAATTACATGAGTGAATTACAAATTAAAGGAGAAAATTCCTCCTTGTCCTCTTCTGCTCCGCCAATCCACACCACCCCAGAAGCCACACATGTAAACAAAACTGTCAATCTTGGTGTCATATTCAGTTTTTAGCATCAAATAACATCCTGACACTAAGTCTCTCAGAAAATGCATGTAAATCAGCATGATAAGAACCAACTTTCATGATAGAAACCATGCAGGCCCTCGCTGATATTTTGGACGTTCATTTTGATATTTAATCTTAGACTGATGAACTACATCAGCTTTGTTGATTGGCGCTCTTCCCATCCGGATAAATTCACACCTACAACATCGTGTAATTTCACAGGGGTCTAGTTTCTTGCTGCTATTTCTGTTTGATGCTGTTGGCACGTCCTCTGTATTTTAGGGGAGTTACTGTGTACAGCCAACATAGCGGGAACAGAGCCATCCGAACAGCCAAAGGTCGCGGCAACAGGACTTGTTTTAGAAATGTCTCCTTTTGATGTAACCCTGTTGGGGTCATCAGAGCCCTCATTAATAATCGAAAGCTCGGCTAACGGGTAACAACTAATGCAAGTAATACAAGATGAAAAGAAGCATACATATTTATGAGGAAAGAGGAAAACACATTCTGGCATCAGGGCGTTTTATGGAGGCTCCTTAATGAGCACCATCATCTGCTGTGGATATCCACACATATCTTGTAAATCTGTCTCTGAAGTAGAAAATCTGTCATGTTTTATGCGAGTGGCTCATTCATAGTCTTGTAAATTGCCACATGTAGAGTTTTTAAAGACTTGTGCTGCTCCAGGAGTTGTGCGTGTGTGTGCTTGGTTGCAAGGGGTGAGTCAGCAGAAGTCTTTTTGCGAGATCACGATAAAGGCGGAGAGGACAGAGTGATGTGTGTTAAAAAGCCCTGTGGCGTCACAGGATAGATTTGATTGATGAACGTATGACAGGGTCTTTAGTATATACATTTTCAAGAGTCTCTCGTAACATTCCTCAGCACCATTAAGCTGAGCGGAGTTGACCCAAACTAAGTGGAGCTTCTGTTCTGCTAATGGATCTGTGAAGAGGAGACAAGGCTCTGATTGTGTCCTACCATCTCCTGTTGTCTATGAATACTATACGTCTTCCAGGGGGATCTGCTGTAGATCTTCTAGATTAGATTCACTCTTAACCGGAGTCAGTGAGGGAGTTCTTGTTCTCTTGAGACCCAATTTTCACCATAGCTTTATTTGAAAGTGAAAAAATGATCAGACTTGGGGAGAAAGCATGGTCAGTGTACGTTTTTTTGTAGTTAATACTCTTTTTTTCCACTTTTTAAATTTTAATAATTTAATAATAATTTGAATTTCCATGTCTTTGAAACTGCAGACACTAAGATGTAATTAGGAGTTCAAGCCTGTTTGATTCTGATCAGGGCGTCTTGCAGAGTGAATGTTTAATGTATTTTGTATTTGCATATCAACTACAGAGCAGTTTGTGATCTTTTTTATCATCCAGCCCCCCCTTGGTTCAACATTAGAGTAGAAGTTGAAGGGGTCAAATCTGTGTTAATGAACCCTGAATACTGAGAGTTTGGTTTTGATGCAGAGGAAAATATCTGTCTGATAAGGATTATTCAAGGCTCATTCTCTGAAATTTGCAGGGCCATATCTGATCAAACCAGTCAGGATGAAAGTGCCTCATTTACCAAACTTTGAGTTCTATTCATTCATTATTCATCATGAATCAGGGAGCCATTGAGTGGAGTGATTGCACACTAAAAATAAAAGGTGCCATTGTGCGACTTCAACCTCTCAACTTGTCAGGAGAAAAAGAGTGTAAAAGGATTGCTTCCTTGTTGGCATTTCGATCTCAACTCTGTATTTCTCCTCTCAGCACACTTAGTGAGAGTTATCTTCAGCTTGATAAGATTTCCCTCTCACCGTGAGATACGAGGAGTGTGCCATTGAGGGATTAGTGTGATAAATGTCAGAAGCCACAGCGACTTTCAGAGAAGCCAGCACCCACTTCTTCACACATCTTCTCGACTCTTGCGTTACTCTGTCCTCCGCTCCTTTTTTCTCACTCTGAAGGCCTCTTTTTCTCCCGTTAACCACTCGTTTTTTAACATCTGTACTGAGAGCAGCCTGTCTGAGGCACTGTTTTTCCCATGCTCCCTCTCTCTCTGCCTCTGCCTGTCCTGGAGCAGTGCAGCTATTTCTGGTTCCAGTCGGGTCAGTGCTCTGTAATTCTGTTGTATCATGTAAGCAAACAAGACTTGATAGGCCATTGTTATTCTTAGATGTGACAGGGCTGGAAACACGTCCCTGGGCTGTCACTTCATTTCACTTGCTGCTTTTGAGGGCTTCAAATAATGTACTCTTTGGAGCGCATGTTGTGTCTGGTAATGAGACATCATCTAATTTAATTCAGTGTTATACAGCCCTTGTGTTTTTTAACATCCTTACAAGTCTTGTTCCACCTGTCAGCTATTGTTTGAGCTGCTTTTATGTTGGCACTGCGTCTCCGCAGAAATGTGACCTTACCTAAAAGGCTAATGTAAGCAATCACAACTAATTTCTCTCACACATGCAGCTATTTTTGATATCTGCTCTCCTTTTATCCCTCTCTTCATATGATATTTGTTCTCTTTCATGTTTGAGCTCAGAGGAGCTTTGTCTTTTCTCTGGGGGAAATGCCAGGAATGAATAAAACATGAATCAGAGTCTGAGTGGGGGAATCCTTGGCATGTAAATATTAATACCTTAAAGTCTAACTGTGTGAGAGATAAAACAGGTTATATAAAGACTCAGTAATGCAAACAAAAGTGGCATGCCTAATTCTTTTAACAGAGAGCAGAAGGAAGTAGTTTAAGAGCTACTATAAGTGGGGGAAACTGGTGAATGAAACAGCAGAGTAAGAGGTGTGTCATGTGACATTTTCAAACCGTGTTATAGTAGGTTCAGTGTCAGAGTCTCAAGTTCAGGTCAGTAGTCAGATAAGGCTTAAAGACTTCTCTCTCTCTCTCTCTCACTCATCTCCCCTTAAAAACCAAAAACTATCAGACAGACAGACAGACTGCAGGAGCTCAGGTTGTGTCTGGTGACCTTTGACCTCGGTCATCATCCTGTCAGTGGCTGCTGCTGCTTTGATCTGAGTCTCTATTCAACAGATTTGCTTTTCGCTTTTCACCACAGGCAGCAGAACTAAAGAAATCAATGACAGACAGTCTGTGCATATGTCAGACATCTTGGCAGATAGTGTCCTGGCTGACCTGAGATTATGTATTGATTTGAAGACATTTTTCTTATCATCATCAGCAGGACTTGTTGTACAGGAGTTTATCGATGATGAAGAGTCAAATTTAAATCATATGTGCTGAGCGTATATGTTTGCCAGAGGAGGACTTTGCATCATATCAGCTGCTCTATATGGTTGTTACGTTTGAAGGAGTGTTTCTTTACCACGGGGGCAGAGTGCACTAAAATTTATTATCAGCGATCATGGTTCTCAGAGGTTAAATCATGTTGCATACCTCTTTTTTTGCGTGCATTTCTGCATTAATTAACACTTCAAATTCTGTGAGTAAATTCATTTTAACAAAGTTTTAATAGCATATTGGACAAACATTCAAATTAAAACTCATTTGTTCTACATTTTGCTCTAATGCAAAACAATACCTGCTGCATCAGTGAATAACAGTGACAAACATTGATTCATGGTAAGTTCATCCACTTCCAAAAACACTTAGCACATAGTTAAGGCTAGAAAAACACAGAAAGGAGTTACTCTATTAATATTTAATCAAAACCACAGGCACATCAATCTGAAACCAAACCTGTCCTGGAGCTCAGCAGAGGTAAATTTGTTGTAAACCTCTCTCCAGTGACTCCAGTCCAGAGCTTTGTTTTCTCATGAACGGTTTCTTTGAGGTTACTCCTTTAATTAAGCGCAAACATCAACCTGCACTTCTTAAAAAGCCGATCAGAATCTGATGGATCAGGATCAATGTTCATGGCAGTATACATGCCTTTTGCTCAAAAAGCTCACATAGCGCTTACCAGTGCCAAAAACATTTCACTAAAACTTCACACAAATCTGTAAAGGGATAAAATGATGAAGTGATGACAACTTCAAAGCAAATTGTTACATGTAGTCACTATGGTGGCTTCATGATATCCTGGGAAATTGTCCTCTGGACGTACTGTAATAGATCAGGATTGAATGTGATTGAATCAGACCACATCCAAGTCCTGGACTCAAGTAAAACACTGGTGGCTAAATTAAATATTTTCACATTTTGTTTCTGAACATCATTGAATCTAAGAAAAACATCTTAGTGTGACTTAAATCAATTAACATAGAGTAGGACCCGTCTAAATCATCACAAATGCGGCTCTTTGATTTTAAAACTGAGGATCTGATTTAGTTAAATGGAGGCCTCTGTTCAGTCACGAGGCTCCAGTTTATTGTTGTGGCAGTCAGGGGAAATGTATCACAAAACATTAACAGTACACAGAGAAAAAAGGAAGGAAAAAGGAGAGGGGCATTTTTAAATCTTGAGTTTCCAGTCATCATTATTGGACTGTTTTCTACAACCAGGATCCATATCAGTAATCTGATTTAAAGGGCAGTAAATGTGATGAAGGTGGACTTCTCTCTCTCTCTTCTTCCCCTTACAGACTCACATCTGTGGTCTGGGCTGGCAGCCAGAGCAGACAGAGAGAGGGCAGGTCGACTGTCAGCTAAACCGTCATGGTTAGAAAGTCAGAGCAGATTCCAGCCTTTGAACAAACACATGCCACATCTCATCTGTCTACTGTACCTGTCAGGGAGATGACTGGGTCTGTCTGTTTGAGTGATACCACCATAAAAGTTTTAGAAGTTACCAGAACTGATTTAAGACTCTCATGTGAGTGCGGCTGTTTGTGTTTATATGGAGTTTTCTGTAAATATCCTCACAGTAAAAGGACTGTAGGAGTTTTTACAGGTTTGGAAAAGCAGCCACAGAAGCTGAGAGCCTGGCAGGAAGAGTTGTTGTTATCATTGCCCTGCACAGACACACACTGGTTGTGTATCCAGACAAAAGGCTTTGAGCTCAATGTAGACCAAACAATGTCTTTGATATGACTTCCCTCAGAGATTACCTTATCCTCTATGCCTTTGCTCTCTTTTATAACCCCTGTGTTGTGGAGTTTATTTTATCTTATCTTCAAGTTATCTCTAAGTCTGCCCTCTCTGTGGGGTGTTTGGGGGAAACAGCCAAAGCACAATGTTTGTTTGTGTTAAGAGATCATCTGCAGCCTCTCTGAAGCTTCGTTATCAGTGCTAATGACACACTAATCTGCATGTGTGCTGTTGTGTGTCTGTTTGTGATCCAGAGACAATTAGCCTCACGAATCGTAACAAAATACATCTATTAGCTAGCTGCTGTGTGTTTCTGGTGTGTGTTTCTGTGCTGTGTTGTTCTCTGAAAGGTTTACTCATGTGGTGTTAGAGTCCATTCAGTGAAGCTCCAAGGTCTCTGCCTGTCAAAAACATTTTCAAATTGAATTTTGAAATATCGCACTAATGGCATTTCAACATCAGCCTCCACAACATTACTGATGTTTTCAAAGCTTTCACCATATTAAAACTTCCAAATCTATAGTTAGAGGAAAAGTTCGACATTTTGAGAGTAGTGCTTACTTGTTTTCATCTTGAATGTAAATACTAATGGCATGTCAACGGTGGCCCTGAAGGCCGATGACGAAAATATTTTTAAAAGGTGCAAAAAACAAACAAACAAACAAACAAACAAACAAAAAACCTATTAACAATAAAACATTTAATTTAATGTCAGAAAAAAACAAAATTATGTGAAGACAGTAACAAAAAAAATTACACAACACAACAATATTTTACATGTGCACAAAGTTATTTTAGAAAACACAAAGAACAATTATTTTTTGTGTTTTATTACTTTATTTCATTTTATTTTTTGTGTACTTTTTGCGCCATTGACCTTCAGGGCCACCATGCAGGTCTGACTATGGTAAGGGTCCATAATTAAGCCACAAAAAGATGGAACTCTTCAGCTTACCGTGACAAAAGATCCAAAGCAGCAACAACAAAACAACAAAACATCTTAATATTGTACCAATGTCTACTTCTTTAATAGTCATATGATATTCGATTGTTTATTAACTATCACTTAGCGTCTGTGCTGATACTTTAACTTTATCAGACAACCAGCATAGACTCTGTCAGATGAAACAAGTGATATTTGCATACCCTATTTTGACATTCTTGAGATCAAGATCAATTTTTATTCGTTTATTTAGCCTTTATTTAACCAGGTTAGTCCAATTGAGATTACAGATCTCTTTTGCAAGGGAGACCTGGCCAAGAATTCAGCAGCATTAATGAAATAATTGAAAAACACGGCAGAAACTGAAGCTTGTTTTGTCTTATGGCAAAGACCGTTGACTGTCAATAAAGTAAGATGACATATCAACTGTCCAAAGTGAAACCCAAACCATATTCCCTGTCGCAGATGCAGAATTTTGGTGATGCTGCAATTATGGCATCTTTGCAAGAGGAACTGACTGACTAACTTGAACAGAAAAATGGCAAAGATCACTGGGGTCAGCACTAAACACAAGTGTGAGTTTAAGAGCGAGCACTCACAATTATGGAAAGTTAAATGACTCCTGTGTAAATGTTTCTTCTTACTTAATCATTTTGATGTGTCACGCATCAAAACAGTCAGAAAACCGCGTTATCAAGAGGCAAACAGGAAGTACGATGAATGATAAAAGCACATTCTTGCTTTATATGTGAAGATTTTTTTTTACTGTCCAGCTTCTTGGACACATTTATGCAATTCTGGCTCCAAGCCTGGCGTGGGAATGCCAAGAACACTTAGGCCAGTCTCAGTTCGATTAATTCGGGGGCATGGCAGAGAAAATCGATCCACAACCGCATTTCACAGGTATGTTTGTCCAGCTATGAGAGTTTCAGTGTAATTTCAGTTGTGTTTACATGTTTTTTAAAGTCCAGTTTCAGTTGAACCAAGGCAAAAAATCAATTATTTATAAAAACATCCTGAATCATGGTTTCATATTTCTATTAATTGCATTAAATAGCTCATTGTAACCTCTCAGATTTTAATATTTGGACATGAATCATGATAAGAATTAAAAATAATGATAAAAACTATGTTTGAGGAAAACAGCTTTGTGTTATATTTGATTTAAAAGTTTTGTCCATGTTTTTTTTACATACTTCTTTTTGACAGCGTGTAAACATTTTTCATCCCTTTCTCCAGTCTGTATTTATGAAGCTTTTTTGATCACACACACATGAATACACTCATACCTGAGGTCATGTTTTACTCCCACTCGTGAAAGTAGCACCACTGGCTGCCACAGTATGCCTTTCTCTCCTCAGGGTCAGGGTCAGCAGCAGGTAGTTTCTACAGCGGACGGAGCTGGAGCTGTTGGAAAAATCACACACTCAGCATGTGAAGCTGTTGTCTCAGGGTCAAACACACTGTCCTCAGGGAAAGAGTATTGTTTGCAGAGAGGAGCTCATAAAACTTGAGAGGCGCAGCACGTTCCTGTCGGCAGGAGACGCTTGGTATTATTCTGTCACACTGATTCAGGGCTATTATCCAGTGGGCACGTACTCCAGTACCTGCTCTCCTCACTCCAGAGAGGATCGATGTAAAGCCTTGGAGTGCCATCCTCTCAGATTGATGCGCTGTGAGGATAAATACTGGTCAAATTACTAATGAGATTTGATTGAAAGTCCCACAAGCTAACAGACTCAAGCTGTCAGACACAGGAGGTGGAAAGAGTTTATAAAACATTTAGTCCGCAGTCTGAATTTTCAGCCTTCCATAAATTTCTCTCCCTACTGTAGGTGAGTCCTCAAATGGGGGATGGGATGCTGCGAGTGAGTCAGCGTTGCGCTAACATCACTAATGGCCAGGAAATGTCTATGTTGGACAGACTAATTGAATTTCTTTAACAGGAAAGCATCCTGCAGGTCCATTAGCTGTTGGTAAACAGCAACACACAGCAGAAGGGGGAGGCAGGTGGGGGAGGTCAGGAAGGGAGTTTGAGAGGTGAAGGAAAGAAAGAGGGGAGCATGTTTATTTTTGATGCAGCAGAGGAAAAGTTTGTTTAAGTTGAATTTTTGTTACCAGTGCAGATGATGATGATGATAACTGGAGTGAAGGTCTACAACAATCCCTTCAACAGGCGGTGTCACTCCACTGCAAGGATATACATTTATATCTTTCCTGGATAAGTGACGAGGTTTTATTTGGTACCAAGTGCAGACTCTCGTTAATGCAGAAAAATTTGCATCAAGTTATTCTTTGGTACATTACTTTTTCTAAACAACTCTGTGTCTGTTTAGAAAACCAGACCACTTATGAGGAAGACTCTGAGGTGCTGTAGAAAAAAAAGACTTTTCTTTTCACTTATCACTACGGTGATTTCTTTGCCCTAATCAAAGTCTGACTCAAACTCTCAAAGGTGTCGCTTTTCTCTGCTGAGCTGTCCTGAAATATGGTACTGAATGCACAGAGCACAGTGTATGCCGTCAGGCCAGTTATGCTCCCCGGGGCTTAATTGAATCAGGGAAAAGGTCAGTGCAGGACACAGTTGGACCTCATTTACATTCTTCTGAGCAGCATAAACGCTGATATTTCCTGCAATCACGTCATTCTCCACAAGAGGAGCAACACTCAAAAGCACAAAAGACAGATGATCGGACAAATCAGGCCCTGCTGAATTCTTACCACCTACTACTCTTGTTAGCATGTCATGGATCTGCTAAAAAGTGCTCTTCAAAGTGTCATTGGGGTCCTTTCTTAAAGTTTGCAGGATGCTCCAATTTAAGACCTTGGAAGGGGAAAACTAGTTGTTCCTCAGACACAGATCATGGAGGAACAGTGGAGCTACTATTCTGTCTGTAAATTGAGCCTTTCTTCCTGGGAGAGGGTGACATGGAGGAATGCAGCACATTAATGTGGACATGGGTGGGCTTCTCATTCTTGTCATAGCATCTCCCTTTTCCCTTTGACCCACCATGACTTTCTTCTCTCTTTTTTCTCTTGCCTGGATGCTTCTTTTCACTTTGTATCAACAGGGTGTGGAAGCAGAAGCAGCATGTTTCCTCTAAATGGTTCAGGTCCTTTGAAAAAAATAAAAACATGCAGTCCAACTCAAGTTCGGTTGAATAAAGCGTTATTAGTACTATGTTTTGATCTCTCGGGTTTATAGACTACACAGAAGACTAGCACAGTCATTGCTTAGACGACCTTTTAGCATCATCAGTCCAGGCATTTAATAACTTATGAGAAGGTACCTGAAAATGTAGAAAGAACTTTACAAAGTACATCTTTAGTATAGTGTGTTTAAGAAAATCCAGATTTGATTATACGTCAACACTTTATTTGAGGGTTCATTTGTAGTCTTTTATTTAAGCTATTTCGGTTAATTTGAAGAAATTTTGATGGAAACTTGAAAATTGCAGTTTTTGAGCTGTCACTTCTGTGTCACTAAAGAGATAAAACAGACTCAAACATGTTGAACAGGCTTACTCAAACACTTCTGCCTATTTCTTTACAGTGTGGGCTTCCATAGAAGTGAACATGGAGGACAGAGTGGAGGTGTTCAAAGGAGACACAGCTCGGATCTCCTGCATGTTCACGACGACCGAGGGCAGCGGTGGCCTAATGATTTGGTGGTTCTACGTGAGTTCCTGTCGCACAATTGCAGGTGGGTACAATGTGATGAGGCAGGTGTTGTTTAACATATTTAAACTTTGACCTTTAGGTGACGAACACTAGACAGGTGCAGCAAATCTACTATAAGGACTCCGCCGTGGCAGTTAAAGAGGTAGACACGCCATTCACAGAGCGGATTGAAGTGAACATGACCGGAACAAACGGAGGCGTGGTGCTGACCATCAATGACGTGCAGCTCTTGGACGAACTGGAATTTGTCTGTCGCATTAAAGATCTGACAGGCGGTATTGGAGAAGGACGCACGAACCTGAAAGTGTTCAGTAAGTGTTTCTATTTGGGTAATGACAGTAGAAAGTAGCACTTTGCAAATCCCACGGGTTACAAGCAGCACTTACAACAGCAGATTTAAAACAGACAGTTGAAACTGTTGAACAGATATGCAGTAAACTACTCTTTCAAAAACTTTAACTCTGCTCTTTTTGCTCTAAATATAACTTAATACTGCTTAAGGGCTTCAAATTTGACTTTTCCTTCACAAATAACAACAAATTTAATTTTTCAGTAATAAACTCTTTATTCAACAGCGTCCCATGACTCTGAAAATATGTGAAAGAACCAATAATTTGCTGCCAGAACTCATTCTCTCACCAGAGAGCTCAGCTGTTCTTAGTCTTGACACGGTTTGTGATTTCACTACAGAAACACCAAACCTTCCCACCATTGAGGGAGTGCAAACAGGGATCTCAGTCAGTGAAGACACACCATCTAAGGTAAACAAGCTTACTAGTTACTTACCTCAGATTAAAGGTAGTTTGTTTCATTCAATTCATTCGTCTCTCAAACTCCTGTGTCCGTTAGGTTGCGACTTGCGAGGTCAAGAATGGATTTCCTAAGCCAAACATCACATGGTACAGAAACCTCACCCCGCTACGTGGAATCCCAGACGGTGAGAGTGATCAATGTCAACATCGGGGTTGCCCGTCTACCTCTCCTTAGCTTGTATTACATGTAGTTAAATTTATTCCAACACGTACATCCTTTACCATCCTCTGAGTTTGAAATATTTCATGTCCTTCAGCGGTGGAGATAATGCTAAGCGTCACCAGAGAATCCACCGGTCTGTACTCAGTAACGAGTGAGCTGAACTTGAAGGTGTTGAAGGAGGACAAAGATGACGAGTTCTACTGTGAGGTGACATATTTTGTACCTGGAGAAACTAGGATGACGGAGACCGAAAGGATCAAAATCACTGTATTCTGTGAGTTTCGCTCAGAGGTTGGCACCTGTATCGTGGTTTTACACTGGATTTCTGTGAACTTTTGCCGCAGCAATGAATTGGGGTCATAAGGCCAAACCTGCACTCAGCCTACCAGTCTTGGATTGTCTAAGTCTGAGATATAGCCATACCCACAACTTGACATGTTTTGTTTTACAATTCATTTATTATAGTTTACAACAAAACAAGTAAAACCAGGTTTCTGTGATCACATCTTTAAAAACCGTAAAGCACTCTTGAGGGTAAACTTTATCAAAAAACCAATTTCTATTCAATCTATTCATATTTGAAGCTTTTCTGCCTCTATTTAGTAGACAGGATGGTGAATAGAGCAGGAAACTTGGAAGAGAGAGTGGGGACTGGCATGTGACAAAGGGCTACAAGTTGGATCTGAGCTGCCTGGTTTGAGTTTGCTGTAGGAAACGAACACAGAAACAGTAGTTGAAGATTCAGCAGATGCTCTAGAGGTGGTCTTAGTTCAGGTTTGTAACTCACCTCTTTGTTTCAGACCCCGCTACAAATGTGAGTATTTGGGTGGAGTCACCAAAAGGAAAAATCAAAGAGGGGGACTCGGTAGAGCTTCACTGTGTCGATGACGGGAATCCCCCCTCTTCCTATATTGGAATCAATCATTTGGAAGTAAGAAACCCACTTGTTGATTTCTGTGTTTGATGTTTTTTATGAGTGCACTAAAGACTTTTCACACATGTAGACGTGAATATTTATAATTTTAACTTTTTTTTTCTGCTGCTTTTTAGAGTGGCATATCTTTTGACGGTAATATAAGGCTGCTGCAAAATGTGACCCGTCTGGACAGCGGAGTTTATGAATGTACTTCCACTGACACAGACACTTTTGAAGAAACCAAAGGAAGCACCTCTGTGTTTGTGAACTGTAAGAAAACTGCACTAAAAAGACTTGTGAACATTAAGAACGGGTGTGCTTCAGCAGCAGTGTGACTTTTATTTCTGTCTCTGGTTTCTCTCTCCCTGCTGTGTGTAGATCTTGATCCTGCTGTTGTGAAACTTGACTCTGATGCTGTGGCTGTAGGAGATCCGTTTGAAGTCACCTGCAATGCTCTGTCCTCTCTGAAGACACAAACAGTCTGGATGAAGGTCACCTATATACAGACAGAGCAATAAGTTACACATTCAGCAGCAGGTTTTGTCTCAAAACATGTGCCCTGATTATTTAACCTGAAAATCCCTAAATCTCTTGTTTGGACAAGAATAGACTGCTTTCCATTTTTGTCACCTTTGGTGGTCTGAAAGATGGATTATTTGATTAAATCTTCTGATTTAACGTTGACAGACAAAAGGTCACTCCACATCTCCAATGTCTGACCTGTGCATGGAAGAGTGTTCTTCGTTTTATAGATGTATTTTAAGAAGACTCGGAAAGTCAACCTATTTATGACGTGAGCTTATGACTTCTGGATTTGCAGAACAATTTTAACCATCAGTACCAGAAATGATCATGCAGAAGATGAGGGGATGTCTGTCGTTGTGCAAAAAGCATCCTGTCAGGCAGAATTAGATATGGTCAGAAACAGAAGCTTGCCCACTGGAAAAAGGAAAATGATAAGAAAATCATCTTATCTTTTATAGTGAAATGACATAGGAAGGAGCACATTTGCTGAAGGAACAATCCAAAACTTTTTCTTTAAGTCCTTTTTTATGTTTTTATAGAATATTTGTGAATTTCACGTTTACAATTTTCTGTAGAAAGTTCATTCATGCAGCCAACCGATCCTCTAAAACAAGTTCACTGCAAACTTTTATAACTATTATATCTATGTGTGCATTTCAGTGTGTGTCAAACATGCATTTTGCGTCCTTGTGTAGGATGGGCAGCAGATTGCAGAGGGCCACATTTTGAAAGTGAAGGATGCCTCATATGACGATGCAGGGACGTACACCTGTGTGGTGACTGCTCCTGAGATCGAGGGGATGGATACCAGCAGCTCTCTTCTCATTAATATCCTGGGTCAGTCAGATCACAGATACTTTAGGCAATTGTGCTTTCTTCTAGTCAGAAATTTCCCACTTCTTCTCTGCATTATGGTGTCACAACTTAATTCTTTTTATTGTAAAAAAAAAAAAACAAAGGTTATAGTATTGTACTGGAATTTCTTTTAAGGTAATTTTTACTTGTTAATCTCTCTACAGGCTCTCCTGAGATCGTGAGGCCTGACAGCACAGAGATAGAAGCAAGTTATGAGGAGACTGTGGACCTGAGCTGCTTCGTCAGAGGTTTACCCACCCCTGTCATCACCTGGACCACATCAGATGGAAAGGTACAGCAAAGGAAAGCCTGATATTCTTGTGCTGGTTACTGAGTATATATGACATCAATTTCCCACAGAAGGCGCCAAATCCACACAAACTTCCTTTCCTCACCATTTCTCTAAATCAAATGTGTGATGTTAATTCTTATTACGTTTAAGAGTAATATTCTATGAAGACTGGGTCCTCTGATCCCACTCACACCCAATCCATTCATCATGCCGAACAACCTGATTTCAGAATTTTTAGACATTCATTGGGGCCCAGGGCTTAAATGATCATCTAATTCCCCATGTTTTTTTTTTGTAGGACCTCGGGACAGCCTCAGAAACAGTGACTGAAAATGGAATTGAGAGTGGGATCAGCTTCAAAGTCACCTCCGACACCACAGTTTTCTGCAATGCCTCCAACGACCGAGGCATAGACTCCCTGATCTTTAACATTAAAGCCAGTGAGTTCCTCCTCCTCCTCCTGCTGCTGCTGCTCGTGTTTCCTGTCTCTGCTCTTTGTGTTCTTCTCGTTTTGTTGACCCCCGCTCCCTCCCTCCTCTTTCCTTTTGTCCCGTCTCTTATTGTTCGAGTCACTTTGTTGTTTATTTTTACTTTGTCTGGAGGCCTTCAGCTCTGTTATGTGCTGTGAAGTGTTGCCTGTCATTCTTGACACGCTGGTCAGTGTTGTCTTTCTGGACGGGGACGGTGAAGCTGTGTGCGGCTGTTAAATGTGCTCCCCTCCTCCCTCAGTGTGTTAACAGACTATTGTGTCCTACCTTCTTGTGTGTACTTCTACCTGTTTTCAGCTGTAAGCACCACTCAGGCACCAACCACCACAACTACAACCACTACAACAACCACTACTACAACTCCTACTACCACTACCAGTACTATTTCCTCAGGCACAGGTAAGACCACATTTACCCCACATGGCCCGCCACTCAAAAGAAGTAATCTGAAGAAGGTTTAGAAAATGACTTTATTAAATCTAAATAAAAAGATATCAAAACATGAAAGTATTTTTAATGTAGACACTGATTAAATGTCCATTTTTGGATTAAGTTTCAACAGGAGATCTTCTGTCATACCATCCATCCAATTCGCACACATACTGTACTGTATTGGCAGCACTTTTTTAGTTGCACCCCTTATTTTGCAGTTAAAAATATTTAACCATAACAAGATCACTAATGAAAATCTGAGATCTAGAGATCACAAGAGGTTTGACCTTATTATTATTTTTCTCTCACACAGTGCTGTGAAGTATCAAAGACCTAAATTAACACCCAAGGGTCTTTCAGTCTTCATTAACAGCCAAATAAACCATTAAGTTTGTTTCAAAATGCTGTTTATGATTCATATTTGCTTTAATCCAGTAGAATTTTACGAAGAAAACAAATCAAATGGATTAATTGATGCGTGTGGTGGTGTTCCAAATATCGAACTATTGCCAAATGAGAACGCTTTGACAAAGATCAGCTGACCATGAGGTTGTTTTGTGCTCTGGAGACCAAGTGCAGAAAATGTTTTTGTTTTTGTAAAGAAAACCAGCATCAGTTTAGAAAATAGAGTTAATGGAGAAAGACCTTAAAAACGCTTCCTCAGATTTTTTTAACTTTCTCATAAACATTGCACAGTCTATAATCTGATGGAGTTTTGAGTTTACATGACGGATCACATGGGTGAAAACTTTGACTTTACAATGACGGGATTTCAGCCACTAGACGGAAATGATTCAGGAGAACAGCTGTCACAGTTAAATTATCAAAAAAAATGTCAAAGTTATTGAGCAAAGTTGTGTTTTCTGACATGTTGTTATTTAGACAGACATAAAAAGTTGAAACAGTGTTGAGGGAGTTGAGATCTGATGTCACCCAAAGCATGAGAGTGAAGAACTAGAAAGCAGCGATTAAATCACCACCTGACTGAAAGGTTTTTACGGCAGTGTTCCCTGTGATCGCTCTATGACTTAAGCTGCTAGCACAGCTCTGCTAATTTTCACCTTGTGTAGTTTTATGTCACACAACTTTGTGTATGATAAATTATGGCTTATGCTTCTCAGCATTGTGGCGTGCAGTTTCACACAGAGTACATGCAACCACAAACACTCACATGCATCACAGTGACTAGAGAGCAGCTGATGCTTTAAAATGCTCTCACAGGGAGTCTCCTGACTTCCATTACAGCCACCGCCTTGTGTTTTCTCTTCTCTCCTGCTTCTGCTCTCTGTTGTGCGTCAAACCAGGACGTTTTTCAGGCCTTGAGGAGAACTGTCCTGGGTTGTTGTTTCTTGCAAAGTTCTGCTTAAATGACGTGCTGGGCTGCTGTGGGAGGTATCTGCTGTGATACTGATCAGAGTTGGTGTCAAAGATAATATTTAACTGAAAATCACAGATACGATCAGCTAAAATTAAACACTTTTATGTGTTCAGTTTCTGCATCGGCTGCAGATCTGTGTGTGTCTGTGTGTGTCCTGCTGATACGAGTTATGTAATACATCCTGATAACTCTGCTAATGTGTTTTTTTTTTCAGTCAAAGCCATAACAGTAAACCCTCCAAAGAGTGCCAGTAAAGGTTTGTATGGTGCTCTGCTGAAGAGTCTCTCTCATCTCTCCTTTTTTTAGGATGCACAAGGCTTTTCCTCCACTTTTCCTCTGCAGCACCTTTCTGCATTCATCACACCCCCCTTCCCTCCCCTGATGAGCGAAACATCAAACTGTCACTGAATTGTTCATCCCCTCCTTTGTGCATGTTGTCACACCGTTGTATGATCGCACCTCTCCTCCTTTCTTCCTGAATGACTCCCTCTCTCTAGGTTGTCAGGTTTAGGTGACCACAGTGATGCTCATGCTGCTCTCCGCTCTATCCACATGCTGTAAAATGCTCTCTTGTCTATCTGCACACCATGAATGCTACGCAGCCTGCCTGATGCCACCCTGTGCTGGACTCTTCTGCATCCAACTGTCATTTCAATGCTAATGTGGTTACAAGAGTAACTCTGTGGTTGTTCTTGTGTTTCTCCTCCAGGAGAGGGCAGTGGTGTTATCATTGCAGTCATCATTATCTGCATCCTGCTGCTGGCCATCCTTGGCAGTGTGCTTTACTTCCTCTACAAAAAGGGCAAACTCTGTGGAAGGTCTGGCAAGCAAGACCTGTAAGTACAACAAAGATCAAGTGGTGTAAAAGGGTGAAGATGTTAAGATGCTTATGTGTCCTAAACCTGAACAAACACAAACACAGGCTTCACATGGTGTACTAGGAGTTTCACATTTGTGTTTTTAGAAATATCATCAGTGTGAGTTTTTTAAATATGAGTTTATAAAAAAGTCATAGTATAGTATGTTAAAGTAATGTCATAGATAGTATGATAAAAATTTTCACATAAAAAAAAAACAAAAACTGTCATAGTATAGTATGATATAAATTTCAAATTTTAGAATGAAAAAATGTCATAGTATAGTGTGAAAAAATGTCATAGTATACTATGATGAAAATTTCAAATTTTATTTGAAAAAATGTCAGACTATAGTATGGTAAAAATGTCACAGTATACCATGATAAAAAAATTCAAATTTCAGTTTGAAAAAAAGGGCATAATAAAGTATGTTAAAAATGTCATTATGTGCTATGACAAAAAAATTTAATTTTAGAGTTAAAAATGTCATAGTATGTTATGATATAACTGTCATAGTATACTATGATATAAATTTTACATTTTATTATAAAAATGTCATAGTATAGTTTTTAAAAAATGTCATAGTGTAAACAATTTGTTTAAAAAAATCATCAAAAAGTGTGAACAAATTAGTTTGAAAAAAAAAGTCATAGTATAGTATTTTTAATTATGTCGTAGTATAGTATGATAAATAATTCAAACATCAGTATGAAAAATCAGTTATAGTATACTATGTCAATAATGTCATTGTAGTATGATAAAAATTTTACATTTTGAAATGAAAAAAATGTCATAGTATAGTATGATAAAAAATTCAAATTTTAGTTTTAAAATAATAAAGTGCAGTATGATAAAAATATCATAGAATCATATGATAAAAATGTCATGAAGTAGTATGATAAAAATGTTAAATTTGAGTAAAAAAATGACACAGTTTAGTATGATAAAAACTTCAAATTTTAGTAGGAGAAATAATATAGTATAGTGTGATAAAAAATGTTCAAATTTAAGTATGAAAAAATTGTCAGTGAAGTATAAAAAAGATCTCCCATTTAGGAGTGTTAAATTTTTAAAGGTATAGTACGTTAAAAAAATATCACAGTAGAGTTTGGTAAAATTTTTAAAGTATACTATAATAATGTGAAAATCATAGTATGGTATGATAAAACTTTCACATTTTGTTTCAAAAAATGTCATAAAAAAGTGTGAACAAATTTTAAATAGAACTTTGAAAAAAAGTCAAAGTATAGTATGATAAAAAAATGTCATTGTATAGTATGATAAAAAAAAATCAAATTTCAGTATAATTTTATCGTATAGTATCTCAAAAATGTCATAGTGTAGTATGATAAAAATATCATAGTATAGCATGATAAAAATTTGACATTTAGTGAAAAAAATGTATCATAGTATGATAAAAATCTCATAATGTAGTATGATAATAATTTCACATTTAAGAGTGAAAAAATGTCACAGTATAGTATGATATAAATATCAAATTTTAGTATGAGAAATGTTATAGTTTAGTATGATAAAAATTTACATTTAAGTATGAAAACATTGTCATAGATTAGTCTGTCAAAAATGTCAGTGAAGTTTGATATAAAAAATCACATTTAGGAGTGTAAAAACTTAAAATTTTGCCCGAAAAATGTTGTAAAAAATGTGAACAAATTTTAAATATTAGTTTGAAATAAAAAGTCATAATGTAGTATGTTAAAAAAAAAGTCATGTTATAGTATGATAAAAAATTTCAGGATGTAAAAAATGTTATTGTATAGTATGTTGCAAATGTCATAGTGTAGTGTGATAAAAATTTTACATTTTGAAATAAAAAAAAATCATAGTATAGTTTGATAAAAAAATTCAAATTTCACTATGAAAAAAGTTATAATATAGTTTGTTTAAAAATGTCAGAGTGTAGTATGATAAAAATATAGTATAGCATGATAAAAATTTCACATTTTAGTGTAAAAAAATGTCATATTATTGTATGTCAAAATCTCATAGTATAGTATGAAAAAAAAGGTCAAATGTCAGTATGAAAAAAATGTTTCAGTATAGTTTGTTGAAAAATGTCAGTGCAGTATTATAAAAATATCATAGTGTAGCATGATAAAAATTTCACATTTTAGTGTGAAAAAATGTCATAGTTTAGTATTTTAAAAAATGTCATAGTATAGTATGAAAAAATGTCATAGTATGCTTTGTTAAAAATGTCAAATTTTATAATGAAGAAAAGTCAGTTTAGTAAGATAAAAGTATCATAATATAGTATGATAAACCTTTTTGCTTTTTTGCACTTGCAGCACCAAAGAAAAATCCAGCAAAGATAACATTGTGGTGGAGATGAAGAGCGATAACACTGAGGAGGCTGTGCTGCTTGGGGTCAACGGAGAGAAGCAGCCTCCCAATGACCAGGTAGATATCTGAACTTTAATTATGGTGCAGTTTCTCTGATCACACCATTTACTGTCAAAACCTCCTTCTTTGTAGTAAGCATTTTGTTGTGTGCGTTTTTCCCTCTGGAGTAAAGGGTGGCACGTACCTGGACATGCAGAAATGAGGAGGTGACGGCTGCTCCTGTTCTCCCCTCAGAGGCTCTGACCTTCAATCTTCAACCACAACTCCTCATCATGGAGTCACATCATGGAAACACTCAGCTTTTTGCCCGTCACTTTAAACCGAGAATTGAATTATTCCAAGCTGCAGCTTTTTTCTCAAAGCTCCACACATCACGTTTCTGCTGGAGTGCAACCTGAGCTTTAATCAGCGCTCCATGACATAACTCTGCTTTAACTCTTCCACCCTCAAACCCTCAGGCCGTCCTCTGGCCTTCTCCGCCACATGAGCCTTGTATACTGCTGATCGTCCGTAGAAAAAGTAGTTAGAGCACAACTTGACCAGGGACTGTTTTTATATCGAAGCACCACCTCAGGCACAGTGATCACTGAAGAGCAGCCTGACGTCGCTCTTTATCAAGTGTACATATTATAATCTATGTATATATTTCTTTATTTAAATAACACCTAAAAAAAAAAGAAAAAGAAAAAAGAAACAACCAGACAGTGTTTTATTTTATTTAGGTGCTTTTTATGAGAGATGTTTTTTTTTTTTTTGTTTGTTTTGATTTGAGAAGGTTTCCAGTTTTGCTTAAGTCTGTACACTGAAATTTTTAGGGACGTGGCATTGTTCCCCCTACAACCAGTTACAGCCTCACCTTTATGTTGCATTTTAGCTCTGAAAGCAAACATGCAGGTTATTCAGTTACATATCATTCACATGTACGGGCTAACAGCCTTGTCTTTACTCCTCCCAGTTTAAGTAGTTTAAAAAATATTTTAGTAGGTATATAATCCGCTAAACATTTGACAAGAGAGCTAACATTATCAGTAGTTCCCTTAGCTTGGTTGACTTTTCATCACTGACTCAGATGACCTGAATGTGTTTGAGTGAAAGCATTTCAAAGCCAGGTTAAAAATTCAAGATGCCTTAAAAATTCAGTCAAAGCCTTTTAGAAATCCAAACATTTGTTTTGCCAGTGATGTTGTTATTTTGATGTTTAGTGCACTGATTTCTTTGTCCTTCGTGCATTTGTGTTTCTCTAATGTGAAACAAATGTTTAATTTTGTGATTTTGTTTTGACAGACTTGTGCTCTGTGGCTGTTTTTGTTCTTCTAAAAAGAGAAATGATGAGGATAGTAAGTAGTTCATGGCATGGAGTAGCCCTCTGTAATAGGTCAGGATACATCAGGTTTTTTTGTGTGTGTTTCTACTGGATCCCAAAGAAACTTAGTATCACTCACACTTGAGACATCAGGCCTCATTCACTGACTCCTACTCAAGATTCTTCCTAAATTTGTTTGAGAAACGGATAAAGGAAGCCGGAGACAGATTTATGAACCCACTCCTCACCTGCAGAGTTGTTCACACCTTTAAGTATCAATCTATCTTAATGAACATAATCCTAATTTACAGCAAATGTTATGTCAGGATGCTTTGGAAAGATCCAACATTAAGATAGGATATTCAATTCCATTAGTATTCCATCTCAATCCACTGTGAGCAGAGTACGATGCAGCAAACTAGTAACTTTAGCCAGGAAATACGTCCTTTTACCTAGCAATACCAGACTCGCGTCGGGCGGACATCTACCTTGACTGTGTTGGAAATGGAAATGGGGCAGACACAGACAGAGAAAAGCTCTGAAATAACCCTTTAAAGGGACTGCAGGGCCGTTTGCATGCACAGAATTACCTGAGGATGCAATTTGAGTTTTGTATTAACACCTTGACAGGCGCATTAGAGAGAAGCCAACAATCAAAACACAAATGCATTTTCAGCATTTACTGTGTCGCTTTTGTTGCTGAGACTGTCTTTAGGTTGATTTGTCATCATAATTAAGGGTGTGTCTATGAAGTAATGAAGCAGCAGACTCTGTATCTCTTGGTGTCAGATTACACAGGTGATGCGCTGCAAAGATGGTAAACACAGAGATGATCTCGGTCTTGTTTGTCCTCTTCCTCCTCGTGGTCTGCAACCTCTTGAGCAGAATATTCCCCCTCAGCCTCTCTTAAAGGCTCCATCCACGTTTGATAGTAACTTCTCTCCCACCTGTGTACTCTGAATCAATTTGTAAGTGGAAATCTGTTTAGAATTTTTTGCAGAAGTGTTAAACTAAACAAATATGTTGAAGGTTTAGCAAAAGAGATTTTTACCTGTGGGTTCAGGTGACTGAGACTGTGTTTTAGCAACTGAAAAAGACTGAGAGGAGTCGGTGAATGAGGCCCATTGAGGGGAGAATGACTGACAACATATATGCAAATTCCGTTAATGGACAATCAACATGTGGAGATATCATCCACACTTAACCGGTGCCCTCTGATGGTCTGTGTTTTTCTGCTGTTTTTAAAATTGTTTTCGGGTGTTAGAAAATCTTTTAAATGCCTTTTAATGCTTTTGTGTTTTTAAGTGTTATTGAAGACATCCAGGCCAACCCCCAAAGAAGCCCTGTAGTTTTTTTTTTTTTTTAATTATACCAAATAAAGATTGACTGTTACATGAACAAAGCTGAACATCATTTTGTCCAGATATAACACTTGACTTAACTACTCTGATTTTTGGTTTCACCTATGTTTACTCTATCAGAAACTGACACCTAAAATTAAAGCTGTAAACTTCGATATACTGAATAGATGATTTAAAAATATTGACTAAGACTCAGATTAATCTGTTTTTAGACATATAAGCATTATAGTTCTCTCTTAGAAATGATGAGACTGTAATAAAGTATTTCTTTAACTTTTAAATAGACAAGCACCAGTGTCTTTTTCCACACAAGCAGTTGCACATTATTCCTCAAACAGACAGGTTATTAAGTTATGAAGGCTCTATTAATGGTGTAGAGATGATTGGATCTTCTAGACAGAAGGCCAAATCAGGTTTTGGTTCATCATGTAGTTAATACTCTGAAAAGTTTACTCTGCACATTTGTTCTGCAGGACTTCTTCCTGATTTTGCAAGTGTGAACTCTTAAACCACATTATTCCAGTCCTTTTAGAAAGTCAAATTTTTCCACACGATTAAAGGGTAGAGACATGAAGGTTTCTGCTTTTCATTTTATTAACAGCACTGTGCATACTTCCAAAGTGATATGAGCTTTAAAAACCATCAAAAAGTTAATAAATGCCATTTACTGACAAGAAGCAACACAGCTACATGGACCAGCAGCTCCCTCTTCTGACCAAAAGTTGAAGTACCCCAACATAAAGACGGAGGGTAACGGGCTGGTATGCATCCAGCATCTCTGAGGCTGAGTGCTGATCCGAGATCAGGTTTAAACAGAGACCTATCACAGATCGCACAAAGGCTCACAGATGAGATCTGATCCGGCTAACAAGGCAGAAAGGCCAGATTAGTTCAAGCAAGGCTGCACAAATCTGGCCTTCAGAGATCAACACCTACTACCTCTTCAAAAATCAAGGCCTGACTCCAAACATGATGACCATCTTTAAACGTATGGCACTGCTCACTGAATTATTCACAGAAGTAAACAAAACCTTTGGAACAAAATACATGTACAGGAATGCAAACAGAAAATAAAACAGCAAATTTTCTTTTCATATCACTAACTTTATACAATTAGCTTTTCTTTAAAGTGACAGTATCGAAGCACAAACTGGTACAAACTGGTGCCAGAACAAGAAAAAAAAGCTAAAACAATTACTCGACACTCCCTTGAAACATCAACAAAACATTGGTTCAGTTTTGAGGGTTGGGGACCTCCTCCATTACCCATCATTCATGACGCTTTTCAAGGCAACTAGGAACAGAAAAAAGTAGAGGATGGCTGTACAGCGTGGAGATGTCTTTCCATCGACAGACAGCAATTCTCAGAAAAAGCCAGGGCTGAGTAGCTATTGACATGACTGACACCCCCCCAAAAACATTCTTCATATACTGGGAGAGTTTCATGTCAATGTACCGAAAAGCTCCTGGCATTTATTCCTCCTTGTTATTCATAGTACCTGAAGCTGCTGTCTCTAGCCGTGCCAACTCTTGAAACAATACAAAAAAAAATGTGCAAGTTATGATGAGAGGTGAAAAAGGTAATAGGCTACTTGTGTGACTTCATTAAGCGGATACTTTTGGCTACATGTCATCTCAGGTGAGCTGGTTTCTCCTCGTGTTTGTGACTGCCAGGCTTTACGCCACTTTTGTTTACATAAACATTTTTATTTTTTCCTGAGTTACTTTTTACAGTTGGCCCAAATACTGATTTTAACGTAGACTTGGGGATGGGCCAGCAAACCCATGAGCCTACTTAAAGAAAGAAATAAACCTCAGCAATCACTCCCTTTCAAGTGGAGGGGAGCTCCCACAGGGACAGAGGAGACTATCTGCCAGAAAAAAAAAAAAAGCTGGTTCCACACCGACAGCTTTTTTGTTTGCTTTTTAACTGCTGACCTCAAAAGAGTCTGAGAAAAATATATAAAATAAAGGTTTAAAAACACTGGAGTGGACAGCTTGAGAGGGCTGCAGGCTCACAAGCTGCTTGAACTTTCAAGTATGCTACATTACAGACTGAAGAATCGTGTGATACTGTCACTTTAAGGAAACAAAACGCAGTTAAACACAATATTCACAAATGTACATTTAAGGCGTAATTGTTTAGCACTAACAATAGTAGCAGCAGTGAAGCACTTCTGAATTAATTATAATAATATTTATAATCATATTACAATAATATATTACCAAAGAAAATCAATTACTTTTTTTTTTTTGTAACACTGGACTGAGCTAGAAAGAGAAATCCAAACCAGCCTGCCAATGACGTTAGACAAAGACAGAAGAAAACATTTCAGCCACCACAGATCACACATTAGCCTGTCTGGTACTGCAGGGTCGTCAACATTAGCACGTCCTCTGATAATCTCACTGTCAGGCTCTACAGCAACACTCTGCCCTGACACACACACACACACAGAGCAGTAGTACGTTTGACTGTAAAACCACATTCATGTTGTACAGGAACACGGGTTCATTAAGAGCAGGTCAAGCAGAGTAGGTCCGGCACATGCACCCACATACACAACGACACAGAACACACTCACACTCGTGCACACACACACACACACACACGCTGCCAGACATCAATCCAGACCTGAAACCATCGTTATGCTACTTTGAAAAACATAACAAAATAAGCCTGTTTTTTTTTTTCTCCTTAAAAAATAAACAAAAACTGAAACACGTACCAATGCAACGCTGTTAATTAAAAAGGCCAAAACAGATTGAATTCATCCTGAAAAAGCTTTAATTCTCGTCCTCTTAGCTGCTGCCCACCATGAGGAAGACACACCCTTACTCCTCCTCTTCCTCATGTGTTCTCTCACATCCTTGTATCCGCCTTAAAGGGCCAAACCTCCCGTTATTCTGGTCCCTGTCTACCCCAGTTTGCCTGTACCAACAGTGACCCTCAAAGCTGAAGTCATTTTTTTTTTTTACATACTGTTTATGCACGTACTGTATATATTACACACATTTAATATATATTTACTTATATATTAAATTCTATATAGACATACATTTTTAGTTTTATTCGTGAGGTGTTGGTTACATTTTCAGCAAGAGGCTTCAACATGAAAGATAACAATCTGTCTTCCCAGGATTCCTCTAAGAGTCTCACGTCCTGTGGCGTCCCGTCGTCGTTCCACACGCGCTCCATCAGAGATGTCCTTGAGAAACAGAGGCCTGCTGTATCAGTTTGAAGGAGGCCAGACACTGCTGAAAGCGCATGGAGTGCAGGGTGGGGCCTCCCGGAGGTGCTGTAAGCCAGTTAAAAATCCACAGGGGGGCGTAGGGCATCAGCCAGCTCTGAGCGAGTGCTGCGGGCAATGGGCTTTGGGATTCAGGCCGAGCTGTGCCAGCCTATACCCAAACCAGGCTGAGCCAAGCAAGGGCGAGAGAGCAAACACAAGAGAGAGGCACGAGGAGTGTGCTATGTAAGAACATGCGCGGTGGAGGGAATGGAGACAAACTCGCGGAGGATATTCTTGGCCATTTCGATATTGTTCTGTGCAATCATCAGTGCTTTCTGGATGTCCTGGTATGAGTATCCCTGACTCATGAGGTGCTCAATCTCACTGCTGATTTGAGGGTTGGTTTCTCCTCCTGTCGCCCCACTACAAGGTGGAGTGGGGACAGGAGGGACAGGACTGTGTCGGCGTTCTGAGTTGATTCTTCTGGGCAGGGGTTTTGGAGGTCTCTCTGGAGCTTCCACCGGCTCTGAAAAGGCTGAACAGTCAAAAAAGAACAACATGAACTTCCCTTGAATACCTTTAGCATCAATTCAAAATCATGTGAATAAATACTTTAAAAGGTGGGGTAGGCAGGAACCCCTTAAAGAAGCATCTTTTTTTGTGGTGTAGATCCAAAAATCTTTTAATATCAGTCAGTAGCTATTAGTTATTGATGACATTTGGTAATATAATGATATCACTGTGTTTTGTTATGTCTGTGTTGTCAACATTTTGAAATTTCAGAGCGCTCTGCTCTTTCTGACTGTAAACAAAGCCATTCTCCACCTCCCCCATCCAGATTGGTTGTGAGGCAGACGTTGCTCCCCTGTGTCGTTCAGGAGCCCAAACAAAGTTAGCGTGCTACAATATCGAACAGTAGAAAACCAACCAGAATGTACGGAAAATTGTCTGAATCATCCTTTAGCCACGACTGCCAACACAAGCAAGAAAACGAAATAAATACCAGAGACTAGGTGGAATGATGGGCATTTAAAATGGAGGTAGACCACCTGGACAAGAGCGAAGAAGCCGTGTCAACAATGATGGGGGACGCTTCGGGATCTTACAGACCCTGTAACTTTTCTGCTGGACAGGTAAACCACAGTAAAGTAAAGAATACCAAGTGTCTGTAACAGAAGTGTTTCTTGTTAAACAGGACCTGCTGCATGTCGTAGCGCCGCTAAACTTTTAACCTCACATCCTGGAGTATGTCACTTTATCCTAGCTGTAGAAGTCCTCCAAACACTGTGTTTGCTGGTCGTCTGTTGGCATCTACAGTAGCACCAATGCTTTTTACTTTCATACTGACTGGGCCCCATTTGTAATTATCTGAATTCAAGATTATATTCGAGATTTCTCCCCAAAACTGGCACTTCCTCAGATCCTGCCAGAATTTTTAAGCTGACTAGCCACATCTCACAGGCAGTAGGACTGAGTACTTGTCTGAAGGAAACTCCACGTTTTCAACATACTGTGTATATATGATGAACTGGATAACCCCTCTACTGCTGCAACCTTAAATAAAGTGCTCAGAGGGAGCAAAGAGGGTCAGGGAGCTTGCCAGCTTGTCTGAGAGCCACTTAATTGGTTCTCAGATACACAGATGTGAGTCTTAAGTGGAACCCTCAGACAGCAGGCAATCATCACAGGTGCTAAATGTCAACTGGCTGTAAGGATGTCGGAGAAATAAAAAGCTGGCTTACAAAAAAAAAACCTGCTTAAAAGGCTCCATGTACGCACAGGGGGACAGAAAAGGAACCATTATTCTCTCCTTATGTTGGCAGATGTCTACGATGAAATTAACTGTTTCTCCTGCACCTGCTTTTTACCTTAAAATACACGACAGGTCTCCAAAGGCGTGAAGCTGTACTATAATTCATGATCATGTGTGTAGAACTTTCTGAAAACGTCACTTGTTGTCTGTGTAGTTTGAAGAGTTACTGATGTGACCGATCCCTCTCTTATGAAGTTTTTTTTTCTTCTCTACCCTTTTCAACATGAAGTCTATCAAATTTATATGTAAATTCAGAGAGCCTCTGGAAAATCTGCAAACCAGCTAACAGTAAAACACTGAGATAGACTTTAGAGGATGCTCTGGAGGTCACAGGAGTTTTATGTTACTCCAAGCTACTGATTAATGAGCTCTTCTTGTTGTTTTTTTTAACAGGAAGGATACGAGCAAAGAAGCTGAATTTATACATTTCAGATCATATCTTAAATTTGTGAAACAGATGTTAAGTTTAATTCTTAAGTGCGATGTCCTTGCTTTAAAGGGCCAGTTCACACAAATCACATGACGCATTTCCTTCATGCACTAGTTATAACTTCCTTTTTACTTTTGAGCTGCTATCTTATGAATTGATATAATGTACTGGGACAAATGCACTTACATCCGCCAGCTACAACGTCTGAATCGAGAGAAGGCCGGCTGAAAGCAGCTGTGGAGGATGAACTTGATGAGGAGGATGAAGACGAGGACGATGATACTCCCATTTCTGAAAGGGTTCGTCTGGCTGGGGGCATGGGCAGCCGGGGTTTGGGGATGTCGTAGCCGTTCTCCTCCTCTTCCCTGTCCTCTGCTGCCTGGTCTCTGGGACCATTTGTCAGTGTTGTGGAGGGTAACTCTGAATAATCTGAGAACATCAAAAACACTTTTTACAGTTCTGGTCATATGACAGTCCTATAATTATATACGAGTTTGGCATATGTCTGGTTTTTAATGATCTTTTTCCATAGATAAGGTTCATTCTCACATAGAGTGTCGGTGTGCTTTAATATTAGTAAATTAATATACATGGAGCATCGATGGCCTGGCAGTCATGACCCTTCTCTGCACTCTCACATTTCCTGTCTCTCTTCAGCTGTTCTATCTAACGAAAGCAAAAATGCCCCTAAGTATTATGTCAATTAGTATGTATCAAAGTCACTCTTGCTGCAAAGCTCATTTTCCCACAATAAACAAAGAACATTGAGTCCAAATACCTGAGTCTCTGGCCTGTTGTGATCTGGACTGGATGTTGTACATGGCTTCATACATCTGAGGTCTATCGTCCAAATCAGCCAGCGACAGCCTTGATGAAGGAAAAATAAAACAACATTAAAAAACGACAACAAAGTACCAGTTAAAAAAGATCATTCTCCAGTACATGCGCTCTCCTTTCATGGCTCGCAGAGTGTTTTCAGTACCGTGAGTTGTGTGCAGAGGTCTGAGCCTGACTTTGGAGTGCAGATAATGGCTGGGGCTGAGGAGGCCTTGGGACTGGTGGCGTCTCCACAACAGGGGGTGCCGTGACCGGGGGCAAGACGGGTCGGGAGGAGGGGATCATGTACTCCGACTCCTCCTCGCTGTCTCTGGCCTCGTCTCCCAGCACTGGCCTTTGAGCTGGAGAAGGTCTGAGAAAAAGCCCAGCAGATGTATTATCGCACTAAGGATTCATCGAATACTCGACTTCAAGATCAAGTCATTCATAATTCGCACACTCAATCTTATCAATATTATGATGGTGTCGGTACAACATACCTGATTGCCAGTGAATAGATGGCGTTGGCTGAGGAGGAGGGCTTGACTTTGGGGTTATCGTAATCTTGACCAGCAATTGCAGCCAAGTTCTGAAAGAGAGGAAGTGAAAATGTCAGACACGTTCAGTGTAAAGGATTTTGCTGCATTGCCAGGCGAGCCATCTGAAGCTCAAACTTCACAAGGCTAGAAAAGTGTATTTTTACTTAAAGTGGTGTCACAGTGGCTTTGACAGAGTGACTGGACAACAAACACGCCCTTACCTTGACCTACTTACTGTCATATCTGAAGGTGTTATCTATTTTTCCCTTATCTGACTTGTCAGTTACAACTTGAGTGCCAAGAGTTCTTGTAAACAAAGCTTTTAAATTCACGTCAGACTACATTCTTGTACAGTACATGGAGTTGTGAGGGTTCCTCTCACCAGTTGGTGGTCCAGACTGAGGGAGCTGTTGTTTTTCTGTGAGTCCGACCGTGTGTCCAGGGCCGAGGGCAACGCCAGGGGGAGGGAGTGTCTGTTGGAGAGTTCCCTGACTCCTGCTCGAATGTCCCCCCCTAGACTGGAGACCTGGGTGGATGAGGAGGATGAAGAGGATGAGGAGGAAGAAGAGGTCGGGGCCTTGGGGACAGGCCGGGAGTTCCAGTCAGCCAGGGGCCGGTTAGGAGGTGTAGGGGGAAGCTTGTCTCGAAGGGGCTCCCCTGGAGTGCAGGGTAAGGGCCGCCTCTGCATTCGCCCGTCGGGGGTCGCTCCGGCTGTATGAGGGCGGTCAGGAGGGGGAGGGGGAGGGAGATCTCTCAGTGCTGGCGGGAGAGGCAGAGGCTTGTCTTTGTGGTGTGATGCTGCCTGGAGGAGAAATAAAGAGACGGAGGAAGCTCCTTTAGACTCAATATAAAAACCAGCGCAGTCATTTTCTGTGCTGGAAGTAATCTTTTCAGCAATAAGACATCTGATTGTTCATTCATCATGTTAATCAACAATCAGATTATAGAGACGAAGAGCACAAAGGATGTATTTGTCATCCGAAGACAATTTCATCTTGCTAGCAGAAGTCTCAGTTACCATCACTTAAGCAGAAATAGGGGGATATATCAGCGCCTGGTTGAATCGAGACGCTCTGAAATCGTTGCATCATATCACTTAAAGATAATAGTCGCTTTTCTCGGATCAGAGAGGCGATGAGAGTGAGCAGGGTTTCAATGACAGAGCTGTATGAAAGGGAAGTCATTATTTAAGAGGAGTCATCATACGGGTGTAGAGGTGAATTTTTCAAAGCAGTGTCAGGTACCAAAACACCTGTGGCAATATCGGTGCAACACTGACGTCGCTTTTCTGTTATAATAAACGTAGAAACCCCTAGAGTTGACACAAAAGAGTAAATTTATCCAGGACAAAAGAAGAGTGTGTCCTTTTTTCTGCAAAAAAAAATCTGTATTTGGAGAAATAAACTCCTGAGAGGCAGATTCAACTTGGTCTGATTTTGTTGTTCTCTCTGATAAAGACACTGAAGCTCAGTTACCTTAGTGGTGACCCCAGGGCTGGACGCACCAGGGGGGTTTGGAGGTCTGTGTGGTAGCAGGTCTAGCCGGGGTGGCACAGGGGGAAGAGAGGACTGAGGAGCCATGGACATGGGTGACGGAGGGCGCTCCACCTGGATTTATATGCAACAACAAAAAAAGATCTAACTTCTATCAAACTCCAAACAGGATCTTCTAAGTTTCTAAACAGAGGAGGAAAAACATAAATCAAAGAGTAGCTTTATTTTTCATCAAAATCACAAATTAACATGAAGTAAAAAACTGTTGAAGGAAAGCGAAATACTTTCAGTGCATTTAAAGAAATGGTCAAAGTTGTGAGAGATCCCGGTGCAGAAATCAAAGCCGAAGAAATCCAAGGAACCACATCAAAGTGCGTGTGATCTCAGGTGTTCACTACTGTATAAGCAGACTAATGCACACAGGGTCTCTCAGTGGTACATAAAAGATTGAGGAGAGGAGAATGCCCTCACATCTCAAATCCTGAAAGGCACAAAAAAGCTGCTACCTTGGCACCTTAAAAGAGAGTGATGAAAGACTGGAGATATGAGCTCGGAGTTTGAAGAGCCCAAATATAAAAAGGCCGAGGCAGCAGAGCGTTTCATCCGTGCAGAGATGGGTCTCTCACAAAAACAGAGAGAAGACGAGGACACCGGGAACCCATTGGGAGCACCCAGGGCGTCGAACTAACTAAGCGGAGCACCCCCGTGTTTTATCAATGATGATTGCTGGAACAGCTCAGCCTGAAAACTCAAACTTATCTTAGTTTGCAAACTCTCACCTTTGTACAGGCAAGTTTGCTCATCATGAGGTGGGGGTCTTCAAGTCTGTCGTCATCATCGTCGTCATAGCTGGGCGATGGAGCACCTTCAGCCCCGAACTGGCTCCTGCAGGAACCCCCGCTATTGTCCTTGGGGTCAAAGGGATCCACAACAATGGGCTCTGTACCCTTAATCTCACAGCGACAGAAGGGACAGCCTGTTCCCTGACCCTCTGATTCCTGCAACACAGACAGAGAGCTTAAAGCGTTTTGATTACGTGCTTTTCATTTGTCTGACACGTCTGCAGAGAAGGGCACTTCACCAGAGTTCTCTCCTCAGCAGGTATGAGTTATGATACTTGAATTAAAGCAGCCAGCCCACACAAACCCTTTCCCATCCGCCCACTCTCGTACCTGCCAGGCAGTGAGGCATGATGTGCACATGAGGTGACCACAGGGCTCAATCTTCACATCCTTGTCGTTCTCAGCGCAGATCTTACACAGCTGGAAAGTGGAGCCCATCTCACAGTACAGCTCATATTGTTCCTAAGGGGGAAAAAATGAGACAATTGTGAGCTTTTGGTGCTTCGACACAGAGTAACATCATCCCGCGCTAACAGAACCTCAGATCGTTTTTAAAAAGCCCAGAAGGTTTTGGAGCGAAAAATGTGGGGGTGTGTTTTTAGTTTCAGTTCTGTGTTCATAAAAAAAGAGAAAGGCTCTGCTCATATCAGAAGAAGAACCCTGACATTTTACTCGGGGAAAACAACAGTTAATACGAAGTTTAAGTTACATTTTTCAAAGACGATGAGTCAACATCAAAGCCAAAATATTCTGTTAAAAACGCCGTATTCAAATATCTTCCTACATAGTGGAAAGTTTTACGCTGATCCTCCGTACTGCTAAAGTTAAAGTTTTTACTGCCACCTTCAAGGCGCTCATTTAAAGAATAAAAGTCAGTCATATAAAACAGCATTTGTTCAAAGTAATCAGCTGAAACGGACATATCTCCTCTGATGAATTCATCTGGAAATGAGACATCAGAGGCCCTCAGCAGTCCACCGAGACAAGACCTGTGACATTAAGCATTATATTTTTGTAAACTAGGAGTCTTTTCATTTTCATTCCCATCTTTGATTTATTCTCTTTTCCTTTTGAATGATGTTATCTTTATTAACTGAATGTTTGCTTATTGTGGGCCAGGGTTTGTAGTTGGTTAGAGTTAGGGTTAGGAAAAAGAACGAGTTGTTGTTTTGTAAGTAGGTTAAAGATAAAAAAAAAAAAAAAGAACAAGAATAACTTTGCCTATCCTCGAAGGTAAGTTCAATAAAAAAATAAAAAAAAATAATAAAATAAAATAAAATAAATAAATAAATACTAGATTAAAAAATAAAAATATATATTAATAATAATAATAATAACAATAATAATAATAAAAAATAATTACGGTAATGATAATAATCATAATAATAATACTGATAACAATAATAACAATAATAATAACAATAAAAAAAATAATAAAAATAACAATAATAATAATAATCACAATATCATTATTATCATAAATACTAATAAAAAAATAATGATTACAAAATTATTCTATGATGTGTATTTGTAAGCACATGTGGGGTGTTAAGCAGAAATAAAACAAAGTTTGAAAAAAATACTCAACTACCTTCGCCACTGAACTACGACTTTGAAGAAAAAAAGATTTATTAGGATGCAAGATTACAAAGTCTAGATACAATCAGGATCTTTCATGACCTCTGACTTTTAGAAATAAAATGCCAAACACTGACAGAAATGCACAAGATATCATGAAGCACACCGCTCTTACCTGTGTAACTTTGATGTGGTCTTGAGGCGAAGGCTCGCACAGACCTGTCAAGTCTGGGTTTTGAGTTCGGCCATCGGGGAATAAATAGCTGGAGACAGAGTGGAAAATAAGAGTTGTAGGTGAATACACATCTGTCCTTGATGTGACCTTGAGTGTTTAGTGAAGCACTATCATTCAAAGTCATCATGGTGATTAGTTGGTGTGATTGTTCTGCATGTATACCTAACAGGCTGTGATAATGAAAACATCTGTTCGGGCCATTCTTTAATCTGGCACCCTCTTTTTAATACCATCCCCGAGCTGATGTGTGATCACTACAAGACTATTTCACAAATGATTCAGATGCTCTAATTACTGTTTGACTAATGCTTGGTACATGCAGGCGATTAAGCATAAAGGCTTTCCCAGTTCCCCGAACTTGATTACAGGTTAAGTCAAGCCAGCCATCGCTTTCATTAAACAGAGGAATCAACGCTGGCACACGAGGTTCAGTGTCACGCCAGCCGGCTGAACCGCTGACTGAGCTTCACATTAGAAAGCAACATTTCTATTCTGCTTATGATAACACTGAACGATGGCAGCAGGCAATACGATATGCCTGGATTGGTTTAGAGCTGAAAGGCAGATTCAATCATGGGATGCAAAGCAGAGCTGCATAGTTTACTCGGATTAATGCTTTGGGGTAGAAAAGAGGAAAATAGGGGAAGGATGGCAGAAAGAGGAGAAGCCTTGTATGAGACAGGAAGCTTCACTTATAGATTATTTATTAAAACCACATCAAGTGACGACCACAGAGACAAGGAGCAGAAGTCCAACACTGACGCTAAACCCTCGAGAAAATGAGATGAATGTGTCAAATAAAAATGCCAGATGACTTACAATCCTTCCCTGAAGCCATCTATGAGGGCCTGGAAGAGGGGTTTGTTGTGGGGAATGGTCTGGAGTATGTTTCCATCTGCCGTCACGTAGCCGATGGCCCACTGGCCGAGCCGTGTACAACTCAGTCTGAAGATGTAACTACGAAAAGAATCATGGGAAATAAGACGTGATTGTTTGATTTTTGGTTATGCTGAGCAAGAAGGTGAAGGAGGCGAGTCTCTACTATTTCAGTGTGCTGAGTAACATGCCTTGTATGATCACATGTAGGACCGCAGAAAAACCACAAGAACATTTGCATCAATAAATTGATCATCTGACATATGAAAATGGCCCTCAATTCCATTTTAACTGAGCTTTGTGTTTTTATTTGTCTTTTCTCCCCACATGTTTTTTTTGACTGTCTAGACACTTTGTAAACTTCTGTTTTTAAAAGTGTTATAAAAATAAAGTTATTATTATTATTAATTCAACCAAAGTAAATGTAGAAAACTATGTTAAAACAGAACATTTGGACTAGACACACCATAATGTTAAAAAACTTGAAACATATGGACAGCGCGCATTTAAATTTAATAAGTGAAGAAAAACAAGAAAAAGTAGTCAGCTGTCATTGATCAAGTGTTGAAACAAAATAGTGTGAATAATGATCAAATTAGCAGATTTGTAGCTGTGGTTGTTTTCATAGAGACACTGGCTTATGCAGAAGAGTGATGTGATCAAATCTTAGTGGTGTTTGTCTACTCTTGGCTCTTAGTGCAAATTTAAGGCAGGATATTTATGCCCCTGCATGCGCGGAGGCGTGATGTCGGGGCAAAGTCTGCCTTGGACGTAATAACAGAAGAAGAAGAGGCGATGTGTAGTGATGAAGACGGGCGGACATGACAGCGCTGTGTGTGTATATATATGTGTGTGGGTGAGTCCGGATCTTCTGATGTGAATGTACAAGCTATGCTTCGAGTGTAATGTAATGTAAAATCACACACCAGTACACCAACATCATGCCATTTTAGAGAGCGACATGTGAGAGTAAATGCAGAGTGATGGCAGACCTCTGTTCAAGAGTTAAATTATTATGTGTGAGAGGCTGCTATGATGCTGATACACACATGGAAGTAACAGGTTGAGATTGACAACAATGCAGAGATTATAAACTGGAAGGAAGATGTGTAAGAGTCAGTGAACATAGACGTAACTCTGTATAAAAACTAAAAATGAGCTCGCAAATATTATACGAAGACAGCCAGAGAAAGACGTTTGTTTGTCTGGACCCACACAGTTCTGAGAATTACACTGATCAATTTAAGAAAACCTTTAGACAAGATAACTTGAAGCACAACCCTGTGATGGAGACAGGTGGGACTTCTACAGCAACATTAGGTGAGGTGATTTGTTGTCAGAAAAGACAAAGAAGCTACACACGACAACTTTGTGGTATTTCCATTATTTTTTAAAGTTAATTTGGACACATTTTTATTAAAAACTGACCAAATTGAATTTTTTAAGCTGTAAAAAAATCCTGTTTCAGTGATTCCTCCATCTGAAGCTCTGTGGTAAAGCTGCAGACCACTGGTATGTGACTGAGCAAGGCCAAAAAAGGGCATTACACTAATCCATCCTGGGATGCATGTATTAGGATTTTCAGACAAAGGATTGCATTCGGAGCTGCTGCACAAGTGGAAAAAAAAGTGGTGTAAGGGATGGCCACAGTGAGTGTACAGCTCAGAAATGGAACAGCTGCTGTGTCTGCTGTATTATAAACATGACACTTCTGACAGTAAGCTGTGTGTCATAGTGTCAGAACTCTTCGCTTAGGTTGACCAAGAAGAGCTTGGATGTTGATTTTGCCCCACACACACCAGGCCAAAGACTGACATCAGCCTTCAGTATACAATTAGGCTATTGATGCTAGGTACCAGTGCCACGCTGCCCTGGGTCCTTCACACACAAGCGCGCTCATACTGCGGTGTAAGTGTAGGGTAAAAGTGGTATTATCAGTAATTATAGTTTGTCAGTTTATGAGTCACTTCATGGTTTTATTTAAAGGTACATTGACACTTAAAAGCGTCTTTTCTGCTAGAAAACTCAACCGTTCAGTTGGCTTTTGAAACGCATCGACATGGTGGCATGGTGTGCCTCAGTGGAAATAATAAACATTCGATAAACTGCCAAAATGTGCAAATAGGAGCTGATGACTGATATACAAACATTCTAAGACAGTATGACGGCTGAGCAACATTTCTGAATAGCGTGGTTCTGTGTTGAAATTGTGTGCGTGTGTGTTCACGGACACGTCTCTGTCTCACCTGCCAGGCTTGTGGATGAACTTCTGTAACCGTGCTTTGACCTCATCATAGGTGAGAAAGGCCATGTACCCCGGGTGAGTAACTGCCAAGCTGTTCCAGTTCCGCAGCAGGGACGACCAAGGCTACACACACACACAGAAGAAAAAAAGAGAGAGTGACTCATCTGATGTGTGAGTCAATGGACACAGCAATAATGGCATGAGCAGAGTAATGGAGAAATATACTGCATCATGGATGACGCTAGCACAGGCGTCTGCTGTGCTTCAGTGTGATTTATCATGGCCATGTCATCGGGGGTCAAGCAATGAAAGTGGTCTTTAAGCTAAATTCGCAACACTTAATAAGGCATGCAGCTCATTTGGCACCATCTGGAGCCGCAGAATGAGGACGGTCAAATGAACACCAGCAGACTGCTAAACATACTGTATATAAAAGGAGGCAAAAGTCAACTTCACAGGGTTTTAATTTCCTGAGTTTGAGAACAGGTCATCAAGTGAAGCTTTGCAACACATTAGGGGGGAAAATAGAAACATAATTCAGATAGCTGACCGGGAGTGACAGTGGGGGGTTACGCAATCGCTCTCGTCAGTCCGTCTGGTGTATTAAAGGAAGTAAATCTGATGCAAACAAGACTGAAAGTAAGTAAGCAAAGCATGACTATTTACATGACGAGTCATAAGACCGAATCTTCACTTGTCTTGATGTTGGGTCTTCAAAAACACAATAACGAATATGGTCTAAATCAACTCAAAGTGTCTTGAGATGACATTTGTTATGAATTTATCAAGTAAATAAAGATTACAAAGAATGATTTTAAACTCACTTTGTATTTCATGACAACACAAATGAGGACTCTCCTCCCTGTGGCTTCATCCTTGTTGCTCAAAGCATGATGTCAGCAATTTTAGGATTTTAAATGTTCAATGCATCTTTGTTTGGGGTAAATAAGGACAAAATTCTACAGATAACATAAAATTACTGCGTATTCTGTGTGAAATTCATTTTTACTGTCAGTGTTGCCATATGAAGTAATAACAAGTCAACTTCATAGATAATTGTAGTCATGGTGACTGCTTAGCTAATTAATCAGCTGAATTAAAAGCCTCTCAAGCTTCATAGAAATAAAGGGCTGCAGAATAAGATAAACAGTCATGATCACAGGTGAGTGAAATCAATAATGTACTGTCTCTGCTCAGTCACCGATCAGCAGAGAAAAAAACAATCACCTGTTCTTCTTATAAACCGTCCTGTTCACAGCACAAGTCTTGTTTTTGGTCAAAGCTCGTGTATCTGTTAATATTAACAACAGCCTCTTGTGTGCAGCCAAGCATCGAGGGCCCTTCAGCCTTGATTACTGTATCCGTATGCTAAGTCACAGTTGAGCCGCTCGCACCATGCTAACCTCTGCTGTGGTCACGGCGCTCTTCCTTCGAGCTATTTCGAGAGTTTCCTTCAATGGACTCATTTTTATTTCTGTACTCACATAATCTACATAAAAGCTGAATATCTTGTGTAACTTGCAAAGACTCTTTATGCAAAATTTTACATTCAAAAGTCCAGAATCTGAAGAACTTTTGTCCTCCATCAATTTTTCTTTCATTTTTCATAGTTCAAAGTGTAATATGTCGTTCAGATTTAGGATGCAGAATTGAGAAACTGAGTTGGTATTTCCCTGTAGTGTTTCCTGCAGAGCCACATGGTTTACTTCAAATTTTATCAATGAAGTTATTGATTCACAAGAGCATTTAGTCTCTGATGCAAAAGTCTACAGAGATGAGGTCGGCTTTATATTTTGAGTTAGTAAATTCATCTGATATGTCTGATATCAGCTTCCCAGAGCAACGATTGATAAGGTAGTTATTTGATTTTGAAACAGAAATGAAATTTGCCCGCCTTAAGAGTCTGAAATATTTTAAGAGCTTTCAACTGTAATGAGGAATAGTATCTCGTGTTCAGTTTACAGAAAGTCAGACCAGAGCTCAAAATGGACACAGGCTTACTTCCTCTTCTAAGTTTGAGGGCATTTAGAGGAGGTCTTTTTCTGTATGAGACAGTGTCAAAAAAAAACTTCTGTAATCTGTTTAGGCTTTATTAAGCTTGTCTCTGTTCATCAAATAAGTTGCTGGGATAATGTCACTAGAGAAATGGAGGTCATCTAATACTTTGTGAAAGTACGATGGACGAGAATTCAAATCTAAACAGAGCAGGTTTTATTCATATATGAGATGTGAAACATGTCAGAGGTTTTTATTTAAAAATATGTCAACTCAAGTGCAGTAAAGTGAACCTGATTCCTCCACCCTGCTTCTCCCTGGAGCACTTTCTTTCTTGCTGTTTCATCCTATTTAAAAAGGATTTAAAATTGCAGTGTGGCACCTGCACCGCCTATTTAATAAATCATGACAACAATTTCTGGGTACCTCCAATGCATTATTGAATTTCCCTTTGGGGATCAATAAAGTTCTTGTATCTGTGTCTGTATGCCAAGATGTAGAAATGGTTGTTCAGACGGGGCCTTTACCTCACCGCTACTGCCTCCACATGAGCAGCAGTTCAAGTGAGTCAAGTCTGAATTTGGTAAAGTGAAATGACTCGAACTGAGACACAGCTGAAACTATTTTATAAATTCTTTTCCTGGTTGTGTATTGAAGTATAACCCAAGGTGAGTTTGTAAAATGAAGAGAGAATACTAAAAATATAAACAAAAAAACATACACTTCTAACGTCGGAGATAGAGGATGATATAGTAGGTGCAAAACACGGAGCAAAGTAGAAGAAAGTTTAGCAGAAGGTGTGAATAAGTCAGCAGCTGCTTTCTCCTTTACCCTATTCTTTCTTAGGTCATCTGACAACTTGTTTCAAAGAGTCTATATGTGTGCGTGTGTGTCTGTCTGTGTGGTTCTTACCTGAAATAGCCTTGTAAAGATGTCAAACTCAAAGACTGAGATGTAGTCGTTGCAGGTGAGGTCTATGGTGGACTTCAGAGCCATGGCCTCCAGTCCGGAGCTGATGGGATGAAACTCGTGGAGAGACTGGCGGAACATCTTCCAAGGCACAATAGTTCTGTGAAACACACGAAAAACCACAGTGGCGGATTTGAACCTAATTTTAGGGTTTCTGTTGGTTTTGCATGCCTCTTCGTTGCACCATAGCTAATCTTCAAAACAGATCTGAACTGCATTTATTATTATCGATGACCTTGAAGCAGCATCTGCTAAATGCAGCACTTTCTCAAACCGTGCTGATATCTTGAGTTAGTTCCTGCTCGAGGTTTAATGTGCACAGAGCACGCATTTATCTGATAGATGGGGGTGAGTAATTAAGTGTCACGCAGTAATGGGAAAGAGCTGCCGTTAAAATGTTCTTGTAGCTGCAGAATCATAGAAATATTTTCTGTCTACACTTTTATGCGTGCACCTGGAGACTGAAAGCCTCAGATTTGTGTAATCATATGCGTAATAAATTCACAATTCAAGGCCTTCAGTATTCAGAAAGCACAGCATTGTTAGAGAAGAGATGTTAGAGACGTCAATTGAACATATTTTCTAACTCTTAGTACACTCTTTGAACACTCCAGGAGACCTTGTGAGGATCCATGACCCCAGACTGAAACCACCGAGGTGATATAATATAATATAAACGACATTTTGTGCATGAATAGTTCCATGTGTTCAGGCTCACTTGTCCCCGAAGGCGCGTCTCCAGAACTCTGCAGCGTCAGCCTTGGTGATGCGGAAGTTGTCACCCTGAAACAGACCGTTGGGAAAGATGGCCTTCAGCTCGGCCAGCATGTGGCTGAAGATCAACGACAGTTTGGTGAGGTTTCGCCTGTGAAAATAGCAGAAAGGCGTATGTGAGAATTCATGCTTGGACTAATGCACTGTGGTCAAAGTGTCATTCAACACAAATGCAGTTCAACGAAAGTTTGTTCTCATTAATTCTGCATCTGATGAGCTGTATCAAGGTAAAGAAACTTGCAAAGTGAATTGATGAATGACCAAGTTTTTCTCTTGTGCATTAACTCTCAATTTTCCTAGGATTGGACTCACACCACCACTTTTTTCTGGCATTTAAATTGTGTATACTGTATAGAATTTTATTTTTCTTCTCCCTTCTCCCTTTTTCTAAATTTTTTCTTAATTATTACATTTATTTAAGTTCTTTATTTTTTATAACAACATTTTAGCACTTTGTCTGTGATGCTGCTGTGACAAAAAAATTTCCCCTGTGGCGGATCAATAAAGCAATATTCTATTCTCTATTCTATTCTACATTAGCAGTTTAAAGTCACATGTTCAGCTCTCTATTTTGCTCAGCCATCTGTGGCAATTAAAAAAGAAATGCAGTGATGTGATGAGGTTGACAGGCAGGCTGAAATAGTCTCCCGAAAAGTGCTTCCAGGCAAACAAGTGTCACGTGTTTCATGGACTCAGTTTTTTCTGTATTTCTTGAGTGAAGTTGAGGTGATAGAAATTCCCTTGACCTCCACACCAGATACAGTTTCTTTGCCTTGTTTACCAAACGTTTACCAGCTATTTTCAATGTAAGATAATTAAAATAAGTAAAAAAAAGTGCGGATGATTACAAGTCTGACGTCTTTACAAGGCTATAGCAGAAAAAGAGTTTCATTTTTTTCTCAAGGCCATGTTTCTGCTTTGTGTTTTTCTCCCACTGAGAACCGTCCCTAGCTGCTTCCACAACACAGAAATTGCCACCGGGCCAGAGAGGCAACACAGCAGTGCTCACATCCGCACGCAAAGAGAAAGAGATATGAGAGAAAAGACAAGCTTGTGTGAAGATCTGATTCCTGTCATGAAGGGCAGTTCACAGTCGTACTCATGAAGTACCAGGACTGAAGAAGACAGAAAATGTGAGGGGGAGGTCAGAAAACAGCACCAGGAAATGGTCAGATTTTTGCTCACTGTCACCATACCCCTGCACCCCGTCACAGCATAACAAGTATTATGCTGAGAAAGCCGTGATTTATGAGGCGACACAGAGGGAGATTGTGCTTAGCTGTTGGGCAGGCTGAATTGACATGCACGAGAGAGACAGCAATGAAAGCATTGCTACACTGCAGCTGCCCCACACTACACTACACAGCCTGTGAGTGGAGAGAGGGTGAATGAGGAAGGAGGACAGTCACTGAAGATGGATGAATAAGATTAGTGTACGTTGAGAAGCTGCCAAAATAGACAGGCCCTTGTTAGGATGATAGTTTACTTCGGAGGGAGGAGACAAGGATCTGAAAGAGAAAATGCAGCGCTCGCAAGCTGCCATAAAGCGTTTTATTTATACCCTCTCAGCAGTAAATGATCCTCAAACAGTGAACACTCTCCTCGCCGGGTATCTAATCTTTTGAACTGCTCTGCCCACTTCAAATCTACAGCGTAAGACTTGAAGCCAGATGTAGAGACTGCATGTCTTTGAAGTCGGGGCCACCCCTCATCAGTGATGCAATGTGGAAAATGAGACCTTCAAGTACTCCCCGAGGAGCTCGTGCAGACGCAGTCGGGAACGTCTTTTCTTTTTAGTGTCATCTCAGGGAAGGCAGCCATTTGTGACACCGCATGTCTGTGTCTTTATTCAGCAGTAAGCATCTCAGCAGGAGGTCCTCCTCTGTTTCTCCTGCCTCCTAACCCCACTGGCCTACTGAGCCTTAAAGCTGCAGTCTCATCCATTCTGCTGTCAGCCTCTCTCTACTCGCCGCTTTCATCAAAGTTACTACAACCTCAGCTCCTGCTCCACTTGCATCTGCGACGTAATCACAAGAAGACAGTTATCCGCTCTTTCCAGTTCCTGCATGGATTTAATCCCTCCTCACAGAAAGCTTTCATTTCCACATGTAGGTTGGCTTACCGCTTATGAATCCATTTATTCACTCCCTCGTCTCTCAACTTCAAACATCCATAGTGAGGTCACTTTTAAACCTTCAATCTCATGAAATCTTCAAATTCACAGTTAAACTTATTTCTAATTCACGAACAAAATCTAATGATTTGTTTGAAAGCTTCACTTATGGGCCACATTTTCCATGGGCTTCCTTCTTACTGAGATATTATGACCTAAAGTAGGGCTGGGTGATACAGCCTCAAATCAATATCACGATATATTGAGCAGTTCACCTTGATAAGGATAAATAGATGATAACTACTCAAGCTGCTCACCCCCTCCCACATTAACTTCGTCTACTTCAGCCGCCGCTCCAACTTTTGAACCGTGCTCAATCTCCTCACCTGTCTTTCTCTCTTTGTTATGGACTGGAAAGGGACATGAGACCATAGCCTACGTACACACATCCAAAACCAACTTTTATTTATTCATAAACACCGAATATACCGATATGGGCAAAATGACATCGGTTATTGTCGTAAATTTTGGTGTCTATAAATTTTCAGTTTATCGCCGAGCCCTAACCTGAAGGGAACTGGATTTTGCTTATCTTTTTACAGGCCAAACGGCAGATTAAAAAAAAACTTTGATAACTTATGCCAGGATAAGACTGGGAATCAAGTTGTGACAGCTTTTCTAACTTTGTCAAACAAAACAAAATAAGTAAACATGATAAATTTCAAACTTTATATGATAAAATTCAAACTAAAATACATTTAAAAATACACAAAATGAGAAAAACATTTAGTTACATCATGTCACGCAACATTGCAAACACACTGACATGCACTCTACCCAACAGATTATGCTACTGGTCAATTATTTCCTTCATGTCAGTCTGTATTAAGTCACAAATGTGTGTGTTAGCTTGTAGCGCTGCACTGTGTGTCATGTCACTTATGTCCAACCAGTGTACTGGCAGGTAAACATCAGAGCTCCAGATATCTGCGAAGAGGATCATCCCAGTAATATCATCTAAAGTTGTCATGTGTTTGTCTTGTTCTTGTGTTGCTGCGGTTCAACCAGGCAGGAGTCTATCGCTTTCAGTGAGACGCAGGTGTTCGTCATCCAGAACTATTAACCCTCTCAGTTATTTTTCTCACTTTCAAACCATCACGAATAAGTTTCTCACTTATATGCAGAACAGCTGGCTGATAACATTAATAACTTTGTGTGGTTGATACGATGACTCTTTCAATGCTTGAATTGCTTCAATCGGCGTCGTTTCTATATTTGGTACGCCACCGCCGTCTCTTGAAACACAAGCTTTGCACGTACTACGAGTTGTATTCAGAGTTACACTGAAATGAAATGTCTTCTAACTGTAGAGCCGCTGTTGTTAGCTTCCTTCTTATTAGCTCATGTTGATGACACAACACTGTGTGCACACATAAGGTTGTTGTAAACACAGACTAGACCTAATTTGAATATGTCTGCCCAGTAGACAGGCTCATGGATGTAAGACATCGCCTAAAGGTGTCGCATTAACTACAACAGGAAGAGGAGAATAAACAGGAAACGTTTCCAGGACATTATAATATTACTGCTCCTCTCGTGTCACTTTATCATTTTATCCTGTAACACATTAAGATCAAATATTGTTCAGCAGCATAAAACTTACTTTCAAAAACATTTCATTTTTTGGTCTTTTATCTTCAGCCTTTTTTTATGACTTATTCTCGGTAAAAAACAAAGAAAAGGGGGCCGCCTGAAAACTGTCCGCCTCCGGCCTTGGCTTCTGCATGAAACACACAAAAAACCTCGGTGATAAACCTGTGTAGTTTGACACACTGAGGAGGAGGAGGAGCTGTCGATGCAAAAATGGACAGCCATCACACCTGCAAAAACACAGGAAGCTTCTTGTGTATTGGAGTATGCAGTTCTCTGTCAAAAAATCCCCAAACGTGTGATTGCGCACATACTTGTTCAGAGGCGGCTCAGGTCGAGATTGTTCTGCTGCACATTACGTTACACGCAGACATCCGTATGGTATCAGAGACAGAGAGAAAGATTGAGTGTGGAAGTGAACACTGGTCAGACTGGCATGAAGCTCCCAGGGTGGCACAGCTGTCTCTGGCACGAGATCTGCACAATGAAAGAGACTTTGTTGTGTCTCTGTGATTGTGTGATATAAGGAAATTCAACAGAGGAGGCCGAAGATAAATTAGAGACTTTCACAGTAAGATTTACGTCTCTTTTCCTACAAAGCAATGAAAGCTGGTCTAGCATGTTTAGCATCTTTCTATCACCAGTTTTGCATGTCCCTCTCCATCCTACAATACCAGCTCTGTCCCCAGAGTGTTTATGCGTGTGTGTGTGAGTGTGTGTGTGTGTGTGTGTGACCTGGGCAGTAGCCAGTGCTCGTACAACTGTTGCTGCTATTTAAGCTCCTGTGCCAACCCAGACAATGCAGACTCAGTGGGCTTTAGACGAGCGGAGAGTTGTTTGCTGATCTGCTCAGGATTGACACGTATCTGGAGTGTTTCCTCTCCCTTCCTCGTACTCCTTCTTAACCGCGACCACGGAAAACATGCCAAACCTCTTTTCTGAAACACTGGGTTTTTGTCCACCATCCCCCTCATGCTATAGATTGACCTCTGACCTTGCAGCTGGCTGCTCCCTTCCTGTTTCCTGCTGGCTGTGATAAAGTAGCGCAGCTAGCCAGCCAGCACCGCACTGCGCTAATACACCGCAGCACAGCCAGCCGGGGTCAAGCTTACAGAAAGAGAGCCTGTCTGGATTGGCAAGAGTCACAAGTAGCTGTAATATCATCATGCAGCTGTATTATCTTTTCTGCTCAAGGCTTAAAGGGAAAAACCAGATCAAACACGCACTGAACCCTGAAACACAGCTACGAAAAGTCTTTTTCAATAGTGTAGACAGTAAACTACGGTGGAGTGAAAAAGTTTCTTGAGGACACTTAGAGATCAGGAAAAGAACGACCCTTTTCTCCCACTTGGATCACTCCCACTCTAGATTTGATCTTCACATAACTTTAAGATTTTGTTTGTTTTGTTTGTTTCAAATAAGAGAAAACAAACATAATCTCAGGGGAATATGCATTTTTAAAAAACGACCTGTACGTACGAACACAAAAATCCTCTGTATATCAGTCACAGAGGTGATTTGAGGAACAGCTGCAGCAAAGACATGAAAACCTGAGGATCACTGAGCAAGTTCAAACTTATTTCTATGAACCACATTCTGAGTGGATACAAGAGAGAAACTGAAACATGAATTTATAACCATGGGCAACGTGCCTTTTTATCTGATATATTTTCTCTCTTCTGTGCTGTTATTCCTACACACGCTCTGACTGATTAAATTATAGTAAGACAACAATAAAGGGGTAGATGAGTTTTATCAACTTCATCCTTAACCCTTTCGAACAAAGTATGAGTATCTATGTTTCTACAGAGCTGTCTCTTTAATTGTTTTTCTGCAAAAGCACATTATATTAGCACATTATATTAGGGCTAATTTTAGCCCGTTTGAGACTAATCAGTAATCGGCCAAAACTCGCCGACTGTCGCCAATATTTTTAAAAATAAAATGCTGAGAATAAAATTTGGTTTCACTTCGAAACTTAGTGGTTCACTTAGCAGTTGAAACTGTTTGCACTATACACAAAATACCTCATTCTTTGTTGGTTGTTTTAGCAATAAAAAGGATTTGAAATGAGTTTTCTGCCTTTAACTCTTTGAACAAGTGTTTGAAAGGCTAAAAAGCAGCCATTTATTTAAAAAAAAGTAAATATGTAGATGTATTATTAGATTTACAAAATTTTAGAACTTCATAAAATTTTTTTAAAAATTGGCCGATTAATCAGTAATCGTGTTTTTTCCCCCCCTAATAATCGGTACATTGTATATTGTATTTATTTTGTTTTACTTTTAATCTGTTCGAATAAACAAATAAACTAAAGATTTTCTCCAAGCTACTGGGCAATAAACTGAAGAGGAAAAAACATGTTAATAAACGAACAACTCTGTTTAGAGTTTTAAAACTGGTATATACAGTACATCAGTTTTAAAACAGACGAGTGAACTGAATAAATGATTGATAAAGGATTTAAAGGGATTGTGTAGTTGCTACAGGTCACACAATGAAACTTCCACCATGTCGGTACCACAAGTTTGACTTTTATCTGTTACGTGTTCCTGTCGTATGCAAAGCACTGACAGTGTAGTCTCCATCACAGGCCTGGATCGTGTTACTCTGGCAGTCTTATGAAGTCTGATATGCCATGTGGAAGATGACAGACGCACACTGAGTGGATGAATCAAAGTAAGTTTTCTTTTCGCTCCAGAACACAGGGATTCTGCGTGCTCTTCCTCAGCTGAACAAGAACTAGAAGATAGAAAAAACTACACGGTTAGTGAAAAAGAAAACCTCCTTGGTTGTGAGTAATCAAACCGCTCAAACCTTTCTGATATCATTGCATTTGTAGGGACATTTACAGGCTTTAAATCTACTTTTGCGTTTCTTAATATCACAAAGATATGATCCGAGTTTGAGGCAGGGCTTGTTTCATACAAGTCATGCTCAATTTTATTTTGGACACTGAATCAAATGATGTGGTGAGCAATGCAAAATAATACATACATGTAGACGTTGGAGGAGGAAACACAGCGGAGTGTGTGGCTGAAATTCTGGCTCACGGTTTTTCTGTAGTCATCACTTTTTAAATTTAACTCTCCAGAACTGGCTTCACTCCAAAACTGCATGAGGAAACAGCCATGACGGCGCACAACACAAACACACACACACACACACACACACACACACACACACACACACACACACACACACACACACACACACACACACACACACACACACACACACACACACACACACACACACCACCACCAGACTGCCGAAGTGCTGCTTTACTCTGACTTTTGAGATCTTTTAGTTAGTGTGCACCTGTGCAGGATCCACATGAATTTCTCCAAATATGGACTTGAATTAAATCTCTCCAAAGCAAGCGTTTATCTCCACAGATTATTGTTCCAGAGAAATTAAGTCAGCGACAAAAACAAAAGCAATCAGTTCAGTTTTAGGCTAATCTGCACGGTTGAACAGCCGTATCTTAGTGCATATCTGAGCTCATTTATCTCTATGTGCATAAACAGCGATTTCTTGTTGTTCCCTGCAGGGCGGACAAGCTAGTAGGTTGCGTCATGCTGATCACCATAATATAATAGTGTGAGGACTACATGAGTCGTCTGCTCACAGATACCACGGTGACATAAATAACCATGATGCTCTGATATTTTGTGTGTCTGTGTATGTGCGTATATCTGCTCACTGAGCCTCCAGCTACAAGAGTTGGCAAGTGTAATTGAAGCTGAAACACCCGCAGCCTTAAGTGTGAACTGTGTTTTCCATTCCCTGCTCTGAGAAGAGTTTGGCTGCGAGGCTCGCCGCTAAAAGCTTTTTTTTTTTTTTTAACTTTACGCCCAAATCTATCACAATCAAAGCCGTGAGGACTCCCTGCTGCGGTGGTACCGAGAGGAATGAAACTTTCTCTTCTCTTAATTCCTCTTTTTTTTTTGCAAAGATATGAGTCAAAAATGTCGCACTCTTAGATGAATGAGAGAGCAAAAGCAGCAGAGGAAAGCCATATGTAACTGCATTATGAATGCTTTTGTTAATATCAAATACTTTGTTCTTCTCTTTAGTGCAGTTATGAAGTGTTTTGTACATAAATTAAATAATATTCTCTCATTTAGATAGTTTGAACATATGAAACTGATTAAACTTGGTGCCTTTGACAAAAACATACTAGCTTTCGTATCAATCAACAAGTTTCATTTGTAACTAGAAAAGCACTCGGAGAGCGCAGACCTCCGCCAAGCCTTATATTGTGATTCACACCAAAACTTTTACTGTTACGTGTCTTTTATTAACTTTTATTTGTGTTTAAACTGGTATGTTCACTGTTCATAATGTTCCTAAAACAACAAAGCTCATATTAGACACATAAATGCATGATTTATTATGCTATATTTGTAAGCGGACACTTCCTTGTATCTTCATTGGTTATATTTCAGCATTGAAAATTCCAACGACACCCTTATTTTTGTGTGTTCTGGATCACAGTATCCGGAATTTTGTCTGGATCAGGATCAACCTTTGACACCTCATAAAACTCATTGAGATCCCTTTGTGTAATTTTTTACTAAACACTCTGAGCATTTTTATAGAGTCAAATGCAAAAATTCCAAAATTTGCCCTATCTCACAATGATAAAGAATCCTTCAAAAAATTCCTGGATCCAGAAGGCGATCCGGATCACCACCAAAATGTAATGGGATTCTCCTGGGGCTGAGACGCACCTCTGGTGAAAATTTCAGGTCAATCCGTCTGTAACTTTCTCCGTAAAGTTACTAACAGACAAACAAACAAATCAACGCCACCAAAAAACATAACCTCCTTGGCGGAGGTAACAACATAAAACCTTAAGTTGTGTTTTTGTTTTTACAAAAATGGTGGGTGGCAGCTTAGCTACTAAACCAAAATGAGCTCAGAAGCTGCATATCAAACTGAAAGGACAGATATTCATGCTAACTTTCACCTGTCATCCATTTCACTCCATACTGCCATGGCTCCATCCAATAATTCTGCTACCAGACTTCTTCCTACAGCTCTGTACCCACAGTGATAAGATGTTTTTTTAGATAGTCAAAGTGGAGAGCGGCGCTGTCAGAGGTAGACCTTTGTGATACGTCCATGTCAAGTACCTTTTCAGAAAATAGGAAGTCATATTTTAGGGCAGGCCTCCCTCAGTGAACCAAAATAGGTATGGGTGCAAATGACATTTGCAAATACCAGAGGTGCTGAACCACACAATGACAAGTTGTTCTCTGTCTACACAGGCTGACTGCATCAATCATTGATGGGTCAAAAGCGCTTCACTGTAAACCGGCTGCAAAATGAACACACAAAAAATTCCACGCTCCAATCTTCTGGTCTTGGAGAGAAAGTACAAACTAAATGTGATCGGAGTATGAGGAACAAACGGGTGATCAGGACACACAGCAGCTCTTAGAGGCTGCCCAACCCAGAGGAAAGACACTTTTACACCCAAGTATTTCTGAATATGTAATCAAATAAAAGGAACTATAACTTGTCGAAACACACCCAATATTCATCAGTATAGATAAGCATTTAGCAAACGATCAACACCTAAACTGTACGCACATTTATCAATCTGTAACCTGAGAGTGGTAACACTTAAAGTGAAATATAAGACTGAATGATGCGTGCATTGAACTGTTGGTTTTAATGTGTACAAGACTACGACTTCTGTTTCAGTGGATTCAGGGCAGCAGCTTTTATATCACAGAGCATTAATGCAACAATAAAGGTCAAATGTAGGTAGAAACCAAATGAGATGTGTGTCGCCAAATCAAAATCAAACATGCACAAATGCAGACACACACACAAATGCACACATCTTATGTTACATGCATTCAAAGTCAGTCAGTAGAACAATTAAACAGCTATTCATGGATTTCTTGAAGGTCCGGCTCTTTTACATATTTGAAAAAATGGTCTCACATCCCACAAAATCTTCTTCAGAGACTGATCACTAGGGCTAAATTCTGATTGGTCGACTCGATTTTTTTGACGCATCAATTTACATTCTATGGTTAATGTCATCAGGAGGAAGGTACCAAAGGCTGATGGGAGTGTTTTCAGAGCACTTCCATTTTACAGACAACAGCCTGTCTCAGAACACCCCCCCCCCCCCCCCATTTTCACCATTTTGGATTCACCCAACCCAAAGGAGACCGGCAGGAGACATGATGATTGAAGAGTGTCCATGTTAATCAATGTCCGGTGGGCAAAATTTTTTGTAGGATGGTAGGGGAAGGTCCCGCCCTCATTCGCCTCTGATTGGCTAGAAGTGCTGGGCTCCAATTGGTTATTACCTATAGCTGTGGAACATTAGCATCTGTCAGGTTAGGGTTAGAGTTTGGGTTAGGGTTGAGAGACTTAGAAGTGGGATAATGTTCTGTAATGTTCTGTTCGGTGTACAGAGCCAACAGCCCGCGTTTGGCTTGAGCATGTGATTACGTTTCCAGCTTTTCCAGCCAATCAGAGGCGGAGGAGGCGGGACCTTCCCATACCATCCTACGAGAAAAAATATCGTGTACAGTGGCTTGCTGAATATTTATATTTTAGCCTTGTGTATTTAATTTGCTTTTGCTGATATCAGTGTATTTTCACCCAGCCGAGCCATGTCATCCCCTGCCGCTGAAGGGTTTGCCGTCAGACCTGAAAATTTCTTTGGTTGATTTCAGTTCTACTGATCACAGTTCATTTGAATCCTTCTATTCTCTCTAGTTTCGCCAAGTTACTGCATTATTTTATCCATAATGCATTTGCATGGAGTGTTGGGGATTTCCACTGTAAAAACAGCAGACATCTGGCCAGGGGGACAACAAAGGCGAACTCAGTTTTAATGTTAAGTTTTTTTAAGTTTTTAAAATGTTGATTAATCTTCCTTACAGCTCTGTGTGATATCTCTCCAAAGTAGCCTAAATGCAGATGAAAATGTGGGTGAAATCGGAGAAATGAAGACAATGTTGGATCAATAATGACTGCTGCAAAGGCAAATACTAACCAGACTGTATCCTTACTCTCTGTTTGGCATCAGAATGGCGTTAAACTTATTTGAGATCCTTTTACTGAGTTATTCGATGTAACTAAACCCTCTCTTACAGCAGCTAGTATAAAAACATAGGTCATTTCTTTCTGCAGTGTAAGCCTGTCTCACAGTGCCGTTGTGTTACCCTGCAACACATAAGCCCACAACTTCCTGTTACCAGTGGTCAGGATACAAAGGCAGAGCAGCCCAGGAAGACCATCACACAGTGAGGTCCACTCAGATCCGTGGTGGTGGACATGGTTAAAAGGCTTTACTGAGAACACGCTGATCAAATCCTTCACTGTATCACTCGGAGCAGGGGCTGTACATCATGTAATGATTAACACACACTGATGGTTTTTTTAACCGGCCATAAATAAACTACAGAAAAGCAGCTGTGTTAAAAGTGAAAAAGGGAGTCGGGGCAACACACTCTAAAAAACATTGGCCTACACCTTCATGGTTGATCTTTATACTGAGGGACGACAGTGACGGCCAACAAACTCTACAAATATCAGGTCACAGCATCCTAACATCACAAATTCAGGAAGATATTGTGAATCTTATTCAAATGATGTGAAAAGAGGAAATCAGAGACGATTGCGTTCGAGCGGGTGGAGCCAGCATGTGTTATTTTTGGTTTAGTAATGACTGAATCCATTATTGAAAGACTTGCAAACTAATTCCTTTTCAATTAATTCAAAGATTAATCAACTAATTGTTTCAGGTTTTACTCCGGGAAAACAAAAGTGAGCCATTTCACAGAGTAATCTGCTCGGGATTAGAGTGCTCTGTGCTTTAGTCACTCCTTTTTTTTTTTTGCTCAACAGCTAGAAAGGAAAGCTTTTTGCACTTGGGCTGAAAGCAACATTTTCCATAAAAGCTTGCTCATTTCTGTACAGGTCGCTGTCAACTCTGAGGTCAGAAAATGTCTCGGCTGTATGCGCTGTGAAAAGCCAGAAGAGGAAGTGAGCGAGGCAAACAAGGAGGAAGTGCTGACTGTGTTCTGTTGATTCTGACTGAATATGGGCTGTCAGTGTCGATCATTAAGTCCCGCTCACAGACACAAGACTCACATTTATCCTCTTTTCTACCGCGGCCAAATTTGATCCCCCTGTGATCGTCTCCTCTTCACTTTAGTTACATAAAAACTCTGTTAATACTCTGCGGAGCACCTCAGCTCTGTAAGTAGAGACCTCACTCAGCAGACTGTTGCTCAACATAAAAACAAACCTGAGCTCCTGCAGCGCAAACTCGACTCTACTTCATCTCCACAGCGAAACAGTCAGCGTGTGACGTACGGGGATAGGGGGGCATGATGAATAGCGTGTCAAAATCTCTGGGGAAGACATTTCAGAGAAGTCTGCGTGCCATCACAACGTAGCATGTCCACCCACGCTGCATTCAGGACACTCATAAAACACTCAAATCCATCACTCTGGTTTGTTAAAACGCTAATAACCCACAACAGTGTTCCGTTTTTCCCCCGTTCATGAGGAAATGACTAAGAAAAAGCTTCACTTGTGAAAATAAAAGTCACTGTTGTTTCTTTCTTCAATTTTAAACTGGTTTAGAGAGTACAGTGACGCCGTGTGTACGACCAAACTCTTTTTACATTTGACCCCTGAGATTATCTTTTAGTTCAGCTTCTCCTTCTGAGCCATGTGCTGAGCTCAGCTGCAGTCTAACCACATACTAGTCTCTGTAGCAGCTCAGCGTCATTGGTTGATCCCGTAGCATTCTTAAGTGGGTTGATACCCATTGGTTAGTGTCACTGCCACTGCCTTCTGCACACAAACAATAGCAGTCTTTGTGTGTAATGCCTGGCTTCTGTGTGTATGCGTTTCCTCTGCTTGAACTAGGCATTTCTTTTACGGCGCGGCCGCTTGGTGCAGCGAGGCAGTGATACGACTTCACAGAGAAACGGTCAAAAGCGGCAAAGAAGAACTTTGTCAGCTCGTGTTCGATACGACAACAGCTGAGTTAAATCTGTCTCTTCTCTCTGGTTGGGTCAGCGTTTTTTTTTGTCTGCAAGATCCTCGTCATGGTTGCAGAGGAGGAACAAACGGACTGAGGAACTGAGCAACTTGAAGAGGATGTATCACTTAGACTGACTCAATTAAACTATTACCCAACAAGCTCCAAACGAGACGCAGTTCAACAAAGAGACTTCAGGCTGGGTTCATAAGCGAGGAAGCTCTCTTTGAAACAGATACTTGCATTTGACTAATTCTGAGCGGCTATTAAGCTTTAAGCAGTTTCTAAACAGAGGTGCTGTTAATCTTTCAGTTACTCATCAGGTGACTGGATTTAGATTCTTACAGTCATGGTTACATCCAGAACTGACTCTTGATTCACAGTCAGTTCCCTTTTGAACACAGAGTAATGTTTATTTCAGGATTTACTTCAGTCCGCTTCGGCACAAATGCAGCTGTTTTATTTGAAAAGGATCGATCAGCTGATGCAGATAATGCAATAATTAATGCAACATGTCACATTGAAGGCAGTGTCTTCCACCCGGTGAGAAAGAGTAAAAGCTTATAAAATTGCCCACATGCTGAAACACAGTAGTACTGGTTACTCTGAGACATCTATGGACTGACTCTGGACCAGCGGGAGTAAAAGAGCTCATGCTTTGAGTCTAAACTGTTTCAGGGTGGTATAGTGTTTGTTCAATGCCAGACAGGTGAACTACCTTACCTGTTGTAATGAATAAAGTGTAGAACTAGGGACGCAGTTAGCATTCACATTAGGTGGTTCATCTGGACAGGGATGGAGTCAAATTCTGGGCCTGATGATCACATCTCTGTCTCTATCCTACCACAAGAGGTAACAAACACCTTGATTGACCCCTTGACTCATTCTTGCTGCTTGCTTTCGTTTTAAGGTTTTCACACGTATGACAAACCCCCCTTGGTACTGACATTAGTCTGAAAGAGAATAGACAGCAGCACCAGAAAGGCAGTGACCCGGAGGATTATTCTGCAGGCCAACCTGCTGCACCCTGACCCTGAGTTCATTTCTTCACCAATTTTCAGCTCCAGAGAATTCAAGGTTTACATTTCCCTCCTCCTTTGATTCTCTCTTGTAAGTCATCTCCATGTTAGCACTTTGGTGACCTGTTGCTACGATTTCTTTAACAATCAGGCGTGAGTTTGCAACGTAACCCGGGAGCAAGCTCCTCGAAAGCATTTAATCTGAATCCTTACATACTTTCTGTAAACGTGGTAGACACATCAACTCTTCTGCTCTTTTCTTGTCTACACTTAAACCCACTGGAGACTCAGACTTCCGTGTGTTAGCACAAACAAAAAGGATGTAGAAACAATTCAAAACATGCATTTTTTATAAAAAAAAATAAGCATTTTTGTCTAAAAGAAAAAAGCAGATTGATGCAGCATGTTCAAAATTCTGCACTTTGAATCTGAAACACAGCAAAGAGAGTTTCACAGCGAACAACCCCTTTTTTGTGTGACCTGCTTGTGACTGTGTATGCTGATGATTTTGTGACTTCTCTTAGCTGGCATCAACTCTCTGCAGACTATTTGTTACTTTGCAACATTTCCTCCATCTGACTGTCTTTGCCCTACAAACCTCTTTAAGACATCAGCTACAGCAGGCAGACACATCGAGTCGCCCAGACAATGCATAGGGGGAAGATGAGGCGGCATTAGCTGGTATATTTGATCATAGCTGGCTGCATATTGAATAAAAGGCTCTATAGAGAAGATCCAATGAATGTCCATCAATTTCATTACATACTGAACATGACTTCTGTTTCTACTGTGTTTCCAGGATCTCCCCACAGCTTGCCATGAAATAAAAAGCCTATTATGTGAACAAAGGAGTCCCATCTAACAGCTTGTCTTCCCCTCAGAGAGCTTTCTCATTAACACATCAATAACTCGGAGTAAAAAAGAAGCTCCAATTTGTCTTTGGGTCTTATTCGCCATATTTTGTCTTCAAAGGACTGCCTGCTCTCATTTAGAAGTTTTGAAGTAAAGGAAACAAGAGTATCTCCCTTTTACAGGATAGAGGATTTTTCTAGTAGGAATTGTGCACGAGTGGGTCTGTTTTCTTCGAGCAAGAAAGAGATGAGGTAAATGAGTAAGAGCGCGGTAACGTCAACGACTACATGAAGAGAAAACGCTCAAGTAGATGGTGGAGATAAAGCAGCACAAAAACAAAAAAAACAGGCAGGCAGCTGTAGATTAAGTGCCATCCTGACCACAGAGGAGCTCACATGCGCAAACCACAACACCTCTCTACTCTTGTTTTGATGTCTCTCAAGCTACAACCACCCGGGGGGCTGGGGAAGGGTGCCATTGTTCAGGGAGCGTCTGCTCAGACATAATGACTTTGAATGAATGAAAGAAGATGAGATGTGAAGTGTTTGTGATGTAGTAGCTGTAGTGTCTCATTGCATCCAAGTCTTATGGTGGAAATCAACACAATGACTCAGAAGAGGGTGAAAAAATAATGAAGCGGTTTCAAACCACCCACAGCTAAATCGTATCCACTTTATTCGTCGCAGGTACAACACATTTTTCCACTTTACTCACCTGGGTTGCGAGTTCTCCTCGTACATGCGCTCCTTTCCCTCCTTGAACAAGCTGATGGTCTGCTTCGTCTTCTTGGTTAGGTTCTCCATAAAGACCCGGAAGTACTCGTTGTCTCCCAGAGTCTCCATTTTGCCTTCGTAGCGAGACAAGATGGTGCGCAGGTGCTGGTAGGTGTCTGGCAGCAGGTCCAGGATGTAAGGGGGGCTGTTTTTCAGAGCCAATTTGGGGTTTTGGCACAGGCGCACCACCTGCAGAAAAGAAGGGTGCAGAAGATGACAGGATACAGTTAGAAATAAGAGATGGGTGCATAAGCGAAAGAGATAAGGGAAAAGATGCGTTGAAGAAAAAAAAAGGGGTGGTTTAGGAGCAGTGACAGAGAAAATCTGAGTTATTTTAAATTTTAAAAACACACTTTCGTTTTGCATTAGTTAGACGCTATTAATACCTTATAGGCAGAATCTTGCATAATACAGCTCTTTCTGTTTTGCACCACTTATCTATAGTGCCGAATATTGTTAGCGAGCCCAGAGAGACGACACGCAGAATGGAAAGTGCCAACGAAGGTGAAGACTAAGAGAAAGGGTCTTAAAAGCCCTGTTGGATGCAGGGTTGGAGCTTTCAGAGAGCAGCAAGTCCACACATTACATAATGGAATGCACAGAGTTTCATTGATTTATTCCATCATGGCTCGAAGAGTTATTTCCCCAATGTCACACTACTTCCTCTTGTATCTACAGAAAAGTGATTAAAGTGAAACAGCACAAAGGCGGATCTGCATGATCACAATACTGTCTGTTCTCTCTGTGAATCCCCTCATCTTCATTCATGTCTCTGTTTGAGGACATGCCTTATTATGTGATTTCAACAAGCATGGATTTCCACAGTCTGGGTCAACTTCTTCGGAATGTTTAGGAAACACGTTGGTGTTAACACATCCTCATTTCAATCTGCAAATCTTACACCACTTCTGCATGAAAAATACCAATTTGTCTATGCAAAACACTTGAGTACAGCAAATATGAACAGCTGAAGCACAGACTGAGATACAGACGAGACACCGTGGGTAAAAGCTACATCGAGTTTGGGCAAAGAAGTAAACTCACCAAGTATGTGAGACTTTATAAAACTATGAGAAATCTACATCAGAGGGTTAACACTGTAATGGGTGAGCAGGAGTTAACCCTCTATCAAAATACTTCATGAAACATTGAAATTTAGGGAATCAGCTCTGTGCTTGAGTTTGACATGTTCACCAGACTGCATGTAACATCCACTGTAATGTTTAACCACCCCTCAGCCATCTTCCTGTACTGCGGTACTGTGTCCAAGTCACCTCATTGACCATTACAGAAGACACCAGCGAACAGCCCAGGACATTTACACTGATGTTATTCTCTGAGTGGGCACGGTCACTGCTGCATGTAAGAATGACTTCCCCTCCTGCTAAACTAGAATTTCATCTAAAAACATTCAGGGTCTCACATCCTGATCTGGACCTGCGTTGATAGTTGACATGATGATTGGACAATCACATGTCAATAACATGAACATGAGATTTTGTTTTTTTTCTGGTTTGGGCCAAATTATTGTCAACTTACTGTGAGTGACATTTCAGAGGAAATACACAGGAACAGAATTACAAAAATGTCAGGTTGAATGCCTTTGCCTTTGTTTTGGGAAGTTATTTGCAAGTAGATATGGGAAATAGGACTGATAAAGTCTTTATAGGTCAACTTTTCACCTACCAACCTGTAACTGAAGTGTGCTGAGAATTACACTGATAAAAGCTGGTGTTTTAAAGGATTTTACATGCTCATAAGTCAGACCAGAAGACTTGATACCATTTATTAGCTCTTTAAAATCTCAAAAATAATTATCCATCTCTTGGCTTCCTACTCTGAGTGTGACATAGAGGAAATATTTGATCTTTGCTCGAGAAATGAGCTACTGCTCTTGGACCACTTGCCTCGTCATCACTGCATCAGTTGCTTCCTACCAAACAGTGTATTGTAAGCAGTACTGCAGTAGTGATTCACACACGTAGGCCTTCACTGGTGTCTAAATGGTAAAGGTCAGCGTCTCATTGACATCAGGGGAAATATTTCAGAGACAATAACGTAATCGAAATTACACTGATGATTGAAAGTTTACCATGGATGTTTTAAGTTCCTGGAAATGAAGTAGGAAAACAGCCTTTAAAGGTCAGCCATAAAGATCATCAAAGTTACATTCAGCCCAAGACCAAGCAGACGACGAAGATAATTGCCTGATGTTTTTGTTTTTTTAAACAAATAGCATCACCAAATTTAAAGAGCGAGCTCAAAGCGTCAACAGGGTCTCACACTTTCTCTGTTTCATATCCCGTGAGCATTTTAGATCATTTGCCTGTGGTTGGTATCTGCGTGTGTGCCAGTATTTCACTCGTCTGTGTGTGCATCTGAACTGAGAGATAACGTACTGAACTGATGTTAGAATATCATAACCAAAACAGTACCCTCGCTCCTTTAAACCCTCTCCCGGCCTCCAGAAGTTTACCCTGGTTATGTCTGACACCAGATAAGACTGTTGCCAAGGTTACATCACTAACATTATCATCTACCATGCTAACACTTGTACTCATAACTCTGCCAAATACGCATGCATGCTTGCACATGTACAAGGCCATAACAACTGAGTGCTCTCGTATGTCAATGCCAATCAAGGCTGAAGAGAGACGTTGACTGCCTTTATGCCAATCTGCATTCCACTCCTTTTCTCTCCAGACTCATTCACACCTGGAACAGACCAACCAGGTACTTTCTGCCAGGTGTGAATGAGTTTAAGTGTCTTCTATTTAAGCAGCTTCAGATAAAAAAATTGGCCCTGGTTACAGCTATAAGCATGTCAGCTGTGTTTCCTTGTTTCTTCACAGCCCAGACAAATGGCACTGAATGAGTGTAAATTAATAATTTTCAATGATAGAGTACAGTGCAGCATGCAACTACTATGCATACAAACCTTCAATGGACTTAACTACATGGGACAATGGTGGAAGATTTGTTTGGGGTCAACTTTAACAATTAAAGGAAGATTGAGAAATAAATTAATCAGACTGGTTGAAATATACAAACAAACTCCCTTTAAAAGAGAGTCACAAGCTAAGAAATGTATGTAAAATCAACACTGGATATTTTCTGACTGTATATTAATCGTAGTTTGGGTGATGATAAATTACAATTTGACATTTCAAGGTAAGATTAATGAATAGCAGTAAATATAACATATGCAAAAGGAGAGACAGTAATGCATAACCTAATGGTTAAGCCTTTAAACCTTAAGCTTTAATTATTTATTTTTTTAAGTTCGACCTCAATTAAGAAGGCTAAACCATAAACCACACCTTTGGACCAGGAAATACTGATCCAAAACAGGGTCAGCTGAAGATTTTGTATGCTAAACAGTGAAAGAATAAGAGATTTAAATATCTTGTTGCGTAATTTTGATCAAAATTTAACCTAACCCTCTGAAGGGGGTGTTTTTCAGAGTGAAAAATAGATGCTCTTGAGCAGGTGTTGGTTGAAAGTGTATGTTGGGCTGTGGTTTTCCTTTAGACAACACAGAATACAACTTCTATAATTACTGCTGCTATTTTAAACTATACAGTTTGGTCAAAATACGTTGGTCTCCTCACTTTAACACAAGGTAAGAAGAGTTCACATTATATCTTGCTGGTGCCACAGTTAACTATCTTACTGGGTCAGATGAACATGGTAAATTATTTCACACTGTAAACTGTAAAAAGTTAACCTGATTGTGAAGGCAGATTTAGTGGCATAGGGTCAACTGTGCCGACATCCTCATTTCAGGGTTTAGAGACTTATTCTATGAGGGTTATATATGAAAAACCAAAGTTGCGGTATAACTGTGATATTTTTGTGTATCAGCTACAGCAGCTCTTATTTGTATTAAATGCGTATAACAGTTCAGTGGATAACAAACCACAGATGCAAAGCTGAGTGAAACAAAGTGGAGTCTGGTTTCTTAAAAATAGCTTTGACTTGGTCTCTTAACATCAGTGCTCTGAACTGAGGCCTCAAAGAGGAAGAGAGGACACAAAAGAGTGTCTTGTCTTCCTATTCACTCGCATATTGCAGTGTGAATCTCACAGGAAACTAGGGGTCAAACTGTTACAGACTTTTCCGAGAAGTTAAGCTGTGAAATGAGTCTCTCCTGTAAAAGAATTGGCCTCGTTATGTGGACACATTTTTCTGTTTTTTGACTGTAGTCATGTTAGCAACTATGTACATGAGAAACTGTTTATTACTTTGCTCAAAGTCCTATTATCTGAACACACTTCCTTATTATAGTTTAATCAATCTCCACAGTGACTTTAACACCTCCTGTACTTTCTTTGTCAGTGTTTTTAAGGGTTTGAACGTGGTCTTTAAAAGCTCCACAAACTAGTTAGCATGGAGTGGCACAGGGCTAACAAACAGATGTTTTTAAGGAGTCTTTGCGCTTTAAATGCAACAACACGGATTAATGTTAAAGGCTGCTTTAAAGCCCAGTGTGTGTGGTATAAAACAATGGAGTTAATGATAGCCAAATGGCAAACATAGGCTAGCTAAATCTCCCAGCTGACTAGCTTAGTTTGCGTTAAAGACACCAGAGCTGCTGCAGTAGCAGGAGGCGAAGATTAGCTAGCTTATCGCTAGTTAGCTGCGGTTAGCTAGCAGCCCCCCTCCTAACCATCTGCGCTGACCACCACCTGATCCACGTACCTTGTCCATCAGCTTCCAGCATTTCTCCACTGTCTTTTTGTCCACGGCCCCCGGCTGGTGATGGGAGTGGAGGTGGTGATGGTGTGGCTGGAAGGCATCCTTCATCATACCGATGAGTCCTCCGCCTTTCTTCAGGTTCCCTGCCATGTTCCAACTCGGCTAAGGTCGGCCACAGCGTCCAGACAGGCGAGAGGCAGGCAGGCAGGGCGGGGGGTCAGGGGGACCGAACCGCCGCCTGGCGTTAGCTGGACCGGGCGATGGTGATCCGGCACCCCCCGGCGAGGACAGCGCCCGAGTGGCGAATCCAAGCCAGGGTCCGACAGGAGGGGGTAGAGGGAGGGATGGCTGGCTATCGCGTGTAATCTCCCATGAGTGGACTGAACATCAATTTGGTCAGTTTCCTCAAAGAAATCCTCCTCACACCCTGAACAGCCGCCGCTCTCGCCGTGTGCTGCTGTTAGCCGTGCTGCTGCTGCTGCTGTGTCTCTGCAGGGACCCACGCAGGCTAATTAGCAGAGCTCAGACCTGAGGACAACGGCGCCGTGTCTCTGCCCAGAAGCCTTTAGGGTTGGTGTGTGTCCTCTCCTCTCCTCTTGACAAACCCCGATCTCGTTCCCCTTTTTTGTCAGCAGCAGCAGCTCGTTTCGCCTGTGCTGCTGTGTGTGTTGACGGGAAGTTGAGTGTGTGTCTGTGTGACAGCGTCAGCCCTCCTCTCTCTGCGGGCTGAGACGCTGACGACGCGCCGCACTCACCGATGGCCGAGGTGAGGAAGTTGCACCGAAAACTGCGAACGATTCGCGAACATATCAGGAACACGAGGAGATAAATAAATGTGGGAATTAAACATTGCCCTTTTTTTGTTTCCCCCGTGACGTGTATGTGCGGCCCTTTCCTTTCCTGTACGTCCCCTTCCGTTTGCTCCCCACCCCCTTCACAACTCCAACTCTATTGCTGCGTCCGAACTGCCCGCTCGGATACTACATGCTACTGCTACGTGCTACTGCTAGATCCTACTCCTACATACTAAAAACGTTGGCCCAATTCGGACACACTAGACGAGCGGTGGGGAAAGACGACCCCCGCAGGCAGAGAGTAGGTACTGCGCCCGTGCAGACAGTGGTAACTGAAGCCCCTCATCTGCGGGCCTGGCTGTAGTACTGCAGCTGTGCAGTTTAATGATGGAATAAGTGAGCTTTACCTCCATGATGTCGCCACTTGCTCATAAAATGATTACTTGGGCAAATATGACACCATGACATGACAAAGAGATACAACCGCACATTTTTTAGGACAGTGTGTGAAGTTACATGAAACTTACATCTGTACTGCTGCGGTCCCGCCTGCTGCTGCTGCTGCTGCTGCTCCGACATGGTGCGCGCTGCTGTGGCCAGCCGGCGTTCGCGACACTTTTAAATAGGCAGAGCAGCTGGTGGCGCTAGCATCACATGCGCCTCTACAACTTTTAAGAGGACGAAGAAGAAGCCCGCGGTGCATTTTGGGTCAGTAGCATGCCCGTAGGATGCACCGAGACCAACCTACAATGTGGGCGTGTCTAGCATCTGAAGTAGTATCTGAAGTAGCATGCTACCCGCTCCGGTCGCCAATTCGGACATGCTAGATACTACTTCGACTACTACTTCGACTACTACTTGGCAATTCGGACGCAGCTCACGCCTTCCGTGTGCGCGTTCACGAGTGGCGAATTCAACCAGGAACGCGCCTGAACAGCATTCACAGTAGTGATGGGCACGGCAGTTCTTTTAGATGTACTGAATCACAAGAATCAGTTCACTAAAAAGACTCGTTCAAAAGATTCGTTCATCAGATCACCGAATCATTTAGTGCTTGGCAGTTGAAGCCTGTGACTCTGACCTCCTGCACTGATACACACAGAGCCGACCCAAGCCTCAATGGGGCCCTAAGCAAAATTTGACTTTTGGGGCCCTCTACTTCTGCCTATAATATTGATTGTTGATCATTCACACACCTACTACAGTGCGCCTGACATGTCTTTACACATTTAAGGGGGTGGTCTTGGTAATAACATAAATTATACCAATGCAACCATACAAATAATACCAATGAGTGACTGGTGGATGATGTTCAGGGAGCCACATATGGTTTTTAATCTCAAAATGTAACATATTCAGCTACAAGAGCAGCCTGGGGTTGATTTTCGTTTGTTTTCTTCCGCTTCATCCGGGTCAGGTTGCTGGGGCAGCAGCGTCAGGAGGGAAGCCCAGACGGCCTTCACCCCAGCCACTTCCACCAGCTCCTCCGGGGGCATTTCCAGGCGCTCCCAGGCCAGGTGAGAGATATAATCACCTGGTCCTGGGCTGGCCACGAGGTCTCCTCCCGGTGGAACATGTCTGGAACACCTCTAACAGGAGGCGTCCAGAAGGCATCCTAACCAGATGCCCGAGCCACCTCAGCTGACTCCTCTCCACGTGGAGGAGCAGCAGTTCTACTCTGAGCGCCTCCCGAGTGTCTGAGCTTGTTGGCCGAGGGGGCCCTAAGCAGGCGCTTAGTTCACTTATGCCTTGGGCCGGCTCTGGATATACAGCTGAACCTTTTTAGGATTCACGTCAATTCAGAGCTTTGTTTGAGTGTTTGGCTGTGTTGCTTTGGCAGACAGGTTTCATGATGTTTCAAGTGTACTGTCCTATGGTATGCTATTTATCAGGTCTGCACGGTAAATTGGGCTCAGTGAGTGATTCGTTCACTGAACGTTTAGTAGAATTCACACCGAACATGCACTGTTCCCTCGCAAACCGCTGCAATGATAGGATGCTGCGGGTTCAATACACTACTTGTTACATGCTGTGTCCTATAGTATGCAGGTTGTTGTGGCAGCAATTTAGCAGTATAAAATAAAAAAAGGTAGTTTTGTCTGATAAAAATGATTCCAGAGAGTTTAGCTCAATGTGTGATTCGCTCATCATGTGAATCAGGCGTCGGTGCATGGGGTCCCTCGTTCACCAGCTGCAATGCTGTTTCTTACTTTAGCTCAACTGAAGTGAGAAACAAACGAATCACTCTGGGAAGTTATTTGATTCAGTACGTTCACTTCTAAAGATTCAGTTCTTTTGAAGGAATCGTTCGCGAACTACACAACACTAATTCACAGAACGTCGAGGAGATGCTGAATGCAGCCTTGAATTCCCGCAGTGCTGACCTTGGTCACCCCTGACAACAAGGGACGCTTTAAAAAGTAGTATCCAGTTACGCGTCAAAGTATGCACGCGCTAAAACAGACAAAGGTTCCAGTCATGATGTGATTGGCTGCGAATACAGTCAATCACCTATCAATCAAGCTAGACAGCTGGTGCCATAGCAACTCACTCAGCAACCACTGCCCTGCAGGCAACAAATGCACATCCCTGTAGGTTGGGGTTCGCCCTTTCAGAGAGTAAAGCTGTAGTGTGTGTTTACACGAAGGTCAGGACAGGGAGCCTCACAGCAAGAAAACATGCCCCCAAAGAAGAAAACAAAAAAGACAACAAAGAAAACTCCTGAAAAATGTAAAGTCACCGAGATTACGTTGTTTTTTTCTTCTCTTTTCAGGTGCTTAATGGTCTATTCGTTTTTTCCCCAACAAATTTTATGTTTTTGCAGGTGAAACTGACTTGGAGGCAAAGTATAGGCAAAGTGTTTTGGATGTAGCCGTCCTACAAGATCAAATTGGTGAGAAGTTATCTTCATTTAATTTACCGTGTACAATGTAGGCTTTTATTTAGACCAGGCTACCTTTATATTTATGTAGTTTTATTCACATTTGATCTGCACATATACATGTTAGTTTAAACCTGCTGATGCCTGATCTTTGTGACCCTTATTATTCATTAACAAAACCATTAACTGATCAGTCTGGGAAATCATTACACATTTATATTCAACAGAGCAACGTGTCCTTCCTCAAATATTACATGTAAAACTATGAATACATTTGTTAAGAGTGTTATTGGCTCACACTCCTCTGATGAGTAATCATTTTATAAGACAGTGTATTACAAAAGTTCCCATTTTTATCTGAATTTCTTTGATGGCATAATTACAAATGATTTTGCATAACTACTTTTGACATTGAATATGTATTTAACATACTGTTACACTTTGCATGACAGCTAAACTTGAAGCATGATTTAAAAGTACTTTTTTGTTCTATCTTCTTCTACGGAGATACAATACTGTCCTGTCAGTTTGAACTTTTTGACACATTTTGAAGGAAAGGTTTTTGTTTGAAAGTGATTGCAGGACTTTTTAAACCCACTGTAGACTGTTTTCACATTATAGTAATTTCACTTCTATTGAATTGAGGCATCTGAATCCACCCACTTAAGCTAGTGCCACCATCTGTGCCACCTACAGTAGATCACAGCTTGTATGTGAAAACATAATTAGGTTTAGGATTAGAGGAATCAGAACACAATTTCTGCATAACAAAAATAAACACCCCCGGTGTGTACATAATGCTTGCACGGGTTTGTGTTATTGCCACAGCACTGCAGTGTGAATCTGTAAAAAAGGTCCAGTCTGACAGAGGCGACCTAAGGAGACGCACGAGAGACATGGAGCAGAAGCTGCAGCATGAGAGACAAGACCACAGGGACGTCAACTCTGGTATGCTACAGATGACGCATGAATTAACAATCAGTCTCTCTTTTAATAACCTGAAATAAAACCTGGGTCTCTGTGGGATGTGAGGACAAGGAGCCTGTTTGCCAAGGTTGGGGTAATTTTGGGGGAACAAAAAGTCTAATTAACTGGGGGCCTCAGCTGATTGCTGCAAAGCTGTACAAAGGGAATGAGCAATGGAGGTGACGTCTGACAATGTTGACACAAATGTCTTTTTAGACCTCAGTCGACAGTACAAAACCATGCAGATGGAGCTGAGCAGCAAGGTGAAGAGGTTGGAAGAAGAGGTCAGCCAGCTGAAAGAGGAACTTGGTATGATTATTAGTTACTGTGACATATATACACCGATACATAAAAACAGTATAATTTATGACGTGTGCGTGCATTTCCTCCAAAGTCTGGTGTCAGGGTGAACTGAGGAAAGAGAAAAGAGAGCGTGGGCAGGTTGAGCAGGAGAAGGACGCCATCATTTCTGACCTTCAACATAAGATGGACAATATGGAGACGGACTATGAGAAGATCCTACATGTGAGTCACAAATCAAGTCTCTCCGGATTAATGAAAGTGAAACAAACAGCAGTCGCTAACAGGCCTCTGTAGGTTTGAGCAGACATGTTTGAGAACTCCTGCACTGTAAACTTGCATGTACAGGTATGTACCAAGCCAATTAGGATGAATGATGTGGGGCCGTCCCTGTTAAAGGGCAGCCTTGTCCCCATTTATCTTCACTTTTATGATAGTGGGTGTCTAACAGACTCAATGTGGATTGGTACTTCTCCTTGCCTCCGCAGTGAGATAAACCATTATCTGTTTTGGCTCAGCAGAAACTGATAGGCAGGGAGAACCACTTCTCCATAATGATCAGGTCTGCCTATTGGTTTATGGTGCTGCTCTGAAGAGAGGGTGTGAAAGATGACATATTTATAACACTGTGTGTGATGGGAATTTGTCAAAATTAAATTCGCAGCCAAACTACTAGCACAAGAGTATTTTTGGTAACACTTCACCAAAAATAAGCACATTTATGAATCCTTATAAATACATCTCCAAGGCTTTGTAACAAGCTTCCATAACAGCCTATTAAGGTATGGTTTATAGTGCATTGTACCTTAATGACTCAGTTTTATAGGTTCATTAAGAACTCATCCTGTCGATCAGTAAGAAGATGTCTTATTAATACTCACAACATGCCTAAGCATCATTTAGGACACTTTAAGCAAAGTAACAGCTTTTATGAGGCTTTATAAGTGTGCTGATAATGCATTATATGAAGTCGGCATGTATAAATATTGCTGAATTTTATGTTTAACTTATGTTTCAACATACATGACTTTGCAGGAAACAGCTTTACAAAAGCCTGACAAAGTTTATATAAAGTTCAACCTTTAAGCAAATGTAAAAAATGTAAAAATATAGGCAAATGTGAACTCTAAAAGTTAGTGTCTTTGTCTCTACATAGTCACATTTCATCTTTCAGCCTGGATGCACACACCAATGTGTTCCCAGTGAAATGTGAAAGTCATTTGGATACTCAGAAATAAAGAACAGGCTCCTCTTCTTGACAGTCTCTACTGCATCTGTTTCAAACTGCATGCTCAGGTGCTCAAGCTGATAACCTACAGATACATTATATTACCTCAGATAGAGCAAATAAGACTCAGAGAGGTAAAGCCATAGGCTCAGTATGGACAGACTAGGTACAGCCCAGCTGGCTGAGCACAGACGGTAGAGTGCAGATCTTCAAAGATAAGTGGTCAAGCCTGGAGCCCTTTTTCAAAGACTCAGCCTGTGATTATGGAGCTGGGGTTTTAATATGCAATTATCATTATTCCTGTCTCTCCCTGCGTGACTGAGAATCTAATTATGCTTCTTTTTCATCAGCCCGCCCCTGTTACTCATCACAGTAAAAAGTGTTAAAGAGGAGGAAGTTTATCAGGTTGGACAAATTTCAGCTCACTGGTCAATTGTAATGATTGTTTTCCTACAGGAGACTCTTGACAGCCTGACTTCCCAGCTGTCTGTGGCTCGACAAGGATGGAGGGGGAAAAACACGGCGCTTCATCAACGTCACAAGGACCTGCTCTCTGAATTTGGCCTGAACGCCTCAGACATTTAAAAGGAAAAACTAGAAGAGTTAAGAGCAACCGCCTCTATGAGTAAGACATATCTGGCGGTTACATGTTCGTTTGGTTGAAATGAAGTGATATTTGTGGCATTGGCGACTGTCAGCTTGTGATTCAATATTTTTAACACGTGGTTGTTTTGACAGTATTTCATTATCATAGCACAAAATAGACTGATGTGTATCTGTGCATTTGTAATGTTGCATAATGGCCACTAGGTGTAGCAAATAACTTCATGTTTTAGGAGGTGGTGGCCTGAATAAATGCTCAAAATGTGTTGTGCATGTTGATTTTTATACAGCATGAGTTAATCCTTATAAAACTCTTCCAGTGAGATCAGATATTTACAAAGAAAAGGACCACACCTACCAGAAGGGAAATGGATGAGTGTGCCGCATCATACTCAGTGCAGACTTTCCAAGAACAAGACTTGAGACAATATGGATGTAATTTTGTCCGGATGAGTCAGTGGACCAGACTCCAAACATGGTAACAGGAAATGTTCAGTGACCTTGCAAGGTCAAGCACAGAGAATTTAGGAAACTAAACTGTTAAACCGCTTGACTGCAGTGTTTTCATTCAACCTAGAAAACAAAGATCACACAGAGGTGAAAGAGTATAAAGAGTAAACAAACAAAAAAGAAGTCCAAATGGCTGAAATGACTGTTGACAACAACAAGATGAAAGCAAAATAACAGTTAATGGTGCAGGAAAAACGATTTATCCACCCAGCATCAGTGAAAGTCAGCATTCCCCTGCAGGGAGCCAGATAAACAGATTTCACTTCCAACACTGTCATTTGTGTGACTTTTTCACAGCCCACTGCTTTTGTTCCAGCCTCTCATCTGTGAGGTAATGAATCATTTACTCTGGGATTAAGATAATTCTCTGCTCTGACGACCAATTAACATTGGAGCTCAAGAGGCCTTTATCTGAAAACCAGTATTTTCCCCCTAAACCACAAGGAGCTTTTGCCTTCAGTCGGGATGTGTTTTTGTTTGTTTAGGGTTTAACGGTGTTGACTGACGTCCAAATAAAGCTTTAATTGACATAAGCATGGTGCCTCCGAGACATCCAAGAAATGACTCATTAGCAGGGTGCTAAGTGGTAATATTTGCCCCATGAAAACAGTCATGTGAAAATACTCCTAAGTTATAATAGTAGAGGAGTCAGTGGGGTAGAAGTGGAGAGGAATCATTTAGTCGAGGACAGCAGAGGAATGAGAAATCATTCATTTGTGTTCAAGTCCTGCTTTTAAAGTCTCAGTTGAAGAATATTAGAAATATTAGAATTATAGCATAATAAATTATAGCACCTTTAATAAATAGTCCATTAATAATAAATGAAAATTATTAATCATAATTTCATTGCTTGTTAATGGTAAAGTAACTTTTAACTTACATAAATTAACTATCAATTTACCATCTATAAATTATTATTATAAAGTGTTACAAAAAGTGTTTTATTTTATTCTGTATTTTTTACTTTTTTTGTTAGATATGTAATAGTTCTATTTTTTGAGGTCTTGAAAGCACCAGAAAAATCTGCAGTCAACTCTTAAATTAAGTGTTACACTATTTTAGCCACAGGAATGTTGAGCAGAAATCAATTTCTAGCCAAAGCTTTAACAGTGTCATCCATGATTTAGTTTGTGTTATCTGTCAGATAAAGAAGATGCAAAATGATAAGCACAAGTTCTTCCACTAAGATGTAGTTATGTAAAAGTGCCAAATGGTGTAATACAGAGATGAGCTAGCTTTTAGGTGAAATAAAGTGGGAGTAAATTTCTTCATCCCAAAGATTTTTGACCTTGCACAGTCATGATGCAGCTCTTTAGTCCATGATTAATGAACTTCCTTTAATTTTACCTTCAGTGTTTGTCGGCTGTCACTGACGTCTTTTCTGAAAGACAAACGATGCTCTGTAAGAAAGTGGGATCATTATTGAAAGTGACTGATGGGCTCTTCCTCCTCAGAACTTGATTCAATGCAGACCCTTTGAACCCCTTTTCAAAGCACCTTTTGAATTCTTGTTACCGTCTCACCTGTGGAATTATTCTAGAGAGCTCACATGGCTTTGTAAGACAGTGTCCCGGAGATTGATTTCCACAATAAAAGCTGTCTGCTCTCATTTTATGATGAATACCTGAAAATACACGCTGGCTGCCGCATTTCCTCTGGAACTCGTCTTGGCTGCCTGTCCAGCTTTTGGGTAATGATGTACAAAAGGTCTCCAGCTGATGAGTCCAGATGCCCACTGTGATTTCCCATGGAGTAAAAGCATAGGAGAGAGTCCATACAAACACACCCATACAATGAACACATACGCACACTCACTCTTACCTTCTCACACTCACAGAAACACAATATTAGGTAATCGATGCTTCCCCTCCTATGGGGCTATTGATCAAGGTGGGAATGAATAGTGAGGGAACAAAACACAGAGTAAATGAAGCTCCATTTTATTTCTCTGAAAGACAAACAATGCCAAGATGTTTTGGTCAATAAGTTCAACAACTGTCAACAACAAAAGGCTGTACAACAGCCTCGACAGCTTTTCACCTTGAACAGAATTCTTTCGCTCTGAATTCCTTTTCTTTGAGCAAACCAACGCCACGACAACAACAACAACAAGCCTTTTTGCAATTAGTTGCCAGCAAATCAATGGGAAAACTCTCACTTAGAAATGTGCACCCGTGTCACTGTGAATTAGGTCGGTTCCACTGACTAACTGTTTTGTCTGTGCATTGGTGTCCTTAGATCTGCTCCTCATTAGCAGGCGGATGTATACATGCAGGCTGCTAACCTTGTAAAATCTACTGTCAGAGAAGAGAAAGCCAGTGCCTGACAAAGAGATGCAATCTTAACAGCCGACATGGGATGAATAGATTTGAAAATTGTTGATTAAAGCGATTTCATCAGACCTATAGATGAGACATTTGGGAAGTGAGCTGCATCAGGCTCAGTGTATTAAAAATCATGATCTTTGCTGCACAACAATCAACTTTTAGGGAAGTGGTATCGCTGTGTAATGTTGTGTAAACGAAAGATTCCAAGCAGATTTTCACACACCTCTGCAGGCGCTAGGTGCTCATCATGGCCTCCATAAATCCAGCAGCAGTTAAGCTCGTCACTGGCGGAGGGTAGAGGCGGGATGAATTAATGGACCTGGAGCTGCAGAAGCATGGGCACAGTTAAATGAACTTGACACAGCAATGACATACAGGTGGCAAGTGAGTGTTGAGGTGTTTGTCACTCTTGTTAAGAGTTACGAGCAGACCGGTGACTAAACTTGTCGTGGGAAGATGGCGAGACGAGCGCTCAGAGAGGACAGAGAGGGAGAGTGAGAGGGAGTCTGAATTAAACCATAAATCAGATGCTATTTGTTGTGTGGCATTCAATCATTATCCTGAGGAGGCAGAAGTATCCACTGAAAATCACAGTGATAGATGGACTGCAGCTGAGTGGAAGCAAATATAGCACATGAGTGAGTTGTTAAACTCATTAGCCCCCCGTTAAGACTTCACACCCACGCAAATTCTCAGCTGTTTACCGTATTCACAAGTGTGCAGACAATAATTCAGTTACTGGAGAGAAAGGAGAGGTAGATGCATCGGTTCCCTCTGGTTCACTCAACAAATCATGATATTTACTCAGCTAGAAACACCATACATCCTTATACTGCTTCCCTGCATTTCAAAACAAAAACAGAATATTTCTGCTGGCTGAATATGAAAACTCGCAGAACAAAGTGCACTCGTTTTAGCATGGCGGATCTAAAAAGATGAGAAGGTCGAGTAAATTAGAGGAAAAGAAAAGACAAACCCAGAACCCCACAGACTGGAGCTTGTTTTTAGAAATGTATTTATAATGGGATAAAAATGTCAACATAAGAAAATAAAGCATATAAAATATAGCAGCCAATCCCTGCAATCTCACTCAGAGGTCTCCCAGCGAGGGCCGCCCAGTGTTTCAGTGGGATTTGTTTTAATTCTTACTTCACTGCTCATTGCGCCTTCAAGGTAATTGGCAATCTCATTCCAACTACGCTTGATTTAGCACCCCTGTAAATGTTTTGAGTGTTTAAGGAGTTAGCATCGGGTGCAGCGAGAGCCTCCACACTCTCATGAGTTTCTAAGTAACATTCAGCAAAGGGATAGAAACTTCTCTTAGAAAAGTGGTAATGAAATGTGTTCTTTTATTTGTTGTTTTCTTGGCAATTTGCCTTTGATAAGTTATAAAAAGAAACATAGACAGCAAACATTTGCTGTCCATGAGGAGTGGTATTTTCCCATTATGCTCAAAAATCAGTGTATATGTGTATTTGTATGTTTCTTAATGTCTGAGGATGAGTCCATATAAACATTATACACATATAGATCTGTATGTAACAACTGTTACAACACTTTGGACCATTACTGGGGAACCCTGTAGATCAGGCTGTATTTACACACAGACTCTGGGACATTAATCGTCGATTACTTCAAGATTAGCAACACTGGCACAATTAGCAGCGCCACTGCAAATCTCATTCATTTCTATGAGGTGCCGAATCAAGCAGGTTCAGTGCTGTTTCGAACATCGCTGTGCACTTGTGGGATCTCACACCCGCCGCAGACCTGGGTCAAATGCTGACTGAACTGGATGAACGAACAAAACGTGAAAGAACATTCTCAAGAATTTAAGATCGAGCTGCAAGAATATCAAAAAAAGACCAATTCAATGAAACTCTGTGTAAGTGAAAATGTTGCTCGCTCCAGGTCTGACAGCAGCTGATCCATCACGGACACGTGTTGTCTGAAACAGCACAGCAATCACAGCCCTTCATGCAAGACCAGGTGCTAAAAAATATAAATATAGAGGCAATTTAGGTGAATTCACATACAGGGGAGATGTTAGTGTGCAGATGAATTTAAAAAAAATAACAAAGAGTCGACAACAAGACAGCAGTTTAAACACACAAGTTGGTACTGTATGCCAGAGATTAATGATACATAAACACATTAAAACATTGTGTATTCAAATGCAGGGCGCTAATTAAGATTAATACTTTGCAGGGGAATGTATGAGAGGGCTGTTTAATATATTCCTCCATCAATTTTCTTTTCTTACTATTATAGAAATGGTAACACAACAAAGGAACAATGAGGCTTATTTTTTTAAGTCTTTGAGGCTCTTTTTGGTGATTTTTGTCCTGAAAGGCCAAAGTTCATTTTTGACATTTTCTTTCTTTTATAAGGTTTTTGTCTCAATCCACATATGTTCTCTTGATTTCTTAC